AAGGTGTTGGGACCGGTGGAGATGACAACACCCTCGGCCTCACCCTGCTTGCAGATGGAACCGGAGAAGCACTGGTCGCCGAGCTTCTTGTTGACGGGGAGCGATTCACCGGTGAGCGAAGCCTGGTCGCACGAAACGTTGATGGAATCGAAGAGACGGCAGTCACCGGGAACAATGTCACCGATCTTGAAGGCGATCACGTCACCGGGAACGAGGTCGGAGGACTCGATCTCGATCCACTTTCCGTCACGCTTAGCACGAGCCTTGGGGGCAAGCGAGTCCATGAGGGCCTTGACGGCGTTACCGGCGTTGCGCTCCTCGATGAAACCAATGGTGGAGTTGATGAGGAGGAGAAGGACGATACCAACAAAGTCTGGCCAATCGGGAGCCTTGCCCTCACCGTTGGAGAGAGCGATGGCGACGATAGCGGCACCCTCCATGACCCAGGAGAGAGGGTTCCACATGAAGGAGAGGAACTGGAGGATGGGGTTGGGCTCCTCGGTCTCAATCTTGTTGGGACCAAAGATGCCACGTCGACGGGTGCACTCCTCCTCGGAGAGACCGCCTTCGTTGCACTGGAGGAGGGTCCAGACATCCTCGAGCTCGACGGCTTCAATGTCGACCTTGGCCTTGTCGTAGAGGTCCTCGGCCTTGAGCTCGATGGTGCTCATGTCGACGAGAGCATGCTTGGGAGCCGTGTTGGCGTGCTCCTCATCGATGTCTCGGTGCTTGGTGACCTTCTTCTCCTGTTCGACGTCCGACATGTTGGCGAATTGCTGAAAAGGGGAGAGAGAAAGAGGGGAAAGAGTCTGAAAATACGGGGTAGATGGCAGGAGTGAAAGAGAGAGTCAGCGCCTGCGTTTGTGAAGTGTGAGATTTGAGCGAGTGGGAGAGATGGGAGGATAGGAGGTGCGCTCTTCATTTCTGCCGTGTGCCGGCCTGCCAGCCAGCCAGCCATGCAGCCAATCGGACAGCCCCGGATTACGCTGCAGCAGACCGCCGCAGCACAGTCGTGGCTTGGCAATGAAGTGCACCCCATCTCCGGAAAAAGACAATGCATCGTTCGGCTCGTCGGCCGACGCGGTAGAAGGAAACAAGGCGCAGTGGTGCGTCACAAAGGAGTGCAACTTACTCTATTGCTGAATTGGTAGTCAGTCGAATTCGATCAAGCTGGTCAACGAAAGGCAACTGTAGAATTGCTCGAACGTCGGGAATGAACGAAGGGGGAAAAGCTGCTCTCGACGGTCGAAAGGACGAGAATGCAGATAAGGGGGGCTGAGACGGCGCTTGTGCCCGTTAGTCGTGGAAGTGGACGAACGGTGGTGGTGGAGAGAGGGAAGGTGATCAAAGGTGAAGAAGATGGGGAACAGAGAAGCGGTGAGAGGGGGTCCAGGAGGGTATATATTCTGAGAAGGGGGAATGAGGGCGACGGCGGCGGTGATGCCCTCTCAGATTTGCAGAAAGCGGCGGGATCACAACACACTCTCGAGCCAGGCCAAAGGCGAAAAGGGCGCTCTCTGTTCTTCTCGTTGCCGTCGCCGTTCCAACGGCTGCAGACCTTCATCGTCTCTGCATGAAGACAAATGGGGGGCCCAACCACCCAAGACAGGGCAAAGGGGGGCGGCGGGCAAAGCAGAAACTCGACACCAATCCTGCCTCTGTCATCCACTTGAACTTGAACCGAACAAAAGCGACAGCCCCCTTTCCAGCCAAAGCGCACGCAAAACGCAAAAAGTCAACCCGGCTGACAGGCACGCACCCACCTTTCATCATCCTCGAGGGAGCGTGCATGCATGGGTGCGTATCTTGGCCAATCGGCAGTCCATCATTTGAGCCTTGGTGCCGAACAAACATCAAAGTTTGTCCCTGTTCTCTTTCTTTGCGTGGGGCTTCAAGGGTCGCAACTTGGCCCTGCCCGTGTCCTGTGCAAAACAGGAAGAAACTGACGGCATTCTAATCTCTCATGCAATCCAAGGCCAACACGGGTCCAGTGCCTTGAGCTGCATGAGAGAGATCGACGTTCAGCTGTCAGACATTTTTGCTTTGGTCTGTCGCTTGGCTTGGCGTGGCCTGTCCTCAATTCCGCCGCGTGCCTTTGGGGGCCGGTCCGCTTCGCCACTTTTGAATCGACGCAAGAATTCAATTTAGCCAGCTGTTCAGGGCGAAGAGATAAGAACAAGTTCGGTCCTTTTTCGCTTGCCTTTTGTGTCAGTTCCAGCTCGCTTCGGGCTAGCAACCGAGCAGGTCCGGGTTGCAAATTTTCGCGGCACGGCGTGGGGCGCTGGCTCTTGCGACCGAAGCTGGACAGAACACGTTCACTGTCTGACGCACTCTAAAAAGCTGGTAGCGAGGAGCACCATCACTGGATGACGAGCTGAGGCTCTCGACTAGCACAAACACAATACGATCTCGGCTGGCTCGACAGGAGGTCTGCTCGCCACCGATCACTGCTGCAGATGAAGACCCAATCAGAACAAGCAGACGCACGCATTGAGCTGCAGTGATCGACCGTCTCTTGTTTGCGGCACAAGGCACAAGCTCAGAGTTGACCTGTTCGGAGTTCAGGGGGAGCTGCAGGCAGCAGCAGGGGTGCAGCTGAGAAAGCCAAACGCCCTTCTCTGGCAGCCAGAAGCTGGCTCAAGCACAATCCACCCTGTCACACTCCCGTCGACTTGGCGCGACCCGACGCAAACCAGACGCAATCCAAAATGCAAGCCTCTCAGGGCCAGCCAGTTGATCGAATTGGCCGGCTCTTTCCATTTTCCTTCTCGACTTGGCACGCAAAGACCTCTTCGCCAAGCCAAGGCCCAAGCCCAAGCTAAGAGCACCTTCCCACCACTGGTGTTTGGCTCGGTTGCGGTTCATCTCGAACCGACCTTGTTCTGACCATTGCTGGCACTTCCTTGATACACAACTGCCGTGTCGACGTCAATGCTATCTCTTGTGGGATGCAGAGTGCAGTAAAAGGGGCTGACTGCCGCGGCGTCTCCTGTTGTTTTGCAAGAGGTTCATTCTCGGTCGCCGGTCAATCAAAACTTTTAACGGCCCGCTGGAGGGTCTCGCCCTGGGGTCAAAAAATTTGTCTTTGGCAGGCTGGCTGACCAGGGCGCGATTTGATTTTTCTCGCTCGACCGGAAGCAGTTTTGGCAAATTTGGCTTTGCGTGATTGGGCAAGTTTCGCAGATTAAGCAGATGGGTCAAGGGTTGCAGCTCGCACCACGCTCTGGCCCGCCGGAGAATTTCGAGCCAAGCAGAGCCTAGGGTCAACAGCTTCGCGTGGCTTTGACCTTGCGCTCCAGAGGTCCTACCAGCCAGCTCTCTCATGCGTTTAACCCTCCCAGCGAGCCGTTGCCGACCGCGGCATGGCGTACGTTGCAGTTTCAAACGCACCATTGACGCACTGGTTGGTTTCTCAAGGGTCGGGCCGCCCATTAAGCAACCTCGTGGTCGGAATTGAGAGCACCACCGAGGAAGGTGTCAGTCTCGACATCCGTCTTCTTGTCATCCAAGGCGCACAATACAATGCCAAGGCGTCAACTCGTCTTCAAAGGCATGCGTCTCTGCCGAAAGCGACAGCTGGACGTGCCGAGAATCACGCCAACACCGCGCAAACCCAGATGAGATCCCGCCATCCCATCTTGCCTTCCGTCCGAGCTCCAATTCAACCGAACAATGAGACCGCCATCTGCCGACCTGTCGCCTCCTGAGTGGTTCGGCTGTAGGGTGCCGTGCAATGTGTCAGGAGTGATCACGCGGGCTCGCACGTAGCGTTCCGGCAACCGACTGCTGCTAATCGATCAACCTGTCGTGGCGCAAGATCACGCTTGTTCCAGGTCGGATCGCGGAAAGATCCTTCCCCTTAACAACATTCCTCGCTGTTTCTTGGCTTTCCCAAACCCACACACCGTGTCTGGTTCGGACCCCACCAACAGCGCGGGGAAAGGCGCCATTTCGCGTTGCGCAAATTCGGATGCTGCTCGGTCACAAGGCTTACAATTCGCGGTACACTGAGTCGGGTTCTTGGCACGATGATTTGGAACCCACACCCACACGACCGTTGCTTCAATATGAAATGCCGGAGGGGTCACATCTCCGCTCTCCGGAAGTGCAACCCTGGACCCTCATCCAACTCGCTCGACGGGTCGGATTGCAAAGCGTAGCCTTGGCATGGGGGGCAAAGGGATCTCGGTGGGGTTTCGAGGTGCGCGATTTACGCCGAATCCAGCAATGAGGCAAAGTTTGCGATCCTCTTTCCCCACTCATCGTCGTCGTTGTGATGAAGGGGAGAATGCGGGGACCCGCTCATCGTGTGTGGTTGCACCGGTAACGTTCTCCTGGGACCCCACGATCTCAGGTACGACTCGTTTCGATGTCAGCTGCGGCGATCGTCCAACGGTCAACCTCTCTGAGCGAAACGGATGTCTCCAGGGGCTCGGTCAATAATGTCGCCGTTCGCTGCATTTTGTCGAAATGTGAGATTGGAGAGTACCAAATTTGGACACGATCAGCGAACGAAGCATGCCTGCCAAGGCGGCCTAGTGCGAAGGCCGCATGCCGTCGGACCGCTTCCTCGTTGGCATTGTGCGCGCCGCTCAGGACATCCCGAGGGCACGCAACAATGACGGCTGCAAGCTGCGTGACTAAGTTAGCGGCGGCGGCCTCAGCCGAGGGCCAAGAATTCTCACCCCTTGCACTAGCTCGACCTCGGCGGCCTCGCGAAGACTGTTCTCTTCGACTCGCTTCCGTTGCTGCACGTCGATCTAAGATCTCTACTTGAGGAGATAGCAGCGGCAATCATTTTCGTCAACTCAATGTGACAGCTGAGAGTAGCGCCCGCTGGGATCGCGCCAAGACGCATCCACACCGGCACGTTCCGGCTGACCACGGCCGCGTCAAGCTCCCCCGAGGCAGCCGAGAGCTTGCCACTGTGGCTTTCATTCGCACAGCATAACGCGTGACAGCAAAGCATAACATTGAGTGGGGGTATCTAAGATCTAAGTCTATTCACGAATGGCTTCCCAACGAAGCGCGCTCATCCGCGCGGCCTCGGAGGGCGGACCCATCGATCCTGGTCGGCTTCTCCTGCGCAGATCCTTGATGCCCGATCGATTACCTTTGGACGACGCATCCGAAGCTGAAGATGCGGGAGCGCGGAAAGGTTTGACGCCCGAGCCTGCATAGGGAGCAAAGCCGAGCTCGTCTGATGCGACGCTGTCGGAAGGTAACTCCTCGCGCTGGGATTGAGCCTTGGATGGAGACGCAGCGGCGTTGGCCGACGAGCTCGAGCCTCCCAGCTGGAAGGTGCGGCGTCGTCGCGCAGGCAAGGCGGTCGATGGACCAGGAGGAGCGGTGTGATGCGCCAGGACAGAGCCACCGTGACTGCTAGCGGGCTGTCTGGAGCTCGTCTTGCCATCACCATGCCTAGTCTTGTGCCGAGCCCCAGTCTGGGAGCTGCCACTCGTGGTGCCTGTTCCGCTCGCAGCGCTGCTTCCTACAGCACTGGCGCTGCCGGATGTCGTCTGCCAACCAGGCGTCACCGGCGCGCTTCGCACCGTGAAATGCTCCATGTTCCTCGTGAACGGGCTCAGGGTGTGGTTCGAGTTGACCAGGTCCAGAAAGTGAGCCGAGGCGTCGATGGACAAATGCGTCGGGGCGGCACCTGGACCTTGGGCACTCTTGCTCTGCCCAGCCTTTTGCGGACTGTTGCTCGCGCTGGTAAAGACTCCGCCCATGCTAGAGACATCTCGAGAGCTACCATGATGCAGGGCAGAGTCTCGGAACGGCGAGATGGAGAGCATGTCCTGCGCCGCACCTGGCGACGTCGACAAGGTGGCATCCCGACCCGGCGAAGCACGCAGGGGCGGAGTGTTTTGCCATGTCGACGATTCGCGAGGTGGAGACGTCGCGTAGGTGATGAATCCTGGTCGAGCGACAGCTGACGCCCGGTGTCGTGCCGGCGTGGCTGCCATTCCCGCTCCCTCTCCCGGCCTCTGAGCAGCAAAGCTAGAGCGCTCGCTTCCGCCGCCCATGGTCTGAGAGCGCCCATGGTTGGCGCTTTTGTTCTTGCGAAACTTGATGCCCGAATTGGACTGGGCATCTCCGAGTTCCATCGCGGTACCATTGCGAGCTGCAGCACCAGGACGGCTGTACGTGTCCCAGCCTTGCGACTGAGACGATGTGGGAGCGGTGCTCGTGGCACTGTGGTCCCAATGGAGGTCTTGACTCGAAAGGTCGCGATACGAAGATTCTCGACTGATCGAGGCGGGTCCTCGGCGTGCTGCACCTGCCCTCGGTTCTGAGCCAGACCCGGATGATGGTCCTGCGTCAGGCGTAGGCTGGCGCGACGCATCGCTGCTGTGCATTGACTCGGGCGGCAGGTCGATCAAGCTCTCCTCGCTGCTGTCGCGTGAAACGAACGCAGCATCGAGCTGTGGTGAGTCGTGCGCGCCTCGCACCGTGTTCGTGCGTGAGCTCTGTGCACCCATGGTGGCGCTGCCCCAGTCGGACCCGAATCGCGTCGCTCCAGTTCTTGTCGATGGAGTACCTCCGTATTGAGATGGCCGCGCAGTGTCCTCGTCGTCCCAGTCTACCTCGGGCGGCTGCACCTTGCTGGCGGTGTGATAGATTCTCGGCCTGGTAATCGTGCCTCCTCCTACGGCCGGAATGGTCTCGTAGATGACTTCTGGCTCTTCTCTCCTCCTGGAAGGGCCTGCGATGGATGACTTGTCGGACCTGCTCGAGGATGCCCTTCGAACGCTCGTCAGAGCACGCTTGCTGCGCTTTGTCGAGAGCTGGGGCTGGTCATCAAAGATGATCGAAGAAGCTCGATTGAGCTCGTGCGTGTCGGAGAAGGCAGCTGACGCTGGAGGGTAGCCGAACCGAGAATAGTCGAGGGAAGTATCCACCAGACTGGCTCTCTCTTGCTCGTCGAGATCCGAGACATCATCGCCAACATCGTCAGAAGTTGCTTCGAGATCCGAGTCGGTTGTCACATCGTCTTCAGGGCGGTCGTCTTCTGGCGAGCTCCCCGAAAGATCTTGCTCCTGCTCTTCCTGCAGAGCGTCTTCGTCAGATTGCCTGTCATAGTCGTCGAACATTGCAGTGCCGTCGAGATGGACGTCGGGCTTGTCTGCTGTGTTGCTCGCGCCCAAGTCAGGAGAACCCGTGAGATCCTTGAGACCGCCAAGACCTCGTTGCGCCAGGCGGCCCAGCCCCGAGAACCCGCTGTGGATGGGCAGGTCATCAGGACGCAGGCCGTACGTCGGGTCGTAGTTCTCGATATCGGGGAAGGCTGCATCGAAGGGCGACGCATGTGAGGCAGGAGTCTCGGCGTGCAGCAGAGCAGCTGAGGTGGATGCCGCTTTCGCAACGTGACCGGGTCGGCGCGTCGCGCGTGGCTTTTGAGGTGACCGGCTGGACGAACGTGTTGGCGACGTGGCCGATCCAGCCACGCTGCCAGCCGCTTTGCTGCTCAGTTTGCTTTTGGAACGCATTCGCCGCGGCGTGCCTTCCGGAGCGGTTTCGGTGATGGGCAGAGGTGCGCTGGTAGACCGAGTGAGCGAGGGCTCTTTCGACCGCGCAGACGACGTCTCTGCCTCGGCCTTCTGTTTGGCGTTATCCTTCTCCGACTTGACCTCGCCGCTGAGCCACTTTTGGCTCAGTCTGTGAATGATGCCGGGCAGGTCTTCGCGGAACATTTCGCGAAGCTGTCCCTCAATCTCTTGCTGCAGGTACTTTTGGATGACTGCGACGCTGTCAAAGGTGGAGCTCACCTCGACGCTCTCGAGCGGGTCATTCTTGAAGACGAGCGTGATGCCCTTTGCCTTGGATACGACGAGCACGACGATGGCTCGCAGCTTCACGGAGGAGAGTCGCAGGTGCATGGGTACGACAAGTGGTGCTGCGGCGAAGAGGATACCTCTAGAAGCATTGGAAGAAGGAAAGAGGCCGATGTCGGGTCGATTCGGTTTGGAGAGGGGGTTGGCCTGCACCTTGGTCTTGAGAACGAGATGCGCGTCGCCAGCATACGTGAGTCGGAAGATACCACGGAAGCGGTCGGTGCCTAGGTCGCCAATCTCGAGGATTTCGAGCTCGGGCGGGATGGTGCCCATGCCGAGCTCTTCGACCAGGATATCATCGGCGATGACTTTGGGTTTGGGACCACGATTGAGCGCGCTGTTGAGCATCTGTGCCGCGCTCGTGTGGAAGTCATCCGAGAAGGTGGGCCATTTGAAGTTGAACGACATGTTGCACTAGTAGTCTGGACTGAAGAGGTCCAGGGTATCGATGAGGAAGGAGTAGTGGTTGGGCCCAGACGGCGAAAGACTACGGGGAGGTGGTCGACATTGGATCTGAGAGGGATGGCGCCAGCGCTCACTGCCCTTCGATGCTGCTGGTGAGTCGCATCTGCTGTGTTTGCCTATGCCGGTCGTGATGGGTCGGATTGGTGCCGGCAATCGAGAGAAAACGTTTGCAAGTCGTTGCTAGTCGTTGAGATGGTGGAGGCATTGGGCTCCGGGAGCGAGTGCAACACCCACTTCGCTGTCGTTCGGAACCAAAACCTGAAACTCGAACCTTTTGGCTTGGTTAAGCGAGCCGAATTTTTACACTTGTTACATCGACTTTGTACTCGAGGCGAAATTCGGCCCGCGAGACACGTATTCGAGAAGGTTAGCGCTTGCAAGCGACCGCACAGATCCCAATCAACCTTCTCAAGAACAGCCTGACATCTTGACATCGGCACCTATCAAGCATCCTCGACCCACATTCGTCTAGCTCGTCGCAGAGTCACAGCTGTAGCCGTGTCACGCAACACGAACTCGCACCGCACCGCGACATCTCGTAACAGCGACACCGGCTCTTGCTGTATCTATCGAACCTTCACCCTCCGATCCTGTCGATCTCGCGCCGGCTTATTGAAAAAGATGGAGGCAGATGACGCACAGAAGGCCCTCCGGCTCGCGTTTAAGCACGACGCAAACGGAGACACTGCAGCAGCCATCAAGTGGACCAAGAAGAGCATCGCCATCTTCAAGACGCCATCGGCAGAAGCGCTGCTCGTGCGGCTCGAAAAGAGCGGTGCATCCGGCAACGGCGCCTCGACCTCTGCGTCTGCATCGACATCATCTACCACTGCTGGAGCATCTTCGTCGGCCGAAGGATTGCGGTCTCGCGCGAGCGCTCAGACAAATGGACGCTCAGAAACAACACACACGGCGCCGAAGCGAGCCTACACGCAAGCGCAAATGGAGGTCGTTACGAAAGTCAAGAAGGCTGGAGGAGACTTCTACGCAGTGCTCGGGGTGGAGAAGAGCGTCGACGAGAACGGTATCAAGAAGGCGTACAAGAAGCTGGCGCTCCAGCTGCATCCGGACAAGAATGGTGCTCCGGGTGCCGACGAGGCGTTCAAAACCGTATCGAAAGCGTTCAGCATTCTCACTGATGGAGACAAGCGAGCGGCGTACGACCGTTACGGTGGAGATCCTGACAATGCGCGGTCGGCAGCAGGAGCAGCGGCGGCCGGACACGGCAACCCGTTTGGTGGCATGAGAGGGACGCCATTCCGAGGCGGCGGATTCGGCGACGAGATCGACCCCAACGACCTGTTCAACATGTTCTTTGGCGGAGGCATGGGCATGGGCGGGACACAGTTTGGCGGCACAACATTCACGTTCGGCGGGCCAGGCATGCGCACCCATCAGTTCCGCCAGCAACGTCAAGGGCAACGACGTGCGCCTGAACCGCAAAACGCCAACATTCTGCTCCAGCTCCTCCCGCTTCTCGTGCTCGGTCTCTTCAGTCTGCTCGCTTACGCACCCTCGCTCTTCTCGACACCAGATCCCAACTTCACCTGGAACCCCTCGACGACGTACAGCACACAGCGCATGACGACCAAACACCACGTGCCGTACTACGTCAACGACAACCAGTTCAACAGCCACCCCTTTGTCACGGGCGAGAACAGCAAGCGCGACCTCGCCGGGTTCGAGAACCGCGTGGAGAACTCGTACAAGCAGGCCATGTATTCGAGCTGCGAACGTGCGAGAGAGTACCAAGAGAACAGGCTGCGTGCGACCAGAGGCTTCCTCGGCATCGGCGCGGATGAGGCGGCCGCTAAGAAGATCATGGAGGAGGTCTACGATAGCTGTGAGAAGCTCAAGCCGTTTGGCATTTACATTTGATTCGCTGTCATCGGAACAAGCTATATTCTCAGTCACTTTCATATCTTGTGTGCTCTACACGGGCTTGAGTTACTTGAACAGGCAGGCGATCGCTCCGAGTATGAGCGACGTCGGCGTAAGCTTGATTTTTGGCATGATGACGACCCGCATCTTTCTGCAAGGCCCAACCGCGGGTGTGTGTGAATTTCTCAAAATTGGCCGCGAGCTGAGCGGAGGCAAAAGGGCTGAGAGCTGCATCAGCAAGCACACGATCGGTGCAGCTGCTGCAGCACCCTTTTTTCCAGCTGCGGATTCAGACCAACACTTTCATCATCTCCACCTTCACCAGCGCCATCTCTACCATCTGCAACGTCCATTTCCCTGCTGCGTTCTCCGTCATTGCACCACACTGCGACCTGTCGTTTCTCGCACACACTCATTCAGCAACACATCTCGTGCATAGCCCGACTCTTTCACCCTAGCCGATTGCCGCCATGTCGACACCATCAAAGAAGCGTCTGATTCGGGACTTCAAGCGTCTATCCACGGATCCTCCGGGAGGGATCTCCGGTGCGCCCTGTGCGGACAATCTCATGGTCTGGAACGCCGTGATCTTCGGTCCCGCAGACACCCCTTTCGAGGATGGAACCTTCAAACTCGTCCTCACATTCGACGAGTCCTATCCGAACAAGCCGCCCACCGTCAAGTTTCTCTCCAAGATGTTCCACCCGAACGTCTATGCGAATGGCGAGCTGTGTCTGGACATCCTGCAGAATCGGTGGAGCCCGACGTACGATGTGGCTGCGATTTTGACGAGCATTCAGAGTCTGCTGCACGATCCGAATCCCAACAGTCCGGCGAATGCCGAAGCGGCGAGCTTGTATAGGGAGAACATGAAGGAGTATGTGAGGAGGGTCAAGGCGACCGTGGAAGCGAGCTGGTTGGATGACGGGGAGGGGATGGAGGGTATCGCTGAGGAAGAGGAGGAGGCACCAAGAGCATCTGCAACTGCATGAGCCGCTGTTCACCGCGGAACTCACGTCGACCATCGATCGTAACACGACGCTCTCACTCAAGTCAAAGGCGCTCGATCAGCATCTCTCCATCGCTTCACCACCTCAGTCTCGCATTTCAGCTTGTCTCTTCAACTCTTTCGCCAAAGCCACTCTTCTTACGTCGTCCATGTACATCACTTTCCCGTCTCTTATGCACTTTCCACCGCAATTCAGTTCCCTTTCCCAGATCGGCTGTTCTCGTCTCGTGCAGTGGAGCTGCACAGCTGTGAAGTCTAACCACCCTCGATGCAACATTACGACGGTCCAAAGTCTCCGAGTGCTGAGTTCAGAGCCTCGCGCATCACGCTTTCGCACTTCGATCAGTCACACTCCCTATCCGTTCACAGTTTCGTTCACCATTCTCGATATTCATAGCCTCTATCACAGCCAGACACACAAACCGAGAGCAGAAGTTACACGAGTCAAGAATGAGATTCATAAGTGGTGGTGGTGGGGTGTATGCGTACGAAATGCTGCGACACACTAGACATTTTGGATGTTCTGTCGCCCTTCTGAAAGGACGACGCTGTTGTTACAAGACGGGTCGAAGGGACGATATGCAGGGGGAACACGAGGCAACGAGGAGCGAAAAAAAAACCTTAGTTCTTCTTCTCGCCCTCGCCCTCAGGCTTGGCCTCTGCGTTGTCGGCAGCGCCGGACTGGGCGCCCTTCTTCTCGTAGACAAGCTTGAACAGCTGGAGCGAGGCCTGCTGGGTAGCGTCGATCTTCTCGCGGATGGTCTGGGCCTCGATGCCCGAGTCACCGTTGAGACCCTTGGAAGCGAGCTCCTCGGTCTCCTTGATAAGCACGTTGAGCTTCTCCTTCTCCTCGGTGGGGAGCTGCTCGCTGAACTCCTGCATCGCCTTGGTGGTCTCGCTGCAGACCGAGTGGGCACGGTTGGCCTCCTCAATGACCGCCTTGCGCGCCTTGTCCGCCTCGGCGTACTGCTCGGCATCGGCCACCATCTTCTCGATCTCGTTGTCGCTCAGACCCGAACCGGCCGAGATGGTCATCGACTGGTCCTTGTTGGTGGCCTTGTCGAGGGCCGAAACGTGCATGATTCCGTCGGCGTCAATGTCGAAGGTGACCTCGACCTGGGGAACACCCTTGGGCGCAGGGGGGATGCCGGTGAGCTGGAAGTTGCCGAGCAGCTTGTTGTCACGGACGAGCTCACGCTCACCCTGGTAGACCTGGATGTCGACGGCAGTCTGGCCGTCAGCAGCAGTGGAGAAGACCTGCGACTTCTTGGTGGGGATGGTGGTGTTACGGTTGATGAGACGGGTGAAGACACCGCCGAGCGTCTGGATACCGAGCGAGAGAGGGGTGACATCGAGCAGGAGAACGTCGGTAACCTGACCGGACAGAACACCACCCTGGATGGAAGCACCAATGGCAACGGCCTCGTCGGGGTTGACACCCTTGCTTGGGTCGCGCTTGAAGATGTTCTTGACGACCTCGAGAACCTTGGGCATTCGGGACATACCACCGACCATGATAACCTCCTGGATGTCTGAGGGCTTGCAGCCGGCGTCGCTGAGCGCCTTCTTGCATGGCTCGACGGTGCGGTCGACGAGCTTGCCAACGAGCGACTCGAGCTGCGATCGGGTCATCTTAGAGTTGATGTGCTTGGGTCCCGAAGCGTCAGCGGTGATGTAGGGCAAGCTGATGTCGGTCTGCTGGGTGGAAGACAGCTCGATCTTGGCCTTCTCGGCAGCCTCACGGATACGCTGGATAGCCATGCGGTCCTGGGACAGGTCAAGGCCAGACTCCTTCTTGAACTCGTTGACGAGGTGCTCGACGAGGACAATATCGAAGTCCTCGCCACCGAGGTGAGTGTCACCGTTGGTCGACTTGACCTCAAAGACACCCTTCTGCATCTCGAGAATCGAAACATCGAAGGTACCTCCTCCCAAGTCGAAGACGGCAATGATCGACGAGTCGTCACGGTCGAGACCGTAGGCAAGGGCAGCGGCGGTGGGCTCGTTGATGACACGGAGAACGTCAAGACCAGCGATGGCACCGGCGTCCTTGGTGGCCTGACGCTGCGAGTCGTTGAAGTAGGCGGGGACAGTGATGACGGCGTGCTTGACGGGCTTGCCGAGGTAGCCGGAGGCAGTGTCCTTCATCTTGCCGACGACAAAGGCACCAATCTGCGAGGGCGAGTACTTCTGGCCTCGTGCCTCGAGCCACGCATCGCCGTTGGAGTGGGGGACAATCTTGAAGGGAACGTTGTTCAAGTCCTTCTGAACCTCCTTGTCCTGGAACTTGCGTCCGATAAGACGCTTTGTGGCGAACAGGGTGGCTTCAGGGTTGACGACGGCCTGACGCTTGGCGGGAAGGCCAACGAGACGCTCGCCGTCCTTGGTGAAAGCAACAACGGAGGGGGTAGTGCGGCCACCTTCCGAGTTCTCGATAACACGGGCCTGCTGGCCCTCCATGACGGAGACACATGAGTTGGTGGCTGTGGAGACGATCCGAAAGAAGAGGTGGAGAGATGTCAGTCAATGTGTTCCGCAGCTTGGCGCGCTACTTGTCTTCAGCTAACTGAGCTATGCTCTTGCCGCATGGGCAGAGAGCTTCAGACCGAGCGCAGAGAAGGGTCGGATACTTACTTCCCAGGTCGATACCGATGACGGGACCAGAGACCTTGCCGGAGTTGAAACGAGCGCCGATGGGTGCGAGGCGCTGAAAGTTCGAAGTAGAGGGGCGGGAAGGAGAAGGAAAAGAAGGCGTCAGTCACACGATCCCGCCATGGAGATGTGTCGGCAATGCCTCTGCTGTGGTCTCTTGGACTGCAGCGAAGATGCTAGTGATGATACTTACGGCAACACCAGGGGCGGCGGATCGGAGAGGCTGGTTCAGGAGCCTTGTCGCCGGGGCGGCGGCGCGAAGACCACGAGTCAACATGGCTGTGATGTGTGCGTGATGGATGAGAATGGACCGAAAGGAAGACTGGATGAAAAGTGCAAGCGGTTCCGAATCAGCGCAAGGGTATAGAGTGGAACTCTGATGATGATGGTGAAAGGTGGAAGAAGATGACGAATGGCGAGGAAGAAAAATTGGAGGGTGGAGTTGGATTTGGTCGGTGGCACAGGCTCTCGACTGCGCAGCCAAAGAAGAACCTTGGAAGAAAGCAGTGGAATTGATCGGGTGAGCACTCAGCTGCGCGAAAATTGATTCGCTCAAGAAGAATTGAGAAAGAACCGGAATGGCCCTCGCTCAGAAGTCTGACCAAAGCCAAGCTCCGCTGACCTGCTGGATTTCGGCAGCAGCAGGGCGCTCTCTGACTTTTTGACTCAGCTCAGCAGTCAAGTCCTGCCCCACCCCGATCCGCCCGCTGACAGCCGCTCCAAGTCTTCAATCATCTCTGATCATGACTTCCTCTGTCTGTCTGATGTACTCGCTCAGGCAAGAATGCTCGTGCTCAAGCATGCTCTTCAATGCAAGTAGGACCAAGGCTTGGAGCCTCGGCTTGAGCGGTCGAGATGGGCCGGTCACGAGCGCAACATGACGCCGTGCTGTGCTAAGCCATTTCTTGCCTTTTCCATGCCTGAATTTCCACACTGAATTCCAATTTCTTCCTTCACCTTCCGAGGAAAAATGAAATGGCTCAGCGCCCATTTTTCATTTCGCGACCCTGCATCACCCGATCCAGCCAACCATCATCTCGAAAACCCTTTTCCGACCATATCTCTTCCATTTCTCGATCAATCTTGCTCGAAACTCGACGAGGAGATAGCTCTCGCCTATCCGCGTTCGTACGAGGCAAAAAACCCCAAAAATATGCTCCGGGTGGGACTCGAACCCACGATCTCGCGGTTAAATTTTTGTTAAAGAAAAGACTCCTTTTCTGCGATTCTGAATGTATGATCTCGAGCGGCGAAACTGAGAAGCATAAGCCACATGCCTTAATCCAACTTGGCCACCGGAGCTAACATTTTCGGGCGAGAAAAGGTAGTTGCGTACATATACCTTCAAGTGTATTGTGAAGATCTTGCGATCAAAGCACCAGTGCTAGGGGCGCTCCGTTATCGAGGGATCACAGTCGAGTGACGCAATGGTGTAACGGAAAGAAGTGTACATCGAGAACGAGTGAGGATCGAGATGGTACATGGAGAGATGATGGCGATGAAAGTGCGGACGGGAAGGACCGCTTTTGGACAGCAAACTCGCAAGGTGACCGGTTTTAGTCAGACTTGTCTGCTTCAGCCTTCTTGGGGCTGCTGGGCCCGCCAAAGACGGGCGCGGGGCTCCAATCCGAGCTGAACTTTTGCTTGGAGGGTGATGCGACGGCTTCGGTGGTGACACTGGCCGAAGTGTCGATGGGGGTCACCTTGGGCTCTTCGGGCTTGACCGCAGTTTCGGTGGAGGGAGCTTCGTTGAGGCTGGTAGCGGAGAGGGTATCCCATTCCTGGCTCGAGGTGGTGCCGCTGTCGGTACCGTGGTGGTTGCTCGCCGGTGCTGCTGACTGGGTCACCTCTGGCTCCTTGTCCTCCTCCTTGTCCTCATCATCCTCCTCCTTAGCAGCGGCGCTCTCGGTCGGCGCATCGTCATCGACCTCATCCAAGGAAGCCGCCGACATGCCCTCTCCACCCTCCACACCGCCCCCGCTGGCAATGTCCTTGCTGACAATCTTCATGATCGTATCGAACACCTCCTTGGGTACAGCCTTCTGGTAGATCATGATCAGCTCCACGGGCTGCGGGTACACCTTCATCGCCCGGAAGAACGAGGCGGCGGCATCGAGGTACTTGTCGTTGCCCATGGCCACCAGCTGCTCGCCCTGCGAGACGTACTTGAGGAAGTACTGCTCGCGCTCCTCGACGCCCGCAGGGAAGGCACCCGGTGCGCGCGCCTCGGCGAGCACCTCCGCGATGAACTCGTCTTCCTGCTGCGCCCGTTTGGCGGCCTGCTTTTTGTCCACCTTGGACGACTTTTTGCTCTGCTTGGCCAGCTTCTTGCGGAAGGCAGGGTCGTTGCGACGACGGTGGTCAAAGTAGACAGCATACCCGATGCCAGCGACGCCGAGCACCGAGAGCGAGGTGAGAACGATCTGCGAGGTCTTCATTGTGTGTGTCCGTTCCGTCTGCGTCCGATGACAATGTGAGGAAAGGTCGTGTGTGAAGATGGCGGGAGTGACGAAGGTGTGACGAGGGGATTTCGACAGCTCCACTTTGACCAAGAAGCGGCAGAGCAACCGATGTTGCATGCGCACGAGAAGATCGAGAGCCCTTTTCAAGTGGAGCTGCTGCCATTCAAATTTCTTCTTGAATTTTGAAAATTGTGCAGCGAGCGAGCGGTGAGCAAGTTCAAGCTTGGACCCTGTCCTCGACCTCGACGAGACACACATCAGCTTGCAAGAGCTCACCGTCCTCCCCACCCACCACATCCTTGCACTCACAAGCCAACATGTCACGAACAAAGAAGAGCAAGCCAGGCGCACAACAGCGAGCAGCCAAAGCAGCGGCTGCTGCCACCGAGGCTTCAGCGCCTGCTGATGCAGCCGCTCCTGCTCCTGCTGCCGACGCCGCACCTGCCTCTGCCCCCGCCGAGTCCTCCACCACCGCCGAAGCAGCCTCGGGCAAGAAAGGCAAGCTCATCCGACCCCGTGGCAAGCGTGGTGGCATCAAGCATCACAAAAAAGGCCCATCCTCCAAATCCTCTTCCGTCCAGCAATCCGCCGTCAAAGAGTCTCGCAAGACCAAAGAGCCCAAACCTAAAACCGCTTCTCAAGACCAGATCGACTCGTCCGCCGCACCCATCCCGCCCGCCGAACACGCTTCGAAGATCGCCAAGTTCCACACGCTGCTGAAGCAGCTCGAGCAAGCCAAAACTTCGGAAGAAAAGGATGTCATCCAGGAAGGGCTTGATTCGCTGGGAGGTCTTGCACAGTATCAAGCGTGGTCCCTCACCGGATCGGCGAAGGCGGGTCAGACGCCGACGAGCAAATGGTGCATCGAAGCGTTGAACAGCGTCTACGAGCACAGTCGCGATCTGCCCAAGTTCCGCATTCTCGATGTGGGCGCCATCACAGGAACCGCATACACCAAGTACCGTTGGATCGACGCCACGTCCATCGACCTCCACCCCCAGGGAGAACACGTGGAGAAGTACAGCTTCTTCGACTACCCTTTGCCTACCAAAGAGGAGGACAGGTTCAACATGGTTGCCTTGAGTCTGGTTGTCAACTTCGTAGGAGACGTGAGGAAGAGGGGGGAGATGCTGAGACACGTCCACAAGTATCTGAAGGAGGACGCGGAAGGGTTCTGCTTCTTGGTCCTCCCCCTCAGCTGTCTGACCAACTCGAGGTACATGAACCAGTCCCACCTGCGCAGCATCCTCGACTCACTCGGATTCGAGGTGCTCAAACAGTCCGATTCGGCACGCCTCTCGAGGTGGCTGCTCAAGCGCAAGCCATTGGACGAAAGAAGGGCAGCAAAGAAGGACGAACACGCCACCGACGAGTGGGACGGAACCGTCTTCAAGAAACGGGATATCAACCCGGGGCAGGATCGCAACAACTTTGCTATCGTCGTCGACCCCGTCCCCGACTCCAAGACCGAGTGAAGCCAAGACTGTCATCACCGTCCTCACTTGTCCTTGGCGTTCATCCTCGTTCTCATGTACTTTTATCTCATCCACACTCAAACCACGCCTGATTCATGTCCAAATCCTGATTCTCTATTGCGCATGCTGGAAAGCTTAGGTGAGCGAGTACTTGGGTCCGCCTCCGCCCTCGGGCACGTCCCATCGAATGGACTGATCGGGGGTCTTGATGGAACACGTGTAGCAGTGGATGCAGTTCTGGCTGTTGATCACCAGCTTCTTGCCCAAAGCGTCTTCCTGAGCCGGGCTATCCGCTTCGACATACTCATACACGCCAGCGGGGCAGCATCGACCGAGGGGACCTTCGAAGGTGCCGACATTGCGCTCGACGTGGCCCTTGTAGTCGCCGTCCTTGACGACGAGGTGGACGGGTTGGTCTTCGGCGTGGTTGGTTCCAGTCCTCGAAACCGAGGTGAGGATGTCGAACGAGAGCTTTCCGTCCGGCTTGGGGTACTCGATGGGTTCGCACTGAGCAGCTGGTTTGGTCTGCGCGTGATCCTCACCAGGGTGGTGGAATGTCCACGGCACTCGGCCTTTGAGGATCATCGAGTCGAGTCCCGAATAGGCCAGTCCGCCCCAGAACCCGAGCGGGCCGTGGAACGACGGTCGCAAGTTTCGCACCTCGTACAGCTCCTTCATGACGTACGTGTCATCGAGTCTCTTTCGGTAGTCGACCAGGTCGATGCTCTCCTCCGATCCGGACTCGGTTCGCTTGGCCAGCGCCTCGACCACCGCTTCGGCAGCTACCATGCCGGACTTCATCGCATTGTGCGTACCCTTGATCTTGGGCACGTTCAAGAAGCCCGCAGCGCAACCGACCAGCGCTCCACCGGGGAAGTTGAGCTTCGGGATCGACTGATAGCCGCCCTCATTCAGCGTCCTAGCACCATACGCAAGGCACTCGCCTCCTTCAAGCAGATCCTTGAAGAATGGATGGTGCTTCATCCGCTGGAACTCGCGGAACGGGCTCAGGTACGGATTCTGATAATCCAACCCAACGACCAGACCCAACGAAACCATGTTGTCCTCCATATGGTACGTCCAGCTTCCACCGTAGGTCGCTGTGTCCAGCGGCCACCCCATCGTATGCGTCACCAACCCGGCCTGGTGCTTCTCCGGCTTGACGCGCCAGACCTCCTTGACACCCAGACCGTACGTCTGCGCATCGGCACCCACCGCATCGCGCAGCCCAAGCTGACGGATCATCTTCTGCGTCATACTCCCGTGCGCGCCTTCCGCAAACAGCGTGATAGGCGCATGGAACTCCATTCCCGCCTCGAACGAGTCCTTTGGCTTGCGCGACTTGTCCAGTCCAATTTCGTTGGTGATGACGCCCTTGATGCCGATGGGCTTTCCGCTGGCATCTGTGTCCCACAGAGGCTGTGCAGCCGCAAAACCGGGATAGATCTCGACACCGGCGGCCTCAGCCTGCTCGCCCAGCCACGCCACAACACGGGAGAGCGAAACAATGTAGTTGCCCTTGTTGCTCATCTGTGGCGGGTGGGGCATGGGGAACGAGCCGGTGGGCGTGAGGAAACGCATCTGGTCCTCCAACGCCTCCTGGTTGAGCGGCGCACCGAGCTCCTTCCAATCGGGCAGCAGTTCGTCGAGCGCATTGGTCTGGATGACAGCGCCGGAGAGAATGTGGTTGCCCACCTCGGGGCCCTTTTCGAGCACGACGACGCGAATCTCCTCACCCCGCTTCTCAGCGAGCTGCTTGATCTTGATGGCAGCCGAAAGACCGGCTGGGCCGCCACCGACGATGATGACGTCGACCTCGTCCGAGACGCGCTCGACGGTGGTGAGGTCGAACGGCTCGCCGTCGCCCTCCTCGATGGGCGTAGCTTGGCGGGCGGCGGAGGTGATGGAGAGGGCGCGAGCCAGAGACGAGCCAGCGACGGTGTTCGCACGGCTAGGAACGAAGCTGCGGGTAGCCAGGGTGGAGAGCGAGGCGGCCGAGGATCTGGAGGTGCTGGCGCGGAGCGATCGACCGGTCTGTGCGACGGCGCTGGTGCGCAGAGCGCCAGCCAGACGCGCCGGCGAGGCGTGTGTTGCGCGAGCAGCGAACATCGTGTTGATGGCGGATCTGTGAGGCAATGCGAAGAGCCAGCTGCGAGGTGGTGTCTCCAATCTCTTCGGGAGGCAGCAAGAGGAGTTAATCCAGTAGTTGCTACTGAGAAAAGGTCGGTGGCCACTCGAAGATTACTGCGAGACACGTGTTCCGACTGCAATGATGATGGTGAGAAGCTGAGTCGACGTGTTGGTGATGACAAATGAAGGACGACGAACCGGTGGTGACCAACAGAGCGAGCGTGTTGGGCGGCGGAGAACGGAATTGGCTAAAGTCTGCGGGGGAGGGCAAACAGGTTCGAGAGCGACCGGTCTTCAATCGCAGAGACCTTCCGGAAAGGGGAGGCGCTTTCAACAGCAAGAGAGACCCTTTGCTCGAGGTGCCAGCAGGCCAGTCTCTCGTCTGAGCAAATCCTCACTCTCTTGCGCGCTTGCCGCTGCTGCGGTTTTCAGAGCCAATCAGGGTCGACTCGTCGGTCAGCCGAGCCAGCTTGCCGATCTCACAACCGAGCTCGTAAATCGCTTGCCGATCTGACATGACGAAATTTTGATTTGCGCTCTGCAGGCTTTGGCGCTATTCAACGTTCAGGGTTTCCTGGCGAAGCTCGTCGTCGTCACCATCAGAGACCACACCATATCTCACAAAGTTGCATCGCGATCACACAAATCAAACAGAGAGGATAGAGCTGGATAGGCTGAACGCCATATTTTTCCATTACTGACAAAGAGAGGAGCAAGAGCTGGCTAGCAGCTTTGATCTATGGGTGAACAAGCTCGTGTACACGAATGGTCCCCCTTGGCGCTTTCGGGTGCCCTATCGTGAAAAGATGGGGCCCGCGTAAAGCGAAAGGGAGAAGACATCGGCGAGCTATGTATGTGTGTGTGTGGTAGAGAGAGTAGGTAAAGGTACAAGTACTGAAAGCCCATTATGCGCGGAACTGATAGAAACCAAAAAGGAAAGGGGGAAGGGCATAGGAGAGCGTCGATGATCGACATCGTGCCTACGACTATGCGTCTATGTCTATGAGAGAGGAAGGGTTGACGAGGCTAGGGAAGCATTTACATGCCCTGGCCGTCGATGAAGCCCCAGGTGATCGACTCGATGGCCTCGGGAGCGGCGTAGTTGTTCGCCAGGCGCTTGTAAGCCTCACCGAGAGCGATCTGGCCATCACCCTCGTAGAAGTTGACAACCTGGACCGAGAGCTCCTTGCCGTTCTGGTTGTTCTTGACCTGGACCCACTTGCCGCAAGCGCTCATGAGCTTGTCAGCGGGGAGGAGGGCAGAGGCCGAGATGGCGATGGGGAGCGAAGCGGCGTCCTGGACGAATCCACAGGCGTTGTTGACGTTGGCCCACCAGTCGGGGGTCGAGACGACGGTCTTGGCGTTGGTGGAGGCGGACGAGGGCTGGGGAGCGTACGAGGTGGTGACGGTGGGGGCGGCAGCGGCGGACCACGAAACCGACGAGGGGGTGGGGGTGTACGAGGGCTCGAAGGTCTTGGTGTAGGTGGCAGCGGGGGTGTAGGTCGAGGTGGGCTGCTCCTGCTGCTGCTTCTGCTGCTGCTGGTTGCTCTGCTGGGCAGACGAGCCAGAGCCGAAGGTCCAGCTGATGGGGAAGACACCAGCGTCCATGTTGCCGTTGTTCAGGGCAGAGAAGAGGCCGGTCGACATGTCGAGCGAGCCCCACGAGCAACCAGGGCAAAGGTCAGCAACCTGGGCGGTCTGGGTGTTGCCGTTCTGGTTGTTGGTGATGGTGACGGTCTGACCACAGTGGGATCCACCGGCCCACTCGGGAGCGTTCATGGCAACGATGAAGTCGGAGCCAGAGTTGGTCCAACCACAAGCACCGAGACCGGCAGCGTAGTAGGTGGCCTGGCCGCCGCTGCCACGCTTGGTGAGGGGAGCAGCGGAAGCGCCGGCGACGGCGAGAGCGATAGCGAGAACGTTGGAAGCGATCATTGTGAAGGTGTAAAGGGGGAGGTGTGGGTGATTAAGGAGGATAGACTGGGTTGGTGAGAGACTTGTTCAGAGGGGAGAAAAGGACCGGTCGGGATGGTGCCCGTTTATATGGATCCTAGAGGGGTGGGTAGGGTCGGCGGTGGTTTCTGCTGTAGATGGGTGCCGTCGAGGGTGAGAAGAAGTGCGATGTTCCTAGCATTTGCCGAGGCGAGAGGCGGCATGGGAGGCGAGGTGCTGCGGTCTCATGGCGAAGAGGCATGAGTTTGCGGCGAACAAAGGATGGCGAAAGAGGCGGATCGACAGTGTCGAGGGGCGAATAGAACGCCTGTCGATCCAAAGAAATGCCCGTGAAGACTGGTCATTTGGCCGAAGGTGGCAAACGAGCAGAGGTAGAGACTGAACCGACATGCTTTCGTCGGCAACCATGCACAGAAGAAGAAAGGGGCCCTTGACCGAGCTAGGGGCCGATGTCCAATTCAGGGGCCCTGCAGTGGGCAGAGGGAGCGAGCGGAGAGGAGAAGGCCGAAGGGAGCTTTGAAAGGCAAGACTGGGATCAAAATTTTTACAAGCTGGGCAAGGTGAACCCTGGAAAGAGACGACGACGAGAAAGAGGGGAGTGACAGGAAGGGGGGCACAATGGCGACGAGCAGCTGCTTGCGGCTGCTGAGGGGAGTGAAACCGAGATTTGGGACGGCGGACGTGTGACAGCTGCGCGGGGTGACGAGGAGAGAAGTTACAGCTTGCAGGCACCCTAAAATTTGTGTGACTGCAGCGTGGGTTGGGTCGGTCGGCGAGGACCGATGCAGTGGTGTCAGAGAGGGTGGGAGAGACCGCCAGCTCGCCGTTTGCGGCAGCAGGCACGAGGGACGATCTGCAGCTGGGAAGCCAGGATCGCGCCCAGCTGCCTTGAACCTTGTTTCTCAATTGCTGATCTGCAGCCGGCAGAAAATAGCTGCCAAGGCCGTTTGTCCCTGCGGCGGCGGCGGCTCAGCAGCAGCACTAGCAGGCAGCAGTCGAGGCAAGGTCAGTCGAGGCGATCCTCGGTAGCGACCAACAGAGAGCGGCGGCCAGCAGCTTTCAAAAAAGGGGCACACCTTTCAGAAGAAAAATGCCACGAGGGCAAGCGAGTGAAACCTGCTCGATAAAAAGAGGGGACAGCTGGCCAAAGTGGTGCTTCCCGGTCAAGTCTCACACAGACGCTAGCACGCAAGGCAAAGTGGAATTTTCTCATGAATTTGATCGAAATTCCTGAAATTTGCGACTTTTTTCGGTCTTCCGTTTGGGCCTGGCCGCGTTCCAGCTGAGCAGTGTGCCTGTGCCAAAGCGAGAGACCAACAATCAAAAATGCAAACTCGCTTCGAGTCGATAAAAGATCGCTGGCAGGGCAGCTGGGCTCGCGATCGAGGGCGGGAGTCGAAAGAAGATCGCCCCCTGCTGTTCGCTTAGCACGCGGACTGGCGATCCCTGCGAGGCTTCCTTTGGGTGGGAGAGTTGAAACGAGGCTCCTGTGAATGTGAATGCTTCCTTTCATGCTATGCGATCGATCGTGGATCTGGCAACTCCGAGAAATAGGAGTCGCATCGGCTTGCCCCTTCTGGGATGGATGGATGGATGGATGACACAAGAGCGCAGAACCCTGATGATCGTGAGATCGACGGACCTTGGTGAGCGAGATTTAGAGTGGGCAGATTCGACTTGACTGGACTGCGGCTGCTGAAAAGGTCAAAAGGAGGGTGCTGTCAAGAAGGCAGGACAGACACAGCAATGTCTCGGTTGAGCTTCGGCCGCTTTGCCTGGCACCCGCTTTCAATCCCACAGTCACGAGAGGTGGCACAGCTTTCAGCAAGACCTGCACACTCAAAGCCGGTCCGTGAAGCGGTTCTCATCTCGGACAGAGGCCAAGCCGAGCGCTGTCACCATGGCGGTAAAGTTTTCATTTGGACAGCTCGGCCGGCTGGGCGAAGCTGGATAGGGCCTGAATTCAGATGGGATTCGAGAAGCTCTGCTCTGTCAGATAACGGTTTCCAGGGACAGGGGACGGGTTAAGGGGAAATGGGGGATACAATAGCCGCCTTGCCAGGTTGACCGAATGGGAAGAGTTCGAAGGACACAAGCCGGGTTGCAGACGGCGATGTGAGAATCTGTGAGAGAGTCCGAGCTGCAGAGGGCCAAATCTTGGGTTGAACCGACGAAGACTGTACGCCGAGAGAAGCCGCTGTCTCGCAGCTTTGCTTGCTGCTCAAAGTTTCGTCTGTTCAAGCCTACGCAGGAGCGAGCTGCGTGACCGTTGCGAAAGATGCATCCCTCCTTGGTGGCTTGCAGCTTCGTTGGTGGTCACCGCCATCCCTGGCCGATTCGGTGTTTCCGTCGCGCCTGACAAGCTCCCATCAGCCCCTGAAGTTGACCCGACAGCTGCGTGATGGCCTCATCCTCCTGCAGATGGTCTCGCTCAGCCGTGCAACCCTGAAATAAGCTCTCGACCTTGGCATCGATTGAACGTCTACGCCTGCTCAGGGGTGGGTGCATGGCTGACAATGTTTCTTTCGAACCGCTACCGTGCTTAAGCGAGGAGGCTTCCGATCGATGCCGTGAACATGCTGTGCCTGCAGGTTCAGCCGTTTTTCACCTCGGAAGAACCACGAGCGAGCAATCTTTGAATTGTTCGGCCGGCAGGCTATTAGCAGCAGCCGAAGCGGCCGCGATGGCGCGAGATTAGATTGTTCCCACACTCGAGACGCCGGCGAACCCGAGCGTAAAGCACAGCATTCTTCGATCGAGGGCAGTGCTTTCGGCATTCTCCGTCGAGCTTACCCCGCAAGCTGAACTCCTATCTTGTCGTCACTATTACACAAGGTGGGTCTAGGGTTGCGTTGGCAAGTCCGATGGCATCTCACAAGGCCGATCGCATGCTCTTGCAATTTGAAAATGCTCTTGCGGCCATCAACGAGCACCTCTGTCGTCGCTCGGTCGATACGGTTGATCTTTACACATGATTCGTCCTGCTGTAACGTCAAATGTCGCCTTGATCGCTGTTCAGGCCGCAGCAAGTCGCTCGCACCTCGTTCAAGGTTTCGAGGGAAGCATTTCGTGGCTGCTGCTTCTGGCTTCATGCGGCGACTTCCAAAGTCGGGCGCGGTGCCAAAGCCGAGGATCATCTTTTCGGAGTTTCAACTTCTCCTTTCAAGCAAACAATGCGGCTGGCCGTGTGCCTTGCAGTCCAAAATCGGCAACAAAGTCCCACGAGGGAAGATCCGGCATCCAAGCGAGCAAGGATTTTCGAGGGACCATCGCTTAGCAGCACCTGCATGCCCTCCTTTTCCGCTGCCCCTTTCAGAGAGGGGGGAAGAGCTCGCTTGCCAAAACCCCGCCGGTGCAAACAGTGCACATCGCAGAGCCGCTTCCGTGATCTCGATACTCGCATCCGTAGAGTGCCTCGCTTGGAGCGCAGCCGTGATCCGCATCTCGCTCGTTGGGATCGAGCGCCCTTGTCGTCCTTTCAGGAGGTTGAGCTAGCGAGTTCACAGCCATCGACACAGTGGCTATGCGGATCACCTTCTCGCGTACAAGCTTGGCACGCGATGGGCTGCCCAGTCCTGTTCGTTGCGATCGACGATGTGCGATTGTGGTCCTGAGGGGGAAGACCGAAGACTCAGGAGCAGCTAGAGGATGTCAGATCAGCTCCAAGCTCTCGAACGGTGGCCTGCTTTCTTTCGGTCGGATCTTACACAGCACTGTTATGTGCGTCCCCGAGGTGGAACACACACTCAGAGCTTGCCAAGCCCTCGCCAGATTCTTCCTGAGACATTTGAGTAACAATCGCGTGTCTCTCCTTTGTCTGCTTCCCAACGCGTCCTCGGTGGACGTGTACAGTGGTATGCACACGGGCCAACCTCGTGCGAGCGGCGCACACTCGTCCGCGCTAAGTCGGTGTTTGATCTCTTTGATGTAGGATCCGCTCCAATGGCCCGCATGCATGAACAGAAGCTGAGGATGAAATTCCAGGGCATGGTCTGTTTGATCGGCGCCGAGCGAAAGGCCCTCATTCGGCCTGCCGGCTGTGGTCGGCCAGCCGGTCCGTTTTCGGCAAAGCGCCACGTTGAGACGAAAAACGAATTCGAGGGTGGCACCGCCCATGCTTGAATCGTGTGTCGCAACCGGCCTCTCGTCGGCCCGTCTCTCTCTGATCAGATATTGCGTCCCTTTCTTCTCACGATCTAATCTACTCGAGAGAAGCGTGTCTCACCCTGGCCGATACCCCGCCCGCATCCCAGCCCTGGGACCGCGATCTCGACTCCGCTCGTCCTCAGCAAAAGCAATTACCATCACGAGATCGATCAGAGCGCAGCGCGGAGTTGAATCCATGGCATGGTCTGCGCAGGATGAGCGTTTCTTGCAGTCGTTCTCCTTACCCATCAGCAGGAGAGCGCGATTAGAGCTCGAAGCCTCTATCGCACGATTGGTCTTCGTCTAGCTTAGACTTGCTTCGGTCGAACTTCACACCGGTTGAAGAGCGAGCGTAAGTGGCTGCACCATCGGCAGGAAATGCACGATCGCCTCGGTCGAGCTCGGCAAGGACGAGGGCCTGCGCTGTGGTCCCTTATTCACTCATCCTCGCTTGTCGTCTAGCGTTGATCGTACGTCCGGACGCCACCGCCACGAAGGTCATCCAAACACGTGCGGGCGGTTTTTGATTGGCATCGCACACCTCGGCACCGGCGCTCACCTTGAGCAAGAGCGGACTGTTCCCACGCTACGGACCAAAAGTTTTCAGGGTTCGAGTCGAGGGAGAAGATCAGGGGAAATAGTTCTTTGCGTGCTAACCGAGCAGGGTCGCGGCCTTCGATTTGCGAGGGTCCACTCTTCGCTTCGTACGCGATCGACCCGATCTGCACCTTTGCCCGCCGGTCGACCTCGGATCAGCGATCGCGTACCACCTGGATAGCGACACCACCATCAGCGTCCATTGCCGGACACCACCAACCGTCGCTGCACGCGCAGGATCTCCTTACACAGCTCGTCGTGGCTCCGTTTGAGCGTTTTAGCGTCCTCGAACTTGCGCGCCTTGGCTGCACTCTCGACGTAGTCGGCGACCAACTTCTCCTGCTCCAGCAGCACCTTGAGCTGTTCCTTGAGCTCGTCCGGCGTTGCATTTGCTAGATGATCGTCGGAGGGCTCGTCGTCGTTGAGCTGCTCGTCGAGGTCGGCTCGTGTGTTTGCACGTAGAGAGCCGGATGCGCTGCCGGTGCTGCCCCCGAAGAGCGACCGAAAACTGGCGACCGAGCTGACGGAGCCCTTGTTGGCGTGCTGTGTCGCTGTTCCTCGTCGTGGTGCCATTCGCGGCGATGCGGGTTGCGGCGAGCTCGGTGCGCTCCCCGTCGTATCCGAGCTCGCGTCGATGTTCTTCTTGCTCCCCGGCTTCGGCAGGCTTTGCAGTGGCAGCATGTTCTGCTGCAAGAACAGGTTGGCGCGCGTAAAGATGGCGTACTGAATCCGTTCCTGCGCTGCATCGCCCGCACTGTCCTTGTCTGCTACAGGCAACGCCCGTATACGTTTCGCAAGCTCGTCGTAGGTGGCAAAGTTGGCCAGCAGCTGCTTGCGTGCCGACACGGCGTCACGCTGGAGCTCGATGTTGGCACGGATGCTCGATCCGAGGGCGGCCGTCTGGTCGTGCTTTTGCAAGCCGAGCACCATCTCCTGGAACTCCGGGAGCGACTGCTCGATCTCCTTCTGCACGCGCATCAGCGCTTCGTACAGCTTCATAAAGACCGGCAGCGGCTCGTCGTCCATCATGTACTGGCGCTTGCGCACGATCGCCTTGCAGTCGAGACAGACGCGCACGCCCTTCGACTGCGCCGCGCTGGATCCGGACTTGGACGGTGCAGCGGCTCCTTCTTTGACCTCCTCGACGCGGCCGCTGATCGGGTCGGCGACAATGTTGCCGGAGCACTTTCCATCGAGCGCGGCGCGCTCTTCGGGTGTCAGCACCTTGCCTGTTCCTGGACCCATCTGCTCTGCCCAGGCGAGTCGTGTAAGATGAGGCGAAGCGCAGACAACGCGCCCACACAGTCGGCAGTGGTGCTTGCGGACGGTGAAGCTGAAGGGCGTGGAGCAGATCGGACATGCTTTCACCTCGTCGTCGTCCTGCCAGTTGACGATACTTTGCTCCGCCTGTCGGATGGCGGGATCCTCGCCGCGTCCTCGCGCTCTGAAAGAGGTCCACAGATCGCTCCCGCCTTTTCTGAGGACGCTGCTCGGGTCTCGTTTCAGCTCGTCAAGATCGAGATCGATGAAGGCAGATCCAAGGGACTTCTTTGGCGAGCCGACTGCAGACTTTTCTGCGTCGGTGATCGGAGCGAAATGGATGGCGATGAGCTTCGCAAGCCTTCGGTCCATTCGTTGCGCCTCCATCTCTCCTTCACTCCTGTTCTTGTTCCTCAATTCTGCGAAGTCGCCCGTCCTTACGCGCACGACTCCCTTGGGCTGGAAGCCGGATCGATACGCTGTCCGCCTTCCATCCGAAGCGGCTGCGACTACAGACTGACCGCTTGACGTGGGTGCACCGGCAGCTTGCGCTAAAGCGACGCCTTGTGGAACAGGAATCGGACCCAGCCTAGACTGAGCCGCGAGAAGTGCGGCGTACGAGTTGACGTGAGCGGGGATGGAGATGCCAGATGCGCCTATGATCGGTGTTGAAGAGCGACTATCGGGAGGACTGGCAACAGCAGAAGAAGCCTTGCTTGATCCTCGAAGGCTGGACGCTGCGCTCGTCGACACGGGTGTGCCACCATTGAACGCGTCGTGCGGCTTGGCTTGGTCTCGAGAAGAGATGTGGATAGGAGTCGAGCTCGTGCTACTTGGCTGTACCCTGCTCGAGGTCCGAGATGTCTCTGATAGCTTTTGCGGCGAGCGGGGTCGATCGGCTGCGCGTACTGTCGATGTCGATGCGGTGCTTTGACTACGGTCATGACGAGCTGCTGAAGAGCTGGGAGTTGATGGTGTTGAGCCATTGTGTGTCTGCGAGTGAGCTGACGAAGGAGCAGCCTGCTGACTCCGAACAGCTCCCGAGCTCGCTGGTGGAATGCTGCTGGAAGCGAGTTTCGAAGCCACTCGTAATGGGGGCGGGGGCGCATCCAGATCACGATTCGGTCGAACGAGGCCCAGTCCTCGAGCGGACGGTGAAGCGACGACGGCCGGCCGACTCAGTGCGGAAGGCGTGCGCGGGGAAGAAGCTTGTGCTCGAAGAGGCGTAGAGGAGGCGGGTATCGTACCCGAGGCAGCGCTGCCTCTTCTGCTGTCCGAAGTGCTGAGCGGATTCGGGCGATGTGCTGCCAGAGCGGACTCGACCGCGGCATGCGAGAACCTTGTCTCCGGCTCAGGGCTTTCGATCGGCGCGATCGAAGCACCGGATACATTCCTCGAATGAGATTTGCGCTGATATGGCACGTATGAAAGACGCTTGGACGAGGAGGATTGGGAGGGCGACCCTGCTGCATCTTCGACTGTCATCTTGGTCGAGCCTCGGTGGTCGTCAACAGCCCTGCTCAGTGTTTTAGAGGCTTGAGCTCGATCGAGCTTATTTGAGAGCTATGAAGTCATGGGTGGACGGTAAAATGCAGAACACGATAGTGTCAAGGTCGAGTCGTGGTCGAGTCGTGGTCGAGATAGGCTGGCTGCTGTATGGGCAGATAGGCTGGACGGATCCGTGAGCGGTCGATCAGAACAAGAAAGGTCTGCTTTGTCGAAACCAGGTGTAGAGGAGGACAACACGAGCTCAGCCTCGTGCTGAGTTGGGCTGCGGGTGATGGTCATGAATGAGCTGGGATGGCTGACAAGTCACACAAAGATTCGATGCTGCACGACCCGCACGAGGCCCATGTGGAGCGCGAGGCAGCTCAGCTCGGACCCTGTCTGATGCGATTTTTGCTGGCCGGCTGGCTGCCGATTTCCGATGCTTAACAAAGTCATCCTGTCACAGCTTCGTCCGACCTTATCTCAAGCTTTCTCACGCCACCAAGTCGAGATCGGATCCTCCGCCGGGCACGCTGTTGCACAGGAATGGGGACATGAACTGCTTGCGATTCGTGGTATGATGCGACGTGAAGGATGCAGACAAAGATACAGGACGCTAACAATGATTGTGCCAATGACAAGAGATCCCAGAGACCGGTGACAAGGGAGGGGGCGAGGAGAGGTGAATACCGAGTTTGAGAATAGTCAACGAAAGGACCAGAGAAGGGCTGAATAAAGGGAGGGAGTGTCCATGATGGAAGACGGCTTAGGTACGACGCAGGGCAACAATCTGCACTTCGAGCTCGCACTCGGCAATGGGGCAGGGCTCCTGATCGTCGATCCTGGACTGAAGCACGTCCCAGAGTGAGTCGAGCACAAACTCAACAGCACCTTTGCTGAGCTTGCCCTTCTCTCGCAGGATAGCGCGGAAGTGCGACTCGTACAGGTTCTTGAAGAGCTGAATCATGTGCTCGGCAAAAGCGACGCGCGAGAGTGTGCCCGCCTGCAGTGCTTTCCAGGCAGGATGAGGCAGGCGCAGCGGCTCAGCCTCACACTGCAGCGCAGGCGCGGCATCGGCCGAAACGGGCTCATCACCCAAGCCGCAGCTCCACTCGACCTTCCAGAGATGCTTGACCGACTTGAGCACGTTGCGAGTCTGGCGGGGAGTGCGGGCATGCATGGGCAGGCTGAGCAGGTGACGCGCGACATCGCTCTTGAGCATGCCGCACGAGACCAGACGCTGCAGGCACGGTGCGAGCGTGTTGGTAAGTGTCGACCAGATGTCGGACCTTGAACTGGTCTCGGCTGCAGCCCTTGGACCAGCGAATGAAGGACGATTGGGCGACGAGTTGGAGCGCCTTCGGTCTTTGCGCAGTTGCGGGATGCGTGGCGAGACGGCGTGCTCATCGAAGCGGTCGCCATCGGCATGCAGCTGGCTACCAGTCTCTACGGCAGGCGTCGGCGCAGCACAAGCTCCATCAGAGCCACTGATGCTGTGCAGGGTGGACTTGGGACGATCGGGCAACACGACGTTGCTGTCTTCGGATCGAGCAATGTAGGCCATCACGATGACCCCGCCTGTGCGGAACTCGTGCGCCCTAGCGGTGAGGAACGCAGCGAGTTCGGCGTGTGCCGATGTAGAAAGAGAGACGGTCGGGCTCCGCGGCGTGTGCGACCAGTGCAAGTCCATCAAGCTGATTCCCAAGTGCAGTGTGGACGGCGGAGCGATGCGCGATGCAAACGGCCGCGAGACAAAGCTGGGGAAGATGGCGTTTTGCAGGCGCGGCTCGTGGGCTGCCTGCCATTGCGGATGCAGGTACGATTCGGGATTGGAATCGAGCATCTGCGACAAGGGACGGAAATCGGCCTGAGGCGAATCTTCGTGAATGATGGAGAAGTTGACCTTGCAGGGATCGTCCGAAGAGGCATCGACGCCCAGAATAGATCGCAGCGAAGCGGCCCCCGCCTCGTCAAGACCGGGGAAGTGGTTGCTAGCCTCGTGGCCATTCTTGCCTGCCTCCCTCCTTGGCGTATCGGCGTGTGCTTTATGGACAAATTCTGAAATGATGGCCTGCATCAGGTTGACAGAGCGAGTGTTGAGACTGCCGTACTCGGCGATGGTGATGGTCTCGCCCTCGTCGCCCGAGAGCGGGATGCTCGCTACGAGGTGGGGCAGCACCTCGGAGACCTTGGCACGAACGCCAGGGCCAAAGTGACTACCGCCGCCCAAGCCGAGCAGAGCTGCTTGGGTGGGTCCATGGGCGCCGGCAGCAAGACCCTGACGAATAGACTTCCAACCCGCTGCGTCCACGTGGTGTCCAGCGTCCTGATAAGGGCTGGACGAGGTGGTGGCAGCGGCGAAGGGGTTGGCGGAGAGCGGGTGGTGCGCGTCGGGAGAGAGGATGCTCTTGTCGCCGACAGAAGGTGTCAGCATATGCGTGCTGCTTCGGCTTCCGAACGAGGTCTCGCGCTCCAGACTTGTGGTAGCCGAGAGAGGAGCTTCCATGTTGAAACTGGCGGGCAGCCCGTGGGTGAGGATCTTGGCCTCGTTGCGGAGAGCTATGTAGTTGTTCTGGTAGTACTGCTGCTTTTCAATCTCGGCGGCGGTGGCAGGGGGAGGCAAGGGAGAGAGGATGTGGTCGTGGGTCTCGGCGCGATGATGACGACCGAGACGCATTGGCTCCATAGGATGCTTGGACTGACGTGCACCTGTGGTGCGCCTTCGGTGGAGATCTCCCTCGAGCCCGTCCGCTTCCAGATTGGGACTGCGTCGACCGCTGCCGTTGCGGTACGGCAGAGAGTCAGCTGCTGATGTGGGCAGGATCGTGTCAAAATCGAGCCCAGAAGCAGCTGTAGGCGATGCTTGGGCGTCAAAGTCGTCTTGCTGCTGCAGCTCGCTGTTGGTCTGGTGCAGCCGCGAGTAGCGAGGCGCGGTGAGACCGGCAAGCGCTGCTGCTTGCGCGCCCGGGTTGTGCGTCAAGAGGGCTGAAGAGGCGAAACCGGCACCGAGGCCCATCTCGAGACCAGCCGCGACGACGCTGCTGATTTCGAGGGGCGAGGTGCCTACTGGCCCGACAGAGGCGAGCGCTGGTGGAGTGATTCCCTCGACCATACCGATCTGATAGAGGGAAGATTTGGAGAGTGTGGGTACTATGGGCTCGAGACCGGCTGCTGCTGACGACGAGTGGTTGTGAAGGGTGTCTGTTGGATGCAGGCTGTGGCGTCGGGAGCGGAGTGGATGGGAGTGGTCTTGCAAATTGGCAAACGTCTGTGTGGATGCTGAAGGCGTGAGGTCGTGGTCGAGGTCGTTCGGCGACATATCTACCGGCGTCGAGGAAGAAGCACCGCCGAGAGATTCCAAGGGGCACAATGTGTCTAGGAAGATAGCAATGGGGTCGCACCAACGATCGTCCAAGATGTCCTTGGGACTTTAGCGAGGGGAAGTTGCGATGTCGGTGTTGCCCGGAGCGATGTCGGCCGATGGCACCTTGTAAAGCAGATAGGCAGAAGCGCCGACAAGTGGGAGCTTGTTGCAAAAAGTCTGTAACAGACTATATTCACAGCTGCGAACCAAGGCGGCGGACAGTCTAGGGAGACGCCGGAGGGTATGAAGTGGGCCGTGTTGGTTCAGGGGGAGAGGATGAAGCGCGGCTTGGCGACGCTTCAACAGTGGATGACAGTGGGCACGGGACGTGGAGCGTCGCAGGACAATCCAGGCTGGCGGGTTATCGAGGTTGTTGCAGCGAGATGGTGCCGACGTGAAGCACGGTCGTGCGATGCAAAGCACAAAAGGAAAAGCGCGGGGCAGAGGGTGGGTGGAAGGGTGGGCGATTAGGCGGGCGTGCAGAGAGGGATGAGCCGTGATGAAATGGGGCGCACAGCCGGTAAAGTGAAATGCCGTAGCTGTACGAAGCTGTCAGACCCGAATGATGCCGGAAGGAAGGAATGCGGTGCGCTGATCGAGAGATTGATCAGACGAGACCGTCGAGATGGTTGAAGACGATTCTTCGTGCAGAGACAGAGTAAGAGGATGATGTTGGTGGTGTAGAGGACGAAAGGATGAGAGCGCGTCCAAGGTAACGGTGAATGGACAAGGAACGAGCGACGAGGAGGAGGAGGGGGAGGACAGGTGACAGCTTTACTTCGCCAAAAAAGGCTGCTTCGGATCTCGTTGCCTAACCCACACTTTTGACACGCGGATCGGTCAGAAGGGCAAGAAGGGCAGAGAGGCTCTCTGGCTGGCTGGATGGCGGGCTGGGCGGTCGGTCTCGCTTGGTACGGTAGCGGGGCAAGCGCCTCGCAACCGGCCAAAAGAAAAGGAGTCGCTGACTCGCTCCCCTGCCCTGAAATTCCATCGTTTTCAGGGTTGGATTTTTGACTCAGGCTGCAGTGCTGCAGCTGCGCAGCCATGCATGAATCAGCCGAAATTCCGAGTTTTATTTGTTTTTTGATTAATAACAGACGGGCCGGACCATGTACGACGCAGCCCCCTCAAAGCTATCCGACGCCGTGGCGGAGCCAACCGAGATCCGGGCGGAACGAGGCTTGTGTAACCCAACACCGTGGCTGACCTGTCCCAGTCGCCGCGGGTACATGCCAGTTATGGAAGGCGGCTTGCATGCAGCGAAGCTTCGAGATGGTGGCTTTGCTGACATTGACCTACACCTTGATGATCTTGCACGTCTCAACGGCGAGCTTGTACGACCCTCACGTTCAACAAGCTTGGCGGCGGAACCTGTTGCGTTTGCGCTTCGTGCTCAGAGTTGGCAACGGGTGCGTATCTCGCCATTGTTCTGCAAGTATGAGCTCAACCTTCAAGCGCCTTGAGCACGTTGCTGTCAATGCGACCTCGATACCGTGACTGCGCCTTGGCAACACAATGGTACGAACCAGCTCGTTTCTCGACCACCGCCATCGCCGTGACGCTAGGGGCATTCATGCGTAGCATTGTCCAACATGCTCCAGCCAGATCGACGTGGACGCATGTGCGCCGAAACAGCGCCCGAACAACGGTGCAGAAGCGACACGCGATCCACGCGACAAAGCTTTCCACCTGAATCTTCGATGGGCGTGGCCAAAATAAAGGATCTCGGTCGCTCTTTTTTTGTTTTTATTTTTAAAGTTCCGACGTCAACACCACCACGTCGTGCAACACTGTTGTTGGTCGCGAGTATACTCTGTGCGCTTGCCAGTCTGATGCTTGGCGCCCTTATATGGGCCGGTCTCGATGGTGATGGCAAGTCAGAATGCTCAAGTGGGTGCCGCAGACGATGGTCTCGCTGTGTCCTTGTCAAGTGAAAGTGCTATGCTCTTCCTCGTCAATCAAGCTTGAGCTTATCTGGTGAAAAAAGAGACAAGAAAAGCAAGGCGTAACTTACCGTAACGGAACTGGGCCAGGAAAGGCGGACTCCGGCGTGGAAACAAGGCAAGACCATCACGTTGTCGGACCACCGATTCTGGCGACCAAAAACCCGGTCGGATACAGTCTGAGAAACATCCACTCCTCTCGATGGGGCACGGCAAGCGATTCCATGCCGGTCGCGGTTCCACGCCCGCAAGCGAGCGGTCATGCGACCACCACGACCTTGTTCGCTCATATGTTTGGTGCTGCATCCTCGAGCAAGGCCAAGCGGGCCAATAAGGCCACGGGTTCCATCATCTCTTCAGTGATGTGCGATCTTTTGAAGTAGCTTTCGCCTCGATGCTCTGCTGATGCTTGCCCGACAACAGAAGATGGGGGTGAAAGGCTCAGTTGACCGCCGCGGACCACCGTCTCGCTTGGTCGCCGTTTTGGAGGCATGAATACGTTCTTGTTTCATCTGACGAGGACGGGGAGAAAATACACTAGAAAAAGGAGGTCGCAAAATGCTCTCATCTCCATGGACTCAGCAAAAAAGCACGGACTGTTGGAAGCTGAGATGGTGGATGTTAGACCTTCGGTGCTGTTTGTGCTAGCTTTTCTCCGTCTCACTTCGGAAGTCGGGCTTGGTTGCTCGAGCACACGGCGAAAAAAAATTCGAACCCTGACATGGAGAGAAGAAGAGTTGCTCGGCCTGCTCATACGTTGGCTCCATTCAGCTATCCCTCAGCAACGCCGTCCTTTCGACACCATACCCATCAGCCACCACCCGAGCTCGTCCTGCAGGTTTCGAGTCAACGATACGAAAGCAGACCCCAGTCGAAGCGAGGTGATCGGCACCCGTCAGGATCGGACAGCCTCGAGCGGCCCGTTGCAATTAGCCACAATGAGGAAGCAGCTCGATCCGCGTATCCCCACCCTCATCCGCAACAATGTCGCCCTAAACCATCGCTCCTTCTTCGTCATTGTCGGCGACAAGGGAAAAGATCAGGTCGTCAACCTTCACTTCCTCCTTTCGCAATCTCGTGTCCAGTCAAGACCCAACGTCCTCTGGTGCTACAAGAAGGACCTCGGCTTCACAACACACCGCAAGAAGCGCGAGCAGAAGATCAAGAATGACATCAAGCGCGGTGTCCGAGAGAAGGGGCAGGGCGATCCCTTCGAGCTTTTCGTTTCTCTTACCGACATTCGCTACTGCTACTACAAGGACACCCCCAAGATCCTTGGTCAGACCTACGGCATGCTCATCCTCCAAGACTTTGAAGCCGTCACGCCCAACATGCTTGCGCGAACCATCGAGACCGTAGAAGGCGGCGGTACCGTCATCCTTCTGCTCAAAACCATGTCCAGCTTGCGGCAGCTCTACTCACTCGGCATGGACGTCCACCGCAACTACAGGTCCAATGCTTCGGATGACGACCCGATAGCTCGCTTCAACGAGCGCTTCCTTCTCTCTCTCGGCGCCAATCAAGACACCCTCTTGCTCGACGACGAGCTCAATGTGCTTCCGCTTAGCAAGGGCAAAGACATCAAGCCATTGCCAGAGACCAGCACAGGTGCCGGCACCGGCGTCGGCTCGACCGTCCGCAAGGGCAAGGAGCGTGTAGAGGCCGAAGAAGAGCTCTCCGAGCTCAAGGATCAGGTCCGAGAAACAAAGGTGGTCGGAGAAGTCGTCAAGCACGCCAAGACCCTCGATCAAGCCAAAGCGGTCCTCACGATCCTCGACATCCTGGCCAGCTCATCTCTCTCCACCACCGTCGCACTCACCGCAGCAAGAGGTCGCGGAAAGTCGGCTGCGCTCGGTCTTTGCATCGCCGCTGCGGTCGCACACGGATACAGCAACATTTTTGTCACATCTCCAAGCCCAGAAAATCTCAAGACGCTCTTTGAGTTTGTCTTCAAGGGTCTCGATGCGCTAGGATACGAGGAGGTAGCAGACTGGGATCTGCAGAGGGGCACTGGAGAGTGGAAGGACGTCGTTGTGCGAGTCAACATCTTCCGTGGCCACCGTCAAACGATTCAGTACATTCAGCCACAAGATCATCAAGTGCTGGGCCAAGCCGAGCTGGTCGTCATCGACGAGGCCGCCGCCATCCCACTTCCACTCGTGCGCAACCTCATGGGCCCGTATCTCGTTTTCTTGTCGTCCACCATCAACGGCTACGAGGGCACTGGACGCAGTCTCTCGCTCAAGCTCATTCAGCAGCTTCGTGACAACGCGAGAGGGATCGTGGATGCGTCAGGTACCGAGGACTCAGCAGCAACAACCAGCAAGTCTTCTCGAAAAGAAGGCAAGAGCGGTCTCAACACGGGTCGCGCAGCAGGTGCAGCTCTGGCCGCTCGTTCGCTGAAAGAAGTCGAGCTCAAGGAGCCAATCCGATACTCGCGAGGCGACAAGATCGAGTCGTGGCTTCATCAACTCCTCTGCCTCGATGCTTCGCTCACTCGTCTTTCGTCTGCAGCCCTCAAGGCAAAAGGCTGCCCTCATCCGTCCTCTTGCGATCTCTATATGGTCAACCGCGACGCGCTCTTCAGCTACCACCCCGCTTCGGAAGTCTTCCTTCAGCGCATGATGGCCCTGTATGTCGCAAGCCACTACAAGAACTCGCCCAACGATCTGCAGCTCATGAGCGACGCGCCTGGACACCGACTTTTCGTTCTGCTAGCACCGCTTAAAGGCAGCGAAGGCGGTCTGCCTGAGCCCCTCTGTGTCGTACAAGTTGCCTTGGAAGGCAACATCAGCCGCGGTGCCGTGCTCAACAGTCTCAGCCGTGGCACACGCGAGGCTGGGGATCTCATTCCATGGCTTGTCGCTCAGCAGTTCCAAGACGCCGACTTTGCTTCGCTCTCTGGTGCGCGTGTGGTGCGCATCGCTGTGCACCCGGACTACGCACGCATGGGCTACGGAGCACGCGCTTTGGAGGCACTTGAAGCATTCTACAGCGGACAGCTACTCGATGTCGACAATGTCCGAGATGACCTGGACGACGGCGAGACTTTTGCCGCCGTCCGAGACAAGAAGATCTCCAAGGATACCAACTTGCTGCAGGGCGACGAGATCCGCGTCCGAGATGCGGCACGCATGCCTGCTTTGCTGCAGAGACTCTCAGAGCGTCGCCCAGAGCAGCTCGACTGGCTCGGTGTATCCTACGGCCTCACCCCTCAGCTTTTCAAGTTCTGGAAGAAGTCAGGCTACACACCGCTATGGGTGCGACAGATCGCCAACGACCTCACCGGCGAGTACACGACGGTCCAACTCAAGGCACTTGACACGTCCACTTCGACGACGGGCTCCGCCTGGCTGGGCTCATTGGCAGCCGACTTCCGAAAACGTTTCATCTCGCTGCTCTCGTACAAGTTCCGCGAATTCTCCACCATCACCGCGCTCACGGTGCTAGAGGCCGCAACACAAGGTGCCCGACTCGCCGACGCTGACGATGACGTATCGCCCGCTTCGTCTACATCATCGCCTTTGGTCGCCACAGAGCTTCGAACGCTGCTGACGCCGTTCGACATGAAGCGTCTCGATTCGTACTCGAGCAACATGGTGGAGATGTCGGTCGTGCTTGATCTGCTCCCTACGCTGGCTGCTCTGTACTTCAACAACAGGCTCCGTGCCGTGCGCGAAGACGAAGCCGCTGCATCTGCGATCGACGCACACGGGGAGGAGGAAGAGCTGCGTCTGTCCGGCTTGCAGTCCTCTCTCCTTCTCGCTATCGGCTTGCAGAGGAAGACGCCCGACGAGATCAGTGCAGAGCTCCGTCTACCGCTGCAGCAGGCCATGGCGCTGTTCGTTAAGACGGTGCGACTGCTGGTCAAGAGCCTGCGCAAGGTCGAAAAGAAGGCGATTGCCCAGTCGATGCCCGAGCTCGGGTCTGGCCTCGACGCACGTGCTCCACTCAGGAAGAAGGCCAACGGGACTGCGGACGGAGGCAACGATTGGAACGCGTTGGAGGGAGACCTTCAGTCTGAGCTGCGCGATGCTGGTCGCGAGTTCTTGGCCTCCAACAAGCAAGGCGAGGCACATGGTGAGCTAGACGAGGATGACAGCGACATGGAGGACGACGATGATGACGACGACGATCAAGAGGATGACGACGAGGAAGATGAGAATGACGACGACGACGAAGAGCTGCTCGCAGCCAAGCAGAAGCTTATTGATTCGATGGACCTTTCCAAGTATGCCATCAAGGACCACGGTGCAGAAGGCGCTAATTGGAGCCGAGCGGAAGCCGAAGTCGCCGGGATGCTTCGCAAGAACGGCGGCAAGGATCTCTCCGGCTTCAACACCACCATCTCGGTCAAGGGTACAAAGCGAGCCAACGACGAGCAGGCGGCCGAATCCAGCAAGAAAGGCTCGTCGGACAAGAAGGGCGGAAAGGGCTCCAGGTCTAAGAAACAGAGGCGTTGAGGTAGGGCTCTAGCTCGACCTCGAGCAGCAAAATGAAATGAAAATGGATTTTCTCCAGAGAAGAGTGTCGTCTGCGCAGGGACTGGGCAAGGGAATTGATCTGGCCCGTAGTTTTTCAAGGAAATAAATCGACCAAAATCGCGTCTTTTTCCTTTTTCAGAGATTAGCCTCTGTGGCCCGTCTCTGGTCCATGTGCTGTTCGCGCCATCCATCCATCCATCCAGCCTCCTGACACCACCATCTGTTCACGACTTCTTCATTCTTTCATCATCAGAACGGCATCGCGCTTGTCGGCGACATTGTTCAGGGATCCAGACCCAGCCAACTTTTTCGTTTTCTCGACATCTCACGGTGGGATTTCGGGTTTCGGACCAACTCCACGCGTTCAACTTGACGCGCTTACGGCTACAGTCGCCTGCGACGTCGAAGCCCGTCGACATGCCGTATCGAATCGAATACTCGGCCAACAACCGAGCTGCTTGCAAGGGCGCAAAGCCATGCAAGGGCACCAAGATCAAGAAGGGTGAAATGCGTCTGGGCACTCTGGTCGAGATTCAGGGCAACCAGAGCTTCGCGTACCGACACTATGGCTGCATCACGAGCCAGGTGATCCGAAACATCAAGGAGAAGGATGGCATCACCGACCCCGTCGACCTCGTGAGTGTCCACCGACGCGTCGATTGAGCATATTATGGAACACGGCTGACCTTTTGGCACCTTCCTCTTTTCTACTTGCAGGATGGCTTCGAAGAACTCATTCCCGCCGACCAGGCCAAACTCAGACGCGCCTTTGCCGAGGGACACGTCGCCGAAGAAGACATTCCTGACTCTGCACGCGTCAAGGACGACCCGGAAAGCGTCGAGGATGCCGACCAGAAAGAGGCCGCAGAGGCCGTGCTGCCGCCATCCTCCGCATCTGCCGAGTCCCCCACCAAGAAGAAGAGAGGGTGAGTTGCGTCGACGTGTCATTGCTGATAAAAGAAGGAAGAGAATCATACTGATCGCGACGCGAATACCGTACTCTGTTCCCACAGTCGCCCATCGAAAGCATCCCTCGAGGCCGCTGCCACCACTGCTGCGCCATCGACCAGCTCCCAGCCCGCGCCCGCATCAAGTGCACCAAACGGCGTGAGCGCAGCTCCTGCTTCCCAACCCGCACAAGAAAAGAAGAAGCGCGGTCGTCCTCGCAAAGAAGCGGCTGAACCAGCTTCAGACGCAGCGCCCGCCCCCACTCCAGTCGCCCTCACTTCTACTCCTGCCGCTGCGCCAGCCTCGCCAAAGAAGCGTGGTCGCCCTCCGAAGAACGCAGAAACAGCAGCAGCAGCAGCTCCTGCTCCCGCTCCCGCGGCTCCAGCCGCTGCTCAGCCTGCCGCGGATGCGGGTCCACAGCCAAAGAAACGAGGACGTCCCCCGAAAGCCCAGACGGCTGCTGCTGCGGCGAGTCAGCCTGTCCAGCCAGTCGCACCCGCACCTGCTGCCGCTAGTCCGGCTTCGCCCAAGAAGCGAGGACGACCGCCCAAATCGGCCACTGCTGCTGCAGCAGCGGCTCCTGTCGCGCCTGCTTCTGCTCCAGCGCCGGTGGCTGCGGCCCCGGCTGCTGCTGATGGAGGTCCTCCTGCCAAGAAGAGAGGTCGTCCGTCGAAAGCCTCTCTGGTTGCTGCAGCCGAAGCCGCGCCCGCAACGTCTCAAATTGCGCAGCTCCCTTCGAGCCAGAACGGCTACCAGCACAATCTGCCTCTGGCTTCGTCTCAGCCTTCCGCGACTGCCCAGGCCGAAGCTCCTCCTAGCCCGAAGAAACGTGGTCGGCCCAAGAAGGACGCATCTGCCGCACAAGCCACCCAAAGCGCTGCAGCTCCCAACCAGCCAGCGCAGCCTGCCACGGCAGCACCATCGACACCTACTGCGCCGGGAGCTGCACCAGCCAAAAAGCGGGGTCGCCCGAAGAAAGACGCCAATACTGCCGACGATGCCAGCCTGAGCCGAGTGGTGACTCCTCCGCTGCCAAGCACGCCTCTGCCTTTGCCGCCTGCGACGCAAGCTGCGCCTGCTCAGCCCGGCTCGGGCAAGAAGCGGGGGCGTCCTCCCAAGGAAAAGGTCGAGGGCACCGAGCCTGCCAAGCGTCCGCGTGGACGACCGAAGAAGACGGACGTGGCTGCTGCTGCCCCTCCCGCTGCTGCACCCGCTGCGCCCGTCGCACAGGCAGCTCCCGCCGCCCCTTCGCCGGCCAAGAAGCCGCGCGGCAGGCCGAAGAAGAACCCTTGAAGCTGGCTCAGCTGCTCTGCTCTGCCGGCTGCGTCCTAATCGACCGCCGAAACTATGATATCCCCCTCAAGTGTCTCTCTTAGTGAAAGGCGATTCATCCGAGATGGCCCGCCCCATTCTGAATCTTGTTCTGTATGATCACATTTTATGCCTGTACCACCAAATTGTAGTTATGTTCCCACGATCTGTCGGCGTGTGTGTCGAGCATTGATCTGTGACATCTCGTCCAAGGGGCGGTTGATCGTGGGAAAAAAGAGCGAGAGCTAAGCGTGGGAACGGAGATGTGAGGTCTGTCGAGCTTGTCGGCAGAAGTGAGCAAGGACTTGTCCAAGTCTGGAGAGATGCAGGATGCACGACCGGAAAGGGAGAGAGAGAGCGACTAATTGACGCCCTCGAGAGACGGAGGCCTTGAGCTGCATGTACGTGCGACGGACCGACGCAGCTCCGAGCTCTAGATCTGACCGAGGGCAGTCATGGCCGCTGTACGATGGGATGACGGCGAAGCTTAACCCAGTCTGCAATGAGTCTAGGCGCAGAACTTGACAAGCGGAAGGGAGTGGTTCGGTAAAAGCAGGAAGACCCTCAGATCATGCAGCGCTGGGTCCTCGTCCTGCTGGACGTCGTCAGCAGCCCCCACGGTCTGCATGGGCGGCTGTCGAGTTCCGGTCTGCCGACGTCACGAGCCGAGCGAAGAATCGCTGCTTCTTGCGAATGCCACGCTCCATCAATGATTCACCTTTTTCTCAACTCAAATCCCACTGCAACGCACATACATCTTCTGTAAAGTCACATCGTCACGCAACGCAGCTGATTGGGCGACTTTCGGCTTTGGGCGAATCCTCGCTGAAAGCTGCAATGCTGTTCCGCCGATCTGCCGCATGCCTCTGCAATCAAGAGACTGCAAATGTCGGTCCACGATGCCGGGGTCTGTGTGGTGGCGAAGATCAAAAGGCGCAAGGGGGGCTCTGCCTCTGAATTTTGGCAAATTCAGGCAAAAGCTGGAAGGTGTGTGCGTACGTGGCTGGCTCGTTCGCAGCGGACCAGCCAAAAGTGTTGGTTTTCGGCTCGCTTGACGCGCGAAAGGGATTCGATTCGCGACTCAGCCTTTTGGGATCAGGCAGGCCTGTGCTTCTCTCGCTCAAGCTTCTCGTCTTCTCGATGTGACAAGTCAAGCTGAGAAGTGATGCTTGTCACTCTGGATGAAATCACATGAAGTGCAGGAAGACGAGCTGGCGGAAGCGGTTCCGGTGACGAGCGGAGCGGCCAAAGTAACTTAACTCAGCCTTCTGAAGCTTCTTTGAGAAGAAGAACCAAAGGACCCTGCCAGAATCTTACGTGTGCAGCCCAGCCAGGCAGGCAGGCAGACAGACAGCTGAGCAAAAGTCACCAAAATCGTCACGCTGCGTGGCGTGTCACTTTGCAGATCGCTCGCTTCTGCTCTGCTCAGCGTGTCTGGTGCCACACCACGGATTCCCACCAGAGAGCTTGTCACCTCCTCAACCTGAACAGAGTTGCTCCCTCTCACTACTCTCTTCCGTCCTCCTTCTCATCATCGCCGCTCGCCACTTGCAGCTGTCGCACAACCTTCGGTCTCTCCTCGGGTTCCGTCTTGGCACGGAGCTGGATCATTCGCTCCTTGCTCACCTTCGTTTCAATCACACTCTCGTTACGCTCCTCCGCCGCTCCTGGTCCACCTCCTTCGTCTCGCAACGCACTCTCTGGACTTCATCGCCAACCTTGATCGCCGTCGACGTGTATCAGATTCGGCTCCACGCACAGACAGGCGTCTTTCCCTTCCTGCTCACTCGAGGCTACCACCAGTTCCTCTGTCATCGAGGAACTTCTTCGCTCGTCCCTGCTTCGCTCTCGGTCGGCCTTATCCTTGCAGCTCCCTCAAGCGCGCATCTCATCCCTGCCACCATCGCCTATATAAATGCAGTAGATCTTTGCAAGCTTCTTCTCGTCCTCTCAGCGCCTCTCACTCTCGCTCCTCATCACACATCTTGCAACTCCTCTCTCTCTGCTCCCAGCTTAGCACCATTCGCACCTTCGATCCCCCCCTCCTTTACACCTCGGTCTTCCTCTCATCACACGTCCGTCTGGTCCCAGTAAGTAGACACATGCTCGCCGCAACGTCTGAACACCTATCGTGAGCTCAGTCACTGACCTTACCCACTTATTTCTCTCCACCCTGCATCAATTCACAGGCCTTAGATCACCTCGCAAGCGTGTCACGCACTCCCTTCACCCGCAGCAATGGACCGTTCAGACGGTAATCGCGACCTCAACGCGGTCACCAACCGCTTGGCCGCACAGACTGATCAGCTTCAGGGTCACTTGCAACAGCAGCTCAATCTCAACGCCAACGCCCAAGGCCGCAACATGTTCGCCTCGAGACCCGCCGGTCTTGCAAGTCTCGGCGAAGACGCCGAAGCAGCCCCCGAGTCCCTCAACTCGTCGCAGTCCCAGTCTGCCTTCAATCGCCAAGGCGGTCCTCGTTTCGCAGGAAACGCCGCTTTCCAAAGCGCCGTCGCACGTCACTCCAACCAGCCCAACAATGGCAACTACTCTGCCTCTTCGGCCGACTTCCGCGCCAACCTCGCTCATCAGCGTCAGCTCAGTCTCCAGAGCCGATTCGCCGATCTCGGTTACAACGTGTCGTCTGGACTTGGTCCCACCCCCAGCGAAGCAGACGACATGACCGATGATGGCGCCAGCTCGGTCGGGTACGGCGCCTCTGCCTTCGATCCCACTCGAGCTCAGCGGGGTCACGTCTCCGACTTTAGCTTCAGTTCGTCTGGCACCGGCGCTCATCGACGCACTGGTAGCGACATGAGCGGCATGCTGCCAAGCAGGGGCGGCAATCCGTCTGCGGCAAGCGGCGCGGCCAACGCAAACCCGAACTCGCTTTCTGCTCAGAGCCAGATGCTCGCAGAGCAGCAGGTCGCTCTGCAGCAGCAGATCGAGATGCTCCAGCTTCAGCAACAGCAACTCATGCAGTCGGCCAACAACCCGGCGGCAGGTGCCGGCAACACCTTCAACGGCAGCAACCACAGCTTCGGCGGTCATCGCCGCATCCAGAGCCACGCCCCTCGCTCAGGTCCTATGGGCAGCTTCTCTACCGGCAACACCTTCAACAGCGGTCTCAACAGCTTCGTTCCCGCCCAGGCCGCTACTCAGAACTCGAACCTTCCTCAAGGCCACGGCCGCCGACACTCGGTCAACGTCCTCAATAAAGCCAACCAGCAACAGCAACAGCAGCAGCAACAATCCCAACAGCGTAGCTCTCCTAATGCCGAAGCTATGCAGTCCAGCGGCCCAGCCATGCAGGCCAACCCCAACTTTTCTTTCCCTAGCACGGCTAGCGCCCAGCGCACCGCCCAAGCTGCTTATCAGCCTACTCACCTCACCTCCGGTCACTTCAGCCGCCCCTCGGCTCAGCTCACCGATCTCTCGTCCGATTATCTCATGGCAGGAGGTGGTCTTGTCAGCCTCAATGGCTTCGGCATGGGCGGCTCCATGAACGATCTCGCTGATGGCTTCGGCGGCGCCGGAGCAGGTGGTCCTCGCGGCAGCCACGCTCGCGGCAGTAGTACGCAGTGGCGCATGAACAGCGTTCAGCAGCCCCAGCTTGTCGATCTCGCTCAAGCCCAGGCTCACCTCGCCATGCTTCACCAGTTCCGTGAGTCAGCTGCCGTCACGGGTCACTACCGCGCACCTTCAGTCGGCGGCGCCTTCAATCCCATGGCTGGCGGCTTTGGTGGCAACCAGTTCGGCGGCATCGGCGGTCCTGCTAACGGGCCTGGCGCCACGCAGCGCAAGGCTCTCTTTGGCAACTACCTGCCTCAGGGCACCTTGCCGACGCTGCTTGCTCACGGTAAGATCGTCGTCGGCGTGCTGCGAATCAACAAGCGCAACAGAAGCGACGCCTACGTCACCACCGAGGTGCTCGATGGCGACATATTCATCAGCGGATCCAAGGACCGCAACCGCGCCCTCGAAGGCGATCTCGTCGCCGTCGAGCTTCTCGACCCTCTCGAGGTCTGGAGCATCAAGAAGGAGAAGGAAGACAAGAAGAAGCGCAAGGAAGAGCAGAATGGTCAGATCTCGCGCAAGCCTGACAAGGCCAAGGACGACCTCGAGGTCGAAGGCGCTCAGCTCCGACTCATCGAGGACGAAGAGGAGAACGAGGAGAGCCCTCCTCAGCTGGCTGGCCACGTCGTCGCCATCGTCGAACGCTCGCCTGGCCAGCTGTTCTCCGGCACATTGGGTCTGCTTCGACCCTCGTCGGCTGCTACCAAAGAGAAGCAGCAGGCTGAGCGGGCCCAGCGCGAAGGCCCCGGCGCTCTCGCTCCTGAGATCAAGCCTCGTCCCAAGATCATCTGGTTCCGACCCACGGACAAGCGCGTACCGCTCATCGCCATCCCTGCCGACCAAGCGCCCGAGGACTTCTGGGCCGACGAGGGCCAGGAAAGCTTCAACAGTCGTCTCTTTGTGGCTTGCATCAAGCGCTGGCCGATCACCTCTCTGCACCCCTTCGGTGCCCTCGTCGAAGAGATCGGTGTCATTGGAAATGTCGAAGCAGAGACGCAGGCTCTGCTCAAGGACACGCTCAGCTCCGCCACCGAGGCTTTCTCCGAGGGCGCGCTCAAGTGCCTTCCTCCCACTCCCTGGAAGATTCCCGAGAAGGAGTACGAGACGCGCAAGGACTACCGCTCCCACCGCGTCTTCACCATCGACCCCGAGACCGCCAGGGACCTCGACGACGCTCTGCATGTCGTGCGTCTCGACGACGGCAACTTCGAGGTGGGTGTTCACATCGCCGACGTCTCGCACTTTGTCAAGCTCGGCTCCAGCCTCGACCGCGAAGCTCGCAAGCGTGGTACTTCGGTCTACCTGGTGCAGCGTGCCATTCCCATGCTTCCCCCCACGCTCAGCGAAGAGCTCTGCTCGCTCGTTCCTGGTGTCGAGAGGCTCACCTTTTCGGCTGTGTTCACCATGAACAAGGACGCTCAGGTGATCAAGAGCTGGTTCGGCAAGTCGATCATCGACTCGTGCGCCAAGCTCGCCTACGCTGATGCCCAAAAGGTGATCGAGGGTGGAGAGCTGCCCAAGGACAAGATCAAGGCGCACCAGCCCAAGGACATCGCCGACGACATCCTGATCCTGCACGAGCTGGCCCAGAAGATGCGCGCTCGCCGCTTCGACGCGGGCGCCCTTCGTATCGACAATGTCAAGCTCAGCTTCAAGCTCGACGAGAACGGACTGCCCACCGACGCAACTATCTACTCTTCCTACGACGCTCACCGGCTGATCGAAGAGTTCATGCTTCAGGCCAACATGGCTGTCGCTCAACAGATCGCCTTTGGTCTGCCCGAGTTGGCGCTCCTTCGTCGACACGAGAAGCCTCTCGACCGACGTCTTGAGGGCTTCCTGCGCCGAGCGAAGTCGATGGGCTACGACATCGATGTTTCGTCGGGCGGAGCTCTCCACCGCAGCCTGAAGGCGATCGAGGACGAGTCGGCTCGTCAGGCGTTGCAAGCTCTGGTCACCAACTCGATGATGAAGGCCAAGTACTTCTGCACAGGTATGGTCGACATTGCCAAGTACCACCACTACGCGCTCAACGTGCCCCTCTACACGCACTTTACATCTCCCATTCGCCGCTATGCCGATCTGATGGTGCACCGCCAGCTGGAAGCCGTGCTTGCCGAGCAGGACAAGTTCCCCGTCGACCGTGAGGCCATGGCCAAGATCGCCCAGCAGTGCAACGTCAAGAAGGACGCGGCCAAGCTGGCCCAAGAGCAGAGCGCCCATCTCTTCCTCTGTTTGCTCGTCCACGATCTCACCATGCGCTACGGTCCTGTCGTTCGCACTGCCACCGTCATGGGCGTGCTTGATGCTGCGTTCGACGTGATCGTCCCCGACTTTGGCATCGAGAAGCGCGTCCACGTCGACCAGATGCCCATCGAGAACCACACGTACGACGAGGACCGCAACGCGCTGTCCATCTACTGGAAGGACAACGTTGACGTTATCGCCTGGCTCGCCGAGACTTCGGACGACGTCCACGTCAAGAAGCTGCAGGAGGTGGCTCAGCAGCACCAGATGATGGAGATGACGTCGCAGTCGCAGACGGACGAAGCGGCGCTCTTTGCTGACGAGGACGACGACGAGCACTCGACCTCGGCCATTATCCGCCAGCACAACGTCGAAGCTGCTCGCGAATCGCAACAGCGCAACAAGAGTCTGAACAAGACGGCGCTCCAGTTCGACGGTGTTCAGGAGAACGCCGCGGGCGGACACAAGATCCAGACGATCAGGGAGCTCATGCATGTGCCTGTGATCGTTACGAGTGACATGACTAAGTCGCCGCCCGTGCTCAAGGTCTTTTCCGTCAACCCTTTTGCTAGCACCTCGAACCACTAGATTAGAAGCCCGGCCAAGGAGGATGGTATGTGACCCGTAGGGATCCGACTTGCCGCGATCGCCCAGTCACATCCAACCCCAGCCGCACAACTGTATAAACCGCCCCTCCGAACGAACGCAGACATCCCTAGCATCTTCATCACATACATTCCCCTCCCCTCTATCATCATCAATCCGTCCGCATCACTCAAAAGTCCTTATGTTTTCTGCATCTCATGGTCTCATGTTCATACAATGTCAATGTTTTGAATCCCCTCAGGGCGAGATCAGTGCGTTGGTGCGCGTTCCCATTGCGCAGTGTGATCACGGGGATGGCAAGGCCTTGACACATGAATCTAGCGGGTCTCGTCTCAACCGTCCTAACCTTGGAGACTCCAGGCTTGAAGACAGCCAACACGCACATGGATCACACTTGAGCAGATAGGGAAGCAAGGGAGTTTAGGGGAAGTGTGAGACTAAAGGCAGAGCCGGTACAAATAGGCGCGTGATTCATACGACCCCTTGTCACCACCGCTCAATGCCATCACCGAAACACTTAGTACTCGAGGTCCTCCTCACCAACATCGACCGAGTCGAGACCGACCTCCTCGTAGTCCTTCTCGAGGGCAGCGAGGTCCTCGCGGGCCTCGGAGAACTCGCCCTCCTCCATGCCCTCGCCGACGTACCAGTGGACGAAGGCGCGCTTGGAGTAGAGCAGGTCGAACTTGTTGTCCAAACGACCCCAGGCGCCGGCGATCGCGGTGGTGTTGGCCAACATGCAGAGCGAACGGGAGACCTTGGCGAGGTCGCCACCGGGCACGGTGGTGGGCGGCTCGTTGCAGATACCGATCTTGAAGCCGGTGGGGCACCAGTCGACAAACTGGATGGTGCGCTTGGTCTTGATGGTAGCAACGGCAGAGTTGACGTCCTTGGGCACAACGTCACCACGGTACAGAAGACAGCAGGCCATGAACTTGCCATCGCGAGGATCAGCCTTGACCATCTGGTTGCCCTTCTCGAACGAGGAGAAGGTCATCTCGGCGACCGAGTTCTGCTCGTGACCAGCCTTGGCGGCGGAGAGGATGGGCGCGTAGGTGGCGAGAGGGAAGTGGATACGAGGGAAGGGGACCAGGTTGACCTGGAACTCGTTGAGGTCGACGTTGAGCGAGCCGTCGAAGCGGAGCGAGGCGGTGATGGACGAGACCACCTGAGCGATGAGCCTGTTCAGGTTGGTGAAGCCGGGCGAGGCGATGCCGAGCTTGGTGCGGCAAATGTCGTAGATGGCCTCGTTGTCGACCATGAACGAGCAGTCCGAGTTCTCGAGCGTGGTGTGGGTGGTGAGCACCGAGTTGTAGGGCTCGACGACCGACGAGCTCATCTTGGGCGAAGGGTAGACCGAGAATTCGAGCTTGGCCTTCTTACCAAAGTCCTGAGCGAGACGCTCGAGGAGGAGCGAACCGAAACCGGAACCGGTACCACCGCCGAACGAGTGGAAGACGAAGAAGCCCTGGAGACCCGAGCAGGCGTCGGCGAGCTTGCGCACGCGGTCGAGCGTCTGGTCGATCAGCTCCTTGCCGACCGTGTAGTGACCACGCGCGTAGTTGTTGGCCGCGTCCTCCTTGCCCGTGACGAGCGTCTCTGGGTGGAAAAGCGAACGGAAGGTACCGGTGCGCACCTCGTCGACCACGTTGGGCTCCAAGTCGACGTAGATGGAGCGAGGCACGTACTTGCCGCTGCCAGTCTCGCTGAAGAAGGTGGAGAAGCCATCGTCGTTCTCAGAAGGGCTGCCCTCGAGGATGCGGCCATCGGGGCTGAGACCGTGCTCGGCGAGGTAGAGCTCCCAGCAGGCGTTACCGATCTGGATACCGGCCTGACCGACGTGAAGGGAAAGAACCTCACGCATGGTGGTTGATGTTGATTAGGTGGTGTTGGAGTAGGTTTCGAGGAAAAGGCGGAGGTGCGCTCAGAAGTAAAGTAGAGCGAGTGATTCTTGATGGTGGTGAGCAGAAGGAGAATAGGCGCGACGATAGAGACTTGAGGGGCAGGTGTGCGCTCTCGGTGGGTGGTGTTGAGCTGCTACTCAGTGTGATTTTGGCTCGTCCAGCGCAGCGTGCGCACACATTGAAAATCGAATTTTGCACTGGCCAAGTGCCCGGACGATACGAGCTCTTTTGCAACACGCTTGGTGTGTGACTTTAGAAAAGTGTTGTTTGGCGGCGATTGGCTCGGGCCTGTTGTATCTCTGTGTGATTTCAGAGCATTGAGGGCGCGACTGGATCTGGACGCGAACAATCTCGCACGGGATTTTCAGGTGTTAGGTTGAACTTAGACGCGTCACGTGCCTCGCCAGAAGTCTCTTCGAGGCTATACACCATGCTAATCATTGCGGCCTGTGGCATTCGCTCCTGCACCAGTCGACACTCATCTATCAGGAGCATGCCTCTTCAGGAGATTTGTGCTGGGTTGTGTGGGTTGATTGCACCCAATCGGTGTCAATTGAGAGGCGGGCCGAGGCACAGACCCAAGAAATTGCGGCAGCAAACCGCGGACTCGAAACGGGAGTGCGGGCTCACCAGCAGCGGATCAACTCAGATAGTAGGCTCAAAAACACCTCTTCTGAAGCCATGTCACCTGAGCGATTATCGGCGCATGACTGCTCTCGACAAGCTCGACCCTATCGTCGCTCGTTCCTTCGGCAACAGACTGAGCGGCTTTGTATCTCGAGTTGAGATGATCGACGCATGGCGAACAAAGTGGTTCGTGCGAATGGCTCTCCACGGCTAAAATTGCCGATTCGGTTGGTGAACAGCCTTGGATTTCCAATCAGGTCCAAACTGGAGAGATCCGTGAGCAGCGCAATTTCTCAACGAGGCTCCTCTCAGCTCAGTGCCTTGCTGCGTGTTGCAAGCCTAGAATTTTTCTGTACCACGATTTAGCCTCTCCTCCTCTCGACATCATCACTTCTTATCCCTGCAATTACGCAACACGTCTCAACGCATCGACTGCATACAGACTTGCAGCACTCGGTCTCCAGATAAGCTCCTGGCGGGATTCAGCGTGGACAGTCTCGGAAGGAGGTACAGACTGTCGGCGACAAAGACTGCTGTCACGGAAACCTCGCCATGAGCTCAGCCGCAGCTTCGTCGTCGCGAACGCAGGACTCGGGCCGGTCAAGCTCTACCTCAATACAGACCAGCGAGACGGAGCCACCAGAAGCTTTGACCCCTTCGCGACCATCTCCATCAGCCAATAATTCATCATCCACCCCGGCAAGTTCGAGCGGTTCTCAACCACAAACTGCGGACTCGCCTTCTCGTCTCAGCTCTTCGTTCTGGTCTTCATGGATCTCGCCCTCCTCGTCGTCCGCTATTGCCGCCTCTTCTGCCATGGAGAAGCGAAAACCGCGACGTCCCTCCTTCGAGGAGTTCCGTGCCGAAGAGCCACCCCAAGCTCGTCTTATCCGTCTTCGCGGCCTCTTCGACACGTTGCTGGATGAAGACGACGAACAGGCTCTGGCGGGAGGAAGAGCCAGGGAAGAATGGATGAAGTCGGCTCGGCGTGCTCGATACGGTGCCGGTGGAAGTCTGGCTCGTGGCAGTCTGGCACCTTCCGACATTCGCAACTCTACCGTCGGCTTCGAAGCCTGTCCTTTCTCAAAGGAGACTTCGAGCTCGTCGTCGGCCGACAGCACACCCGAATCAAGCTCGGCATCCTCATCGTCCTCACCTTCCTCCACAACGCCAACAGCATCGTCCTCGGCATCTTCATCGGTCAAAGAATCGCAACTCCCAGCACCACCACCGCCTCCACGCCAATCCTACGCCAATGAGCTCCTCAATCAGTGCCGCAAATGCCGAGAAGAAATCGAAGCACAGCGCGCACGACTTGCTGAAGAGCACGCGAAACATGCTGCGGAGCCTGGTGTCTCCTCCTCATGGGGCTTGCCGTCTTGGCTCGGAGGTGAGAAGACACCCGATACCGAGACCGACGCAGCTGAATCTTCCAAGAGCACTCTCAAAGCGGTGACGGACAAGATCCTGCCCAAGTCATTAACAAAGTCTTCGGATGACGAAGAACAGACAGCATCGACCTCGAATTCGTACATCCACTCCGTCGGATCTCTTTTCGGATACGGCAAATCATCCACCGCAGATGCCAAAGTCCTCGGCTACGGACACAACCCACCAGATATGGAACATGAGGCTGGATGGACAGGAAGCGGCGTCTGGGGTCTGTCAGCTGTCGGACACAAAAGGCGCGCCGCCGACCGCGACCGCGACGAGAAAGTTCGCAAAGGTCACAAGGTCGACGACGATGGTGGCGCCCGCCAACGACAAATCGAATGGGAGGGATTCCTTGCCTACGCCGAGAACAAGGAACGGGAACTCTACAAGATCTTTGTAGAGATGGACAAGAACTGCGACATGCGGCTCGACGTACAAGAGATCCGCACCGCGCTCGATCGCGCCGGCCTCGACGTGCCTCAAATTTCGCTCGACGACTTCGTTGCCAGTCTCACCAGCACGCGCAAGTCGGCCCATGCCAGCGGCGAGAAGACGTACGTCACCTTCCCCGAGTTCCGCGACTATCTTCTGCTGCTACCGCGCAAACCGTCGGTGCCGGAAATCTTCCGCTTCTACCAGGTGCGTAAAGCGTTTGGACTCTTCGGCATGGGAGGCATCTTTGCAGAGCTGGCCGTTGGCTGGGGCAAGACGGAGCGCGGTGCTACTGCTGTCAACTTTGATGGTGATGTCAGTCTCGCTGGAGAGGAAAAGAAGAGGGAATCGCCGGCGGTCAAGGAGGCGAAACGCGCAGAAAAGCTCGGGAAGCGCCAGGAAGCTGCAGCCGCCGCGGCGTCAAAGGCTGTCGAAGATTCGACCGACTCGAAGGAAGGGTCTTCGTCCCTACTGTCACCGGGCTCGGGCGATGTCGGCGAAGCCAAGCAAAAGGCCGCTCAGGATGCCGCAGCTGCGGCCAAGACCCAACACGACCAAAACGTCGACGAGGAAGAAGAGGAAGAGGACAACGACATGATTCACGGCGCTGTCGCACTCAAGTTCCTCATGGCCGGCGGTATTGCTGGAGCAGTCTCGCGTACTGCCACTGCACCCTTTGACCGTCTCAAGATCTACCTCATCACGACGTCTCGCTCGCCGGATGTCGCCGATGCTGTCAAGGGTGCAGTTTCTGGCGGCAAGGGAGGGGCCAAACAAGCTGCAGCCAAGGCGGCTGGTCAAGGTCTCGGCATCCTCCGCGAAGCGCTCACCAACCTTTATCGCGACGGCGGCGGTCTCCGCGCCTTCTGGGTCGGCAACGGTCTCAACTGTCTCAAGATCTTCCCTGAGTCCGCCATCAAATTCCTGTCCTACGAAACATCCAAACGAGCCTTCGCAAAGTACGTCGACCACGTCTCAGATTCACGCGACATCTCGGGCACATCGCGCTTCCTCTCCGGTGGTATCGGAGGTATCACTTCCCAACTGGCCATCTATCCGGTGGAGACGCTCAAGACGCGCCTCATGTCGAGCCAGAACGCCAAGACGTCGCTGCAGGGCAACGCACTGCTCAAGAAGACGGCCCGGGACATGTGGGCCGCCGGCGGATTGAGGACGTACTACCGCGGTCTGACGGCTGGTTTGATCGGCGTGTTCCCGTATAGCGCCATCGATATGAGCACGTTCGAAGGGATCAAGCTGTTCTGGATCAAGTACACGGGCAAGGAAGAGCCGGGTGTGTTGGCGTTGCTCTCTTTCGGCTCGGTGAGTGGCTCGGTCGGAGCAACCACCGTCTACCCGCTCAACCTGATCAGGACCAGGTTGCAGGCTGCAGGAACACCTGCCCATCCAACCACTTATGATGGATTTTGGGACGCAGCAAGGAAGACGTACGTCAGGGAAGGCTTCGTCGGGTTCTATAGAGGATTGGTCCCCACGCTGGCCAAAGTCGTGCCTGCCGTTAGCATCAGCTATGTCGTGTACGAGCAGAGCAAGAAGCGGTTGGGAGTTCAGTAGGATACCATAGACATACGCTCCAATAGACATTCCACACACTCGTTCCTTCCACACACGGCATGCTGCTCGGTCATTTGACGCGTACGAAACCCGTCGCATCGTGAGATTCCGTGATGACTCCAAGTTCGTGCTGTTCCTTGCGCGTTTCCCTTGTCTGCGATCCGATATGCTCTATTTGCTACTCCAACCCCATACTCTTCCGCGCATCATCCAGTCTGGGCTTGACCCACACACTGCCGGACATCTCGATCGCTGCATCCACCGCTGTCCTGCCCTTGTCCAGCATATCCGCCCTCTCTTGCTCGAACCACTCTGCTAGCGCCACACCCTCGACTTCTGCCTCGGCAACGGAACGCTGGTGGGTCGACTCGACGACGCATCTCGAGAGCACCCACGTGAGCAGTTCCGGTGCCGACCGCGCGAATCGATACAGCAGGCGCGTTGGCGAGGGCAGATTCATCCCGTCTGCTGTTTTGGGCGAGGCGCGACCGGAGGACGGCGCGGTAGAGCTATCGGGCGTGACGAACGCGGCTGCATCGCTGCACGAGCTGTCGTCGGTCGAACTGCACTCGCTCGCAGCGGTAGACATCGGGGATGGTTTCGACGTCTCATCCTCCTCGCCCAAGTTGTCGTTGAGGATGGGCTCCAGATCGACGGCGTACGCAAAGATGTCGTATGCCGTGCGATCGCTCTTACTGACCGACTGGGGAGCGAAGTAATCATCTGCCGGCACGTGTGCGTCCCTTTTCCGCACAACCAACCTCGCCATCTTCTCCAGGAACGACCTCTGCCCCTTGCCCAGCAGGCTTTCGCGAATGAGCACGTCCTCTACACCGTCTCTCAACGCGAAAGCGCGGATGAGGTTGCATCCCAGCGCCCAAAGATCGCCCGACGGACCCATGCGTCTCCCCATAGGCCCCGGGCACGCTTCGGGCGGAACCCAGTCGTAGCTCACCAGCTGCACCTGCCCATCCCCTCCCGGAATCCCTCGGTACGGATTGGCATTCTCGTAATCGATCACCACCAGCTCCCCGCGCTCGTCAAACATGAGGTTCTCGAGCTTGATATCGCCATGCATCCAACCCGACGCGTGGAACCTCGCCAACGTCCGAATGGCCTGATTGAACACATTCAGAATCACCCCTGTCAATTCGGCCTCCTCGCACCCCGCGATCACAAAAAACGCCTCCTCCGGATAGTCCTCTTCCAACCTCACATATCGCCCATCTTCGGTCTTGAGGATCTTGGACACAATCCCGGCGCGGGCGGGATTGAGCGTCTGCGCCTTCTGCACTTCATCCAGGATATCGTCGAGGTAGGTCTCTTCGAGCTCCTTGGCGAGTTCCCGAGTTACGCGACCCGCAGAAGGGTCTGCAGCACGTAACTTGGCTTCGATCGACTTGATCTCCATGGCGGCGTAGAAGGCGCCGTTGCTGTCCATGGCCCATCTGCGCAGCTTGGCCGCCGACGAGACGCGGTTATCGGGAGTGGTGATGAGGTAGATCTGACTGCTGTCGTCCACCGCCGAATCCGATGGTGCGTCGGGGCCGCCGTTGAAGGTCGGACTGGGTGACCGACGTCGAGGGTCCCCACCGGAACTGTTCGAGCGTCGACGCGCAGTCTTGACGAACACAGCATCGTCGTCCGTTCCGTCGTAGCTGCTGCTCGAACCTCGTCGACCCCACGGCTTGGTGACGGGATGCTCCGAATTCGAAAGATCGGCATCCTCGAACGAGCTCGTGCGTGGATCAGTCTCAGCGCTGAAGAGGCGCACGCTGAGACCGTCGGTGACCGCACCTTCGCGGTAGGGGCCCGTCTTGTCGTACAAGGTGCCCTCGACGTTTTGCGGTAGAAGACGCTTGGCGAGTCTGAGCGGAGGTGCGCGCGGTGATCCGACTCGGACTAGCGGCGAGCGTGGTGAGGGTATTCGATCGGGTGGCAACAGGAATTGCAGGTCTTGGGCACTCAGAGGGCCTTTGCCTTCGAGAGCAGCATCCGACAGCGAGGCCTGCAGACCAACGGCGTCGTCGAGCGCTTCTTCGCCTTCGTCAATCACTGGGCTCGGTTCAGTGGACGCAGCCGCGGCGGCGGCAGCTTCCTCCAGATTGGACCGGAGTCGACGCAGAGAAGGACGGGCGGCATCGTCAAGATCGAGCCTGCCATGCGGGCCTGGCTTGTTGGGTCTCGGACTGTCTTGTGTCTTTGTCTTTGTCTTGCTTGTATGCGACTTGGAGGGCTTCTTATCCTTCTTTTTGGAGATGCGATCGTCGGTGGCATGCTTGACCTTCTTTTGCTTCTTCTTCTGAGCTTCGATTGCTGTGTCGGTGCTCTCTGAACCGGGCGCAGGCACATCGACGCTGCTGGCCTTGCCGCTGGAAGCATTGATCTGGGCGAGTGGTCGGAGAAATGGTAACGAGTCCGAAGCCGCTGATGACCTGCGTCTTGGCGTGTGGATGCCGATGACCGTCTCGTGTCGCAAGAAAGCAGCTTCGGGACCGTTGCTGGAGAAACGTCTGGGTCTGGAACCTGGATTTGACGGGTCAAAGGGGGTCATAGGAGGCGTAGCAGCCTCCGAAGGTCGACGACTCCGAGACCCGCCGCTGTGCCTGGATCGACTGGAGCGGAACGAGGTGCCGCTGTCGCTGTTGTCATCTTCAGACCCTGACGAGTAGGATGAGATGGCTCCTCGACTGCCATGGCGGCTTCGAGTGCTGATGGCACTTGCGACGCGCTCCCAGCTAAAAAGGCCGGAGAAGCGCTCGCGATCGTAGCTCCTCCATCGTTCGTGATCCTTGCCAAGAAAAAAGGTGGCGGCCTTGGGAGCGTTAAAGCCGGGCCGACCCGAAGGACGGATGACGATGGGTGCTCTGACGGCCAGGCCTGTTGGTGTGAAGCTGGAAGAGGATGGATCGCCAGGAGTTTCGAGCTCCTTGGGTGGATAATGGGTCTGAAGCACTCGCGCTCGCCGACGCGACGGCGCATGATCCACGGCCGATGAATGTGGCGTGACGGCGGTGGAGCCCTCGACGTGCTCCATGCTACCGCCTGGTGCCGATCTATCGGCGGATGGGACGGCCATGGCTCAGCTGCGAGGAGAAGGGCTGGTCGGGGGCACTGCGAGGTGATATGCAAGGTATATGCGCCGCTCTGCACGAAGCCGAGTTGGCAGCTGGAATAGGCTAGATGCCGGGTGGACCGAGGGAACGATTTGGGACCATTCGAGATGACTGATAGGTCGCGTTTGCGAACGAAGAGAATGATGGTTGTCCGTGTCAAGGAAGAGTGGCTGATGATGATAAGTGGCAGTGGGGCGTGGAGGTGGGTTGTGTGTCCAATTGCCAAAAATGTCAAATCCAGACTCCGCTAGATAAGACGTCAAGGTGCGGCGGTGCTTCCGGCAAGGCCATGCGATGGTCTGGTGGCGTGGCGAGATGTGAGAAGCGCAAGGTGGAGAAGAGAGGATGCTGGATGAGGATGGTGGGAGGACGTCGAGAGGAAGAATCGTGGCTGTTGGAGCGGAATCGATGGCTTCGATACGGTGACGAGCTGACTGGCTGAGTGAGCGGTGCGGCCGTTGACGAAATGTCGGACCGTTGCTGGATGGCAATAATCGGTTGTGCAAAGCACAGCCTAATTCGCGGAAGGGCAGCTCTAAAAAAGTGGGAGCTGGGCTCGGCTCGGCAAGCAAACAGGCAGGTGGGCGGGCCGGGCTGGGCTCTGCAGCTGGAAAAAGCAACAGAGCTTTTGCTGTGACGTGAGCTGCAGCTTGGCGTCTTCCCTCTCCGCGTTGCTTCTATCCAGCTACCTGGTCGAGCTGCGAGGCATCCCCACTGTTGCACCCATCTTATGCTGACAGACTGTCTCCTGCTCTATATAAGGCAAGGTCAACCGCGAGCATTCGGATGCTGCCCTAATGACACGCCACGAAGATCTCGGATTTTCCCACGAGTGGGCTTCAAGCCACAAAGATCCGATCGCGTGCCGTTGATCGTGGTGAGTGTGCGTGCATACGTGACAACCGCGCCTACATCCGAACAGGCGGCACGATCTCAGGCGGCTCGCTTCCGATGTCTTGTGACTCGGTGTAAGCGGCTACTGATGATGACACGGGAGGTCGGAAGGCGCCGATCTGAGCCACTGCGGATCTACATCGGGCTAGGATCTTCCTTCGGTCTTCATGCTGTGTCAGTGCTGTCGAGCCAGGAAGCCCGCGGTAAGTTAGGCATCGAAAGGCGAGCGGCTCCTTCTGCCTGCGTGCATGACCGAGCAGAGAAGCGGAACAAGACCCTTCTCCGCGTCTTCCTGCTGGCTGTGGTCTTGACGGTTTAGGCGGCAGGGCTGGCTCAAGGCAGCTGGCTGGCCAACCCTGAAGGACCGTAGATACTGTATTCGCATAAGGAAGTCGAACATTCCGACTCTGAGAGCCAGTACAAATGCATTCTCCATTTTGTATTCTCGCTCGCGTTCTTTCGAATACAAAAATCCCCGGAGCGCGGCTAAGTGAGCGAGCGGACCCAAAACAAACGGCTTTTTCTCGAGCTTGCATGAGAGAAGGGTGTTGGTCTTTTTCCAGTTGGCCGGCCAACACATCATAACATCGGTCTTCTCTCTCTCTGTCTCTCTGTGTTGTTCTTGGTCCATCTCCGCTTGCCACCGTTCTCAGACCTCGCTACTGTCGCATCAATCCCTTTTGCTTCAGCTCCACCAGCAAAACCTTCTACGACGCCACGTAGCTCAACAGGACGCCCCGGCTTCATCGTTGTAGACAGCTCATCGTCGATTACCTCGCGTCGTCACCTCACACGCAGGCTCGAACCATCATGTCCACCCTCTCCGCTGGCGTCATTGGCGTCCGCCAATCGGGCTCAACCAGCGAAAGCCCAGTCTACGATACACCCTTCGGCACTGTCCAACTTGCGACCTCTAGCAAGGACGGATCTGGCAACTTTGACCTCGCCGCCGGCTTCACTGCCCCCGCCGACTACCAAGACGAGGAAGACGACGAGGAGGGCGACGACGACGATGGAGACTCCGAGGACGGCAAAAAGAAGAAGGGCAAACGCGGGCGATCCGAGGCAAAGGGAGAGCGCGACATGAAGACCGGTCGCCGCAAGATCAAGATCGAATTCATCGAAGATGACGCTCGCAGGCACATCACCTTCAGCAAGCGAAAGGCCGGTATCATGAAGAAGGCGTTCGAGCTTGCCACGCTCACTGGAACACAAGTGTTGTTGCTGGTCGTGTCTCAGACCGGCCTCGTCTACACCTTCACAACACCCAAATTGCAAGCGCTGGTCACCCAGGCAGAAGGACGAAACCTCATCCAGGCATGTCTCAACGCGCCGGATCCCAGTGGCGGCGGCGAGAGCGGACAGGAGGACCAGTCGGGTGAAGAGGGCAGCGATGGAGATGACGGCCTTTCGCCCTCCGAGTCCCAGGCCAGCTCCAACAAGCGAGCCAACCAGAACCGAAAGCGACCTCGCACCGCATCCACCAGCAAGGCCTCGAGCGCCTCTGGCGGGGCTGCTGCTGCTGCCGCGGCTGCCGGCGAAGAAGAAGGGGCCTCTGGTTCGCAGCTCGCCACAGCCAAGCGCGGTCGTGGTCGTCCTCGCAAGAACACCGCCAGTGCTGCACAAGGCCCAGTGTCGGCTGCCGATGCGTCGCATCCCATGCCTCCCCCACCTGCTCTGCACCACAGCTTCAGCGAGGATGCCATCCACCAGCATCAACAGCACCAGCACCAGCAGCAGCAGCCTCAGTACACGCACGTTCCATCCGCAGACTTCCCCAACTATGCGGCAGGAGGCTTCTACGGCGATGCATCAGCTGCTGCAGGCAACCACGATCTCGGCTTTGCCCAACCAGCCGGTCTCGCAGTGGACGCCAGTCAAGCGGCTTGGTCTCAGAACATGTCGCCCAACACCACCCAGGGCATGTTTGGTGACGCGCACCACCACCACCAGCAGCAGCTTCACCCAGGGCAACAGCAAGCACAGCAACAACAGCAGCAGCAAGCACCGCAGTTCAACTACGCAGCTCAGCACTTTGGTCACTTCAACCCGCAACAGCTGGCATTGCAACCGCAGGAGATCCAAGCACCTCGACCTGCATGGTGATCTTTCTCGACCTGGGATTTGATCCCTATATACCCATCAGGATTGTCTTCCTCTCTGTCTCTCTCTATCTCTCACATTCTTTTATCGCACTTGCTTCGGAATCGCACTTCATCTCATCTCCTTCACAAATTCCGTTGCTATTGAGCCAGGATGATGTCTATTGCGCGATGTCAGCCATCCTTGTTTACGGATGCTCGCTTTACCCAACGAAAGCGCCTTCATCGAGTTCCACGCCAAACTCATCCCTCGCCATCTGACGCATGCTCTGCTCCAAATCGTCCTCGAACCCACCCTTGTTGGGATCGCTCTTGCCCATCAAGGCCGACACTGGTGCTCGGAAGAAGTACCTGAACCAATGCGTCACGCCTGATCCGATGAATGCCAGATCGAGCGCGAGCAGTGTGGTCCGGAAACGGACAAAGTTGATCCTGTCCTTGACCCACGCTGCGAAGCGCTGACCTATCGAACTGCCGCCTGCTGCTGACTGCTGGTTGCGAAGCGGTCGGAAGACCCGGTAGAGACTCGGTGTCTCCGTGTTGCTAATGAGCGCGGCGGCGGCGTGTCTGGCGAGAATGTTGAGTCGGTTGACGGGCGAGCCGAGCACCTGGTTGTTGGCCTGAATGATGCGCATCGATCGACCCACGAAGAGCAGCTCTTTGGGCAGCAGCTCGGTGTGCACCAGGAAGCTCTTGAGCTTCTCCTTCATCTCGCGCTGCAGCTCTAGGTCCGTCTTTTTCGCGTGAGCGCCTTCCTTGTTCGCCTCGCCCTTGTCCTTCGGCTTGCTCCACGGTCGCAGCAGTGTCGCTGAAGCGAAGAGCTCCGACGCCCCCTCGCCCATGCCCCAGCTCACCGTGATTTCGTCGAGCGTCTTGAGATCGAGCGTAAAGATGGCCCTCCAAAGCTGTGCATACTTGCGGCGGAATTCCTCGCTCAGCTCGACGTACAACCCGTGGTCGATGAGCACCACCTGATGCTGCCCCTTCTTGCCATTCGGATGCTTCCTCACCAACACGTTGCTAGGATGCCCGTCCGCCTGAACGAATCCGTGCTGGAAGATCTGACTCGCAAACGCCTCGCACACTGATTGCGAAACGCCCTTTGCACTCAGCCCCCACTCCTCCAGCTTCTCGCGGTCCGTCATTCGACACGTTTCGCCGATCCACTCCATCACCAGCACCCGCTGCGTGCACAGATCCTTGTAGAACTGCGGCACGTAGCACGACCTGCGCACCAGAGGCTCGGGGTCGGTCTCGATCGCCTTCTTCGCCCGCAAGGAATTGGCCAGCTCGTGTTCGAAAAAGGTCTCCTGCTCGATCTGGTCCGAGATGTACTGCCCACTGAACGAGAGAGGCAGTTCAAAGATCCGCTCGTACAGCTTCAACAGGATCCTGAACGACCAGAGATCCCACTTGGCGTACTTGCGGATGTTGGGACGCTGCACCTTGACCGCCACCTCGGGACCCGGTGTTCCCGGTGGCGCACCCTCCGACGGGTGAAGTCTCGCCTTGTGCACCTGCGCAACGCTCGCCGCTGCGACAGGAACCTCGTCGAATTCCGCAAAGATCTCCTTCGGATCCCCGCCCAGCTCGGCCACCAACACCTTTCGCACCTCTTCATACGGCAACCTCTCCGCGTTATCGAACAGCTTTGTCAGCTGATGGTATGGCTTCGGCAAGATTGCCGCCTGACACCCGATCGCCTGGCCAAGCTTGACGTACAGACCCTGGTTCTTCTCGCAGACGTACATGAGCTTGTCGGCGCACCGCTCGTGGAGCGCGTTGATCGACTCGAGCGAGTTGCGGTCGAAGTTGAGCTTGTAATCGAGGGCGATCTGGAGGCCGGTGTATGCGGTGAGGAGGTTGCGTTGTGCGGTGCGGGCGTTGAAGTATTCGTCGATGATGTAGCCGAGGCCGAAGGCTGCGACTAGGATGCCGGACCGACGGAGCCAGCGCCCAGACCGCTTCGGAGGGCTGCCGTTCGCCCCTGGGATCGAAGCGGAAGAAGACGAGGAGGCACTTCTCGACGCGGGAGAGGAGCGAAACCACGATCGACCAGCTGGAGGCTCTGACCGAACGATGCGGGAGAGCGAATCTGGTAGAGGGGCTTTGAGGCCTTGTCTTGCAGCTGCGTTGGAGAGGATGTCCGAGATGGCGATGTCGGGTTGCGTGTTCGAGCTACCGATTCGAAGGTTCCGAATAGCGCCTATTGATGGCGACGGAGCACGAAGCTGGACGAGTTCCCTGCTTGAGGCGAGCATCCGCCGCCTGGCAGGGTGGCCGAAGATCGGCCTGACGCCTACACCAACCATGGTGGCAGCTATGAGAGAGCTGGACGTTCGAGTGTGGACGGCGGCGAGAAAGGCGGAGCGCGATAGACAGTGATAGCTTGGAAGGAAGGTAGAAGCGGCACTTGCGAAAGTCCGTTTGATCAGCAGAAGGTATCACCCGCACAATGATTAGGCAGCAATGCCTCCACTCCGACGTCACATCCGGCTTCCCTCGCTCTGCGTCGCTTATCGGCCAAAATCAGAAAGGTGTTAGACTCGTGATCAAAATCTCCAGACTCGAACAAAAAAGGCAAACCCGGGTTCAGGCTTTTTTGGGTGCGTTCGCGGTTGGAGACGCGTTGTGAAGCTCTCTGCTTGGCTCTTGCCTTGGCGAAGGCTGCGCTCACGGCAAATTTGAGTCAAGGCGAAGCGCAACCCAGGAAGCGGCACGGCCCAATTTTTCCCCACTCTCTCTCTCGCCATTCGTAGGTGACCTCTCTCCTTGCCTCTTCTTCGCTGCTCGTCTTTGATCGCCCACCAAGGATAGGACTGCGTCTTTGCCCATCTGATCATCACAACCGCGAAGATGTCTTCATCTCGACTCTCGCGACAAGACCACTACCCCTACCAAGCGACGGCGCATCCTCGCTGGTCGCCCTCTTCCCCGCCACTCAACCGCCTCTCCGCCGCCGTCGACCCGCGACTTGCTCCTCGTCTCAACAATGCAGGTCAGCAGGACATGCAGCAGCAGTCACAGACGCAACAGCTTGCGTCCAGCCAGATCGCGCCTTCTGCTGCGTCGCTCACCTCCAACGTCGAAGTGGTGCAGGCTATCAACGCCATGAATTCGCAGGTCACCAGTCAATTGTCCATGATGGGCACGCAGCTCGCTTCCCTCGTGTCACTCACATCGCGTCTCATCGAGCTTTCACAGATGAGTCTCGCTGCTGCTGATAGCAACGGACGCGCCAGCAATGCCGCCACTGCCCCTGGCTCCGGTGTGTCGGCAGCTTCCTTGGGAGCACAAGGCTTTAGAGCCGATGCAAGTCCGGTCAACAGCAACGCCGATCTCAATCGCGCACGAGTCAACGGCAGCCAGAACACGTCCTCGTTCGCCTCTTCCAGCAACAACTTGGCTGTGGGATCCACCAACAACGCCGCCGCGCGTTCGGATGCTCGGCAGGGTCAGTTCTATCAGAACCCTGCATCTGGCAGCGCTGCTACGAATTCGACGCTTGACAGGACCTTTGGCAGCACGCTTCGAGGTGCGTCTCCCTCTTCCTCCAATTCGGTGATGAACAACAGCCTCTATGCGGCTGCAGGACGACCGGCACAGCAGCAGGCCGGTCAAGCACAGCAAATGCAATCGCAGCAGCAATCCCAAACACACATGCAGTCCCAACAGCAGGGCCTGCAACAGACAACGCAGCCGCAACAGCAGGCGCAAGACGACCTTCTCAGGAGTCGTCTGCCGAGTCCCGTGTTCCCGGACGATCCAATGGACATGCACGCCGACGTGTCGGCATCAGAGCACCAGACTCCATCCAATCTCAAACGACTGTCCACAGCAGGACAGGCTGCAGGCGACAGCGCTCGCAAAGCCAGCACAGAAGCATCGCTGGGCGAATGGAAAAGCTGGCTCAACCGCACATGGCAACCGCCTGCGGGTCATCAATCGCGCAATACCAAGTACCGCACCATGCAAGCGGCTCGGCGGGCGCATCGCGACCAGACTAAACGGTCCATGGCTACTCTCGGCCGCTTGCCGCTCAAAGAGTTCCTCGAGATCCGACCCGAACAGTACCTCAGCGTGCGAAAGACGGGTCGAAAGCTGTACCAAGAATGGCTGCTGCAGGAGGTGCGACTGGCCAAGCAACCCGAGGATCGAGTCAAGGCGGCCATCAATCGACTGGAGAACGACCATCCGGAGCTGGGCGATTGCGAGGATCACTGGAAGGCGAGACAGCTGCTGCAGCAGATCATCGATAACGCGATCGACGAGGCCAACTTGCATCGCAAGAAAGAGGCGCGCCAGAGCAACTCGCACGCGGAGCCTAACGAGAGCACGCCACGCGGCATGGAGGGGGCACGAAGTACGAGCATGATGAACGTCAGCGCGAGCAGCTCGAGTTCGGCGTTGGCGGATGCGGATCGAAGTCTGCGTGGTGCGGACACGAGCATCGCTTCAGCGCGCAAGGGCAATACTGCTGCTGCAAACGGTCCTGGTGCCGCCAAGAACGCCAAAGGTGTACAGCGACGCAAGGCGGATCAAGCGGAGCTGGATGACACGCCGACACGGTTCAGGCAGCCACCAAGCCAGCGCAATTCAATGCTGGGACCAGGTGGCAACGACGATTCCAGCGGTTCATCATTGCAGACGCAGCAACTCTCTTCATCGGGACTGGAGGCAGCACACAGCGGCCGTGCTACGGCGCTCGTCGACTACTCTGGCTACGGCAACCATGACTCTGGCACCATCGCCTCGACCACCTCGGACGCCCTTCAGCCCTCGCGGCACAATCAGCACTTGCAGCCAGCGCACCACAACACGCATCAGCAGGATCAGACGCACAACGCATGGGCGAGCCAGACCGCCGCACCCGGCCCATCGCTCTTCGGACAGTCGAATTATACCACCACGGCAACGCAGCAGGCACTCTCGCACCATCAGACCTACGGACATCACAGCAATCATCACCACAACTCGAACTACCTCTCATCCGACCCGAACCAGACAGGGCTCAGTGCGTCTGGATCTGGCTTGCTGGACGATCAGCGTCACCAATCGCACCTGAGCCCGCTGGTCAACGGTGGCAATTTGCGCATGCATCAGCAGCAGCAGCATCACCAGCAACAGCCGCAGCAGCAGGCTCAGAGCACGTTCTTCGACAACCGAGGATACCAGTAGCGCACGTACTCTTCTCATGATAGCAGCGATCGATGCGACAGAACCTTCTTTGTTGCTATTGAATTCAAAGCGTGTCATGGCGCTGCGACTCGTCAGTGTAGTGGCATGTGACAAGGTCAGACGAGCGTAAAGCAGCTCCCAGTGGTGGGCAGGCGGCCAGCTTGGACTTGCCGGACGAGTTCGCTTTGTATCGAGGTGTCGAAATTTGTATTTGTGCCTTGACTGCTTGTATTGCCTCCAGGCACTGGGGTGAAGGTTAGGTTGAAATCCTGTTCCCTTTGACCCTTGATTCGAAGAAGAGCTCGACGCGCCTTTCCAATTTTCTTCGTTTTCGAGGTCTGAGAAGATTGTGCAGCACAGCACAGCACAGCGTGCAGTCAAGAAGACTGATATCCAGCTTGGTCTGCTTCTTCGTGGTGTTTCTGAAATCTGGTACACTTGTTCTACGACGACGACCACATCATCGCAACACCCCAGCAAGCTTGTTTTGACCTTTCAAACAAGCTCTGCATCGACTACGCATACCAACATCATGGCCACCGACCCATCTCAGCAGGGCCAGGCCAATGGCGCTGCTTTCAACCAACAGCAGCATTTCCAGCAGCAGCAGCAACGTCAGCTCTTCGGCGGTGAGGAGGAGTTTGGCGATGAGGAGGAGCTCGGTGACGACGTCGATCTCGTCGTAGGCGACTACTCTGCTCCCTTCGCCGGCGAGGCCGGTGCCGAGGTCGACGAGGCACAAGCTGCCGCTCTCGCCGCTGCTCACGCCCAGGCCCAGCAGCAGGCTCAGGCCGCTGCCCTCGCCGCAGTCCCCGACCAGATCCGCAAATACATCGTCCTTTTCAACCAGGCTGTTCAGAACAACAACGTGCAGGACATCAGCAATGCGTACGAGGGCACCTGGAACCGACTCACCGACAAGTTCTACGCCCGTTCCGAGTGGCCCGAGGCCGAGACCATCGCGCCTCTTGTCAACGACGACCAGAAGTTCCTCACCCTCTACCGCGAGCTCTGGTACCGACACGTCTACTCCCGTCTCAGCCCAGACGGTGAGGACCGCTTCCACTCGTATGACAACTACTGCGACTTTTTCAACTTTGTCCTCAACAGCGACGGGCCCGTTCAGCTCGAGCTCCCCGCCCAGTGGCTGTGGGACATCATCGACGAGTTCATCTACCAGTTCCAGAGCTTCTCGCAGTGGCGCAACCGTGCGTCGAACAAGTCGGACGACGAGATTGCGCTGCTGCAGGACGGTGGCGTGTGGAGCAGCTACTCGGTGCTCAACGTGCTCTACTCGCTCATTCAAAAGTCGCGCATCACCGAGCAGCTGGTCGCAGCGAGCAAGGGCGAGGACCCGGATGAGGTGGCTGGCGAGTTCGGCTCCAAGCCCCTCTACCGCATGCTCGGCTACTTCTCCATCATCGGCTTGCTTCGTGTCCACGTCCTGCTGGGCGACTACACGCTCGCGCTCAAGATGCTCGACCACATTGAGCTCAACAAGAAGTCCGGCCTGATCAACCGCGTCACCGCCTGCCACGTCACCGCCTACTACTACGTCGGCTTCGCCTACCTCATGCTGCGTCGCTACCCGGACTGCATCAAGAGCTTCACGCACATCCTGGTGTTCATCATGCGTCTGCGCCAGTACCACACGCGCTCGTACCAGTACGACCAGATCAACAAGACGGCCGACCGCATGTACGCGCTGCTCTCCACCGCCTGCGCCCTCTGCCCCACGCGTCTGGACGAGAACATCCAGACGCAGATGCGCGAAAAGTACGGCGACCAGTTCAACAAGATGACCAAGCCTGGTTCCGAGGGTGTTGCTGCGTTCGAGGAGCTCTTCCTTTACGCCTGTCCCAAGTTCATCACGGCCAACTCGCCGCCGTACCACGACGAGGAGGCGTTGGGCGAGTGGAAGGAGAAGGCGTTCCCTGATCCTACGCAGCACCAGCTCCGCGTCTTCCTCAGCGACGTCAAGACTCAGCTGTCGAACGCAAACGTTCGATCGTTCCTGCGCCTCTACACTACGCTTGGCACCGACAAGCTGGCGTCGTTCCTCGAGATTGACGAGGAGGAGCTCGTCGAGATGATGATGGTGATGAAGAACTCAACGCGCTCGCTCAAGTGGAGCTCCGGCTCGCTGCTCGAGGGCGAGGTGGTCAACACGAGCGACCTCGACTTTGTGATTGACACCAACATGGTGCACATTGCCGAGAGCCGCGTGGGCAGGAGGTACGGCGACTGGTTCCTCAGGAACGGCACGAGGATGAGCGATGTTCTGAGCAACATCCAGTCGAAGCCCTTGCCGATTGTGACCAAGCAGGTGCAGGACGAGGCGGCTGCTGCCGCGGCGGCCGAGGGCAAGGATGGCAAGGACAAGAAGGGCAAGAGCACCTGGTCGGGCGGTGCCAAGACCGGCGGAAGCGGCGCATTCGGTAGGAGTGCAGGCGGCAACCGACCTCAGGGCGCGACAGGCGCAAAGCCAGCAGCAGGTGCGACCGCTGCTCCGTGGGGTTCGAGCAAGGGGCAGCAGCCCGGACTTGCTGCTTAAGCAGGACGAAGATTCGCTCTAACTTTCCACCCCGCAGAAGAGGCTAGCTTCACCTCTGATCCTGCCCACACTACCAGCAGTCCACTTCACATCCAACGCTATCCCACACAAAAGTAAATACACATGCGTTCATTATTAGCCTTCGCTCTCTGTGTCGACAGGCTTGCTTTCACTCAGGCTCCTCCGAGACTGATGCTGATTGAGCCACCATAGTTGCCGGTCTCCGTCTCTGAGTCAAGTCGGTGAATTCGTTTCGACCCGCTCGTGAGGTCTCGCGGCGACCTCACGAGATTTATCCTGTCAATTTCTCGCCGGCCTGCCCGCCGAGATGTCGCCGATGGCAGCTCGTTAACCCCGCATTTGCACCCCGCATTTTGGTCGAGAGGAACCTTGCATCACCTCCTCTCAACCTTATTCGCCACCTCGATCCCTTCCCGCCCCAGCTTGTGTCTCGGTCACATCGGACCAGTCTCAAGGCGATGGCGCAAGTAACAGTCAATGAAGTGCAGCGCCATGCAAGTGCAGCCGACGCCTGGCTTGTAATCGAAGGAGGAGTCTACGACGTCACCTCATACCTCGACAGCCATCCGGGAGGCAAGACCTTGCTCCTCAACTACGCCGGCAAAGATGCGACTCAGGCCTTCAAGGCAGCTCACTCGACGTCGGTGCTGTCGCAGCTACCGCAAAGCTCCTACAAGGGCGCGCTGACACTTCCGACCAACAGCGATGGAACAATAGACGAGAAGGAACGCGAACGCCTTGTTTCACATTCGGATGCGAAGTTGCTCGAGTCGCAGCAACAGCAGAGCGAGCAGATCACATTGGCAAGGAGACGACTTCCGCGGCTCAAAGACATCGTCAATATCCAAGACATGGAGCAGGCTGCCCTCACCGTCCTGCCGCCCTTGGCTGCTGCCTTCTACGCCGGCGGTTCGGACACGGAAGCGACCATGCATGCGAATCAGCTCGCCTTTTCGCGCTACTACTTCAATCCGCGCGTGCTCAGAAGGGTCGACAAGGTAGACACCTCTGTCACTCTGTTTGGCAAAGCGTATCCCCTTCCAATCATAGGCTCAGCGGTCGGCAACACTCACATGGCAGGTCCAGACTGCGACTGGCATCTCACAAAAGGATTGGCGCAGTGTCGGCTGCCACATATGGTCTCGACATTCGCAGCAACGTCGATACACGATCTGCAGAAGCGGGCCAAGGAAGAGAATCTGGCATTCTGTGTCCACTTTATACAGTTATATGTGCAACGCGACCATGCTACTTCGGCACAATTGGTCAAACAGGCGGTCGAGCAAGGCGCTCACGCCGTCTTTGTCACCGTCGACGTAGCCCAGATTGGCAACCGTGAAAAGGACCGCAAGATCCGTGCAGACGCTCAGTCTATACCGAACTGGGCGGAGGACGAGGCTCGTTGGATCGACGAAGCAGACGCATCGGCCTCGGTTGTGGTCGACCAGGATGGGCTGCAAGAGACTGGAGCTAGCAGCCGTGGATCTGCGGCCACCTCGACGGCTGGCATGGATCGCGACCTCAACTGGGATGATCTGAAGTGGATCAAGGAGGCTGCTCAGGGCAAGCCCGTTGTGCTCAAAGGTATTCAAAGCGTTCGTGACGCTCTGCTTGCTATCGATGCCGGCGTTCAAGGCATCGTGCTGTCGAATCATGGAGGCCGCCAGCTCGATTTCGCACGACCACCGATGGATCTACTCTACGAATTGCGACAGCACCATTCTCACGTGTTTGGGAAGCTCGATGTCTTCATCGATGGTGGCATCCGCCGTGGTACAGACATCCTCAAAGCAATGTGTCTTGGTGCCAAAGCCGTCGCTCTTGGACGTCCATTCGTATTCGCAGAGGCAGCATATCGTCATTTGGGCGTTGTCAAGACCGTTCGCAGTAAGTTTCGACGCAACCCTCCTTACACCTTCATCCTTGGGTCATGACAGAGTCGCTGACAAGTATCGATTGCTACTTTTCGCCATTGCAGTCCTGGAGGAAGAGATGCTGACAGGCATGAGGCTCCTCGGTGCAGCTTCCATCGCCGACCTGACACCGGACATGGTAGAACGAGTCGACTTCTACGGCCCTGCGATTGCCTCGTATCTTGCCTCGAAGCACCTGTCGGGTCGTCTGTGACAATGCAGAACATCACAAAGGAGCCTCGTTGACGAAGTGGTGTGTCAAAGCTTCGACCCGAGCTGAGCTCCAAATGCATGCATGCTGCATATGCACAGCGACGACGTTTGGCAGGATCGAGCCCTTCAAGCTCTTTTTGTGCTTTGAAATCGCGAAACGTGCTGAATCGAAAGAAAGCGGTGTGCTGCCTCGGCTCAATTCAGAAAGGGGTCTCGGTCTTGATTTTTGACAGCCGCTCGGACCAGTGAATCATCCTGCCTTTGAGGTGAACCCTGAACCTGAATGCTGAGCAACAATACTCTCCTTCGACCATCACCACCATCATCACTGTCACCAGCGAGATCGTGACGTTGTGATCCCTTGCAACGGCTGGACCCATGTCGCAGGTCCCAGGGGCTTCGCAGGCCTCGTGGTCGTCGGTCGCTTCAACGGCGGTCTCGGCTGCGACAGATGCTTCGAGCACACTGGCTTCGGCTCTCGCCACGTCAGCCGCACAACCAGCGGCCAGTACGGTCACAGCAGCGGCGGCCCCATACGTAGACGACCGCAATCCGATCATCGCATTGTTCGACGGCTTGCTTCGTGTCTTGCTCGCCTCGTTCAACCTCATCCGCATCCTGGCAACCTTCACTACGATCACGGTCCCCAGCTTGGTCTACACCATCCTGCATTATAGCTTGACATTGCAGCTCAATTTCCCATCTCTTGCTCTTCTCTTCTTGACTTCACTGGTATCAGCCTTCATCTGGCTCCGCTATCGCCATCTCAACAAGTACGAGCGTCTTCGCGAGGTGCCCATCACTCGAGACGAAGGCTTCAACCTGAATCCGGACGTCGCATCAGCTGGCGGGGACAATGACCGAGGAAGCTTCCACAACTATCTCGACGACTTTCTACAGGCCATTCGCATCTTTGGCTTCCTCGAGAAGCCTGTCTTCCACGAGCTTGCACGCCATCTGCAGACGCGCAGACTCGTCGCCGGAGACAGCCTCTCGCTCGACACCGACTTTTCCTTCTACATTGTCATCGATGGCCATGTTCAGGTCTATGCTCCTTTGCCCTCAGCTACCGCCAGTGCAGTCGGACAGGATGCAGCAGAGGACGAAGATGATAGCGGATACCAGCTGCTCAACGAGGTCGAGAGTGGAGGCACGCTCAGCAGTCTCTTCACCATCCTCAGTCTCTTTACGGAAGACGTCAAACTCACCTTCGGCGACGACGACCCTCAATTTGCTCCACAATACGCAGCAGCTCATGCTGCAATGGACCGTCAATATGGCTCGAGTGCAGGACAACACCCCGGACGCGGTAACAGTGCTACCGCTCCCACCTCTCCCTTTTCCTCAGCTTTCAATCCACCTGCGCAGACCGCTGCTCAGCTTCAGCTCAACGCGGCGGCTCTTCGCAACGTGCCTGCTGCCATGTCGACCGAGGGTGCCGTTGAACGACTAGGAGGTCCAGTCGCCCGCTCGGGATCAAGACCTTCCCATGCTAGGACAGCTTCGTCTGGCACCGGCTCGGTGACGGTCCAGGATGGCGAGACGAGCACCGTGATGGATCCGCACGAGGTCCACGACGACAGCACCGCTCTTTCCTTGGGACATGCGCCCGACCTTCAAATGCCTCCAGCACAGGCGACAGCACCCTTTTCGCATTTCGCACCAGGCTACAATCCTTCGCCGGCGGGCACCCCCTCGTCCAGCCTGCCAGGTGTGTCACAGTCGCCCTACTTCCGAGGACGCGCTACTTCCGTGCAGGGACTGCCCGAAGGCGTGGGTGGCCCCACCACGCCTGGCTCCTTCAGCGGAATGGGCAGCAGTGTTCACGGTCATATCAATCCTCAGACAGAGTATCTTCATCGCCAAGGCGCTGGAACCGTAGCACGCGCCACGGTCGACACCACTTTGGCCGTCATCCCCGCCGAGGCTTTCAAGCGTCTCACCAAAAAGTTCCCAAATGCAGCTGCGCACATCGTGCAAGTCATCCTTGCTCGTCTCTCGCGCGTCACGTTTCACACCGCCCACAAGTACCTCGGTCTCACCAAGGAGGTCATGCGCACCGAAAAGTCGATCAACGATCTGGCTTGCTTCCCACTTCCTTCCGAATTTTACGAGAAGGGTGGCATGGACAAGCTGCGTCAGCGCTTCCTGCCTCAGCCCACCTCGAAACGAGACTCGACATTGGACGACGACTACTTTCGCAACTTTCAGGATTGGACCTCCCCCGCTCAACGCAGCGTCACGCCTGTTCCAGGTTCGGGCCGTGACGGCGGGGACAGTGGTGCTGCTCAGCCCAAGGTCAGGATCGCAGCAGAGCCGACGCCACTCACGACCAGCCCCAAGCAAACCACCAAGAAAGCAGCGCCCTCTCGCATCTCGACAGCCAAAACACCCTGGGGCCATCCTGATCCACCGCTGAAAACACCGACGGCACGCACGATGGTAGGACCCGGTGACCTGCTCAGCATGGCCAGTCTCAGCGAAGATGGCTGGCACACGAGCGGCTTCGATCTGCACTCCGCTCAACCGACGCCGCGCGCGAAGCCTCGTGCGGTCTCGAAACTTGAGCCTTTCCATGGACCATTGCCGCATCCAATGGACGAGTCCACTAGCGGCACCAGTCCGCGCTCGGGTGTGTCGCCTGTCCCACGACGTAGTGGCAGCAACGGCATGCTACACTACGGCGACGACCTGGACGGCGACCATCCTTTCTCCAACATTGGCCTCTCTCACTTTGACATCAAGAATGAGGTCATGGACTGCATCGCGAAAAGTATAGGCCTAGCGCAAGCCGCCACCTCGCCCATCGCTGGAAGCTACCAGGCCAGCCCGCACATCGGTGCTCAGGACTCGCTGCAGCGATCTGTATTCAAGTCTGCGTTTAGCTCGCTCAGTATGCTGGATGCTGCCATGGCTGAAGAGGAATCCAGCGTCACGGGAACCAACAGCTCCATGGCTGGCCATGGGCCTTCCGCCTTCCACCTCTCCGACTTTGAGAACGAAGTCGAGATCAAGTTCTTCCCATCAGGCAGCACCTTGGTCAAGGCAGGCGAGAGTCGTGCTGGTCTGTTCTATGTCATTGACGGCTTCTTGGACGTCTTGCTTCCTGCCGAGACAAACGAGCTGGAAGAGGAGCAGCGCTCCACGCCGAGGAAGGAGAGCAAAGCGACAAAAGGGCGAGCTGGGTCCAAAGATGGGCTTGCCCCTTCAGTAGCCGGCCAGAACAGGCCTGGAGCGCCGCGCAAAGACGTTTCTTCAGCTTCGCTGCGGACGCATGACAGTGACGGGACCGCACGGGATGGAGGCACTCGTTCTCGCCGAGGGACCGACGCCGAGCGCACTCACAGCAACGGCGACGGTAGCACGTCAACGTTGCAGCGACCCATTTTGCGGGAAGGTTCGACGTCTTCCATCACGTACACTAATACGACTGGACTTCGCAAGAGACCCACTGAATCGACAAAGGTGGGCAATGCGCTCGACGGCACGGGCGGTGGCTCGGGCAGCAACGGCGTGCGCAAGCCGAGTCAGAGTTCAGCTGCCAACGGGGAAGCCGCAAGGCGACGTCCGTCGGAGGCAACCACTCCGAAGATGCCAGACTTTGCCAAGCCGTCGCCTCGCCCACCACTCAGCCAGCAACCTCTTCGCGCCAATCCTCCACAGCAGCAGAACGGTCACCGCGCCAAAGATGCCAAGCGCTCCATCTTCACGGTCGGCCGCGGCGGTATTGCAGGCTACCTATCCAGTCTGCTCGGCACCGCAAGCTACGTCGACATCACCGCCAAGACAGACGTATATGTCGGCTTCCTGCCAGCGCATGCCCTCGAACGAATCATGGAGCGCCGCCCAATCGTCCTCCTGACGCTGTGCAAACGTCTGCTGAGCCTGCTGCCGCCACTCATCCTTCACATCGACTCGTCGCTCGACTGGCAGCAAGTCAACGCAGGCCAGGTCATCTATCGAGAGGACGATCCATCGGACAGCTTCTTCATTGTCATCAACGGCCGATTGCGAGCCATCACCGAGAAGAGCAACGGCATCGAGGTGCACAACGAGTACGGACAAGGAGACAGTGTCGGTGAGCTCGATGTGATCACCAATTCGCGAAGACGCACGACGCTGCATGCCATCCGTGACTCGGAGCTGGCCAAGATGCCGTCGACGCTGTTCAACGCCATCTCGGTGCGCCATCCAGCCATCACGATCCAGATCTCGCGCATCATTGCGCGTCGGGTGCGGACCGAGCTCATCCGAAGCAAGCAGGAAGGGGCTGCTCTCGGCGCTCCCATTCCGGGCTTGCCAGATCTAGGCAGAAACAACCTCAACCTCAAAACCGTGGCGATCGTACCAGTGACCCGGCAGGTGCCGGTGATCGACTTTGCCGCCAAACTGCAGAGCGCCTTTGACGACACGATTGGCGGACGCGCGATCTTCCTAGACCAGAGCAGCGTCATGGGCGTGCTAGGCCGACACGCTTTCAGCCGCATGGGCAAGCTCAAGCTGGCCGGGTGGCTGGCCGATCTCGAGCAAAAGTACCGCATGGTGGTCTACGTCGTCGACACACCCGTCTCTTCGGCGTGGTCGCAGACGTCGATCCGGCAAGCGGATTGCGTGCTGATGGTGGGTTTCGGCGATGAACCGGCGATGGGCGAGTACGAACGGCTATTGATGAGCGTCAAGACGACTGCACGCAAGGAGCTGGTGCTTCTGCATCCGGAACGGAGCGTGCCGCCCGGCTCGACACGGGAGTGGCTCAAGAACCGACCCTGGCTTCACGCGCACCATCACGTTGAGATGCCGGGTCTGTCTGGTTCGCATGCCGCCTCGGCAATGGCATCGGGTGGCGATCCTAAGGCGGTCAAAGCGCTACGCAACCTCAAACAGAAGCTGGAGACGTCGTTGCAGCGGTATCGCAAGACCAAGACGCCGCTCTCCGCGACGGGACGACCGCACCACGCATCGGACTTTGCGAGGCTAGCGCGTCGACTGTGCGGCATGAGCATCGGTCTTGTGCTCGGCGGTGGTGGAGCGCGTGGTTGTGCGCATCTCGGTGTCATTCGTGCGCTCGAGGAGCGCAGCATCCCGATCGACATGGTGGGCGGCACGTCGATCGGCTCCCTCGTCGGTGGGTTGTACGCACGTGAAGCCGAGATGGTCTCCACCTTCGGTCGGGCTAAGCGCTTCGCCGGTCGAATGGCTAGTCTGTGGCGCTTCGCATCGGATCTTACTTACCCTGTCGTCTCGTACACCACCGGCCACGAGTTCAACCGTGGCGTCTTCAAGGCCATCCAAGAGACGCACATCGAGGACATGTGGATTCCGTTCTTCTGCAACACGACGAACATTACGTGGTCGAGAATGGAGGTGCATACGAGTGGATATGCGTGGCGGTACATTCGTGGGTCGATGACTTTGGCTGGATTGATTCCGCCGCTGGTCGACGATGGAAATATGCTGGTGGATGGTGGGTATGTGGATAATCTGCCGGTGACGGTGATGCTAGCCATGGGAGCAAGGTCCGTTTTTGCGGTGGATGTGGGTAGCATTGATGATACATCCCCGAGGGCGTATGGCGACACGCTTTCGGGTTGGTGGGTGCTGTTGAATCGATGGAACCCCTGGTCCGACGCAGGCAAGATTCCGTCCATCCCAGACATCCAGGGTCGCCTCACCTACGTGTCCTCCGTGAAAACGCTCGAGGAAGCCAAAAAGGTCAAGGGGTGCTTCTACATGCGTATGCCCGTGGAGGAATTCGGCACGCTCGCGTTTGGTCGGTTCGACATGATCTACGCGAAAGGGTACAAGGCTGCGGTGGATCTGTTGGATGGGTGGGATGCGGAAGGAAAGCTGCCGAGCGGGACGGAGAGGGAGGAATTTGAGGATGATGAGGAGGAGGAGGAGTATACGGATGAGGAGGGCGGCTTGGGTGGAGGGAAGATGAGGAGGAAGAGGAAGAAGAGGAGGACTAGGAAGAGGGCTGGGATCAGTGCGAGACGAAACAGTATCTAGATGCGTCACGGACGTGCGACATGAAGCGACCACGAGATGTCCAGCATAGAGAGATCAGCGACTCCACGCCCTAGCCATCAACAGGAGGGAGCCTTTCAAGGACACCACCTGCAATGCGACAAGTCTTCGAAATCTCACACTCTGTTTCAACCCCATCGCACTCGAAAGCGGCATCTGATATCGTATCACATTGCATCAGCATCGCAAGCCACCTACGCCAGCGCACCAAGCGGGTCGTACGGCGGCAATCGGATCGTCTGCTCATCCACCCCGCGCTTGAACACTCCCCACAACGCCTTGGGTACAAACTCCCTACTCACCACCACCTGGTAATTAAACTCCTCGAACCACTTATCGCTCATGACCATGAAACCTTTATCGTTGCCCACGCCCGCCTCGCCCCACGAGTTCTCCACTCTGTACCTCTCCACCTTGCCGGTGGCTTCGTCGATGTGTACGGCAGTAATAACCATAGCGTGGGTCATGGAGCTTTCTCCCAATTCGATCCTCTCGGTCTTGCTGAGGCCGAGGGTGATATTGAATGCTTCTTCGTAACCGAACAGGGCGGGGTCCATAATGCCGGAGGTCTTGTCAGAGAATTGACCTACGTCGCAACCGAAGAAGACGGGGTGGCCGGCTTTGATCGAACCCACGACCGCCTGGCGCATGACATCGACGGTGGTGTTGACGTAGCTGATCGGTGTACCCTCCCAGACGTTTCCGAGGCGTTCGACGGTGATGAGCCTACCGGCGGGATGACGTGGGTCGTGGATGAGCGAGCAGCGCGTCTTGTGATCGAAACTACCCGTGTGTTCGGCGAGGAAGCGTTTGGGGGTCGATTTGATCGTCACGAACTTCCCGTGTTTGTTGCGGTACTGATAGGTGAATTCGTCGTTGGGCTGCGGCGGCGTTCCAAGCGAAATGACCAGCAGACGGTACACTTCGGCCATCTGCTCATCCTTCCTCGCCCTCTGCGCCTGTCGTACCGCCACAGCCGTCTCCGCAGGGCTGAAGGAGGTCATCTTTCGTTCCACATCCTGCTTGATTTGACGCAGCTCCAGCGTGTATTCCCGCAACTTGACCGTCACCAACCAATTGATCTGGTTCGAGTAGCTCGAATTGTAGCTCTCGGGGAAAACGCTCTTGGGCACCACGCCGTACTTCTCCAACAGATTCGCTACCATATCCCACTGACCACCGTCGTTGGTCGGTGCGGTCTTGAGGAATCCCACCACGCGCTGGTCGAGCTTCTCATCCGCCAACTCGATCATGTTTTCCAAAAAGTAGTTGGATTTCTCGAGCTTGTCCCAGAAGCTCAGGTAGCTTTGGGAGAGTTCGAATTCGTCGAGTTCCAAAACCTTTGCGGCGCCGTGACGGATGACGTTGCAGGTAGCAAAGAGCCAGCAACGACCGGAGGATTTCTGGTTGACCACGGGTTTGACTTCGTACGGGATGGCGTGGCTGAAGATGTGGGCGCACGAGATTTCGGTGGTGCGCTTGTGAAGGCTGGGTGCGATGGCGGCGTTGTGCAGCGTCATCTGCGCGAGACGCGAGGCGGTCGTGGACAGAGCTGAGGCCTGCCAATCGGGCAGCGAGGAGAGCGAGATGCCCGCCGAACGCTCGATGGTGGTCGAGGGCGAAGAGGCGGTGTAGCGCGACAAGGTCTCGGCTTGAATGCGCGCAAGACGGTCCGCAGCATGGTGGTTGATGGTGCTCGAGGCGGGAGCGTGCGTGGAGGAGGAATTGACGCTGACGGTGTAGCGCGCTTTCTCGTTGATGGTCTCGGAGGAGCTGGAGGAGGTGCGCGCGACCGAGCGGTCGGCGACGGGCTTGGATGCGGACGATCCCATGGCTGTTGCTGTAGGGAGGATGTGTAGGTGTTGGTTCGATGGAGGTGGATGTGGGGAAGGGGAGCTGCTCGTTAGGGCGAGTATAAGTAGCGGATGGTAGGGCGCAGCTGACAGGAGATCCCCTTGGAGAGGCCGAGTCACTCGCTATCGGTGGGCGCAGATGAAATGCGGGGTCTGCGCTGTGATAGGGTCCCACCCCCATCGGACACGGCTATCAACCTCGATTGTGCTGTGCCAGCACGCTTATCACACCTCACACGGCACACACGCACGCCGGCTACCTGATCGGAGCTCGAGCTGACACTCCGAGTCGGCGGCCTGGCCGTCCATCGGTCAACCGCTATCACACAAGCACACCGCGCGCAAGCCTCTATTCCAGCAACGGAACAACGTCGACCGAATCCAATGCGAACGCAATTTCATGCTGTACCTTTGCGGTCATCGTGCCGCGTTTCAACCTCAGCGATAAGCCAACCGGCAACGGCAAGAGGCGCGCCGTCGATCCTCTCACGCGAGCAAGCCCAGCGAGCGAGGCGAAATTGGCAATTGCGCGGCCCCCTTTCTCCGCATCAGCAAGCGGGCACAGATCTGAAAAATGGACCCTGGCAACCCTACGGCGATCAACCAACAATACGGCTTAACACGCTGAAGACTAACCATCGGGACAACGCTTCGAGATACCGATCCACAGCTAGAGAGCCCTCATCTTCACGCAGACCGGCTCTCTTTCATCAGCCCGAGTCGTTGGCAAGCTACGTTTGCAGCATCAGGTTGAATTGAATCCTGCCCTATATACAGATCGCCTCTCTTCCCTGCTCTACGACAGCAATCTCGTAAGGATGTTGGCGTTGGTCTTGGAGATCCGATCGTAGATCTCGCGGATATCGTTCTCGCTCACCCCCGAGATATCCGCCAGCAGATACGCGACGTCCTTGTGCGAGTCCGAGTGCTGCTTGTCGACGTTGAAAGAGCCGAGAATCTCATTGACCGCGCGCAGCGAGCCGGGCTGGTTCTGGTGGACGTAGCAGATACGGATGACACGCGAGTCGGCCTCCGTGATCGCACGCAGGTCGACCTCGGGGAAGTTGACGGCGCCAACCGAGCCGCCAAAGTTGATGTAGCGGATGAGCGCGTCGCTGACTTCGATGCCGATCATGCGCTGCGCCTCTTCGGTGCTGCCGCCGATGTGGGGTGTGAGCATCACGTTGGGCTGCTTGCACAGCTCTGACGCCCAGCTGTTGAGGTCGTCCGAGAAGGTGCCAGGTCCAGAAGCGGCGGGCTCCTTGGGGAAAACGTCAACGGCAGCACCGGCGATGTGACCAGACTTGAGACCCTCGACGAGCGCAGGGATGTCGACGACAGTGCCACGCGCGTTGTTGAGCAGATACGAGCCCTTCTTCATCGCCTTGATCTGTTCCTCGCGGATCATGTTCTTGGTCTCGGGCAGCTCGGGGACGTGCAGCGAGACGAAATCGGCGGTGCCCAGCAGCTCGTTGAGCGTCGACACCTGCCTGGCGGAACCCAGCGGCATGAGTGGTACGACGTCGTAGTAGATGACGTGCATACCCATCGCCTCGGCGAGAACGGAGAGCTGCGATCCGATGTGACCGTATCCGACAATGCCCAGGATCTTGCCTCGCACCTCGTAGCAACCCTTGGAGACCTTGTTCCACGTGCCGGAGCGCATCTCGTTGACACGGTCGCCCAGCTGACGCGACAGACTGATCATCTCACCGATGACGAGCTCGGCGACCGAGCGCGAGTTGGCAAAAGGCGAGTTGAACACTCCGACACCAGCCTTAGCCGCCGCCTCGAGGTCGACCTGGTTGGTGCCGATGCAGAAGCAGCCCACGACGAGCAGCTTGTGCGCGGCGCGGAAGACCTTGGAGGTGAGCTTGGTCTTGCTGCGGATACCGATGGCGTGGTACTGTCCGATGTTCTGGATCAGCTCTTCCTCGCTCCAGGCCTTGGTGTGGAAGTCGACCTGGTAGCCCTGCTCCTTGAGCATCTTGACGGCGCCCTGCGAGACGTTCTCGAGCAGGAGGATGCGGATGTCGCCCGTGTCGAAGGGCGTCAGGAGACGAGGCGCCGACATGGGCACCGAAGTGGACGCGGTGCGAGCGCGCGAGGTGGGTGGCGAGAACGAGGCGGGCGGCGAAGTGGAAGGGTGGATTGCGCTGCCGTTGGCCAGGATCTGGGCGCCGGACTGGGCTGCCATCATGGCCGAGAAGGAACCAGCGTTGCCGGGCGGCGAGAAGCCAGCGCGGTGGAATGCTTGACCGTGTGTGTGCGACATGGTTGACGATACCGATCAGATGGATGGTGGTCGAGGATCAAGGTGCGGAGGTATGCGCTTTACTTTCAAGAAGAAATGGCCCTGCGCTCGAGCCTGGCCTCTTTCAACACATGCTCGCGCAGCTTGCTTGCTGCAGGCTCAGTCTTTCAAGGTGACTCTGACTCAAGACGCTTGAATCGATTTCTTCCAAAATCATCAAAATTTGATCTCCTTCATCTCGCCTCGCCTTGAGCGTGTTGGACTTCTCACGCTCATCGTGGGATCGTCCGGAGGTAAAGCCTGCGCAGTGGCATGAGGCTACGCTGCGTCTCTAGGCAGCAAGTTGGCGAGTGGATGTGCTGGACCAGCTCGCCATCAAAAGAGCACTGTCTCCACATCAGAATCGCCTCTGAAGAGAGGCGAACGTAGCTAGATGAGGTTGACTGTTTCAGTGACTCGAGCGGTGGACCGGACCTGACTTGAAATCTGCACGTTGGCCTCAGACTTGCAGAACTTTGCAGGCAATCACGTCTTTTCAGCGCCACAAAGTAGACCAGATCGGGATCGAGCGAATCGAGATCGCGTCTAAAATCCGACCTAACAGAGTTAAATAATCGCTCACCATTCCTGTCAAGTTGCGCCTTCCTCCAGACATCTTGCGGATCTGCCTTTCGACGACGAGCTGATACTTTTGTGCGAGACCAAGAATCATTCCTCATACTTACTCAGAAGATCGAAACTTACTCAGAGGATCGAAAGCATCATATCCCGCAAGACTGATCCGACCGGGAACAATGAAGAAAGCACGCTGGCAGACAATGTGTCCAAGAGCGATCTGAGCGCTGCAGGAGGTGGGTGCGGGGCTATCGCCCAATTCACGCAGCAGGTAGACAATAGACGAGGATGAGGCTGCTGACACCTCTGCAGTGCTTTTAAGAAGTCTCAGTCAAGCTTTGGCTGTGAAGCACTGCTTCCCTTCCTTTCCTCATGCTCACTTCCGTCCTTCAGGCTCGCCACACCATCCCCCCCTCCCGGCTTCAACGATGAGCGGTTACGCGCGTTGGTTGAAATGGGCACCATGCCTTTACGCAGTCTCTCGAATGGCCAGTAACTCAGGCCAGGGTTCACGCAACCAGCTTCTTAACACTCAGTCTGGCACTCAACCACCTCCCGGGACTGCCGATCTCCTCCACACGCTCAGTTTCCCGGCTCGCACCGTGGTCAAGAACACCTACATTCCCAGAGCTGTCCCAGCCCGTCGAACTCCCAGTCCCACGTTCAGCGATGCTTCTGTAGCTCTAGCGGACGATCATGGGTCGGGAAGCTTCATGAGTCGACTCGTTCGCTCTCGCTCGCCTCTGGTGCGTGATGGTTGGCAATGGGACAACCCCTTCCGACTACCCGTGCGTATGGCCCATCAGGCAGCATCGATCTCAGCGAGGATCATTAGTCAGGTGCGACGAGGTGCTTGCTTCGCCCCGTCACTTCCTGTCGAGCTCCACGATGCGATCCTCATCATCGCTCGACACCCCGTTCGAAAGTCCGGCTCGTTCAAGACAGGAGACTTGCGCCTCGTGTGCAAGCAATGGAACGAGCTTCACAAAAAGGACTTTTGGCGCAAGAAATGGCTCCCTCTTCGCCCCGACAATGCTTCGTGGGAGTCCATCGGCGAGCGACTCAAGCTTCTGGCGAAGGACGCGGAAGTCATTAAGAACGTCAAGATCGAAGGCAGGGCAACGCAGGTCTTGCCCATCACGCTCGAGGACGCGCTCCGCGCATGTCCCGAGATTGCCGACATCCAACATTGCCAAGTGCAACGAATCCAGATCGGCTTGCTAGACAGTCTGAGCGAGATCCTCCTCAAGCAGATCCTGCTTCACCGTCAAGACGGCATTCGTCACTTTGGATTCCGATTTGACGATACCATCCTGTTCCTCGGACGGCGATCGATGTTTGTACGATCCGAGCTTCTGCTGCCCGAGATACGTCGTATCACTGTCGACATCAGTAGCGTTAGAGAAGCTCCATCGCCGGAGGACGTACACCACAACAGCGCCGGACTCGTCTCGCTCTTCATCGCCGAGCTGATCGGGCGCGAGGACAGGACGGATGCGAAACGGGTCGAGCTTCGGGTGTTTTGCAAGCCGGACCCTGTCAATGGAACAAGACGTCCGCAGGTCACGCAGGCTCACATCCTGCTTGCAGCTCAGATCTACGACTTTACACGAGCCTTCCTGGAGAAGGTTGCCGGTCTCAAGCTTGTGGTCTCTTTCCAAGCACCCTTTCGAGCTCAGGTAGCGCACAACAGGAGGATTCTCGACATTTGGGGTCGCGAGAACGACATCTCTTTGCTCAACACCTAGTTACAGAATCATCCTCTCCCGGAGAAAGAGGCACTATTCGAATCGATCATATCTAATAGCCACCGGCCCCGGGAATCCGAATCCTATTATACTGGAACCAGTCGTCTGTCAACCCTGGAATGGTCTCGCTGTTCAACTTGAGCCAATTTCGCTCCGACAATCCGTAGAAGCCCACTGCATACAACATCCTGTACGCTCTCCCATGGGTTTCCGCCACCGGTCCGAACTTCCACAACGACAGCGTGGCGCGTCTGCTGCTGTGCACCCAAGTGATCTTGCGGTGTTGGCAAAGCATGAGCGTCTCTCCATTCCGCAGCTTGAGCAGCTTAACGTGTTTGGTCTTGCGAAAGATGTGGGTCATGCGCGAGTTGAGCTGGTGCTTGTCGTCGTCGGTGAGTGGGATACGTTGGAATGCGTCCCAGGGCAGGTCAGCTCGGGCGCCCCATTCGTTTAACAGCGTCGGGATCGATGCGTCTTCGCGCCAGACATAGACGTACAGTCCCGACACGGGATGTAGTAGCATCGACTCTCCGCCCAACGGCACGTTCGACTCGTGGAATCGGATGTTGCGAGAGGGACTGCTCACGCGTGGTACCTCCTCCGACGTCATTCGCCTCACTTCGAGCTTCAGGGCAGGAGGCTCGGATCGACCGTAGCGGACGGTGATCCAGAAGTCCGCCCCGATCTCAGGTTGCTGTGTCAGTCCACGGTACTCGTCCGCTGTAAACGGGTAGAATCCGTGCAGGAAGAGCGACGAGATCGACCCCTCTTGCGGTGGCGAGATGTGCCAGACGGATATCACACCCTTGCCGAGCGTTGGCGGGAGGAAGTGGGGCTGAGCGGCGAACGTGACGAACAAACGCCTCGATCCGCCTACCACGGGAAGGAAAAGCTCCTTGGCGCTTGCCCTATTCCAGAACGTGGCGGTCGCTAACCCGTCCGCATTCCCTCGAGTCTCGGGTCCAAAGATGACGGTTTGAAGCTCGTCGATCTCCGACGTGGTCCCCCATTCGTAGTGGACTCGCTTCCGGAGACGACCGATGAACTTGTCGACATAGGGGTCCGGCTGAAACACCACTTTGTAGACGGCGGGACCGAGATCGAATGAGAACAGCGACGCCAGTGGGTCGTGCGGCGCATCTTGATGTGTTCCGTCAGCTGTGAGTGCGTTTGCGGCAAGATGCTCTTCCCGTGCAGGCGATACGTGGAAGGTCGGCAGGACCTGGATGAGAGCAGGTGGGCGTTTGATCAAGGACGGTGTCGTCTGCGGATCGAAATGATAATCAGCGGACGCGGCCTCTCTGGAGGGCTGAACGGGAGGAGGTGTAGCCGAATCGCCAGGTGAGTGCAGCAGGGCGGTGAAATAGCCAGGCGAGGAATCATGAGGCGGACCAGCAGGGATGTGCACGGCATCGGCAGTGTAAGACGCAAACTGAGTCCATTGCCGATGTCCTGATGACGATGACGCGGCACCGGCATTTGAAGGCACCGAAAAGTCCATACCGTGCGATCCAGTCGATGTCGAGGCATAGTCGGTGAGAGTCGTCGATGATATCCTTGCTGCGGAAGACTGTGCTTCCGGTCCAAGGCTGTTGGCATGGCCAAACTGAGTCGCACCACTACGAGAGAACGTGTGTGTATGTTGAACCGACGGCTCGACCAGCTGTTGAGGTAGTGACCGATGCTGAGGTATCTGATCCAGACGCTCGCGCGGCTCGCTGAAGAACTCTTCGAGATATTTGAAGAAGACTTCGTCGTCCTTCACGGGGGGCGTTGGACTGCAAAGGCAATGAGAAAGACAGACGATGGCGAACACCAGGAACGCCTGCGGCCTGAGAGGTCGCCACAGCTTAGGAGCCAACATTGCAAAGTCGCTCCGTGCGTGGCGCTTGTGGGAGAGGAAAGAAAGAGAGGGACGAAGATGAGGCAAGCGGTGGATCAAGAAGGGGGGTATGTGCACACAATTTGCCCTCGAGTTGCTTCTTCGGACTTGTCGGGGCGCTCAACGAAGGCGTTGCAATGTGACGAGCTCATCAGGTGGGGCCAGTCAGCAGTTGATACATGAGCTGAGCGGTCACGCCGTAGGTACGAAGTCTCGACGCTCGCTTGTAGACAAAGAGGTGGTCGCGATGATACCAGTCAGACTAGATGCAACGACACGAACGATGTTCTGGCGTACACTCAGTGGGGTTTGACATAGCATTCGCGATTAACGAACGAGCTCGTCGAACGATCAATGATATCTATGAAGCCACAAGACCTTCTCTGGAGACCTGTCGGTGGTCAGCGGGCCGAACTTGTACACGGCCTTGCCCGGATTTTTGCGCAGCTTGACGTAAACAGTCTCCTTAATCCCGAGGACGGCGCGCAGCGAGAGCACCGGAGGCTGCGTCGAGTCGTGGTCGATGGTCCACAATGCCAGCGCAACTCGATACGGATTTTCCTCGTTGAACAATCTCTTCGTATGGAAAGTCACTAGGACTGGTCGAGTTGGGAGCTTGAAGACGTAAACGACCCTGCTGCTGCTGAAGACTTGCGAGATCTTAGGCATGTGATCGGAGATCCCGGCTCCAACTACGCTCGTGAGATCCTTGACCTCATGCCTGTTGTGTTCAAAGTGAGTCTCAAAGTGAGTCTCGAAGAAATCGAGAAGCTCGCTTGCCAGCTCGGGAGTGGGCTCCCATCGGAGATCGTCGGGGAGGCGAACCATTCGTGGATACTCGAGAAGTAACGGGCTCGTATGCCAATCCATGGGACGTAGCGGCTCAGGTATGGTCTCTCGCTTAAGGGAGCTCGATAGCGTCGATGTCGAGGGGTCGAAATGAAGCGCAGCATCCTCGTGTTGATCAGCGAGAGGCGCATTCTGAGATCGAGCTGCATCCAAGGCTAGGGGCTCCCGAGCCTCTTCGACAAGCTGTCCGGAGCCGGAGGTGGACGATCCAGATCCTGACGCGATGTGTTCGAGAGACCAGCGATCCTCTTTGGAGTTCTCAAAGGCATCAAGGCCATCTAAGTTTGGCTGACTTCGATCGGCTTCGAACGGTGTTCGAGCAGGTTGTATCGTGTTGTGGAGAGTGTTTGGCGAGCCAACATGCGAGGCAAGTGACGGCGGCAGGGGTGCGAGCTCCGCCCCGGCGTGACCAAGTGGCTCGAGATGGTTGAAAGCCCTCGAGAGGGCCGGAGTAGATTCCAACATCTCCGCGACCCAAGCTTCATTGGGCCACATTGGTGCGGGCGACGCCGACGCGAAACATACGAGTAGCCATTCGATAGCGACGACTGAGCAGAGGAGATTCGTTCGACGGAGAGCCTGCATGATGCTTCGTTTGATCACTTGCGTCACGAGCCAAAAGAGCTTGCAATGTCGTGGGAGGAACGTGAAGATCTCATCGTAAGCATCACTAGCGGAACTCCTGCTGTGAACACCAGCGGTGGGTCATCGCCGGTGTTGACCTGGTAGTCTGTGCCGTTGCGTGTGATTTCTGCCACAGATGATGATTTCCATCAGCCACGTATGCCATGATGAACGTCGCTCGGATTGCAAGTGTCTCTGAGATCTCTCGGAGTTAGCTCCACAGGGCTATCGACGCTCGTTCGCTTTCGACATGAAGGCAGTGATGTCGCTATGATACCGTACAAACAAGTGGCGATGGCAAGTACGACTTGAAAGGTATCAATGTGACAGAGACCTGGGGGAATATAAATGTCGATGACGCACTCAATCATGCGAGTGAAGCCACAAGAGCCTCCTCGGGGACGGACCGTCCGTCCAGGAGCCTGGATTGTACACAGCCTTTCCCGGTCTTCTTCGCATCTTTGCGTAGAGGCCGATCTTGACCCCAAACGCGGCACGAAGCGAAAGCACGGGTGCCCGAGCCGAGTCCTGATCGATGGTCCACAGCACCAGCGCAACTGGGTGAGGATTGTCCTGTCTGAACAGACTCCTTGTGTGGGCAGTGATGAGGACTGGGCGTGTCGGAAGCTTGAAGACATACACAAATCGGTTCATGCCGAAGGCCTCCTTGAATGTTGGCAGATCATGCGCCAAGCGGGCCCGATCCCCACCCGTCAGATCCGCGACGTCGGTCCGACTGTATCCAAGACGTGATTCGAACAAGCTGAGAAGCTCACCTGCAAGCGCAGGAGATGGATCCCACCTGAGATCGTTCGGAAGCTCCACTACTCGAGGATACTCGAGCGGATGGGCTACATCTAGCCACTCTAGAGTGGGTGTTGGATCGTACACGGCCTTGCGGTTGCGTGAGGTCGAGAGCATTGATGCCATGGGAGCCTGCTGAGGCACAGCATGGTCTGCCTGTCCGCCGAGTGCTACGTGTTGAAGTTGAGCTGCTCGAGGAGATGGCTGCTCTGGGATTTCAGCCGCACGAGGTCTGGTGTCGTAGTTGAATTCCGCGGACACGATGTGTTCCAGTGCCCACTTATCTGTTCCGGAGCCCTGGAAGGTTGGCCACGTCAAGTCGTGGGCATGTAAGACGGGCGGACTCCATTCGGTATGAGACTGCGAGAGAGGCTGCGTCGCGCCGTTAACAGGATTGGATAGCGCAAAATGCTCGAGAGAGCCACTCGGTTCTCGAAGAGGCACTGGATCGTGCCATGATGGCGACGTTGCCGTCAATGACTGGAGACTTGCTGCCAGGTGATCATGGACAGACACCTGCCTCTGATCAGGCCAGGGAAGTGATTCCGGCAGAGGCACAAGTTCGCTTCCGACGTGTCTCAGAGCGTTGACGTGTCTCGAAGTTTCCCGAGTGGCGTCGTTAATCTCTGTGACCCAAGCCTCGCCCGGCCACATTGGAGCCGGCAGTGGCGAAGCAGATCCCAGGCTGAGCCGTTTGATTGCGAAGACGAAGAAAAGCAGTGCGGTTCGATGCGAAGTCTGCATGGTGTATGGCACGATGACTTGAGCAGGTGTGGTGAAAGAGGAAGTCCGGCTCGATGGTCCCTTGGACGTCTTCCGTCAGGTAGAAAGCTGCAAAGTGCGACTTAATGATAGGGTTGTCAGACAGCCTTAGTGTGAACGCAGGTGGGGCGCATCGCCACCAAAATCCCCGCCTAAGCAGGTCCACCGTATCACTCGATTTGGACGAAGGAGACCTGTGCAGTATCACCTTGAAGACAAGTCGTCACATGAAGTCATGGGTGATAATGTAATGTTGATTCAAGATGGGACCTGAACGGGCATAAAGAACGGCGCATCTGCGTCATGCCTTGAGGATGCCCTCTCACAGCGCAGCCTTTGGCCCCTTCCATCGGCCCAATCCATAATTCGCCCGGATCACAATCAGATCCAGTGCCATTCTAACGCTATCTTTGACCAGATCGATCTTGCTTCCCGTGACCTCTTGCCAGTCGACGCTGACCTCGGCGATGGGCACGGGCAGTCTGGCCAACTCCTCCGACTCGGCTTCATTTCCCCCCAACTGTGGCGTCGATGGGGGTTGTTGCTGGAGGGCGAGTTGGCTTGCCGTCTGGGCGAGGATGAGGAGCTCCACATCAAAAATCCACCCATCAATGTGGCTTGCTGGGAAAACAAGCTTGGCCGTGGGACGGGTGAACAGCTTGAACCCACACTGGGTGTCTTTGATCTCTGGTTGCGTGGGCAGTGCTACCACCCCTTTACACTGCTTCTGCTTTTTGCGGCCGAAAACCTGCCTCACGAGACCGGACAGCGTCGGCGGTCGGAGCAGAAGGGTGAGGAAAAGGTGGAAACCGTGCATGAGAAAGTTGCGCAGGAAGCTGCGTTTGACGACCGCGTCGGATTTGACCATGTGCGCGCGGCTGCCCACCGCCACACCGTGTCCCTTGGGTGTGATGACGCGGGATAGGGTGGAGCACAGCTTGGACAGGTCAGGGAAGGAAGTAGCGCCATCCGCATCGGCAAAAAGGATGAGATGGCCACGAGAGTGCAGCACGCCATGACGCACGGCCCCGCCCTTGCCCCTGTTCTTGACGAGACGGACGACGCGAATGGTCGATGCGGCCGAGGGAGAGGACTGAGCAAAATCAAGAGCGACCTGATGCGTGTCGTCCTTGCTGCCGTCGTCGACGATGATGATCTCGTAGCTTGTGAGGGGGTCGTGTAGGGCCGAGTGAACGGGCGTCCGTGAAGTCGAGCCGTTGCTGCTGCCGTTTGAGGCGGTATTTTTCTTGAGCGGAAGACCCTGCACCAGACTCCGCCGCCCTTCTTTGAGCCCATCGAGATACTCGACCGTCTCTTTGAGCATCACCGGCAGCCTCTCCTTCTCGTTGTACGCAGGTACTACGACGCTCAGCTGCACCGCCTCGTTCACTCCACCGCCAAGCTCTTCCTCCACATCGTCGAGCAGTGACGGTAAGGACTGCGGCTGCTTGCTCTTGGTCGAGAGAAAGGTGAGCTCCGAGGATGAGCTGGTCTTGGTGTCTGGTGTGAGGAATATGAGAAGGATGTAGAGGGATGACGCTGCGACAGCGAGGAGGGTGATTAGGGCGATCGCGACTTGAGGATAATGATGGTAGAGCGCGATGGGGATGGCGGTAAGGAACGAGTAGATCGTACCATCGAGTAGGGAGGATGAACCGGCAGATCCGGCGATAGCGCCTCCAGCGCAGCAGGCGGCACCCATCTTAGCTGTTTGTGGAGTCTGTGATCTATCTGATGGTGTTGCTGTCGGTTGCACAACCGGAGGAGCCGTGAAGCAGGAGGCGTGGATGCTTCTTGTCTTGCTCACAGCAATGCGATCCGATCCTGCGATGGGTGATGCTGATACTGGCGGACGTTGCTATGTCCGCTTCTAAGCCTGTTGACGATCGAGCCTCTTCCGACAAGATGGTGGGCGTCTCAGCTTCTTGCTACGCTATCGGAGCGGTTCTTTCTGGCGTGCGTGATGGTGCGCTGTGCCGGCCAGCAGCGGTTAAGATGGAGCGACACTCGTCTTGAAGCGTGTACGAGGCTGATGTTGCGCTTTGTGATGTCGAGTACAGGCCCTGATTGATGATGAAGGTGGTGAAGCAAGATGATCCTGTTGGATGAAACCAACCCTGAAACCTCAAGACGAGGCAGAAGGCACGGATCATCAGCATGTTCGGCTGAGACCCTGGCGTTGGACTTCCGCTTTCTTCTCGCAGGGCGCTGCTAACCTGCAGCCGAGGCCGCCACAAATTATTTAAAACGCATGCAGCGTTTGACGTGTCTCTCTCCGCAAGCCCAAAACGGCGGAGTAACACGCTGTCCTCAGGTCAGAATTTCCAGCTTCCTGGAAAGGGGCCTGTCGAGAAAAGCGAGCCAAAACTGTGGTCGAGAAATTATCATTTCAGTTGGCACAAGCAACGGCGGGCAAGAGATGATGCTACATGTATCAGCCCTGAGTCGACACAGGGGTCAGAACGTAGGATCTGAAATCGTGATCTTCTACGTCAAACGCCTGCGCACGCGCGCTCTGAACGAGCTCCTGGAAGAACCTACTTGGGCAGTGAAACAGGCCCAAAAACGCCAGGCTCCTCCCCTGGTCCGCGGTGGTCCAGACCGAGACCTTTTCCCTGTAATGCTGCTGATTGGGCAGCGAGATTCGGGTGTGGTATCGCATCAGCACCTCGCCCGGCTCGACCGAGGGCGAAAAATCTTGAGGAAGACTGAACTTGTAGACGCGAGCATTCTGCAGATACTTCCAATTCTCCAGAACCATCTCGCGGATGGCAGATGGACTCAGGAGTGTGCGGGCGCGCTCGGTTGCGAAAACGGCGTGGTACCTGGCGTTTCGTAGGTGTATCGCTGCGTCTGTCCAGAAGCGCTCGAACCACGGCGAGGCGACGTACTCCGCGTTGGATGGGAAGAGGAGACGATAGTCGTCGGGACCCGATCCGTCGTGCGAATGTCCAACGAAGCGATCCAGACCTGGGGTGAGTGGGACACGAGCAATTGGATCTGGCTGATGGAGGGTCGGAAGAGGCTGAATATCATGCTGCAGATCGGAAGGCGATCCTTTGAGCCCCGAGTCTAGGTGATCAAGACTTGGAGCGCCATTCGATACCGCCGAGTGATCAGAAGGGCTGGCCTCGTCGAAAGAGGGATGTCGATACGGCGCGAGAGAGAGCCAGCCGTCGTCATTCGTCGGTACGCGACGCAAGGGCTGTCTTGGCGACAGGCCGAGTGCTAGCTCAGTCGAAACGACGCTGTCCTGGAGGACTTCCTCGGCTGCATGAGCGAGCTCAGAGACAGGTGGGGCGCACAGAGTCGGCGTGAAAGCAGTTTGCAAGAGGCAAAAGGTTGCTATGAGCTTAGAGGAGAGAGTCATGATGTCCAAGAGAAGCGAAACGAGCAAGAGAAGGGAAACTGACAGCTTCGTCAGCGATACACAGCACTGATTTTTCATGCTTGCAACTCGGCCAACTCTTGCTGTCCTTAGCAATGGCAAGAGGTGAAACGGCTTCCGGTGACCATGAACTGTTCGGCAAACGCTGGTGGGCACTCAACAGACGACGAATGAGCTATCAACCATCAAGAGCTTGCGATGATACACGGCTGAATGGTTTCAACGCCATCGTTCGATCTTCTCACGCCAAGGTGCTGTTTCGACGTGGGTTGCATCACGCGCCGAAAGTGCTCCGTGATGCGCGATGCAAGAAAGGATTGACGTGCGAGAAAGGCCACAAGGGACAGCTTCAAAATAAGATCACTGGGGCGAAACCTGCCCGTCGAGGCGAGGCGCCTCATATCTGGGGACTAGATCGATCTGTCCCAGCAAGGAAGACACATCGAACTTCCTGCTGCCTGGAAGCCGTCTGAACTCGGCCATTAAAGCCTTGGGGCAGTGGTAGAGTCCTACAAAAGCAAGTCGTGAGCCCTGGCCGCTGGTCTTCCAAACGATCAGCGTGTTGGGCGGGATCTTGACTCCATGCCCTTCGAACTCCACGGACAGGTATCGGACCAGCACCTCTCCGCTCCGCCAGTGATTGGCAGCATTGCCTGCAAATCGAAGCTTGTATATCCGTGCGCTGTTACCAAAGAGCTCGTGACCCCTGACCGTGATCAATCGGAAGAGGTTCAGAGTCATCTCGAACTTGACGGGATAGGTCCATTGTCTGCCCCAGTTTCGACTTGCTCTTCGTACTTCAACGTAGCTCGCGTAGGTGGCATCGAACCAACTTGAGGGAACGTAGTCGATGGTCTGCGGTAGCCTCCATACACCGGTGCGTCTGTCGCGCAGAAGAAGGTCGTTAAAGAAAATGTCGAGATCTTGCTCCGAAGTGAAGCGCGCCCTTTGCTGCAGCCACCGATCCGCTGAGACCGCGTCCACAGAAGAAGACGATGGTCCCTCGATTTCAGCGGACGGGATACTGAATGCACGGTCAGGACCCGTCGGCAAGGCTCCGACTATAGGAGGGCTTGTGAAATCCGGTCTTGAAGCTGGTGGACGACCTCTGAACGGCGAAAGGTCGGAATGGATGAAAGGGTGAAGCCTTTGAGTTGGAGCCTGCTCGAGCTGTGCGACAGGCGCTGATGAGCTGCCCAGGGTCAGCTCTGTTGACACATGCTCTTTCAAGAACAGTCGAGCTGCGTCGCCGACCTCTGCAATCGGACGAATGGGTGGTGCTCCAATCACGTAGACGCATGCGCACCAGAGGTAGCCAGAAACGATGAGGACGAAGAACAGCATTCTTTGGAAGTGGCTCGGGCTGTTGTCGTCGATAGACAAGATGGATCGCTACGCCAAACTATGTTGTGTGAGAACTTATCCTTCGAGCGCCGCCGGCACGGTGTAGGTAACGTTGCATCTCAGCAACAACGCGATGGTCGGTGTAGGCTGCTCCTTCCACGCCGAAGACAGCCGAGATGAAAAGGGGTGTGAAAAAAAGCTTCACCGTGGGAATGTTGGTGAAACCGGCATGTTACACGGTGGCGGGAGTGGCTGAACTCCAGCGCACTGCCAGCGACACCATCTTCGCCGTTGCAAAACATGAACCCTCCCTGACAACGCCAAATGCACACCGTCACGCATCAGCCACACATTGATCGATTCACACCGGGTCACATTCGGTCAACCTAGATGGATTGAAGAATTTGAAGCGTGTACAAGAGAGCAGGCGTTTGCGCGTCTGTAGAGATAGTGGATCGCTACGACGTCGTGCCGGGCAAGCGCTTGCGCACCAGAAAGAGATCTGTGTGCACGACGGGGCTCGTCTCGACGCGCGTTTCGAGAGCGAACCTTTCCACCCCCGGAAAACCGCGGATCATGTTCTCAAAGCCGTGCTTGGTGATACGAAAGGTACCGAGCAAAGCAAGCTTTGATGCGCCGTCGGCTGAGCTCCAGAACGAGATGACGTTGCGCACCGGCTGTTGGTACCAATGCATTTCCTTGTGAAACCGTACGAGTAGCTCCAGCGGTACAGACGCATGGCTCACTCCCAGCCACTCGGGTGAGATACGCAGAAGGTACGCATCGACTCGGGAAAAGTGGAAGTGCTTTTCGTTAGACTCAAAGCTCGATACGATCGAAGCTGGGATCGGGAGCTCCTCGTGGTTGAAGACGGGCTTCCGCCTGTCTGACGGGACGCTGAGCATGTGTGTGTAGACGTCTTTGAGCCAAGGCGAAGGGATGTGGACGATTTCTTGCGGTAGCTTGAAGCGGGCGGTCACTTGACGGTAGAGAGGCGAAAAGCTCAAGAAGAGAGCGTCGATACGAGGCGAGAAGCTGAGCTCTCGGGCGATTTGGGCTGCTAGCGAATGAACAGGACCTTGGCCCGGCGACATAAGTAAGTCCGGCAAGGAACCGCTTTCGAAGGGCGATCCATGAGGCGAACCGACCCCGTCATGCGCCGGCACTGGCGGAATCGACGGAGCGGCAAGGTCACGAGCTGCATCCACTTCGGAAGTCGTTGGAATTGACTCGCGCGCGCGCGCAAAAGTGAACCCCCTCACGACGTCTTCGAGTGAACCTGCCAGCGGAGCTGCCTGCGTCAGGTGGACAGCAAGTGCCAAGCTGGCAACGAGCAGGGAGGCTAACCGCATCTTGGTGGAGTTGGAAGCGGATGAAAAGGGTGGCGAAGGGGAAGCCGTAAACATCAAGCATATCAGCTTTTTGAGAGAGAGCGAGCGCCTCGTTCGACAATGCACTGCTGTTGCACAAGCATTAATGAAGTCACACCCCACCGCCTGTGTTGACACACGAAGACAGTCGAGACTCTGCAACAAAGGTGCCACCAGCGACATTGTTCATTCTTGGTTCTCACTCGCTTGATAGATTCTGAAGCGCCTGTAGCACGTCCAACAGAGCTTGAACAGAGTCCAACTGTCATAGAATACATTGAAAAGAGATGCTGCATTTGTGCGCCATGCAATGGATCATGAAGATTGCCTCACACCTGGCGCCCGTCCTGATGTCCCGGCCCGTCATCCGAGCTCAAATGCTGAGCGAGATCCACGCTGACATCCGCGTCCACGTCCTGCTGCACCGCGGCGGGTTCCCCGGTGTCCGCATCTACTACTGTTGTCGCCACCGCGACACCGTTCAAAGCGGGACTCGAGCCCGACTCCACCACGCCCACTGGTGGTCCCGGGGGCACTGGCACTGTGATGTCGCGCTTGCAAATAGGACACAGCTTCTTCACCCTCACCAGCCAATCGTCCACCTCTTGACGGTGGAAAATGTGTCCGCAGGGGAGCACCCGCACTCTGTCACCGTCGACAAAGTCACACAGGCAGATTGCGCACTCATCTGTGCTAAAGTAGGTCCTCCCGGGCGGGAGCGAGGCTGGGTTGACAGGCTTGGCGGTCGAGGGTCCAGCTTCGGCCTGGTCCGCGAGAAGCGGGATGGTTTCCCCGGCGGGATTGGCTTCGAGGTCGTCAGCAGGATACGGGTTGGAGGAGGAAGAGCCGTTGCCCGGCCCAGGATCGACGTCGGTGTCTTCAACCTTCTCCCAGGGCTGCCCGTTGCCGCGCCAAATGAGGCAAGGGAGGCCAAGGACGACCAATTCCGGCGCGCGCTCCTTACGTCGCTGTCGCACCATGCGAATGCGGTGCACGATGATGGTGATTACCGTCATGAAGCTGGGAAGGAGCAGGAGGAGGATGCCAAAGTCGATCAAAGGCCACTCCCACGCGAGATCATCCTTGCCAATGACGATTTCGAGCCCGCGTGTCAGAGGTGCTCGTTCGCCGTCGCGCTCAGACGAGTGCTGCCTCTCCCATTCTTTCTGATCCTTTTCGGTCTCTTCGATGAGGCGCTCCAGGTCGAGGTAGCTGGGACGGGTGACGAACGTCGAAGGGATACGCACGTCGCTCGTGTCTCCAGGCGCAAACATGGTGATGAGACGCTTGCCACTCAGTCCAGGATCGCCCTCTTCGTTCGGATCGCCTGTTCGGCCGCCGTGCCAATTTGGACTAGGCGAGTCCCCGACAACGACCGCCACGGCGCCAAGCTGCTGAGCTACACGGACCTTGTCGGCGAACCCGCAGCCGCCACCACGCTCAACCAGGGCGATCCAGTTGTGTGGAGGTTTGGTAACGTCAAGGTCGTTCTCTGCTTCATGTGTCCAGGTGAAGGCCGTTTGTGATGATTTATCGCTGTGGAAAGAAGAGTAGAGCCGACGGTCATCCTCGTCTTCGTACTTGCTGAAAGCAACGTCGCGATGCGATCCGGGACCACCCTTGTACGGGCAGGCATGGACAGGATCGCGGCTGGCGTCCGAGGTAGAGAAGCTGGCGTCCTTTGGGATCTTGTAGAAATCCGTGATGGGCAGCAGGAATCCTTTGAGACCTGCATCGTCGGTCACGTGAGGGCCAAACGCAGCTGAACGAGTGAGGAAGATCGCTTGGGATCGCACCACTTCGAGCGTGCTACCTCCCCAGTTAAGGCCTGGGCCATCCAAAACGCCGTCCGAGTCAAGGCTAGACCTATCAGACGATGCTAGGTGAAACTCATCGAGGTGGTAGTCGTCGAATTGATCCAGATCGTAGGAGAAGTAGCGCGGGTCGGGTAATGCGTGCGAGAGAAAGCGAGAGACCGTGTTGAAGACCTGATCTTTGGCAACGGTGAACCAGGGTCTACGTGTTCGTTGCATGACTTTTGCGATGGATGCGGTGGGGTTCAGGCTGGAAGAGGAAGCGTGGGCGGCCGCGCTTGGAGAGTGGCCGGCATGATGGTCGTGGACGCTGGCTTGGGCGACGGGGACGGCAGCAGCGAGCGCGAGGAGCGACAAGGTGGCAACTCGCTGAAGCGAGGCTGTCGAGCGACGAGATCGCCTGGACACGCGCGCCATGATGTACGTTAGGGATAGGGTTGCGAAAGGCAGGAAGAGATGGTGTCAAGGAAAGGCAGGTGGCTGAAGCTCCCGAAAGATAGCCTTGCGTGTGGAGAAGCGACAGCGTGGAAGCCGAATGTATGAATCGACTGCATAGCTGAGTTGACGGAACCCTGCAGCAGCTTTTTGAGTGACGCGCGCAGCTGCAGCAGCGCAGCTCGCCTTGTCCTTGAGACCGACTCGGTTGCTTGAAATTGAATTTTGCCACGACTCAGCCCTCGGCTATCCGATCCAGCTTAACAGTCTGACTTTTTTGGTACCATTCATCCCACAGCTCGCCGGTGACGATGACGCAAGGAGCCTCAAAGGACAATGTGAGAGCCATGGAGGACGCACAGAAGTGCAAAGATCAGGTGTCATAAGGTGTGGTATGCTGGTGGTACAAGTACAGATGCAGGAGAGCAGGAGGGGAGGGCATTGGTGCTGATGCCGAATGTTGAAGCGTCGGTGGAGTGCATTCGTTTATAGAGCGCGAGCCCTTTCACTGATCCGCAAAGTCGCCTTCGTCCATGTCTTTGGGTTCTTTCGGCTCTTCGTCTTCACCGTACTGGACGGCGTTGTCAATGTGCGAGAGAATGGTCCCTACAGAGTCTTCGTCGGTGCTGTTGAGAGGCATGAAAGACACCATGCTGAAATCGTCGATCTACGATTTGAAAGAGGTGCATAGGGTACGAATCGGTCAGTAATCAGTGATAAGCTCGCAAGAAGCAACAGACCAACAACAAATGGCTGGACTCACCAATTGCACCAGCGCCTGATTCAACGAGTGAAACTTGGGATTTGTCCGCGAGTTGACTTCGTCCATCAACAGAAGCGGATCTGGATCGAGATATCGCTCCATCTCTCTCCTCCGCCCTTTCTTGGCCTCGGATCCGATCTCGCCTTTCTCTACCAAGTCCATCTTGCTGAGCAGGTTGATGTGCGGTACCTCGAGATTAATCATTGCGCTCATGGCGCTGAGTACGCCGGCAAAGTACTTGGTCTTGTCGTCGATGAATTGCGATTCGAGAAGGTAGGTCGCGCAGATGCGAAAGCCGTATTGCCCTTGCAGGATGTTGACCAGCCGCGACATGATAGGGAAGTGGGTGTAGAGCTCGATCTGGCCAGGACAGTCGATGATGATGTAGTCGTCATTGAATTGTCCGAGCTCGTCGTCAAGCCAGTCAAGATTGTCGAGGAGGTATCTGAGCAGACCAAGTAGCGCGAGCAGCGAGTCAGTGTCTAGCGGACGCAGAGAAGGGGCAGCATCTTGCACCAGCATGGCTTGGTTGCCTCAAGTAGTAAACTTACTCGAAACAGTAGATGAGCCCGCCGTTGGGACCAAGGCTCATTTCTTCCATCACATCCTCAAGCGAGATCAGCTCTTTGATGTCGATGCTTGGCTGATATTCGAAGCGCTCGGCGGCAGGATCCAAGTTGAACAGATGGACACTGCGGCCCAACGACTGCGCGTGGGCTATCAAGGCTGAGCAGAAGGTCGATTTGCCTGATCCTGCAGGACCAGACACCAGAATCGCGTAGCGTCCCATCGTTGCTGCGTTCTCTTCCGCTTTCGCTTAAGGCTTGGCGCTGTTGTATGCTCTCTCCCTTTAGGTCGCGGTTGTGGTCGTGTGAAGGTTGTGGACAGGCTGCATGAAGGGAGAAGAACACAAAAATCTCATGCTTCAGCCGTGTTCCGAGGTGGAGTAAAAATTAAGACGCGATCGGGTGACCGAGACCCGATTTGAACTGCATGCACGGTTGTCGGTGCGGAGCTGGTTCGGTCTGCATCCATATGGCTCGACTCCGCATCGATACCCAGCTCCTCTTTCTACCGCCACCATCGTCACTTCGGTCAACCAGCAACGCTAGGCTCCAGCTTCCCGTGATCATCATGCTGGATCACTTCACCATCTTCACAAAGAATGGCCTGGTCCTCTGGTCCAAGACCTTCAGTCCAGCACTCAGCAGCGCCGATGCATCCGCCAACCCAGTCAACTCGCTCATCAAGCAGGCCTTCCTCGAGCAACGCACAGCTGATCAGAAGTTCGACAAGGAAGGCTACACGCTCCGATGGACGTTCGCAAACGAGCTCGACCTGACCTTTGTCGTCGTCTACCAGCGTATCTTGCAGCTTTCCTACATCGAGGAGCTTCTCGAGACTGTCCGCTCGCTCTTTTCTGATCTCTTTGCATCCTTCGTGCGAAAGCTCGCCCAGTCTTCCAAGAGCGCGGTCGCCTCAGGCACCTCGAAAGCTGCGACATTGTCCGAGAGTGCGAGGCTCGAGTTCGCCGCTGCACTCAGAGAATGGGACGATATCTTCACAAAGACACTCAGGAACCTCGAAAAGGCGGCGGCTCAAAACAAGCGCAAGGGTGTTCTCGGCGAGAAGAAAGGCGCCATCAATCAGCCTCAGATCGCAGCAGGATCTGACAAGGAGAGCGGTCAGAACACCCCTAGCTCGGTCAAGGAAGCCAAGGACTCCGCCGATATCGCTAAAAGCGTGGAAGCCCTCAAGAGTCGCTTGAAGCTCGAGGCCAGTCCTGGCGGTCGGCGTGTAGTGCGCAGCAAGAAGAGCACACCTGGCATCTCGGCTTCCAATGGCGGAAGCGCCCCAGGGACACCAGGTCATGCGAGTGGAACCGAGTCTCCTGGCGGCAAGAAGGCGAAAGCAACCAAGGAGATGCGCAAGTGGGACGGCAGCCGCAGCGTGAGCGCTCAACAGGTCGCTCAGTTGGATTTCAGTGGTGCGACCGAGAAGGACGCAGATGAAGGCGCTGGCCTCGACAGCTGGATCGACGAGAAGAGCATGGGCACCAAGCGATCCGACGGCGTTTACGAGATCGCTGATGTCCTGGAGGAGGACGAAGATGACGAGGACGAAGAGGATGAAGAGGAGGACGACAACAATGTGGACGGAAGCACTGCAAAGTCTGCTGGCTTCCTGTCTCGTATCGGATCTGCTTCGTCTTCTGGAGCATCCTTTTTCTCTCGACTCACCGGCGCCAAGACGCTTACCAAGGAGGATCTGGCACCCGCGCTTTCTGCAATGGCTTCTCACCTGCAGAGCAAGAACGTCGCAGCTGACGTCGCACAGCGTCTCTGTGACAGTGTTGAGCGCAACCTGGTCGGCAAGAACCTCGGCAGCTTTGGCTCAGTCAAGCTCGAGGTCAAGAAGGCGCTCGAAGAGGCCATCACTCGTATCCTCACACCCAAGTCTTCCACCGACATTCTCCTCGAGATTGCCACCAAGCGACAACGATCAGCCGCTGCATCATCACTGGCCCTCGCCACCAGCGCCAAGGACAAGGAGCTGGCTAGCAAGCCCGACCCCTACTCGATTTGCTTCGTCGGCGTCAACGGCGTCGGCAAATCCACCAATCTCGCCAAGGTCTGCTTCTGGCTGCTGCAGAATCGACTGCGTGTCCTCATCGCTGCTTGCGATACGTTCCGTGCCGGTGCTGTCGAGCAACTCCGCGTCCACGTCCGCAACCTCGGTCAGCTGCGCGTCGACGGCATTGCGCTGGATGAGCAGAAGGGACGCATCGAGCTCTACGAGCGTGGGTACGGCAAGGACGCAGCGGGTATCGCCAAGGACGCGCTCACCTACGCCAAAGCAGAAGGCTTCGACGTCGTACTCATCGACACAGCCGGCCGAATGCAGGACAACGAGCCACTCATGCGCGCCCTCGCCAAACTTGTCTCTGTCAACCGACCGGACAAGATCATTTTTGTCGGAGAAGCGTTGGTGGGCAACGAGGCGGTTGATCAGATCACCAAATTTGATGGCGCCATGAAGGACTTCAGCGGTGTCAGCAACCCCCGCGGCCTCGACGGCAGTCTGCTGACCAAGTGGGACACGGTCGATGACAAGGTGGGAACCGCTCTCACCACAACTTCGGCGACCGGACTACCGATTTACTTTTTGGGAACTGGTCAGACGTACACCGACCTCCGACAACTTCGCGTTCATCATGTGGTGAACGCGTTGCTCAAGAATTGAGCACCGATTGGCTGCAAGTGGCTGACCATGTAATTTAGCGTGCGTTGCAAGATCCCAATACGATGTGCTCAACGCCGATACAATAGTGGCCGTGATGATCGTAACGATCATAAGGCCGCCCTTGGGACTCTCTGGTGGGGCTCAGGTGGGCTCCAACGGATCGAGAGCTCAAATGCATCTCGTGTCCTCTGATCCCCAATGCTGACCCCATCTTCCACTACTTCCGCAGCCGGTCGACCACGATGCGTTGTTTCAGCCTGCTGTTGGCTCAGGCGCTGCTTGTTGCCTGCTTAGCCGAAGCATCGCCGCTTCAATCGCCCTTCGAACGGGCCGCAGAATCCATCTCGGAGCATGGCCGTAACCTTGTCTCGACTGAGCTTAGCCTGAGACCACCTGCGCTCGACATCCATCCTGATCCGGTGCGTTCCGCCGACGTGCCCTACGCAGCCAGCCGGTCCACTTCCCCTCAACATTCTCCCATCGTCTCCGAATCCATTCCGCCGCTGCAAGCCCCTCCACCGGATGAAGTAGCTGCCTCGTCGCACGACTCGCATCTCCATTTGCTGGCGCAAACGGCGAGCGAGCAAACGCTTTCTCCACGGATCGACGCTCAGATCACAGGTCTGCCAACTCAGTACGGGAACGAAGGCAGGATCAGGCTCGCCAAAGATCAGGTCTACATCCGTTCACCCTGGATGAGCGATGTCTACGACCGAATCTTACGGCTTTGGAGACCGCGGAAGCGCTTTGACCGTTCCGAGGTGGCGATCCCAGCCGAACTCGTCGCACAGATCAACGCACAAGGGCACCGAATCTTTGTACCTCGAGGCGAGGCATACATGCTGCGCATCCCCGCCAGCTGGTTGCCATCTGCAGGCATCTCACGTCCATTGGAGGTGCTGTTCCGATATCACTCGCATATCAAAATGCCGACGGGCCGAGTGAGCGGTGTTGTTAGTATCTGGACCACCGCAGACAGAGGAAGAAAGCTCGCTTTGCTCGGCATCTTCCGCATGGGCACAATTGCGTTTCATACCGGGTTCACCAAGATGGCGGGCGTTCAGAGGTTCCACGTCACGAGCTTGGTGGAAATGACTCCAGTGCCACACTCAGGACTCCATCTGGTCCCGCAGCCGTAGCATACGTAACATCAACGTCCTCTCTACAGTGACGTAGCGATACACGTGTCGGTGGCCCGGCACTTCATGAGCATCTCCTGCTTTCCCTGCAATACAAGCTGGGTACATACATCGCCACAGTGTCGTGGGGGTCTTTCATCTTGTTATTATGAACGCGAAGACAAAGGGCCCACGACTGTGTGTTGTTGCAAGTGGCCTGACTGACTGTGACTGACGGTGAGAAGTACAAATGCGGCGCTCGCGTCGCCACCAACCCGCCTGATGCTTGGCGAGAACTTGTCCTTGTGGAGCTGCAAGTCCTCTTTGGACGTGATGGGGGCCTAATGTTTGTTCTGACTCGAAATGAACGGAGATCGGCATGAGCCGCGGAGGCCCTCCCTGCCAGTCTGACGAATGGCACCGTACCGACTTATCAAGCGAGCAAAGCCAACCTTTCCTCCGTCCACCACACGCTCTCTTGCTTCTCCCCAATCTGCCATCGCTATGCGTCTTTTCGCTTTGATTTTAGCTCTGCTCGCCACATTTGCATCGCATGCGTCTCCACTCGCGGGCTCCTTCGAGCGTGTTATCGAGACCGCATCAGACCGTCGTTCCGATGCAGCGCTGACGGAGCTCACCCTTGGTCGCGATTGGGGATCCGACGTCGGGTCTTCTTTGATCCGCAATGACGCCTTCCGCCCAGGACCCTTTGGATTCAACGAGAACAGTCCGGTATTCTCTCATTCGTCCTCGTCATCGTTCCGAGCTCCGTCTCGTTCGTCCGAAAAAGCCATTGTCTCGGCAGATGCGCCAGGACCCTCGAGCTCGCGTCTGCACACCGAGCCTGCGACTAGACCCATGCAGGCGGCGCACGTTGCTGGTGAGGGTGCTCCTCAGCTCGACACGCACTTCCTAGCCACCCTCAGACAACGATCGCAGTCGCCAACCCTTCTGCTGCCCACCGAGATCGTCTACGTCCGACCACCCTGGCTCACCGAGATCTACAACCGCATCGTAGCGGTGAGCGTGCACCGAGTCGTAACGCCCTTCCACGCGCTCGAGCTCGCAATCCCTGCCGCAACGCTCGCTGCGATCACGAGTCACACCAAGCACCTCATCTCAGCACGCACCGACATGTATGCTTTGCGCTTCCCTCGGGCTGGATACGAACCTGTCGAGGTGCTCCTCCGCTTCCACTCGAACCTGGTGTGGGAGAACGGCGAGAAGGTGTATTCGGTCATGTCGATGTGGAGCACGACCGGAGGCGGGGAGAAGACGGCTCTACTAGGCGTTTGCAAGATCAGCCTGAGAGCGTTCGAGCGGCTGGTGAGGATGGTTCCCGGTGCGGAGAGGTTCGGAGTTCAGGCTTCCGAGACTAGCTTTTCGAGTCATAGGTTGGCGTATGAACTCGTGCCTAAGCCGTTGTTGGATTAGGCCCCACTTTCCCCGCTCGATATTGACCTGCCTACGTCGCTCAGCGTTGTCGCAGCTTTGAATGAAGTCTGTTCATACTCGCAACTTTTCGTGGGGACTTTCGTGAGACCGTTGTGAGGATGGACGGCGTCGCAAGCTCCAGAATCGCCTATATGAGTCGTGCTCCCCCTGGTTCGAGCCCCAAAACACCTTTCTATCGCATCGCTCGCCCCAGATCCATCATGATATCGTCACTCGCCATCGTCCTTCTGGGACTTGCGTCCCTTGCAGCCCATTCATCGGCCCTGCTGCGACCCTTGGAGCACGTCGTCGAGTCGATACCCGAAGACGACCTCAATGTCGTGTCTACCGACCTTTCTCTGGGTCACGATTGGAGCCCTGCGCCTGCGGCACATCCAGCCTCGCCCCGGGTCGCCGTCGCTGGCGACGTTGCATCGAGCTCAAGGGGCGTTTCAGTACACGACGGGACAGCATCGCTGCCGCCACCTGGGTTGTCTCGAGAAGAGATCTCTCGACTGATCGACCAGGCGATTGCGGACAACGCCGCGGCGGACTCGGATGTGAATCATCACTCACCTTACGGATACGTGGGGTCTTCCTCTCACTCCGCACCCTCGGCGCCTCCTCTCGCAGAGTCGAGCGACACCGAGCGCTCAGCATCCGATCCAAGTCTCCTTCATGCCACATCAAACACAGTCCCATTCTCGCCGCGCATCGATCTGCACTTCTCCCGAGATCCCATCTTCGGTCAAGCCATCGCGCTCCCCTCCCGCCTCACCTACATCCCCTCGCCCTGGATGGAGGACGTCTACTCGCGCATCTGCGCCTTTGTCCGTCACCGCTCCGCTTTTCGTACCACCCCCGAGCCCGTCCCCGCCCCGATGGTCGAGTTGATCGATTCGCAAGCGGCGACGATCTTCGCCAAACGTGGAGAGGTGTACCTTCTTCCCATCCCGGTCGAATGGTTGCGCCCCCACGGCGTGGAGGTGGGGATGGAGGTGTTGATGCGATACCATCAACATCTGCGTTGGCCCAAGGAGGAGATTTCCCGTATCGTGACGGTTTGGGTGTCCGCAGATAAGGGTGGGTCGCTCGCATTGGTCGGAACGTTTCATATGCCAGAAACGGGGTATAGGTCGTTGAGGTTGAGGTTTCCGGGGCTGAAGGTGTGGGAGGTCAGACAGGTGGCGCCGGACAGAAGCCGATCTGGACTGTTCCTCGTGCCTAAGACGTAGCACGCAACCGAAGAGCCGTCCTCGTTGCTACTGGCCCCAGATCGGCGCTCATGCTCCAACACTGCCTTGACCCCCACACAAACACACGTCCCATTCACACCATCGTGCTTCACAATGTCCACTGCACATGTCTCAAAAGTAGTATTTGCCAAGCACGAATTAAAGCAGACTCTCGAGCACCTCGACGACCTTATCACCTACATCCTTGCTTCCGTGCTTGCCGCCCAGATCGGCCGTCCTCAGCTCGTGTCCACCCACATCCTTGGCGTCCAACACCTTGCGCACGGCCGCCTCGACCTTGTCTGCGAGCTCTCCCTGGTTGAGCGAGTACCTGAGCAACATGGCTGCGCTGAGAATCGTGCCTACGGGGTTGGCGATGCCCTTCCCGGCAATGTCGGGTGCTGAACCGTGAATTGGTTCGTACAGCCCATTGCACTTGCCTTTGCCATCGGGGAGACCGGAGAGGGAGGCGGAGGGGAGCAGACCAAGCGCACCGGGGATGACGGAGGATTCGTCCGAGAGAATGTCACCGAACATGTTTTCGGTGAGAATGATGCCATTGAGCTTTCGAGGGTTGGAAACCATGACCATGGAAGCGGAGTCGACGAGCTGATGGTCGACGGTGATGCCTTGGCTGGCGAACTGGGAGTCGACGGTGTCCTGCACGACGCGACGCCACAGTCGGGAAGTGGCGAGGACGTTGGCCTTGTCGATCGAGTGGAGGGGCGCAGGGGGGTTGGATTGGAGTGCGAGGTAGGCACCGAGCTTGGTGATGCGTTCGACATCGTGACGGTTGTACACCATGGTATCGAAGGCGGCGCCGTCGGAGCCGTCTTCCAGGTTGGCCTCCTGACGATCACCGAAGTAGAGACCCTTGACGAGCTCGCGCACGACAATGAAGGACACGCCCTTGGCAACTTCGGGCTTGAGCGGCGAGTGCGAGAGCAGCGACTCGGAGGGGAACAGGCACGGTCGGATGTTGGCGTAGAGGTCCAACTCCTTGCGCAGAGCGAGAAGGCCCTGCTCCGGTCGCACCTTGCCCACTCCCCACTTGGGACCGCCGACGGAACCCATGAGGATCGCATCGGCCTCCTTGCATGCTGCGAGCGTGTCATCGGGCAAAGGCTTGCCCGCGGAGTCGATGGCGCACCCACCGAAGTCGTACGACTTGAGAGAGATGGAGAAGGTGTCGCTCTTGGACGAGATGAGCTCGAGAACGCGCGTGGCTTGCTCGACGACCTCGGGGCCGATACCGTCACCGGGGAGGACGACGACGTTGTAAGTTTGCTTGCTCATTGTGATGGATTTTGCGGATGATGGGATGGAGGGTTGAGATTCTTGATGGTGAAAAGGCAAGGGTTGGTGGATGTGCAGCGCGCCTTTGACGTTGCGGTGGGGCCCTTGGTTGTGTGGAGCGGTGGGGCGGCCCGTGTGACTCAGTGGCTGCAGCTGCTTCTGGTTGGTTGAAGCGGTCTTTCGGGATCTTCTGAAATCTAATCTTCTTTCCGCTCTTTCAGAATGGCGCATTGACAGGCGAGAGTTCTTCCACCCGTGCGAGAGCCATCGAGGACCCTTGCTCACTCAAATCGGGGCCTTGCTGAGCTAGAATCACTCCAAGTGGAGCACGACCCTCCTTGGACCAAGACCATCATCCTGACATCAACACCCGTTCATTCCACTCCACCGGCAAGCTACGACCCGCCACGATGTCGAGCGCGGCCAAGAAGGAGGCCATTCTGCGTCAGTTCCGCCAACTCACCAACGCAACACCCCAGGACGCGCATCGCATCCTCAAAGCCCACGGATACCGAATCGAGCCGGCCACCGATGCCTTCTTCAACGACGAGCAAGCCCAAATTAACGCCTCTGCCTCGTCGAGCACTTTGGACAAGAAGACCGAACGCGAAGTCAAGGAACGGCTGAATGCGCTCTTTGACCGCTTCCGAGACGCGGCTGCTGATGACACCGACGAGGACGACGAGCCGACACCCGTGGAGCCGGACACCATCGGCATCGCAGGTGCGCTCAAGATGTGCGAGGCGCTGGAAGTGAGTCCCGAAGACGTCGTGTTCCTGCCTCTGTCGTTCTACCTCAAGAGTCCGAGCATCGGGACGTTTACGCGAACAGACTATGTCAACGGGTGGAAGATGCTCGATCTTTCGGATACCGTCGAAAAGCAAAAAGCGACGTTGGAGAAACTGCGTCAGGAGCTGCTGCAGAACAAGCCGCTTCGCCTCGAGCGCATCGCTGAGGAAAAGAGCAATCCCGCCACGGCAAGCTCCGCCAACAAGGGGCTGTACGAAAAGACATACGATTACACCTACGGCTTTGCCAGGAGGGAAGGGCAGAAGAGTCTAGCGTTGGAGAACGCACTGGCGTTTTGGGATTTGATACTCCCCGCATCGCCGACGTTCGAGGGCAACGAGGGTGAGGGGAGCTTTACAAGAACGCAGCTGGAGCTGTGGAAGAAGTTCTTGCAGGATCAGACGGGTGGGAGGGCGGTGAGCAAGGATACCTGGACGCAGTTCTTGGATTTCACCAAGGAGATCAACGGGGATTTCAGCAATCATGACTTTGATGGTAAGTGCCCGCCGACCTCGGTTCTCACGAGATGACACACGAGAGAGGAAGTATCGACGCTGACGCTCTTTCTTGACCTTTTGCTTCGTACAGCTGCCTGGCCGAGCGTCATTGACGACTTTGTCCTGTGGGCCAAGGATAATCTGCATGCTGTCGACGGTATGGATACCAGCTAGTATGTCTTCCGTAGTCACCAACGTAATCACAATCGCAAACTCAACAACCACATAATCCAGTCCGAGACCATTGAAAAGTGTGACATTCCCCTTGCTGAGCACTACATGTCACCCCTTCGAACAAACGGAATTCCCATGCCGGACAGCAGCGCCCTCGCCTTCTCGGTCGCCTTCCTACCCCTCTGGTTGGTGATACAATCAATCTGGAAGCCGAGCGGCTTGTTGGGATACTGGTCCAGATTGATCTCGATCTGGGGGAACAACGGAATGGCCTCTGGGTGCATTCCCAGACTCACCACTCCTGACATGGCTGCTGGGCTCGCGGGCGGCTGGCTCGCAGGGGGCAGAGGGAATCCACCAAAACTCCTCAACCTAGGCAGCACAAAGGTTGTGAGCACCTCCAAAAATTCATGTGCCACCGGGCCGGGGAGCACCGCTTTGACGCCGACCGGCATCCCCGGTCGAAGCTTGAACGAGGCCACGCCGGATTTGGCACGGATGATCTCGATGTGTCCGCGCTTGCCGGTGCCGCTGTCGGCGCCGAGCAGCGAAGGGTCCGCGGAAGAGCCCTCGACGCTGAGACCCGTGATGGCGCGCATCTGCGCAATGAGCGGCACGAGGTTGTGCTTGTTCGTAATGGCATCCTTGCTGAAGCAGGTGAGGATGATGCGATCGAGTTTGGGGATCTCGTTGAGCGTGTTGGTGGGGGAGAAGGCTTTGGTGAGAGGAGAGAGACGACGGTTACCACGTGCGGGGCGTTGCGGTCGGTTGACGGTGTACGGATCGGTGAGGTTCCAAGAGCGTTGCCTGTCTTGAAGGTCGCCCGAGGATGAGGCAGCGGCGGAAGAGGAGGAGTCGATGTTGAGCGCGGGATCGAACGACATGTAAAGCAGATCAGAGGCGAGGGTGCTTTGGTAGTGCTCCTGGTAGCGGTTGAGCTGTGTTGGACCAATGACGACGGGGTGCGTTCGCAGGGTGGTGCGTGCCGACTTGGAGGCAGATTGAGCCGCGGAGGTGGTGGTGAGCATGCGAGATGAGCTGGGTGTGCTCGAGCGAGCAGAGGAAGAGGCTCGACCCGCCGAGCGTGTCGCAGCCTGGCGGAGCACATTGACGGTGGTTGTCACGGTTGTTGAGGTGTTCATGGCGCTTTGTTTCGTGCGATGAGGTGATGATGGTGTACAAAGAGCCGAGGATGGTCGACTTGGACGTTTCTTCTCGGCTTGAGAAGAAAAAGTCTCGAGGCTGCCGATTTTGCTCTGATCAGCCAAAAAGCTAAGCTCACACGAGCTCTTCTTCAGGACGGGAATCTCACATACTTGAGAAAATTTATGGCCTTCTTCGAGATCAGCTCGGTCCACATTCTCAACACTCCAACACCATCTCGTCGCTTCAACCTTTGGCGCACCTCCTGGAAACAGCTCACGCAAGTGTATCCGACCTATCGTACCACTTCTACAGTGTATCACTGCAATATACCGTCGATATAACACCCGTTAAGGTATTCAAGTCGCCTGCAGCCCCATCCATCACTCTCTTTCAAAACAATGGCCGAAGTGGAACGAACATCGTCCGCAGCTGCAGGGGTAGCAACAAGCACAGGGCCGGCGCCCCTCGGCTCGGTCGCGGAACCATTCGATCTCATCAGGCTGTCCATCTCAGAGCGCGTCTATGTCAAGCTACGAGGCGATCGTGAGCTGCGAGGAACTCTGCATGTAAGTGCCCACCCTTTTCCCACGCACAAGCTCCGATCCTCTCATTGATGAGTTAGCTGCAGGAAGATGAGATGAAAGGAACGCAATACTGATCCAATGCTAATCTATGGATGCTGATGATGCGGATGATACAGGCTTACGACGGACACATGAACCTGATCCTAGGGGATGTGGAGGAGACCATCTATGTGGTTGATATCAACGACGAGACTGGGGCCGAGACTGTTCGTGTAAGTGCCAGACCCCTCTTTTATCCACCCACAACCCATTGTGAGCTACTCGTATGGCAGAGATCAACTCTCAGCCGGCATAGACGCACTACGAGGCTCCACTCGCATCGCAACCAGCAATGTGGATCAAGCTTTACTGACACACCGTCCCTTCCCGCTTCCGATCGATCACACACACTCTCCGAAACGATCCCTGTTCGAATCAACAGGTGGTCAAACGTCAAAGCGAGATGCTCTTTGTGCGCGGTGACAGCGTCATCCTCGTCTCGCCCCCTTCGAGCACGTGATGCGTGCCGAACCCAATCGATCAGTCTGCACGCTCCGACCTCGACATGTATTACTACTCATCGCCAATCACATTCAACTTCATCCACGGCCTCCTTTCTTTGCCATGAGAGTTGCTCAGAAGGTGAGATTCCCCGATGAGCGAAGAAGGGCTGGCAAGGCCATTGCCTGCTTGCAGCAAAGACTCGCTTTACAGGCTGAACTTCCAAATCAACACTCTCACCATCCTTCGCGTCTCTCTCAGACCACGTCCCATGTTCACTCGACGCATCGAACCCGCCGTCTCCTCCATGCACGCTCCACAGATCAAGCGATAAACGTTGAGAAGAAACTAGATTACACATTGCGAGGAGTGTTAAAGGCGCCTCGCCGCGCGGTATATACGGTGACCTAATGCTACGAACCAGGGCTGTGTTAAGAGCGGCCCTGCGCGCCTGTGCGGGATGATGGTGGTGATACAAGATGCTGGGAAAACTACGGGGCTGTGTTAAGTGCGGCCCGACGCGCAAACAGAAGAACAATGCGATGGATGCAGATGCGAGAGAGAACGAGAGAGGCTGAAGAAGGGGGTTAAAGGGGGGGAGATGGAGGGAGTGTGAAAAGGCAGAGAGTAAATGCCGGGTATATGTTGTGCATCAACGATACACAGAATCACCATCCATCAGGGTCCCATACCACCCCAACCTCGGCTGGAGGCCAGCTTCTTTACTCGAGGTTGCTCGGGTAGATGTGGGTGGTAGGGTCGATGGTGGTCTCCTTGATGGTGCGTGCCGAGACGAAGCGGTAGAAGATCGAGATGGAACCAGCCTTGTCGTTGGTACCCGAAGCACGAGCGCCACCGAAGGGCTGCTGACCCACAACGGCACCGGTGCACTTGTCGTTGTAGTACATCATGCCCGAGGCGTTGCGGAGCAGGTTGCTGGCGCGGATCAGCGCGTAGCGGTCGGCCGAGAAGATGGAACCGGTGAGCGCGTACTCGGTGGTGGAGTCGATCAGCTCGCACGTCTGCTCGAACTCCTCATCGGGGTAGGCGTAGACGGTGATGACGGGACCGAAGATCTCGTTGACCATGGTGACCGACTTGGGGTCCTTGGTCTCGATGACGGTGGGCTGGACGTACCAGCCCTTGGAGTCGTCACCCTGACCACCGCAGAGCACCTCGCCGCCCTCCTTCTTGGCAGCCTCGATGAGACCCATGATCTTCTCAAATGAGTGCTTGGCGATGACGGGACCCATGAAGTGCTTGAACTCCTCGACGGGGCCGACCGAGATCTGAGCGATTTGGTCAAGCAGCTTCTGCTTGAACTCGCCCTCCCACATCGACTTGGGCACGTAGAGTCGCGAGAGCGCCGAACACTTCTGACCCTGGTACTCAAAGGCGGCGCGGATGGACTGAGTGACGGCAGCGTCGACGTTGGCCGACTTGTGCACCATATGGAAGTTCTTACCGCCGGTCTCACCGACGATGCGCGGGTAGCCTCGGTACTTGTCGAGGTTGTTGCCGATCTGCTTCCAGAGCTGACGGAAGACGTGGGTGGAGCCGGTGAAGTGGAGACCAGCAAACTCGCGGTGGTTGATGGCAGCACCGACGATTTCGGGCGCCGGACCAGGGACGAACTGGATGACACCGTCGGGGAGACCAGCCTCGCGGAGGATCTCGTAGGCGACGTAGTTAGAGTATATGGACATGGGCGAAGGCTTCCAGACGACGACGTTGCCGACCATGGCAGGAGCGCAGATCAAGTTACCAGCAGCGATGGCAAGGAAGTTGAAGGGCGAGACAGCGAGCACGAAACCCTCGAGAGGACGGTACTCGGTGCGGTTCCAGGTGTTGGCCGAGCACTCGGGAGGCTGGGTCGAGTAGAGCTCCTGGATGTATTTTGCGCTGAAGCGGAAGAAATCGCAGATCTCGGCAGCAGCGTCAATCTCGGCTTGCCAGACGTTCTTGCCCTGACCGAGCATGGTAGCAGCGAGCACCTTGTATCGGTACTTGAAAGCGATGAGGTCGGCGGCCTTGAGGAAGATGGCAGCGCGGTCGTTCCATGGCATGTTCTCCCACGCGGTCTTGGCCTTGAGCGCGCCCTGGATGGCCTTCTCGACGAGCGCCTCGTCGGCCTCGTGGTAGTTGCAGAGGATGTGCGAGTGGTTGGAAGGGTTGGGCTGCTTGCTGATCTTGCCTGTCTTGATCTTTTCGCCGTTGATGACGACGGGGACCTCGAAAGGACCGGCGGCAATCATCTCGTCGACAGCCTGTTGAAGCTTGATGCGGTCTTCGCTCTTGGGCTCATAGTTGCGCATGGGCTCGTTCTTGATGGGAGGCAACGAGAAGAGGCCCATCTGGGGCGCTTGTGGTACCGAAGCCATTTTGGGGTATGAGTGTAAGGAGATGGGGCGCGTAGGGATGGTTTACGGAAGGAGGATGACAATCAGGAACAGGAAATGGACCGGGACAAGGAACGGAAAGGAGGATGGTGAAGGGAGAAAGAGAAGAAGCAGAGGCGATGCGAAGCTGCTTTAAAGCGATCTCGAGCGAGAAGGGCGAATGAGAGGATTGAGGGGGCGAAAGCGCGGAGAGAGAGATAGGAGAAGCGGTTGGAGACCAACAGTGCGAGGCGAGCGAGCGTGTTGGTTGGTTGGAGCGCGGTCAGCAGACCCTCTAATCAGCAGCAGCAGCCTCCGGCTCAACTCTGCTTTGGCCGCGGCACGAGTCAACGAGAGCGAATGCGAAAATTTCCTCTCTTCCCACAGCGGAGCCTGATTTGCCTCTTTTTTCACCGAGAAGCCACCGGTCGACGCTTCCTTCCATTGTTCGCTCTCTTTCCGGTAGTTTGTCTGTCTTGAGACTACTCATGCGAGCTAGATGGAGGTCTTGCCTTGCTCCAGAGTCGCTTTGATTGCGCTAATCTAGCAGATAAGAGAGTTTCCGTACTTCTCGAAGACGAGATGGTTGAGAGCGTGAGCGGCAGTTGACAGCCGCTAAATTGAGCGGGATTTGTGCTTCCGGTCTAGATGCCGCCCACCTTCTTTCGACGTGTCGGTTTCCATGTCGCAGTGTCCAGCTTGCAAGCTGTCTTCTCTCTCCGCCGTCGCGGGGAACAACGCAATCGTTGCCGGATGCATAGCCTGAGCCTGTCAGTCATTCAGAACAGACCAAGACCACTTGTTCGTTCTCTCTCGCATTGGTCGCGTATTGTAATGAGCATCCTTTCAGTGAATCAACAAGCTCAACTACTGACTTTACGAAGAGACGCGCTGAGTGCGATACTGTCTCACGATCCGTTCCGAGTCGGTCATCGGCCTGTCTGCTGGCGGTGAAAGCCTGTCGTCCTCCATCGCCGTAGCTGAGCTACTACTTCCCCTGCCAAAGAACGACGAAAATCGCTTGCGGGCTGCCTTTTGCCCGGCTTGACCTGGACTCTCGCTGTTATGCCTTGTGCGCGTCCGTGGCTCCTCGAGACGCGGTGATGACAGGGACGCCGACAACATCTGTTGGCTGCGTGCACCAGCGCCGCGTGGCGATATCACGCTACTCGTTGGCTCGCCAGCATCCTCATCCGTAGTATCCGAGAGTACAGATTCCGAGTCTCTTGCAAATCCGGGACGAGGCATGGCGAGCATCACCTCCTCCCGATCGGGTGCTTCCTGTCGTCTCTGCTCTAGCACGTCCCGCATCGGATTCGTAGATGGCTCGAATGCTGCCGAGACATTGTCGTGTCCACCTCGGGCGCCGAACACCGCCACCAGACTGATCAGCGCGAGGTTGAGCCCAAATATCGTCCCGTCCTGCGAGTGACCGATTCGAATCCTCGATCGTTGTGCTTCGAACTTGAACGACCCGATTCTCCTTCTCATGTCTGGTCGATACCCAACTTCACTCTCATCTCGAAATGGCGACGAGCAAGGCACAGCTCTGCGGTACTCGGCCACCTTGACCTCGTCCTCCTCGCGATACAGCGCCAGCGCCTTCTTGTCCATCCTCCACACGTATCTCGTGCCGTCCTTGACGATGACATGCCATTCGTGCTTGAACAGTCGATGGCCGCCGTGCATGGAGGCCCAGATCCCCGAGCCGCGGCGAAAATCGTAGCTGTTTTTGAGTCGTTCTTGTCGAACCTCCCAACCTTGTTTGCCAAGGACCTTGGATGCTCGCCGCGCTTTTTTGGCGAGAGCAGCATCGGACGAGAAGGCGGCATCGTCAAAGTTGCCTGCGTCCATGAGGATGGCTTTCCAGCCCACGAGCTGACGAGGGATGCGCACAGCGAGGGCGGACGAGGAGGGCTGCCCACGCGGCCACACTTGATAGCCGGGGAGTCGGTCGTCCGAGAAGATGTCGAGGATCTCACCGCCAGCGCTGAGGTCGTCAGGTGGAGTGTCGGCCTGCAGTGACCCGCCGTAAGGAGCCGGTGAGGCTGGACTGTGCTGATATGATCGGAGCGAGACGCTCGATGAAGCGATGCTCAGCGGAGAAAAGGCTGGAGACAGCTGCGTGTTGGGAGCGGAAGCTGTGCGATACATGGCTGCGCTCGACAGTGGCTTCTCAACGGTCGACGAGCCGACCTTTGAGAACTGATGCACATTCGCGAAAGTGGATGGCTCCGAGCTCAGAGAAGAGCTCGCCATCTGATGAGCTGCCACGTGCGCTTCTTCCTCGAACTTGATCACTGGGCCGATGGATCCACCGATGGGAGGCGGTTCGTCGAGCTTGGGCTGCTCGGCGCTGTGCTTGTGCCAAGGGTAGAGGTCGTCGAAGCCCGGTTCGCTGGTGGCCATGATTGGCTCGAGCTGAATCGGAATCTGAGGTGGCGTGTTGGGAGCTTCCTTCCTGACGCTCTCTGCAGAGCTGGAACCGCTGATGATCGTCATATTGTCCGAAGCGCTTGTCCGGAGTCACTCGTTGATTCGTTTCTTGCCAGCAACTGTCGAGATGTCGAAATGGGCGGTCGAATATGCAGATCAAGTAGCTTTATGCAGGTCGAAGGTCGATACTGGCTGTGTCATGAACTCCAACAATGAAAGTTAGGGAGAGAGAGTTGCGCGAGTGTCAGTCGTGGTACAGGAGGAGGTAGAGGAGGAGGAAGGGCCTCGTGTCACATGCAAGACGACCACTACGAGCTTTCGATGTGCTGGGATCGCCTCGCTTCATCTCGGCATGGTGACGCTGGCAGAATGGAACCAGTCGCCGACACCGCCTTCTGCAGCGTTACATGCGTTTTGACCCCACATGCGCCTCGAAAGCTGCAAGGCATCACTACTTCCACGCATGGCCCAGAGCAGAACTTCGCCTCCTTGCTGCACGACCACACCAGCAGACCTACGAAGGTGTCAGCAATCATGTGGCGGCTTCCTCTGACCCGTGATACACCGTGCCGCCGGCATATGAGAGGGTCTTCTCAAAAAAGAAACTTTCCGTTCAGCGCGTCAGCGAGAGCTCAGTTGACCGGCTAAGCCCGCGTGGTTGGCCGCAGCTCGTCAGCACAGCCCGCACGTTGAGCACACGCAGTCTGGCTCGCTTACCCACTTTTCCAACGCTGGCTTTTCTGCAGAAGAAAGGGTCCAACCCCACCCTGGTACCACACTACGATGCTGCCAGCGACACAAAATGGAAAACGGATCGAATGCATTGAGAGAATCAAGATGACATGCTGAAAAGACCATATGTGGGAGGGAAAGTATGAACAGACGTAGGGGCAAAATCAACGCGACCTCGAAGTGCCCTTGCCACGCTTGCCGGCAAAGAGCCACTTGGGCTTTTTCTCCTTGATGACACGATCCGACTCTCCCGCCTTGGCGTGCCAGTTGCCTTCACGCAACGCCAGCTCGCGCAGCTTCCTCGCCTTCTCGAGCTGCTCCGAGTTTTTGAGACCGGCGAGCTGTCGGTCGGAGGCAGCAACACGCGCAGGACCGGCACGAGCACTGATGTTGCCACCAGAGCGGTTGACGGGCGCGGTGGTCGACGAAAGGAGGCGAGCACCGACGTTGCTCTTGCGCGCCTTTCGCGAGGCGCTCGTGTCGGCCTCTTCGGTGTCCATATCCTCGTCCTCCCAGGATGCCTCCTCGTCCTCATCGTCCTCGTCCATCTCCTCATCCTCCTCGTCGTCACCGGATCGCTTGCGCTTGCCACCAGTGAGACCCTTGGCCTTGGCCAGCATCTCGGCGCGCGCAGTGACGCTGCTGGGGTCGACACCGATCTCGCGCATCCTCTCGGCCATCTGCGACAGGGTGCGTTCCTGGAACTTGCGCGGCACACGAGCCTGGTTCTTGACCATGCTTCGATCCTGCGCTGCAAGCTTGGCCTTCTGCTGACGCTCTCGGATGGCGGCAGCAGCAGTGCGGATCGCCTCCTCCTCCTCGTCGAGGATGGACTCCTCATCGTCGCTGGCGCCGTAGAATCCTTCAGCTTCGAGCTTCTCCTCCTCGCGCTCGAGCGCATCGAGCTTGTCGAGAATGTCCGGGTCCACAAAGTCGGCAATGTTCTTGCCCTCGTAGATCTCGGGGATGTGGTCGTACTTCCAGTCGTCGTTGTCGAGCATGTAGTCGCGCTTGATGTCGATGCTGAACACGCCAGCACCGCCGTTCTCCTCCTGCTCGTCGCGCAACGTCCTGCGTCGCTCGGGGTCCTTGGAGTCGTACTTCTTGACCGAGCCGTTGGCGATCGCCTCGGGGATGAAGGCACCACGCTGAACGTCGTCTCGCGACTTTGGCTGGGCGACGTGCAGTCGGTTGAGGACAGCGTTGATCTTGCTGCCCTTCATCTTGGTCTCGATACGCGATGCGAGCAGCACGTCACAGGCGAGATTCCTTGTGTCCATGACACCCTCGTCGGTATATGTGCTGAGCTCGGTGAGCTGGACCTTGCCATCGGACTCGTCGACGATGCTCTGAACCAGGGCGGCGCGCTCAGGCTCGAGGTCGGACAGTCGCTTGGCATCGGTCTTGTTGATAGCGAGAATGCAGGGCTTGTTGGCAAAGAGAGGCTTGATGCTGTTGAAGAGCTGCACCTGCGCCTCGACGGTGTAGCCACACTGCTCGGACAGGTCCATGAAGTAGAGGACGGCAGCTCGGAGATGTGCGAGCGCAGTGATGGACTGCATCTCGATGGTGTTCATCTCCTCGAGCGGGTGGTCCAAGATTCCTGGCGTGTCGATGACCTGCCATCGGAGGTACTTGTAGTCCATGTGACCGACAAAGAGCGACTTGGTGGTAAAGGCGTATGGCTTGACATCGACGTCGGATCGGGTGACCTTGTTGATGAAGCTGGACTTGCCGACGTTGGGGTATCCGCAGATCAAGAGGGTGCGTGTGCTAGGGTCGATGGGCGGGAGACGCGACATGTGCTGACGAACCTGCTCGAGGTAGGCGAGAGGGTCCTTCTGACGCTTCATGATGGTGGCCATACGACCGAGAGCAGCACGCTTGAGCTGCTTGCATCGGTAGAGCGAGTCACCGAACTTGATGAGACGGATGTAGTCCTTGGAGACCTGCTCGATGAGATGCTTAGCGGTGTTGAGCTGGCCCAGAGCGAGCTTGTAGTGGTTCTTGTCGTAAAGCACATTAAGGAGAGAGGACACGAAGGGGTGCAGGTTGTCCATGATGGGGAACTCCCTGAGGATCGCATCGAGCTTCTCTGCGAATGCGTCCTTGGTAAACATGACCTTGCGCATGTAGAAGGAGCGGATACGAGTGATCTTCCATCCTGGGTGAACGACGGTGGGCGTCTTTCGTTGTGTCTTGGAGAGAACAATATCAAGGAAGTCGCTCGCGGTCGGAACCGGAGCGATGGGGGTCTTGATGGTGGCCATCCTGAGGGGGCTATGCGAGTTTGAGGAAAGATGAGAGTAAAATCGTTACCGCAGCTCGTCTGTGCAGTATTGGGACTGAGGTGGCGGAAAGATCGGTAGAATCGTGAGCGACCCTTGATGCACGACGATTGCTGTCAAGAACGAGCCGGAAGCTAATCAAGACAAGACGTATTGACTCCTTGATGTCAATTGCCGTCCAATGACTTAGAGATGAGCGTGGATGTGACCAGAATGATGATGGTGTCTTTGAGAATGGCAAACGAAGGGATCAGGCGCTAAGCATTTCGACCCTGAGCAGAAGAAAAAAAGATGAAGCTCAGCTGCCTGAGAAAGTTGACTTTCAGCTGCTCTGCTGCCAAAATTTTTGAGGAAACTTCAGATTTTCAAAAAAACCCTGCAGAGGCAAAGAAAGCTCGCTCGACTCGACCAAAAAATTCTGAGCTCGACCAGCTTCACCGGAAGTCGGGATACCAAACCTAACAGAACCGGAAAATTCATTCGGCTACTGTCACGGTGTTCTCGTGCGATTTCGCCACCCAACGTCTTGCCTTCCTGGTAGCTTCTCAATAGCAGACCCGCATTCACGATCTTGCGTCTGCATCTTTAGTCTAGAGCCATCCATAGATAAGCTTCGAATTGAAGAGAAGTACCATGCAAAGGCATGTCCGTCAGAGAGGCTCTCACGAACGATCTGTCAAATGACAGAGATGCGGAGAAGACGATGAGATTTCGCCGGACTGAACCCTTTCGAAAATTTCAAAAAAGGTTGGACTCTCTTACAGACGAGGCCAGGAGAGCCGTGTGAAACTGCGAAATTTTGGCCTTGAATTCGCCTGCGCACGCAGCGCTTTCGTCACAGGACAGACCAGCCAGGCCGCCAGCCAGTCAGCCAGTCCATCAGCCGGGACTCTCGCTCTTCTCAAATTTTAGTGTGTGTGGGCTGCCACGGTTATCTCTCCCGGCGTCTCGGCAGTCTAAACCTTTCGCTTCCAAAAAAAGTCTCAAAACCGAAAAAAAGTGCCGCCAGACTCAGCCAAATTTGGACGGCGCAGATTGCCAAAGCGCCATCCAACACCAAAGCTTCTTGCTCCTCTTCCATCTCATCAACCCCACCATCCACCTCTGCTTTCTTCCCATTTGGCTTGTCTTCGACCAACAACAAGTCATCGCTGCCATCGTCAACACCATCATTGTCATAGCTTCGACTCAGGCGTCTAGCTCGATACCCAATTCGAATTCACCTATCATCAATCGGCTATCTTCAGCCCACAGCTCTCCCTCAGCCCTTTTGAAGGACATCTGCCCACATCATCCTCATCGCTCACACTCACAACCCAGAGCGACCATACCTCTTCTCAACGTCGCCGCTTGACAATCCGTACGTCGAGCAAGCGCTAGAGAGTGGATCGTCCACCTGATCATCCAACACATCAGAACATGTTCAGTGCTGCCCACCGCTCCCTTCCGCTTCTTCCCAACTCTTCGCATACACTTGGTTTCTTTTACCACAATACAAGGCAATCGCCCTATCATCCGCACCCGGCTGGTGCACCATAGTCAGCGCATCCAGTCCATCTTCACGAACCCCACCTGCGCTTAAGCGCAGTCCGCACGAACCTCTCCTGGCGCACTCAGACCTTGTTCGAGTGACCCAGCACGACTACCTTCCAGCTCAACACATCTGCGCGAGCAAATCTTTCGCTCGAGCTTCCTCGCACTTGATGTCCCGACAACTCAAAGCAGATACCTGTAAGTGATTCGCCACGATGCTGTTTCGGCAAATTTGTCGACGGTGTGCCCGCCTTCAGCATAGCCTGGCTGCAGAAGCATTGAACTGTACGGACATAGACTGATCGCGCTGCTATCCGTGGTCCCTTTTCCCGTGTTTGCTCGGCTCAGCCCGCTCCGTTCGTAGAGCCGACTCTGTTCACCCCCTGACGCATCGGAAGAGCCTTCAGGCCAAACTCCAATCCACGCCCACCCGTTCCAGCCCTTATCATCGAAGCGGCGCCCTCAAGGCTGGTCCTCCTTCCTCGCGATCAGCTTCGAGCGTCGGAGGCTCTCCTCGTACGTTCTTCCATTCGGACGAAAGCCTCTACTCTAGCTCGGACGACGACAACGACGACCTTGGCTCCAAACATATCCCAGGCATCAAACTTCCGGTTCCCACCCTAGCCATGTCGTCTCGCAAAGCGTCAAGAACGCAGCTCGGCAAAAAGCCCACCAAGGTCTACACCACCAAGAAAGATCGAGCTCGTGGCGAGCGAAAAGCAAGTGTCCGCAAGGAACGCTTCGAAGAGCTCGACACCGACTCGGATCTCACAGATGTTCCTTCAGATGACGACGCAGCCCAGGACACTGCCATTGCAGGCCCCTCCTTCTCCGCTCTGGAGAAGGGCAAAGCAAGGAGCATCGACAGTGACGATGATGATCTCGAATCTGATTCGGATACCGAGATGGAACGCAAGCTCGCCGAGGCGGGCGACGGCGAATCTCTTCTAGGCAGCGGCGCTTCTGGCGATGACACCGAGGAAGAGGAAGAGCGCTTCATCATCCAAGATGCTCTCGATCGACAGTCCAAAGTCAAGTCTCGTCTCCAGCTCCGCGACCCCTCCGACCGTCGCAACCTTGGCAGCGAACGCAGTTCGGCAAGCAAAGGGGATCTCCAGCATCGCGCCCGCTCCATTGCGATACAAGGTGAAGACGCAGAGGCTGACGCGGAAGACCAAGACGACGAAGATGACGATGACCCCGACGCCGATGCCGACCTCCTCTCCATGTCTCCCAACACTCTCCGCATGTACGGTCTGCCCGTCATTGAAGACGAACTCTTCGAAGAGCAGGAGGCCTTCGGTTCCTCGTCCGAGCCATCCTTCACCGACTTCTTTGAGACGTCTACCGACAGCGAGGCAGACCTGGCTGACATCAACAATGACAATGGAGACGACGACGACGAGTTTACCACCGACTCGGACGAGGACCACGACATCAGCGACCTCGAAGGCGGCTTGCTCGACGCTCCACTGATCGCTCACGTCGGCACGACTACCGACGACTCGACTGCAGCTGCTGCAGACGCTGCCGAGGACGGCACCTTGGAACCCAAGCCCGAGATGCCTTTGCTTGTTATTGAAGATCTTGACGGTCGTCTTATCTATGCCCGTGCTGGTGACGGCGAAGCTGTTTTCGGCTCAGATGGCGAATTTGAGTTCGTCGATGACAGCGATGACGACAGCGCCGACTGGGAATTTGATCAAGGCGGCAACAGGCTCTTCACCGGTGCACGGAACCACGGCGGCCTGCTCGCTGCCCCCGAGGATGACGGCGACACCACGGACGAGCTCCCTGACGAAGATATGCCCTACCCGAGGCTCCTTGTCGGGTCTGTCGCTCCGCGCGGTGGTCGCAACGCAAGACGCGCCAGAGCGATGGCCACCAACTCGCGTCGCCTGTCACCGGCAGCTCCTAGCTCTCTTCCGTCTCCTTCGCTGCCCCACTCTGCCCAGGCTCTGCCCATGTCAGACTCGAGCAACAACGACAAGCTGTCCGGAAGCGGTTCGAGAGGATCGCCAGCGTCCTCGGACGAACAAGCAGCATCCAACGATGTCGGCATCACCATCTCGACCGAGCAACTTGCTCGTGATCCCGAGGGCACGCTCAAAGCAGCGGCCGCTGCGCTTGGCGTGACCGTCGAAGAGGCTGCGACCCTGGTCGCTGGCGTGCAGCTTTCCGCCGTCAGCGATAAGCTTGGCGCCAGTGCAAGTGCCAGCGCCAGCAGCCACGGAAGCAGCACCACTTCGCTCGACAGCTCCATGGCTGCACCCAAGACGCCTGAGCAGCAGCGTGTCGCCAACATTGTCAAACCTCAGATGGGTAGCTTCATGCCTACCTCAGCCAAGTCGGTGCACCGTGCCGTCATTGACGGCTCGCGCAAAGCACCTTCGCCGTTCTCTGGCAAGAGGAGTCTCGAGAAGAAAGGACTCGCGAAGAAGCGCAGGGCCGCTCGCCGAAGCTCTCTTTTGGACGAAGGCCTCTCCGCTAAACGTCTTCGAAGATTCTCTTCTGCTAATGATGCTGCTTCGGCGCTCGACGAGTACAGCGAAATGGCTCCTTCGTCACCCGAGCCCATCATCGAAGTGGATCCCATGGAGCTTGACGACGTGGTCGATTCCAGCATGATCTGGCGCGGCACTGGCTCCAAGTCACCATCGCCTGAGCTTGACAGCGGCGATGCGCTGGAAGCAGGTCGTCGACCTTCTGCCCGTACTGCTCGCAAGACATCCTCAGCTCCTGGCATCAACCTCAATGCGTTCGCAAGATGGAACAAGATCCCAATGGGCTCCTTCCGCGATTCGCAGGCAGCACCCGTGCCTTCACAGAACGCTTTTCAGCAGCAGCAGCACTCACATCAGCAGCCCCTCGGCACGTTCCTGCTTACCCGATCGCAAGGTCAGTCCAGCAGCCGAGCCGGCCGAACGAGCTCGCCCTTCCGCTCCAGCTCGCATGCTGTGCGCAATCCGGAGATGTTCTCCATCAGTCCTCTGCGCCAGCCGCAGGAGGATGACAACAACGAGTCCGCGGTTCCCAATGACAGCACGACCGGTAGAAGACGATCCTTCATCATCTCACCGGTGCTGTTCCCGACTCGCGGCGGCGAGATCCCGCCGCCTTCGTCTTCGTCGAACTCGTTCGGCACCCATCATGCGCCGACGTACAGCCAGATCGCCGGCCTCCGTCTCGGCGGCAACAATGCCGCTGCAGGCGATGCTGCCAGTGTAGCATCCAACACCAGCGCTGGTCCGGGCCGCATTACGCGACGAGAAAAGAGGGAGAAGCGAGCCAAGCGGGCTGCCATGCTCGCTTCGCAAGCCTACGAAGGCGATGCAGCCGACGAGCAGCGCGCAGCCTCAGGCTCGCCAGCGCCTGTCCCGACTACGCCCCTTCTGCAGCTCTCGGGTCTGAGGGATGGTAGGTTTGCGCAGGATCAGGAAGAGTCACCTGCCACTGCCTTTCCTCGAATGCGCATCACGGATGCAACGCCCACTCCGCGCGGCTCACCTGCTCCTGCCGGACCACCTACTGTTGGCAAAGATCTGCTCCAGCCCGGCTCCAACGTAGGCAAAATGGATCCCTCCAGCGATCCGGCTGCCTCGAGCAGTGAAATCCACCTTGATGCTGAGGACAAGCACGCCGAAGCTCCTTCTGCCACGGCTTCCATGTCTGGTGCTCTCCCTTCATCGGCCTGCAAGACTCCGCTGCACTCGCCCTTGTTCGGTGGCATCTTTGGGGGTGTACTCAACTACGATCTTGAAGACAAGGAGGCCGAGCCTCTTCGCATCTAGAAAGCGACGCCCCTGCGCAATATCTGTCCCTCAAGTCAATCATCTGCACATACTTCGCCTAGTCTCATGACCTGACAGTGGCTATGCTCACGCTCTCATCCTTCTTATGTATCTATCGGCAGTCATCGAATCCTAGTCTCGTATAAAAGCGATCATCCAAAGAAACTTATGAGTGGGCGTGTTCCTCTTCGCTGGAGTGGAAGGACTGCGCTGAAACACGTGGCGAAACGTCACAGGCGTCAGAAGACCCTTGCCAGGGTCCTTGCCGCAACTCCACTGTTCCTGCCATTCGATCGGAGCGGACGGTATCAGCTTTGGAGCCGAGGTGCGCTAAGAGGTCGCAGCTTGTTTTGCCGCTGTAGCTTGCTATGGCACCGATCCCAACGAATCAATTCGCTTGTATGCTGCGCTAGCACTGCCTCTCCGCTTCATTGAATGGCTTGATGAAGGTCCTGTGCGAAGCGGCATGAAGTTTCTCTTCATAGAGGACTGGCTGTGATGAAGATCGCCGATGCACAGCAACATTGCGGTGATATCACGTGGCCGAACCCTCGATCCGCAAAATTCCAGGCTCAAACGGGGTCTTCTGGCGACACAAACCGCTTCGCTCGCTCTACGAAGCTCAGACGAGGCATGGACAATGATCGCGACGGCAGCGAAATTGTCGAGCCGAGGTGAGCATCTCCGACCGACTCCCAAGGGTGTATGGAACGAGCTAGCGCGAACGTCAGCCGAGACCATGCATCGATACCAAGAGAGCGCTTGCTGAACGCGAAAACAGCAGCAGCTCCCCCTCCTGTCCCATCCGATCGTCGCGACTGGTAGGCACGACGATCGGCATTGCTTTTGCGCTTTAAATTGGGATATGGGTCGTTGGACCCTTGGCTCCTCCCCCTCCGCCTCCTCCCCCTGCTCCCCCTGCTCCCCCCGACCTCATATGCAACACCCAGGATCGACCCCCCCTGTGCCGCTCTGAAGCGCATATTGACATGAACGGATGCGTTTTGACAATCGATCTTGCTCGGTCTCTGTCGTGCAGATGCAAGAGAGAAAGAAGGTGGGAGAGAGGCGGTTGTTTGTCCCTTGCCGCTTTTGGTGACAACCCTGGGGTCAAAAGACGCCGCCCTCGTGGCCCGGATCGACACTTGGACTGGCCCGTTCGATGCTCTGAGCTTCATCCGCTGCTGTTCTTGAACCTCTGGCAGACGACTACTTGTTGACAGCGCTGTTGACAAGTTGGGCGGTTCAGTATGGACGAGCCTTTGCTGCGAGCCCTTTCTCACGCTGTGCCCTCTGCCTTGCCATCCTAATCACGCCGGTCATCTCGCATTCAAAGGATCAGGAAACGTCGGGTTGGCCCGCATTTGACGAATCCATCAATGCAAGGAGGTTGGTGAGATGAGACTGAACACCTGATGATGTCAAGATGAAGCTTTTTGAACCCCGGGAGGGTGGGTCGAGACACGTTGATATCACGCTGCAGGCACGCTGCGGAGATTTCCAAGTTGTTAGAGCTTGTCAAAGCGTGTTCGCAGAGTCTGCTCGCCGCCAAGCCACGATTTGAAACTCGAAGCCTCATGTTGAGCCCTGGCGACGGTGCAGGTCAAGCAGGGTCCAGACCAGGGTTCGGCGTCAAACAAAGCTCGCCGGTCGAAACCAGAACATGGCGACACAAATCAGACACACAGTACGAGCATAGAGCTGAGATGAGATGATCGACTGGAGATAAATCTCAATTGTCTCAAGCCATGCGATCAGCTCGCGCTGTTCTATCTGTTTCCATCACGGCCGACCTGGCGTTGTTGCAGGAAGTCTGGCGGGAGTTGGGAAAAGCACACTCGGGACCTCGCTTGGCTTCCCGATCTGCAGGCGCTTGGTTGCGGTGCAGCGAGAGGTCGCCTCGAGGCAGAGCGGGGTTCCAACGACGGCCCACCTTGCAGCAGCAACACCAAAGCGATGCTGCTTCCCATTGGTCTGCGAGCCCACCCACACCCCTGCATCGATTAAAGCTCTGCTGACCGGCGTTCACTCGTGGAGCGCTTCTCTCTTGAGGAAGTCGCCCGAGATGAAAGGAAGAGCCACATTTGTTTCACCGTGGCTCGACGAAGGCTAGACTGCTAGGCTGGAATGGCTGGCTCTGAAATTCCCATCTGATTGGATCGTGACGGGGGTTGAAGCGAGATGGCAGCGAAAGGAAAGAAAATTTTGCGTTGTTCCTGTTGGACCCTTGGGGAAGAAGGCCCTGCGCCGGCCTAAGCTGTCGCTCTCCGCACCGCACACCGCAAGCGCATTTGGCCGCCGCTCGCATCCTTTGCCGCAGGTCATCCACACACACACACACACTCCAGCCACAAGCCACCAAGCGAGTGAGCGAGCGGCTGTTCTTGCCAAACGCTGATTGGGCGACGAATTGAACTCAACCTGCAGGTCGTATTTACCTGTCGTTTGCGCTGGGTTGTTCCCCGGTCAGATGAAGCCTCAAGCTTCTCCGCTCGCATAGGCTCTCTACCCACCTGAAAGAATGCCATCTCTTTCTGTAGCTCGTATGCCTATCTGATGGATCTTTGATAGACTCACAACAACAAAGAAAGGCATGGAAGAACTCAAAGCAGGCTAGAAGGATGCGAGGCGTAGCGCTACTGCACGGCCGACCGGACCCTGGCTGAGTGTTGACACTTTGCCAAATATACGGTTGACAGCTTGCCAAGGCACAACTCGTTTTGCGCTCCCATGTCCAAGCCAACCCACGCTCTTCGATCTGGTTCGCTGCACTGTGCTGAGTGAGTGTGGCTGCAATCCCCTTTGTATGCAGCTTAGAGCGGAACCAGGAGGAAATAGAGGGAGCGCATCGACAGGCTCACCCTGCAGATGCGACTTTAAAATTGCAGAGCCTCTTTCTCGAACAAATTCATTTTGAATTCAAACCACTTTTGATCATTCGGGAAGGGTGTCCGATCGCGCTGTCATCTGAGCTGGTTAGCCCTCGAGATCGGTGCTTGTCGCGTGCTAAATTTCTTGCTGCGACGACCCGGGATTTTCCCTCTCTTGGCTCGCTCGCTTTGAGTCGCGTTTCGAATTGTTCCACGCAGCGCCTCTTTCGGTCTGCGCATTGATGCAGGGGTCACGGTCGAACCCTGACCCTGAACGCGATTTCGAACCCTGACTTTCTGCGCAAAAAGGCAGTCAAGCAGTCTCTTGATCTCTGCCATACCACAGCGCGATATCATCATCATCATCGTCATCTTCTTCAACGTCAAGGGTGCCTTCTCATCCCTCTCTTCGTCGTCGGCTGCGGCGCTGGCCCTGCCACTCTTTCGTTTCGATCTCGCTGTCCGTGCCCTCAAGCACCGCATCATAGCATCCTCCAGCATCATCATCAACGATCGCTTCCGTTCGGACTGGCATCCTCGCCTGGCATCCCCTGTCTCTCCTTCTTGTCTGGGTCCGAGATTCTCCTCCGTCTCTTGGGCCTTCGCCCACACGACGACCCTGCCTTTTTCCCAAGGGTCCAATTGCCAACCCACCCATATTTTCCTTCCCTTCGCTCTTTCCCTCCTCCCTTTCTCTCCCTACGGCCTCTTCTTCTCGAATGCCTACCCCCCAGGCGTCATCCGCCCTCTCCTTCCTTTCTTCCTCTTCTCTTCTACTGCACACGGCTGGCATCCCTTCTGCCTTTCCATCGTCATCGAGCCGGTCCTCCAGGCCTACACTGCTCTCCCTCGCTCGTTCCCCTTCCGCTTTGCCTTCGCAAAGGTCGTGGCTGAACTAGAGAGAGAGACGAGACCCTTTCTCTCCAGCCACGCTAGACCCTGTGATCCTCTTTTCATTGTCTCTCTCAGAGCCTGCCAACCCAATCCTTGGTCGACTGTCTCTTTCGTCATCGTATCGGGTCCACCACCGTTCTTCACTCGACCTCTCCCTGATCGCCCTCTCTCTTGCGATCGACCACTCATTCATCCAGGACCCAGCGCCTTGTTTCGCCGAGCCATAGCTTAATTGGCTTCCCTCCTTATCGACAAAGACCCAAGCGTGTGACCTCACCCCTTCCATCGTCCTCGCTCTCGACATCATCGCGCCCATCACCCTCTCTCGCTTCTCGATCTCTCAGCCTACGGCCTTCGAACCAAAAGCTCTCGTCTCGCTCCTCATCAGAGTCGCCGGCAGTGCATCACGCCTCCTCCTTGGCCCGCCCAGTTCTAATCGCCGTGCCTCGACACGCTCTCGTGGCCTGCTCTCAAACCTCCTCTCAGCGGTACCGACCTGCCGTCATCCTCCCACGCTTCTCGCCTCGCCGCTCATCATCCTCCGACCTCACCTCGCAGCTTAGCTTTAATTATAGCAAACACACCGCTCGTCCGCACCCAGGTTTTGCTCTCCATCCTCGTGCGTGACGTTGATCGCCTTTAGCACGTCGTCGCCCTGTCTTCCGTGTCTCTCTGCTCTCGTAGTCTGCTCCACACTCGATCCTCCTCTGCTGCTGGCTAGGCCCCGACATTTTCGTCTTGGCCGCTCCCCTTTCCTTCTTCGCCATCATCATCTTCAGCTCAGATAACAACGACGACAACACACGTATCGACTGCTACCAGCAAACCAAGCCTCAACAAACGCCCATCTAGACCTCTAGACATCCACCAAACGACAACACCATCGACCTCGACCTAGTCTGCAATCATCAGCACGTCCATCTCGATCCGACTTGCCTACTCTGCATCAGCGCCTACGTAGACAACCCCTCCTGCTCATCGCCAAAGATCGCTCCTCCAACCGGACGATCTTGTCAGCTGTCGCAATCGACAGTACACCTTCTACCCGACCTCTTTCCATCTTCACGCGTCTCATCGCTTCTTCATGCCATTTTCCCTACCATCTGCCGGAGGCGTCGTTTCTTTGCTCAACGACCGTGCTCCACCGCCGTACAAATCCGAGCAATCTTCTGCATTCTCGGATCCACAGTACCACTACCATCCTCATCACCATCAACAACCCCACCGATATCATCACTCCCCGACAAGCATGTCCCATTCTGCCTTTGATTCTTCCACCTCATCATCGACAGAATCTCTTCTCCGCAGTGGCGACCGTTCCACTGCCTCGACTTCACCGCCTACCTCGGTAGACTACTCATACGACAACCGATCGTCCAAACACAGAGCCTACGCCGAACCCATCCGACTGCCGCGCATCGAAGTGCCCGGTGAATTCGCCCCGCCACCCCATCGAGGTTTGCAGGGACACAAGGTGCTCGGCGGCAACCGCATTGCTTCTTCGCCTTCCCCCATTGGAATGCGAAGTGCAGAGCACCTGCCTCCCTCAGCTACAGGTTTCTTCCCACCAGGTCAGTGGGACCGTTCAGGTGCTAGTCTCGACCCCAACGACTACAGCCGTCGCTCCAGCAGCAGCAGCTCCGACAGCACGTACCCTTACGATCGTAGCATGCCTTACGGCGACGCCAACATGGCCAAGCGAAACGTCAAGGACAACGGCTCCGGTGCCATCACCGTGGGCGGCAAGAAGCGCTACCCTTGCCAGCACCCTGGCTGCGACAAGACCTTCTCGACCAGCGGCCACGCTGCTCGTCACAACCGCATCCACACGGGCCAGAAGCCCTACCGATGCACCTTCCCAGGCTGCAAGGCTCGTTTTTCTCGACAGGACAACAGCCTGCAGCACTACCGCACGCACATCCTCCACCCCAAGGGCCGTGCTTCCCAGTCTGCCCAGGCTCGCGATGCTGCCGCTCAGCTCGAGCTCGACCACCTCGACCTCGACGCCGCCGATGCCGAGGCTGAGGCCAAGGCTGAACTCGGCCGTCGAGCCCTCGAGGATGGCACCGCCATTGCTGTGGTGCATGACGTCAAGGACCAGCACGGTCGCAAGAAGGGCGAGACCATCGAGAGGATGGTCGGCATGCCCCGCGGCCAGCGCGACTCGCTGCGTGGTGGCCTCGATGACGAAGGCAGCGCGTCGCCTTCCTCGATCGATGACGCTCACATGAAGCGCGAATCCAGCTTGCCCGGTGTCGGACTGGAGATGGGCCAATACGAGGCTCCCGCAGACTACTGGTCCACGCAGATGGCCAAGCAAGGTCGTCTGTCTCTGTCTCAGGCTAGCGGTGCCGGCGTCGTCAATTATGACCCTCGCTACCGTGACCCTGCCCCGCCCGCACCCTATGCCAACGGCAACGGCGGCATGTACGCTGGTGGAGTTGTTCCTCCAGCTGCATGGTCCCAGAGCCAGGTGCCCTACATCGACCCTCGCTTCGCTCCCGGCTACCCGCGCTCGACCGTGTCGGTCTCGCCGCACCGCGCCAACGTCTACGACCCTTCGTCGCGCCTCGGATCCGCCTCGCTGGATCCCGAGCTGGCTGGCCTCGATCCCAGTCTCGACTACCACCGCCGCAGCGCCTCCACGAGCAGCAGCCAGCGTGACCGCGTGCCTCCCAGCGTCGCCACGCTGCCCCCGCCCGGTCCAGCTACGCGTCTGCCTCTGAGTGGTGCTCACGCCGCTTCTGCCCCCGTTTCCGTTGTCCCCTCGGCTCGCTCATCGCAGAGCCCCAAGTCGAGCCCCACCTCAAGCGCCTACTCTGTCCCCGAAGGCACTTCGGCGCTGGACAAGCTCAGTGCGGCCGCTGCCTCCTCCAGTCCCGCCGCTCTCTCGACGCGAGGTCGACTCAACGGTGCCCCCGCCTCGTCGGCCGGCTACCAGCATCCGTACAGCTCGGACCGCTCGACCAACTACGCCTCTTCGTCGCTGCCCCCCATCTCGTCCGCACGCAGCAGCAGCGGTGGCGAAGACGTGATGGACCTCGACAGGAAGACCATGTCGAGCAGTCTGCGATCCGGTCTCGCACCGGATAGCAAGGCGACTTTGCCTCCGCTCAACACGCCTGCTGCTAGGAGGTGGTAGTTCGTAGTTCCGGATGAAAACCCCAAGTGTAACACCTCTTGTTCTTGTAACGGTTCCCCTCTCTCTCGATCTGAATCCGTTTTTCGTACTCGTATGTCGATCGTCTGTCAATGCGAGGAATGTCCCTCTTTTCCAGACCGTGTTTTGCATTCGAGACTTGAGGTTTGTGATGTGTTGAGAGGGATGGTGAGGGGGAGGATGTGATTTTGTGAGAGTGGTGGAGATCAAGGGTTCAAACAGGGGAAGGATCTGTGTGTGTCGGACGACATTTGCACGGACCTTTTTCCATCTGGTCTTCATCCTTTCTTCTTGCTCTTCATCATCCTTTCTACCTTTGTGCGCTCGCTTGCTCTCCGAAGAGCCAGATTCGACATGGTATGCTCCTCACACAATCCGAAACGCTTAAGATCTCGCTCGCTGATACTGTGGACAATGGGATGACAGGTGCGCGGCCACGCCAAACAACAAGCGCAAGAAGCGGCCAAGAAGAAAGCTGACGCTGCCAAAGGCGGCAAGTCCCAATTGGGCGAGGCAAGAACCAAAGGGTTGAAGTTCACTTGTCCCGTTTGCAAGGGTCAAAACCCCGTAAGTAGCGAGCTTGCAGTCCTCAATGGGGAAGGCGCGACGTCGACGGATAGGAACGGAGGAGCGCAGATGCATCGGAAGGTGCGGAAGGGCAGACCGTTGGCCGCTTTGTACCGGCTGTGGCTGGGTTCAGAGTGTCGTCATGGGACGAGGCACGAGCTCAAAGGCCGAATCTAGATGCACCCCTCGCTCGACGTCTCGCACTTCCTACCGCTGGTCAAATCTTGCGATGCAGGCAGAGAGCACAAGATCAACCGCCAGCATCGCTTCGAAAGACAAGCACCATCGTACTGACTCAGTTTAACCATCCCGCTCGCGCAGAACTACAAAGTCCTCAAGGAGCACTTTGAGAACAAGCATCCGAAGGACACGTGTCCTCCCGAAAGCTCATTCACCGCTTAATCACACACACGAACCAATAGACAGCACCGAATTGCATTTGCATTGCCTCTTCACCTTTCCGCTTCAGCCTTCCCCACCGTGTCTCCGGGCGTACAGCACCGACCGATTTGATAACGCTCCATCCTACAGCACCTGCTCTAGCACCTTCTCCACCAACCCCACCACCCGCTCCACCTCCTCCACGGTGTTGTAGTGCACAAAGCTCACCCTCACCACTCCATCGCCCAGATCCAGTCCCAGAGAGGACACAAGCTTGTGCGCGTACATGTGACCCTGTTGGGCGCCCATTTGTCCGTCCTTGACTAGGGCTTGATGGATTTGTTGACTGGTCCCGACGCGGTGGTTGCCCGTGGTAGGGTCGATGATGACGAATGCCACGGTGGGAGCTCGGTCGGCAGAGGAATGGGAGGTCGGGCCGACGATGCGTAGCCCTCTGCCGGTGAATCGCAGCAGTGCGGGAAGGAGAGCGGTGAGTAGAGTGTCTTCGTGAGCAGCGATCTTGGCGAACGCTGCGTCCAGCGCTGTATCGACTTCCTCCCTCGTCAACTTCACCAGACCACTCCGTGCCAAAGGAGCGGGTGTCGAATCACCACTGGTGTAAATACCCGTCCCCGAAGTCGGCTCGAACACACCTGTCCAATCCACCTCCTCCCCCCTCCCCACCCTCCCCCGTCCCACCGCAACCACATAGTCCGCAACAGCAGCAATACTCGCATTCAGCTCGTACTGCACACTGCTCGTCTGCCACGTGTACATGGCGTTGCCCTCGTGCAGGAAGAAATGGTTCATCTTTGCGGCATAGTGCGTCTTGACGCGGTTGGAGAGGTGCATAGCGCCGACGTGGGCGCCGTAGGTCTTGTAGAGGCTGAAGAAGGCGATGTCCACCCCCCAGTGGGTTGGATTGAGTCGACGGTGCGGGGCGAATGCGACGCAGTCGACGACGATGAGTGCTTCGGGTGCGATGGAGCGGATCACCTGCACGGCCGCAGGGATGTCCGTGTATGCGCCGAGGAGGTTGCTGCAAGCAGTAAATGCTACCAACCTCGTCTTTGGACTCAAGAGCCCTTTGAGAAGCGCAGGATCGAGCGTCACTTCGAATGGCGACGCGGCCGAAGGAAGGGGTGTCACCGGCCAATCGCGCAATACCAATCCGAGGTTCTTGGCGAGACGGGTCCAAGCTCCACGATTCGTCTCGTGATCCGCATCGCTGATCACCATCTCCCCGTCACTCCACACGCCCTTTTGCTGCAACATCCCCGCCAGGGAGGCAACGAGCGACGTAGCACTCTGACCAATCATGACGTTGTCCGGGCTCTCCGCTCCCAGCAGCGCTGCGGCGGCGCAGGTGCCCCGTGCAACTTTGGCCGCTGCAACCTGCGCCAGCGGGTACGCACCCATTTGCACGTTTGTGCTGAGCAAATAGTTGCTGATGGAGTGGGCGACGGAAGAGAGGACCTGAGAGCCACCGGCGTTTTCAGCGAAGACGTAGTCCGGCGAGTTTTGCAGCGCCGGAAATTGGGCGCGGATCGCGGTCAGGTCCGAGGGGGTGAGGGTCGACATGGTTGCGCCTGTTTCCGAGATCGATAGATTGGCCAAGGTGAGGGTCGTGAGGCGAACGATGGATCGAGCAAAAGTGAAAGGTGGGATGAAGCGAAGAGGATGAATAAGGAGAGGAAGGCGCAAGGGCCCGTGCTGATATCGGAGAGCTTTCTTCCGTTTCCAGAGACCCGTCGGCAATCTAATCCGTAACGCCGTTCAAGTTGCCGAACATCCTCCTCACCATCTCACGTGCTTCAGAACCACAAAGCACACACACTCTCACACCCATAACCTCAGACGACCCCTTCCAATGACACAAGCAATGCGTGCTGTTCCAACCCACGTCTTCCATTGCAATGGTTCCACGCATCTGACCGTCAACGCCCTTCCTAACCGGCATTCGCGCTCCCCCCCGCACTCTTGGCCGTCCCCGTCGTCCTCTGCATAATATCCCTTACCACAATAACCCCCTTCAACGCGGCATTCGCGCCCATCTGCAAACTCCAGAGACTCACATTCTTCAACCGCTCCCGACTGGCATTCTGGCTCGCGACGTGGTTCGCTAGCGCCTCGTAGATCTTCTCTGACACGACCGGCAGCAGGCCCGTCTGAGCAAGATCGAGGGACCCATCGAACTCCGAGAGGTCCATGACGATTCGACAGCGGATCGGGATGAGTGTTCGGTTGGCGTTCATAAACGCCACGATGGGGCGGACGAACGCGTTGGTCGTGTAGGTGATGTCGTGCGTGAAGAGGGGGACGGCTGCTTTGATGTCTTTGAAGCGCACGTCCATATCGATCACGACGGTGGGTGGGGGGATGGTGGATTTGGCCGGGGCGGTGGGAGGGTCGACGTTGGTGCTGTCCTCTTCAAGAGGTGGAGCATGCTGATCGGTTGACACGGCGATTGGTGCGGCTGTTCGATGAGGGGATAAGCCCTGTCGTCGGGCTTCTTCGTTCTCCTTTCGCACGCGCTCGGCGGTGGGACCCACCGCAGAGACGGGCGCCTCGATCGCAGGCCCGCTCAATCGGTGCTGTCCCGGGATGGGGTCGTCACCGTGATCTCCCCGACCTTCGCCCGACAGCGCCGCCGTGAGGTTGTCCAACACCTCGATGATGATCGTATTGATGTCCGCCTCGTCATCCAGATCCCGCGGGAACTTGATATCCGCAACGACGTCAAATTTGCCCGACAGGATCCACGAGATCGGCCCTGTCAAGTCCGACTGGTTTTGGATGTGGTCAAAGTTGACACCGTCCACTCGCATGCGCGACATGGTCTTCCACTTCGAGTTGGTCATCTCGCGATCCCGGTCGACCGTTCGGCTGATGTTCTGCGGCTTGTGCAGGCTGAACAGGCACCCGTCGACCTGGCCCGTGATGCTATCCGCGCTGAGCAGGTCGTAGAACAGCCATTGTTTCCGTAGCTTCGGAATGTGCGCGCTGAAGATGCTGAAATTGAACGGGCGGAAGTCGTTCGGCTGGTACACCGTCACCAGGAAGTCCTCGATGTTGAGGCATTCGAGTTCAAAATCGCCATGCCGGGGCTCACGGCGTGCCGCTTTGGGATCGTACGGCCTGGCAGGGTCCCAGAAGACATTGCGTCGGTCCACGATGCCTCGCACCCCGCGAATCACCGCATCCTCGATCAGACCTTTCCCATCGAACCACCGCGACAGGCTAAGCGTCACATCGATCGAATCGACCTGCAGGTCAAACATGGTGTAGTTGGTGTTGACGCTGTCGTCCTCTGCGAGGTCCTCTCCGCGTGCCTCGTCAGACATGGGCGGTGCCACCTCTTCGACCTCTTCGTAGTGCGTGCCTTCCCACGCCATCCCGTCGCCCGCAGTGACGGCGGTGCGACGCTTGGTGGTGTTCGGACGATCACCGCCACCATTGCGAGCTTTCTGCCGCCTCTCCTTGAGCAGTGAGTCGACATCGCCGTGTGCTCGGCGCGAGATGAACACGTTCTTGAAGCTGATCTTGCTCTCCTTCCATTTGGGAACGATGGCGCTCTCGAAGACAACAGTGACACCCGTCTCGGCGGTGAGGTAGTCGGCGATCTTGCGCGCGATCCACTCTTGCAGATTGAGAGCGTTGAGAGCGGCAAAAATAAGCGAGAAGAAGGTGGTGGTACCGACGATGACGAAGACGGCGGTGGTGAAGCCTCCTAGCGTGAAGAAGGCGCTGATGTCGTCTGCGTTGAAGCGGCGGAAACCACGGATGGTGAACCACTTGAAGCGGATGCGTAGCCGGGTCCAAAAGCCCTGTGCGATTCGGAGAAGGTCTTCTTTGGATGGACGTAGTCGATGCTGCTCGTGGGGCTGCGATTCGTTGCCCGTCGACGGTGGGATTTGGCTGTTTTGGGACGATGTGGGAACGGCGCGCAGTGCTAGCCGCCGCAGCGAGTCTGGGTAGTTGGCAAAGTGGTTGTAGGCACGTTCTGCTGTTGTCAGGTCGGTGCTGGACGAGTCGGGTGCCGTTGTGCGGTGGCCTGATTTCTGTTGCTGAGACGTCACGGTGGTCTCTGAATCCTTCTTGGCGTTCTGAGCTGTGCTGGAAGTAGTGGACTTCGGGTCCGTCTTGTCGTCGTCTGGTGACCAATGCCTTTTCTCGTCGGCCCGCGCGGCACCGGCGCCATGAAATGCACGAGCGTGCTGAGCGATGCTGGAGGAGGGGCTACCGCCACTCGGTGATGTGAACCGACTTGCATTTGAGGATCCAAAGCGAGATCTGAGATCTGAGGAAGTCTGCTGCCCAAGCGCCGGCCCTGCAAGCCTTGAAAAGTATGACTGCACTCCAAGATAGCTGTTTGCAGCCATGGAAATCGAAGCTTGCGTCGATCGGTTGCGATAGCCAGTCACGGGTGGCCTCAAACTATGCAGAACTTGGAGCGTTGCTTTGGACGATGGCTGTGTGAGTGCTGTCTCAGAGCTAGACGTCGCAGTCACCGCCGATCTTCGCGGCAGATGTACCTTCGACGAGGTGGAGGCCGAAGCTCTTGATGGTCCTGCAAGGGCTTCAAGCGCAGAATATAGCGTCGACGGCTTCCGCGACATGACTTCGATCTGCTGGAGGCAGGACTTGCCGCTTCGAGGTGGTCCTTCTTTGCTGATGACAGTCCAACTGAGCCCGATCTTAGCTTGTCATGATGATGATCGCGCTGATTCGTCTAGCGTCGTCAGATCAGACGCAGCAGCCAGCCACTTTGCATGAGTCTGACAGCGTACGTGGGAAAGGTGTCGCGATGGAAGTTGAGAAGAAGGGAGGATGGGCATGTGTTAGCTGCACAGGAACCACCCAGCTGAAACAGAGAAAAATTCAACTCAGCCGAGCCAAGCAAGAAAGGGTGCACAGACAAAAGGACAGGCTTGGCTATGGCTCTATTTTTATCTCGCGTGCAAGCTCCACATCCTGAGCTCTGGCAAAGACACAGCATGCCGCTCATCTGATAGCATCTCCACGGACATGGGCATGGAAGCTCGCGCAGCCTGAGCACACTTCGGCGAGAGCGCAAGGGAGTGTACACAAGGAAGTCGAGGAATGATCATGTATATTCATTTGATCTCTAGAGAAAGTACATGCAGTCGTTCGAGGGCGAGGGATAGCCGAAAGGAAGAGTCTGTGACGGCTCTTGACGTCGCCTTTGCAGGATGCAAGGGCACACGCAAGCCGTCGACATTATTTGCCAAGATGGAACGCACTCTTCAAGCTGCAACCGACTTCTTGCTGACCTTGAGGATCTGTCGAGTCCATACCTCAAAGTAGTCCCTGAAGAAGAAGAGTAGGGCCTGGGCGAGGACGGCCTTGGTGATCTGGGCCGACATGCCCTGGTACCAGCCGCTGAGGCCCTTCTCGCGTGCGATCTGGGTCAAGCAATCGATGGCGCTGGTGTACTTGGTGTTCTTGGCCTGTAGACGGATCTTGCTGAGGATGTAAGGGAAGGTGACGACGGTCGCGAGGGTCTTGGAGAGGGCGCCGACGAGGAACGACTTGCCAGGGGTCATCTTGCCGTCGACGGACGCAGCGAGGATGATGGTCTTGACACGCTCAAAGACACCGTACGTGATGGCGGGGTTGACGGTGAGCACCAGCGAAGGCTTGAGACCACGCCAAAAGCCCGTGATGCCGTCCTCTTGGAGAATGACCTTGGCGTGACCGACAAAGCTCTCGTCCGGCTTCTTGCCGTCCTTGGCGGCCTCGGTAGTGCCAAGCTGCTGTCGAGTCGCGATGACAGCGATGGGGATGGTGAAGATCTGCGCCAATGCACCGGCGACAGCACCAAGAACGAGCTCGGCAGCCGTGCTCATGATGGCCACACCTGACGCACTGCGCTTGGCCAGACGGTTCTGGTAGAGTGTGCGCACCACCGAGTACCAGTAGAAGTAGGCAAAGCCAGTGGTGAAGTTGTTGACCATGCTCGCGGCAAAGCCCTTGTACAGACCTGCTGGACCTTCCTTGCTGCGGATGATGTGTAGGATGCCCTTGATCATGCCAGCACTTTTGGGCACAGTGACGATCGTCTTGCTGGGATCCTTGGGGTCACGCGCCTCCTTGCCTGCTACGACGGCTGAGCTCTGGCCTGCTTGGATGCGGGTCTTGACCGTGTCAAGCGGGTAGATGACCGCGTTGGAGAAGACACCTCCGAGCGCGCCGGCAAGCGCCTGTCCGAATGGTGTGAGAGGCTCTTCCGCCATTGTGATATGTGTGAGCTCGGGAGCTTGATGTGACGGGGTTCGGCGGGGCGTTGAGCCGTTACGAGATCCTGACTGGGTACGCGAGTACAAGAGTGCCAGCTATAGCCCGGTGACAGACGAGGGGAGTCGAAGCGACGAGATCCGATGGCAAGACCGGTCAGATGGAATCGAGTCGGATCAGATATGTCGAATTGTCCAACAGTGAGCAAGATGCAGCGATTTGAGATGAGTCGCTCTAAGAAACAGCACACAAGTAAAGTGCGCAGAGTCGACAGGCGAAGGATGAAAGACGGCTGGCCGATCAAGGTTGATGGTGGTGATGCTGATGGTGGAAGACGAGCACAGAGATCAGGACCCATGCACGGACAGATAGGGCAGGAAGATTCCGGCCTTAGTGAAGCGAGAGGCAGGCACTCCGACAGCCAAGAGTGAGAGATGATGCATCTTTTTGCGGGACCCCTCGCTGCTCGTGGAATTTCGACAGGCTCCAAGCGTCATTCAACCGCTCCCTCTCTCTCTCCGCGCTTGCAGGAATTGGTGAGCCACGGTCTCTTTGCGATAGCCGGTTCCGTGCCCATGGCAGGCAGGCGCTGTTGAATCACCTCGCCAAAATTCACGATTTTCGCCTTTTCCCCATTTCCGCCCATCCACGCTCGCATGCCAACACCGGTAAATCGGAAAAGGCGGCTGCCGGGTCTGCTCGCTATCAGAATTGCGGCCAGACACAGCAAGCATTCGTCGCATCGCAACAAAGCAAGGTGTTGATCTTCAGACTGAAGCGTATGAAGAGAAAGATCAAGGGCTTCTGCAGGCTGCTCTGATCAGCATTGTACACGACGGCAGCACGTACATTCGGTGCCTCGGGAAGGAAAGCAGGAGACGATGTGAAAACGTCAGTGAGCACCGACAAGTGATTTCCGCCCGAGCATCAAATCAAGGGTCCACTTGTACCGGCCGACTGTTTCTTCGACCAAGCCGTTCGACCTGCGAGTGCCTCTGTCCAACACGAAAGCACCTTCCCTTTCGGCCCCTCGGACGTTCTCTGTTCGCCTCTGCTACAAAAGAATGGCCCTCTCAGGGCAGTGCACGGAGTACAAGGTGATGCTTGCAAGTTCAGTGAGATTGATGCGGATGCGAAGGTCAAGAAAACAAGCTGTTGCAAGATGCTAGATGTCTACGGATCTCGATGCAAGTAACAAGGCTGTGGAACATGCTCTATATACGGAAGTGACGGAGAATCCAAGGCTGGAGTGTGCTCAATGACGTGGCGTCTGAGCATGCTGGTACGAGTCGTGCTGCGGGTATCGTTCGGAAGGGTAGTCAGACATCTGGCTCTGATACGACCATGGCTCGGTGGCTCCATTCCGGTAGCTGTCGAAGCGCGAGTCGTAGCCACCGTTGGAGCTCATACTCGTGTCATGGTGCGCATCCCCCTTCTGATAGTCGCCTGCACCATTCGACGACGGATAGTCGCTCATCATGTAGCTATGTCGCTGGTCAGGCGTGATGACAGGTGAATGGCCGTCCGAGTTGAGGTAGGCATCGTAGACGTCGTCCAGCCCGTTGAAGCTGGTGCCTGGGCTGTGCGACGACGAGTTAGCTCCTGACCCTGCACCGTTGCTTCGACTGTATCGATTCGGATCAAGTTCGCGGCCAAAGCCATCGGTGCCCTGTCCGATGACAAGATGGCTGCTGTTGCCCTGGTACATTTGAGGAGATCCTGCCATCGTCACCTCGACAGCCGGAGGAGGGTAGTCGCGTGCATCGCCTCCTGCATACGGTACATACGAGGAAAGGTCAGGCGCTTGCGGTGGCGGATAGTCGAGGCCATCGACACCGTGCGTATTCTGTGGTGGTGGATAGTCGAGACCCCTCGCCGTGTACGGCGAATCTTGCTGTTGCCCCGCTGCCCCCGGATGAGGACTTTGCCTGCCCTGCATATCGTACTGCCCACCATTCGATGCAGCATGCTGAGACATGCCGCCGTTGCTGCCATCCAGTAGTGATCGCTGCTGACCTGGGCCGTGTGTGTAGTACATGTCCATTGCCTGTTGTGAAGCAGGCGGCGCAGGAGAAATCCGGCCGCCGCCGCCACCACCGACTCGCTGCGCGAAAAGCATCGGACTGGTGCCGATGGGACCCATGCGATCCGCCATCGAATCGAACGTATTGGAAGACATGCCACCGTATTCGCCTCCGGCAGGGCCTGCGTTGGAAACAAGATTGGCTGTACTTGCATATTCCCCGTTGTCGTCGTATCGAAGGCTGTGCGTCGAAGGCGCTTTGACGCCGTAGAAGTGTTGTGGACCATGGCCTGGCGATTGGTAGCCCGGCACGCCGTGGTTGCCGTAGTACCCTCCATTGCCATGAGCCGCGAGCGAGCTTGCCATGCTGCCGGAGCGTTGCATCGGGCCTGACCGGTTTGGCTTCTCGTCGTTGAGCAGATCCACGTCGACGGTGGGCAGAGTCGGCTGGGGAATCGCTTGTCGGACCATCTCGCCCTTCTTGTTCATGAGATGCGAAAAGTCGCCTGCCGCTTCCTTGCGAGCGATCTCGTTGACCTTGGCGAGACGCTGCCTCTTTTTGAGATGAACGAGCTCGGTGACACGCTTGTCCACCTTGTGGCAGCAGTACTCCTTGAGGTTGCCCTTGATGTAGCAGAGCAGCGGAATGTAGGCGATACCTGCCATCATGAGCAAGATCATCGAACCAGCAAAGACGGCGACAGTGAAGAGCATGGAGAGGATCATGATGCCGGTAAAGATGTTGCCCTCGTAGTAGTCGCTGGGATTGGTGCTCCACTTGGCAAATGAGCCGAGGCCGTAGAGGGTGAAGAAGTTGATAACCTGACGCGGACCGTCGGCTACGAGCAGACGCTTCCATCCCTTGAAGGTGAAGAAGATCCAAAAGGCAAGCTCGTCCTTCTTCTTTTTGCTGTCGTTGATGTGGTCGAAGAAGCAGTAGTGGTCGTAGCTGCGCAACGAGTAGTAATTGTTGGCCATGACGTTGGTGAATGCATAGCTGATATCGCGGCTCTTGACGATGGCACGCGACTTGTGCGCCTCGTAAGCGAGCAGTAGGAACGAGAAGATGATGCATCCACTGAAGATCCAGCGACCGTACGAGATGGGAACACGAAAGTTGTTGTCGGGATCGTTTTGTACTTTGTCGTAGAGACTGCCACTGAAATGACCGAATGCTAGCAATGTGACGGCGGTGTAGATGTCGGCGACGTACACTGCGAACGACTTGACGACCATGACAAAGAGGAAGACGTACTTGAGCTGCATGAAGCAGCCATTGTTGCGAAAGTCGCGCACATCGATGAAGTCAAACTTGTGGTCGGGAACTTCCTCGCGCTTCCAGTTGGCTTTGCCGCAGCACATCGTAGGCGGCAGTGATGGTGATACCGAAGATCACGGGACGGTGAGGAAGTGTGTGATAACGAGTGCGCGCTGGGATACGACCCGAAAAGGAGCGAAGCCGCTCTATCTAGACGAGCTGAAAGATGCGATGCGACAACTTGTGGTGGTGACGGTGGTGTTGGTGTTGGTGCACAACTGAGCCGGCAACGGTGCTGTTCTGGAGGAATGGTGAAAGGTTTCGTGGCCGAAAGAGATTCCGCGGCGCACCTGTCGCCGGAGGACGGAGCTGAGAGACTGATGAGAGAAAAGGTCGATCAAGACTGCATTGCTAGGAACCGAGATTGGGAACGCGTGAGCGGGCGGATGCAGCCCCAGAACTGTGGACAATGAAGGAGGGGAAGATCGGGGAAGGATAGATGGGAGAGGAGCGAGGAGAAGCCGTATGCTTTGAGATGACGAATGAAAGGGAGGGAGCAGTCATGAATATGGTGTTGGTCTCACAGCGCTTTTGGTGGCAGCCTCGGTTCGACCATTTTTGGCGTGCGGACGAAGGACAGCGAGGCCCCACTGCACGATTTCACAAAGGCTCGGCGCTTGCTGGAATCCGCTCGCTTCGCAGTGAGTGACAGTCGCCGCAGAGTGTTTTTCTCCTGGCGCGTGAGGAGGGCAAGACGCGAAGCCTCCAGGGGTTTAGAGCGCAAGGCCTAACAAAGGGGACTCGATTGCTATTTCGGTCTGGGTCCCAGAGAGGATCGGCCGATCGTAGATGGGAGCTGCTCCCAGCCGAGTCGCTATCACGATCTCGCGAGATTGTGGCAGGAGCGGCGAGCACGTCACATGTTATATCGCCGACAATCACAAGGTAGATCCTGCCTAGTACAGTATAGCGATCGCTGGGACGGATGGTTGAGAGCAAAGGGCCAGAGTCGTTCGATGTCGTGCAATGAGCAGTGGCATTGTGAATTTGAAATCAGACCACGTTTACGCCATCGCTCGACACGTTCGCTGCAAGTCGAACGCCGCCGGTCCCTGCTCGAAAGCATCTCCCTGCAAGGTGTCAGCCTCAGCGTCTACAAGTATGAGCGGGTACGAGATCTCTTGACTCGATCAACCACAAAGTCACCTTGAGATGAATAGCAGGCCTTCTTGAGGCACTCGAAGCGGGCTTGCAACGTTGAAGACAGAAAGGGGGCAGGACGAGGAGACTCGATTTTCTCTTTGAAAATTGCACAAAGCTTTTGCTGCAAGTTGAGAGCTCTGCAGGAAATTGGCGAGACCACGTTCTGCTTGCCCTCCTGGGTTCTCGTCTTCAAACCAAACATGACGTCGGTAGTGTCCATCATTCCCCTTCTACACCTCTTGACTTGATGTGAAAGCCGTGGCTAGAGCGTCTTGCTCGACGCCAACATGCTGGTTGCAAAGTGACGGCTATAGGAGGCAGCATTCCCTTTGATCGGAGTTCCGGCGGCGGGCACCATTGTGCTGTTGGAGCTGCTGTCTCGGATTTGTTTGGCAGCCTGAGGAAGAGCAACGGAAAGCCGCGCCGGTTCCAGACCCGCGGTAAAGTGGCAGCCGAGACGCTCGACAAACAAAAGGGTTCACCAGCAGCAAAACGAGTCTCTCTGATTGGCATGCCAAGCCCTGCATTAGTCTTAACTTTTCTCCGTCTCGTCCTGCATGGAAGCCATTTGGTTTGATTGCCACTTGACTTTCCAGTCCGTGTCTGCGATGTCGGAGTTGCGCGAGTCCTACAATGGGGCAACTATGGCCACCTAGCTGCAGCCAACGACGTCTGTCTAGGATCTGCTTGGGCTCTAGACTTGTTTCCTCGGATCGACTCGCTTCCGATCAGAGACTCTGAGTAGCTGTCTGAATGACCGGCATGATTCACAGTGTGACGATCATGGCTCCGGAAGCTATATGACCCTTCCACCTCCCTCTTGAGCAGCTCGGAATGCTTCCGTGCTATCCCATCGCATCTGCCTACACTCCCACGCCATCACGCTCATCGGAACTATCCTACATCGGCTCACCCTGCCCGCAGCCTCAGCAGCTTGGTCAGCATGGGAGAACGCAGCTCGAGCCTGTTAGGCAAGCTCACACTCAGAACAAAGCGTCGACTCGCCAACGCTTCCAATGCTTCCGCCTCGTCCTCTTCATCCAGCCGCTCGGCTGCCAGTTCAGCTGCAACCCCTGAGCCTCGAACACCCACCTCCTTGTGCGGGCAAGCCGACTACGGACTAGGCTACTCAAGCATCAACCATGAATCCTCTTCAAAGTATCGGAGCAAACGCAACAGCACGGCCGCGCTTCCAGACTCGGTCGAACATGATCGTTACGCGGATCCCACCCGCACCCAAAAGCAGCGCAGTCTGCCCCGATCATACAGGCTCAGCTCTCACTCTCAAGAGGCTCCTCTCTTCGTCGAGTTTCAACATCAAGCTAGACCCAACTCCCCCATCCAGTCCACCGTCCGAGCCCGACCTCAGACCAGCAAGTCTCCACCCGACTATGCTGCCTTGGACCCTCCTCGACCTCAATCACCTTTCGCCATGACTGGCACCATCCCACGCTCTCACACTCACGCCCTCTTGGGACGCAGCTTGTCCTACGATGGCTCAAATCAAGCAACCATCCCTCGCTCTTCTACGCAGCCTTTGACCAGCACACCTACATCAGTTGTCGAACCTTCCGAGCAATCCCTTTATGTCGTGGCTCGCGGCTGGAAGAAAGGCATCTATGAAATCAAGGAGGAAGCAGAGCGTCACACTCGAAACGTAAGTTAACTACTTCATTTCAGTCCGACCTTCGAGAATGAGGGTTTGTGCATGGACTGACCTCGCCAACGTCATTTCATCTGCAGTTTCCCGGTCCTTTGATCCAAACTTTCCACGATCGACCAGCAGCCGAAGAGTTCTTGGCCAGCTCTGGTCGCCTCACACCTCAGTCGATGTTTTCAGATGAAGCTGAGGATGAGCTTGTCGAAAGGACACGCATCTTCAAAGGTCTTGATCCTCAAAGCGAGGCAGCCAAGCGCAGATCAATGGGCATGTCGCTCGAACGCAAAGAGTCGCGGCGCAGGTCGCGCATGCTTGCCGCCACGCATTCATCCGTCCTTCATCAAGATGCAGCTGCCGTTGCCGTCAGCTCGCCTCCCTTGTCTTTCAGCAGCGTCTTCGCAGACAACGGTCCCATCACCCCCATCGACGAAATCAGTGGCTTTGACAGCTCTTCTGCTCCGGTCCCCTTGCAAGCTATGACCTTGCTCCCCGTCAAGGATCTTGCAAGGTCGATGCTCTTCTATGCCAAAGTGCTGGAGCTCGCCTGCGTTTCTTACATTCCCGAGGCGCAAGCCGTTATGAGCTCTTCGGCTGCAACAATCTGCCTGCGCACGATCGAGCAAGCTCCTCTGTCGTCAGACGAAACCGACTTTTCGCGCACAAGCTCCCCTGGCTTGCCCAGACACGCACTCGGCGCAGACACGTTCTTGCCACCCACGCCCGAATCGCTCATTCTCCCAAGCACAGACCCAGGACCGCTTCAGCTGCCAGCCACAAGCCTTCCGCTTCATTCTTCGTCAACTTCTACCTCGGGCGCAGTTGTGCTTATCGAACTCAACGGCTCGCCTGACGCCATGCATACGCGGCTCACTGCAAAGCTTAACGAGTGGAGACTTGCGCAGTCTTCCCTCACAAAGGGAGCACTAGGATGGCGCAAGGATTCTCAACGGCGTCCAGCAGACCGCCTGGAATGCGCAGGAGCTGCATCTCTCTGATCTCGACGGTCACCGCATCATCTATACCACTCCCATTCTGCGCGGTGCAGTCCCCACCACGAGCTTAATCTGATGACAACCATGTCGAATATACCCGAACAATGCTTTCTATGCGCTTCCCTCGTGTCACTGACTGCGCTTTCATGGCTGAGTTCAGTCTAGCTTCTCTGCTGGCTTCGCTCCGATCTGGCTTTCACAGAGACGAGACACCTGATCTGTGCAGGAATTGGAGTTGCGATATAAGAACGACAATGAGCGTTCGTCGCTCCCCTTTTGCTTGCCCCTGCCATCTCGTGTGACCCTTCATCGTCATTCGTTGCAGACCATGTTCGGCTCACCCGACGACACGAGCATCCTCAGTCACGACAGCGACTCGTTCCTCCCCACCATCTCCGACAGCGACCTGGTCCGCGATGCCAAACATGTTCACTGGCAGCATCCCCCCTTTCTCCCCGACACCGCTCAAACGTATCCGCACCTGCACAGCATGGATAGCCTGATCGAGCCCGATGGGTCGTCTTCGAAAGCTGGCAAGGGGTTGGGCGGTGTGAAGGCCAAGATGAAGGCTGTTGTGAGGCTTTTGTCAGGATCGAAGCAGCAGCCCAATGCAGCGGCGGCTGTGAGCGCCAAAGGATTGCCGATTGCGGGTCAGACATTGCAGCCGATCTACATCAAGACTACGCCTCAAGTAGGGCACGAACCGCAGCGTGTCACTCGTGTCGACACGCCTCGACCCGACCGAAACTTCGGTGCGATCACCGACAGCGACGATCCAGCTGTGATCGGTAGCATACGTGAGCATCTCGCCTCGCAGCATGAGCCGCAGGTTCATCCTCCACCGCCTCCACCTTCGACGCAGCTCGACCCGCAGGCGGCGATCACGATCCCACCCACAGCCGTGACAGCCAAAAAGAGGATCCCAAACGCTCACGAGATCGGTCTGGGCTTTCCGGAAGAGCCTCGCAAACGGTCGAGTCCCGAACAAGCTGTTGCTCCTGGCGCACGCGTCGCAAGTCGTCCTCTCCCTCCCACACCCGCTCTTCAGGCTCAATCAACCTCGCTCGTCCCTCAACAGCCGCTTGCACACGAGCACATCCCGCAACTTGGGATGTCACACCTCAACTACGGCGCAACGGTCCATCAGACTGAGCAGCCAACGCATGTCGACTCCGCCTCGCGCCTGACCAAATTCCCCTCGCTTCGTCGGGTCAATGGTACCATCAACCCTGTTCGGCTCGCAGAAGAACTCGAGACCCTCTCCACGCTCTCCTCCTCGCGTCGATCGCGCAAGCCTTCGTCCTATCGCAAGCCACCACCCTCTTCCAGCGCCTCGGTGGAGCTGGATAGCAGTCAAGAGGCGGTGTGTCACTGGCGACCCTCCCTATCGCCTCCTCTCCCTTCTGCTCGGCTCAATGGCGCGGCAGCGTACACCTCACATGGTGTGAAACCGCCTTCGCTGGAAAACAGCGAGGACGAGTCCATCCGTCGAATTCAGGATTGGCGCGTGCACATCAAGCAAGCCCCCTCGGTGCTGTCCAAGGCTGCATCGGCGCACTCACGGTTCGAGGGGGACGAGGTTAGTTCGCATTTGACGTCCGTCTCTCGGAGCCCGCTGAGCAAAGGTGAGAAGACATCCTCTGTCAGTCCTTCGCGCTTTGCGCAGGTGCTGGATGAAGTCTCAGCCCAATACAGGGGCTCGCGTAGTCCGCTGTCCAAGGAGGAGAACGAAACGCCGACGATGAAGGCGAAGCGGGTGGTGGGTAAAGCAGCTGCAGCGTCATTCCATGGCTCGCCGAGGGGAGTGAGGACGGTATCGGGAACGAGCCACATCGCGCGCCTTTCAGACGACCAATTCGACCGCCTTGCACGGGTGGCTGAAGGCCCACCTCCACCACCACCCACACCCATCCCCAAAGAAACCACGCTGCGTCCAGCTGAGGAGGAAGAGAGAAGGACCTCGCTCGATAGCACCCACCCAACCACGCTGTCGACACTCGAACACAAAGCGGCCAAACACATCGACACGCTCGATGGGATGATCCGCAAGCATCCGGAGAAGATGTGGCGGATCCTCGGCGAACGACCGGGGTTGATGCTGGTCGTGTTGTTGCGGTGCAAAGTGGAAGAACGACTGGAAGAGAGACGGAGCGAGGTGGGAGTGGGGAGTCTGGTCGATCTGACAACGAAACATGGTCGGGAAGAGAGGGAGAACGATGGTGTGAGGGCGATCGAGGAGTCTCTGGTGGGGTTGAATTTTGGGGTGATGCAGCCGACCAAGACCGACAAGGTGCCGAGCATTGTGGTCTCCCGACCAAGCAGCAAGTCGGACAGTCAAGCTCCACCTTCCTCGGCCAGCACGGCGATTGTTGTCGCGCCTACTCCAGCACAAGGACAAGGGGAGGACAAAGTCGACTCCCGCGGCAACGCAGCATTGGAGTCGATGGTGAAGAGGCTCGAGCAGGCCGGCGAGCTATGCACCGTTCAACAAACGCTCCTCACGCTGCAGGACAAGCTGATGAGCGCCGACTCGGAGTACCATCGCCTGAGGGACCGGTTGAGCGTCGTAAGTACCCCACACAGCCTCAGAGGAATCAACGAGAGAAGAGGTACTGACAAGCCTTGTGTTCGGTGTGGACAGCTCGAGCAGGCCGTGTTCTCTCCCAACTCGCCAAACACCACCACCTCTTCGCTTCATGTGCCACTTTGACGGTGCGCCCGTAGCTTCAGCCATCTCGCAAGACCCATACCCGATCAGACGATGCTTGATGAAATGCAATACAAAGCAAGCCCTTATCGTTACCGTCGTTGAGCTAGAATACAGCGTGCAAGCCATGATGCTACGGATCGATCTCGCCCAGCAGCAGCGTCATGTCCGTCGAACACGACACGACCACCGGTTCCTTTGGATGAAACACCGCCGCAGTGCACGTGCCCCTATGCCCTGGCAGCTTGTACAGTATCGTCGAGCTCTCCACGTCCCAGATCGTGCAGGTCCGATCCGCGCCGCCCGCGACAACTTTCTCTCCATCGGCACTCCAGCCCGCTTTGACGAGCAGATTCTCGAACCCACCAAACGTCGTGCCCCTCAATGTGCGGTACAGCCTCGGATTGGAGGCGTTGGGATCGGAGGGATTCGCCTCCGGTGCAAAGGGTCGGACGTCCCAGATGCGAACCGAGTCGTCGAAGGATGTGCTGAGGATGTGCGACCCCGAAGGGGAGAGGGAGAGAGAGGTGATGGTGTCCATATGCCCGCGTAGGGTGAGGGCGATGGTCTTGCGGGTAAGATCGTAGATGTGGATCTGATTGTCGATGCCTCCGACGTAGAGCTGGCTTGAATCTTCTGAGAAGGCGACGGCTGTGACGGGGTACCCGACATCGAGGATGTCTATTGGCTCTTTCGATTGTGGATCCCAGATCATGACGCGACCATCGTCGGATGCGGAGACGAGCAGTTCGGGCCCACCCCGCGTGGAAGAGACGCAGTTGACAATGGCTCGATGACCCCTCAACCTCCGCTGCTTCTCGCCGGTGGTTGTGCTCCACACGATGATTGTTCCGTCCGCTGAGCCCGAATAGAGCGCATCGCCAATGTTGTAGCTAAAGGCGAGACAGGTGACCGCTTTGGAGTGCCCTTTGAGCTGACCAATGTTGGCACACTCGCCGTAGACGCTCCAGATCGAGATGGTGCGGTCCGCCGAAGCTGCGGCGATGCGAGAGCCATCCCGGGAGAACTTGACGTCGAGAATCTCGGAGGTATGTGCTCCTGTCAGGCCGAGAATGGGATGTGAGAGCGAGGAGGTGCGTTTTACGGAGCGGACTAGACCTTTGTCCTGACCGTTTGCGGAGGAGGCAATGGCGAGCTGCTGGGTGTTGCCGTCGTTGTCGTCGTCGTGACGTTGACGTTTGACGAGCGCTGCTTCGCGGTACGAGATGGGTGGCGATGTCTTGCGCTTCTCCGCCATGTTGACTGTGGTGGACGGTGAGGTGAGGCTAGGGGAGGGAAGGGGACGATCGTGGGGGTAAGAAGAAGTGAGAAACGCGAACGCGAGCTTCCGATAGAAAGTTGACAGGCGAGGTCAAGGTGAAGCCCGACTTCCGCCTTTTACAGCTCTGTGCCTCCACTCTTAGAAATTTCTTCCAGCTGAGCGCACGACTCAGCCTTTGGGTTTGACATGCCTTCGCTCTTCGGCTCTTCTTACCACACAACAGCTTCTCGACGCCTTCATACATCGGCGTCGCAGGGCAAGATAAGATACATCGGCCCAGGTCTCAATAGCAGCATCGCTCATCGATATGGCGTCGGACAGCAAACGATTCAGCTCGCATAACGTGCGTTGCTGCACACTCATAGGCCATGTCGACCACGGCAAGTCCTCGTTTGCAGACTCGCTCCTGGCGGCCAACAACATCATCTCCGCCCGCATGGCCGGTCAAATCCGCTACCTCGACTCCAGAGAAGATGAACAAGAACGAGGCATCACCATGGAGGCCTCTGCCGTTTCGCTCTCCGTCAAGATGCGTGTTCACGACCCGACAAAAGGCTGGGACCCAGACAACCTCCCGCCCGTGCAAGACTTTATGATCAATCTCGTCGACACGCCTGGTCACGTCGACTTCTCCTCCGAAGTGTCGACAGCGTCGAGGCTGTGCGATGGTGCGTTGTTGATCGTCGATGTTGTTGAGGGTGTTTGCGCGCAGACGGTGACGGTGCTCCGGCAGGCGTGGCAGGACGGTCTGGAGCCGATCTTGGTTCTCAACAAGGTCGATCGACTCATTGTGGAACTCAAACTCTCGCCGAATGAAGCGTATCATCATCTCATCCAGGTCATCGAGCAGGTCAACGCCGTCGTAGGCTCCTTCTTCGCCTCGGCACGCATGGACGACGACGAACGCTGGCACGAGGAACGCGAAAAGCGCATCGCAGCACGCAAGCAGGCCAAGAACGACTCGATCGCCGCATCCACCGCCGCCGAAGACGACGCCGAAGACGCCGACCGCGAAGAGCGAGACGACGAGGATATTTATTTCGATCCCTCCAAGGGCAACGTCATCTTCGCCTCTGCGATGGACAACTGGGCTTTCCGCCTGGAGCGATTCGCCATGCTCTACGCCAAGAAGATGGGCATCCAGGAGTCCAAGCTGCGCAAAGTGCTGTGGGGTGATTTCTACTTTGATCCCAAGACCAAGCGTGTTCTCTCGCAAAAGCAGAAGGAGAAGGAGAAGAGGCCGCTGAAGCCTATGTTCGTCCAGTTCGTGCTGGAGAACATTTGGAGCGTTTACGACGCCGTGGTGGAGAACAGGGACCAGAATAAGATCGAGAAGATTGTGTCGAGTCTGAACCTCAAGGTGCATCCTCGCGATCTCAAGTCCAAGGACGCATCCCAGCTCATCAAGGCGATTGTTAGTCAGTGGCTGCCATTGGCGAGCTGTGCTTTTGCCGCGATCATCTATGTCATCCCACCGACGAGCAAGGCGCAGGCAAAGAGGATCCCGATGATGCTCAATCCAGATATGAGCTACTTCGATCGAGGAAACTACAAGGCCAAGACCACGTTGGAGGAGAATTTGATGAGCGCCGAGATCGGACCCAAGTCGATCCGCGTTGCGTACGTCAGCAAGATGTTTGCGGTCAAGAAGGAGGATCTTCCGGAAGCGAAGAAGGCGCCGATGACGGCGGAGCAGATGCGGGAGCGCGCCAAAGAGAGCAGGGAGAGACAGAATGCGGTTCGCGCTGCACTGGCTGCTACCGGTGCCACGATGGAAGGTGGCTCTGGTGATGCGGCCGCGGAAGCCAACGGTACGAGCCTCGAAGAGGCCGAGGCGCAAAAAGCTGTCCGTGCCCAGCGCGACGCCGACGCGCAAGCCGAAAAGGACGCCCAAAAGGCTGACGAAGACGAGGATGGATCGGACGAAGTAGTGCTCGGCTTTGCACGTCTCTACTCGGGCACCCTCCGCGTCGGTCAATGGATGTACGCCCTACTACCCAAGTACAACACCTCGCTCCCACCATCCCACCCGTCCAACGCCAAGCACATCAAGGCGGTCCAGCTCGAGTCGCTCTACATGATCATGGGACGGGATCTGCTTGCGGTGCAAGAAGTGCCCTCGGGCAACGTCTTTGCCATCCGTGGTCTCGAAGGTCGCGTTCTGCGCAATGCCACTCTCTGCTCTCCCTCCCTCACGCAATCCTACCCGATCGAGCGTCACACCGACCCTTCCACCATCGACACTTCCGTCGCAACATCGACATTCGTCAACCTCGCAGGGATCAACATGCTCTCCGCGCCCATCGTGCGTGTCGCCCTCGAACCGGTCAACCCGCAGGACATGCCGAAACTCGTCGAGGGACTCAAGCTGCTCAACCAAGCCGATCCGTGCGTCGAGTCCTTGGTGCAGGATACGGGCGAACATGTGATCCTCACCGCGGGCGAGCTGCATCTCGAGCGATGTCTTAAGGATTTACGCGAGCGGTTTGCGCGGTGTGAGATCCAGGTGAGCCCTCCGCTCGTTCCGTTCAGGGAGACGTGCGTGCGAGCACCCGAGATGGCGCCGCCGAAAATCGAGGGTGCTGCGCGTGGAACGGTGGATGGTAGCGTCGCGAATGGTGGTGTGACCTACCGGGTGAGGGCTGTACCCCTGCCCAAGGCCGTGGTGGAGTTCCTGCTGGCGAACGCACAAACGCTGAGGTGGTTGCAGAACCGCAGTGCCGGCAGTGCCGAGGATGATGCCGGCGAGGGAGGCGTGGACAGTGTCGGATCGCAGGCGAGCAAGACGGTTCGCGCGGACAAATTCTGGTCGACGCTGGACGGGGTGTTGGAGAAGTGCGGGCAGGATCGTACGGGTGAAGACTGGAGGGAGGTGGTGGAGAAGATTGTCTCGTTTGGACCGCGAAGGGTGGGAGCGAACGTGTTGGTGGATCGAACGGGTGGTGGAAGGATGGGGTTGAGGAATCGAACGGATCCGTCGCGGGCTGTCACACGACAGTCGTCGGGCATCGCTACGCCTGCTGCAGCTGAATCGAGGGAGAATGGGGACAGTCTCACGGATGCGCTGCACAAGATCAGCCTCGGTGAACAGGAGGAAAGTGCGTCGAAGGGGGTCAACCTTAGCGCGCTGAACGAGAGCCTGGATAACGGGTTCCAAATGGCTACCTCCTCCGGTCCCTTGTGCGGAGAACCCATGCAGGGACTCGCGTTCTTCCTCGAAACCATCGCGCTCACCCCGACATCCAACTCCTCGCTCTCCTCCGTCACCGGCCCGCTGATGTCGACGTTCAGAGAGAGCTGCAAGCAAGCGCTTCTGGATTGGTCCCCACGTCTGATGCTCGCCATGTACAGCTGCGACATCCAAGCGTCGACCGAGGTGCTCGGCAAAGTCCATGCGGTGCTCGCCAAACGTCGAGGCAAGATCATTTCGGAAGAGATGAAGGAAGGAACGAGCTTTTTCACGGTTGGCTCGCTCCTACCGGTGGTGGAGAGTTTTGGATTCGCAGATGAGATCCGGAAGAGGACTAGCGGCGCAGCAAGCCCCCAGTTGATCTTTAAGGGCTTCGAGCTGTTTGACCTGGATCCATTCTGGGTGCCCAGGACCGAGGAGGAGCTGGAGGACCTGGGTGAGAAGGGTGACAAGGAGAACGTGGCGAAACGCTACATGGATGGGGTGAGGAAGAGGAAGGGCTTGTGGGTGGATGAGCGGATCGTGGCTGCTGCAGAGAAGCAGAGGACGCTCAAGTCGAATTGATCGGCGAAGCGCGACTCTGATGGCATGCAATAATCCTATTCGACAGCAGAGAGTGATGGCAATGTGGTCTACGTGAATCGATGCAGAATGACTACGACCTGGTGATCCTGAGTCTAGGCGCATAGATGGCGAACGACCTTTCCTCCGGCTCCAGCCACGGCACGCCCAAAAATTGGAAGATCTGCCTCTCGTCGGTCGCCTCCAGAACGTTTTCCGTCCAAGCCGAGCCGTTTTCGTTGGCAGGACCGATACCGTATTCGTTGAGCGCCCAGCCTCTCGCCCGAGCTTTGGCGCGCATGTGCATCATGAGGTCGGAATCGCCTGTCTTGGCGAGAGTGTAGAATGCACGTCGGTTGAAAGGGGCGAAGTTGAGATCGAAGCGGCGGGCCTTGGCGCCAGGGTCGGGGAGGCGCACGAGGCCTTTGACGGCGAGTGGGCCGTGTTGCAGCAGCTTGTCAGCGAGGAGGTTGCGGCGCGTGAGTTCGGCGACGACCGCGGTGAGGAGTTCGCTAGCGAGCGGGTTTGCGTCGAGCTTGTTCGGGTCGGACGGACGTGGGATGCGCATATCGACCACGGAAGGGTGGAAGAGGACAAAGTCGAGGTCGGACGAGTAGTGATCGCCGCGACGGAAGCTGCCGAGCAGTTCGGCGCCGAGCTGCGGGTCGACGGTGTGGAAGACATCGAGAAGGATTTCTCGCCACTGCTCAGACTCGGAACGAGGGATCAAGCATTCGACGTCGTCGAGATGTTCCAGCCCGATCCGTTGAGCTCGTTCGAGACAGGCATCGCGCAGCTGTTCGAGTGTGAGGAATCCAGCCTGGACGAAACGCTCGGCTTTGGTAGCACCTATGCCGTAGACGCGCTGGAACATGACGCGTGCTCGATCCTCTTTGGAAAGAGAGTCGATGGCGTCGACGCGATTCTGCAATAGTCTCTGCTTGATGATCGTCCAGCCGACACTGTCGTCTGGCTTGAGAAGCTGAATCACCTGTCGCACGGTGAGAGGTCCGCCCTCACCGATCTCCGACTCGTGCTGAACGCGGAAAAGTCGACGCTCCGCCACCTTGTATTCTCGACTACTCGAAGGTCCGCGAAGTGCTTGCATGTTGCGGAGGTCGTTGAGCACTGCTTTCATTGGAAAGGGTCGGTCCAGCAATTCTGGAAACTTGGAGATGAGGTCGCGGAAGGCAGTCTCTTTTCGTGGGCCTTGCGATGGGTTCGAGCTCGCCAGCGAGCGACGCTGATCCTTGTGGAAGAGCCGCTTGACAAGACTCGTCAGCTTGAAGTTGCGGAAAGCTTTCTTTGAGCAAGGGTTCACCGCGAAGAAAAGTGGCAAGGACGCCGTATGCACCAAAAGGCCAAGAGCGGTGCTGAAGTTTGGGCACAGAAAGAGTGCCTCTTGTGCCGCAGAGCTTGTCTCCAACAGATACAGCAGACAATGTCTAGGCAGCGGGGAACCGAACAAGTGCAGACTGCCGAAGAACAGCGACAAGGCTGACATGGTTTGGAAGACTTGCTTCTTGCTTGGTCGAGGCTGCTCCATCCCTGGGTCGCTGATCTCGGACAAGATCTCACCGAATCTGTGCAACGCATGTCGGACTTGTTGCGAACTCTGCAGCGCCCACTGCTGGATAGCACTCAGCAAGGACCGAGATTTCGAGCGCACGAGAAGGTCCTCAACTTGCTTCTGGATAACATCGAGACGGGTTGCGATGTCTTGAACTTGAGCTGCCAACACGTCGATGGCGTCGCAGGTATCCTCACGATGCTGTCCATTTCCGCGACAGACCTTGAGGTGTTGTTTCGACTCCGTTGGGATGAGGGCTTCGTCTACAAAGGCTGCAGCACGTCGATGAAGCGCATTATCCTGCTGTGCTCGTGATCTGGCTGTCTGCATTCGTCGACTTCGACGGATGGTCTTTTCGCGTCGAGTCTCTGTCGGTTCGATATCTTGCCAGGCGTCATCTTCGCCAATGTCAAGTTCTACTTCGCCTTGTTCGGTGATATTGAGGGCATTGAGAGCACGACCTTGCATTCGGAGGTCGTCATACAGATCACGGGGCCGAGAGCCACGAGCTTGGGGCTGGAGAAATTTAGATGACGTAGCCTTGGAGGACCGAGTGTTGCGTCCCAAGGCATGGGAGAGAATGGCGGTGAAGGCGGTTGCCAGCTCCTTTGGTGGAGCTCCTGGCGGAGCAGATCTCCTGACTCTTCCAGCTTGGCCTGTGAGGTGACGAGATACGAAGACGGTGGCAACGACGACGTGTCTCTGCCGGTTCAAGGTTCCAGGCCGGCTGCTTTGGAACAGTAGGCCAGACGATGACATGACGTGTTCGCGATCGGAGCCAGGGATGCTGTGGTCGGAGAGGAAGTGAAGGAGGAGGTCAAGTGAGGAAGACGACAGGGGGCTGAGCAAAGTGGGCCGATGACGGTGGCTCAAGGAGTCGGATCAGTTGCCCACCTGGTCTCATATACGTTATTGGCCAAGCGGAACCGTGCATCGATTGGCGGCTCAAGGTTGGGCTCAGGCTCAAGATTTGATTCGGTCTTGAGCACGAGCAAGGGCTGAAAAGTGAGCCGCTTCAGGCAAATGCGGGTCGAACAATGCGATGCGGTGTGATCAGGACGTTGGCAGGGGCGCGGGTAGCAGCCGAAGGTACGGAAGGGGTCCGAGCTCAATGACACGTAGCGACAGTGCATGCCTCTTTTGAATCGGCGTAGGCCGCCAGGTGGGCTGATGGAGCCTTTTCGCTGCAGGCATACTTCCGGCTTCTGTCGAACAGGTCCATCCAATGCTCTTTGCCCGTCGACAGGAACACGAGGATCCTGACGGCACGTCTACCGAAAGACAGTGCATCGAAAACAGTGGGTGAGCTGGGCTGTTCCTAATTCAACGGCGAATTTCTTTGCCTCGATTTTTGGCGGCATTTTTTAAATTCAATGATCACCTTCGTAGAGCCGCGCTCTGTCACTGTCAGCTGCAGGGAACCTTCAAGTCGGGTGAGCCGGAATATCTTGACCGGACAAGCCTATGCTTGAGAGCAGGCGCTGACTGCGAATGCCAGGCTGTGGCAAGCGTGACTGGACAGACCAGCGTGATGGAGATGGATCACCCGATGCGATTTCAGAAAGGCTGACAGAGGCTCTTGGCATCGGCCAAGTCTCTGCACTTTCGGCACGTGCAGGCCTTCGGAGTTGCCTGAAACGCAATCTGCCGTGCCCTCGCCCGCACCTTGTTGAGATCCGCTGCCTTGTGGAGGCCCAATTTGAGAACAATGATGGTGCGGCTCAACCGGTCACAGGCGGGGGTCTGAGTAGAGATGGTAGACAATCAAGCACGGTCAATATCATCGGTCAAGGTGAGTCCGGCCTCAGATTTTGGTGATTCGCAGCACTTTTTCCACTTTGAGATGCGAGGTGAGCGCATTTCCGATGCAATGATCAGCAACCGACGCAGCCGAACATCAAACGGCCCATGCACTGGACAAGGCCATCGAGTGCCAGTGACTCGGAACGTATGGTTCTATGCACGGCCATGAGCGTCCTTTCAAGCTGGTTGCAGCAAGGATCACGGCTCGGCACTTCCGGTCATGGTGTGGCTCCGTGAGGACAGGAAGAAATCCAACAGTCTCGGCTGCACGAACAATGCACAGGGTCTCGATCGGAAGCCGTGGACCCACGATCGAGGGTCTTTCAAGAAAGGGCCATCCGTCTTCTCTGCCCTGTCTCGCTTCCAAAAATAAACTGCTCCTCGGCTAGTCCACGTACTGAGCCCATCGATGCTCTCTGCTTTGACCGCCGAGCAGCTTAGTCTACATTTGTATCCAATACGAGCCTACGATCGGACTCGCAAAGCGGCTAGTCACGAGCAGAAGAAGCCCCACACCAACGTCTTGAGGTGGGAACACCAAGTCAAATGGTCGACTTGGAAGCGCTCGCACGTGATCGACATTGGTGCTTCACAGCACGAAAAGGCGCTGCTCAGCACAACGAAGGATTCATGTAGAAGGCGCAGTATGCGAGCGACTCGCAGTGGATCTGTTTGGCTTGGCGCGGGCTGAGAAGTCCTTGAGAAGGCTGGCCTCCATCCTCGTCTCGCGCAATGGGGGCACGCTTTCATCGGTGAGAGAGCGAGCAGCGACCGTCTGTTCGTCAGTCTGCAGCTTGGGCAAGGCTCGGAGTTGCAAAGTGCAGGCCTCTCGACCGGCCCCCCCTTTTCTCAATTTTAAATAGTTTTTATTTATAAAATTATTGTTGGTGCAGCATATGTGTGTTTTGGGCCGCTGCTGCTGCATCTTGTTTCCTTCTTTTGAAATTCATGAGTGAAATTCCAGCGAGCGAGTGGAGAGAAAGCGCCAAAAAAAGATCGCGCTGATCAGCTCGATCTTGAACTGGAGCCGTGGACCCGCAAAGTCAAAGCCAGGGCAAGCAAACCAGTCTCGGTTTTTGGTCATCCTCGCATCCTCGCATCCTCGCATCGGCTGCTATCCCAGGCCTGCTAGGCTCAGCGCAGCATACCATCCCTGGCCCTTCTCGAGCACTCTCTCACATGCCCACTCCTCCAATCCTGACCCAAAGATCATATTTGAATCTTCCTTCTTCACCAAGCCGTCACTCCCTTTTCCCCAGCTCGGCTGAGCTCCACTTTCCTTTGTCTGCTTCGTCGTGCGTCGTTGGTACCTCCGCTCCTTCAAGCTCATCATCACGGATATCCCTCCTCGTCAACAACAACTAGCAGCAAGCAGCAGCTCTTCGGAACCTTTCAGCCAGCGTCCGACCTCATATACCCTGGAGGCTTTTCAATCGAACACAATCTACCATCAACAACGACCAGTCCATCCACATCCTCGGATCACCAAAGCACGCTCCTGCCGGCGCTCTTCTCGACCCGCTTGGCACGCGCATCAAATCGTACCCTTTCCCACGTCTTTCCGCTCATCGACACACCATCCATGCACTGCGCCTGGTAGCAGCGTCCTTTCCCTGCAATCGCTTGACCGCCGCAGCGCTCCGTCTTCCGCCGTCTTCGACGCCCGAACCCGCTAGTCCACCAGCAAAGCACCCTCACTCTCAGCTCGGGACGTCTGTCGGTCGACAGGCGCGACCACAGCTGCACGGCGTCCATCCACCATGTCAAAGCACAGCTTCATGGACACCATCCTTAACCGGCCCTCCCAGAGGTATACCGAGCCGGTCAACACAAAGCCGTCCAGAAGAGCCCGTCAGCAGGCACCTTCCGATCTGCCCAATGCTCCTAACAGGCCTGACTCGATCCTCGCCGGCAATATGTTCAAGAGCGCAGGCACCGGATCACTCCAACTCAACGGCGGCAGCTACAGTCAGGCACCTTCCGTCAGGTCTGGCAGGAGCAACACCAGCCGTTTCAGCCTCTTTGGTAGCAAGAAGAAGACAGCGCCCTCGGCCTCCGGCAGTGTCTACTACGACGGTGCCAGCAGCATCGCTCCCACGGACATCAGCACAAGCGAAAGGAAAGGCCGATGGTGGGAGAGCGGCGGTCTCACCCGCAAGAACTACTCTCGACCTCCCAGCGTCGCAGGCAGCATCTTTTCTGAGCCCGAGACAAGCGGTCCTCCTGGATTCCCGCACGCCTCCGACTCTCTTCAAAGTAGGGCTCCTCCTCGCGGCGCACGAAGCGACTACGGCGGATCTTCCTCCAAGCGACGCTACTCTTCACAGCCTTCTATGCCGCCAATGCCATCACTCGGCCAAAAAGGATCTACGTCTTCCATGAGGCTAGGCTCCGGCGTGGCCCCTCTAGGACAACAGCAGCCCAATCTCATGCGCCAGGCTTCGACAACTTCTCTTGCCAAAGGCTCGAATGCCGATCCTTCCCGCCCAATCAGTCCTCCTGCTTCCATGGGTCGCACACGCAGTCAGAGTCGAACCGCCGCCAACGGCACCTCCGACTGGAATTCGTTCGTCAAGTCCATGTCGGGTACCGAGGTGGCCCAGATGTGGGAGTCGATGCCCACCTTGGCTCCCAAGCCGTCTCGTACCTCAGAAAAGCGCAGCAGCATGGTCGCCAGCCGCGTCAGGAAGGAGCTCGAGCAGGACGCCCAATTCCAGCAGGTCCAACGCGATCCTGGTGTCGTGCAGCAAGACCTCTTGGCGAGGGCTGCATCTCAAGTCATCGGCTCGATGCCTCCAACGCCCGTATCCCCGCACTCCGAGCTGCAACACGCTCCGCCCCTTCAGCTGCAGCCAGGGCAGGTCGTCGCACCCATCTCGCCCGTCTACTCACCGGTCGCATCATCATCTTCGGTCAACGTGGCACAAATTCCCCCGTCCATGTCTCTGCAAGCCTCTGCCGTGATGATGAACGGCACCAGTGCGCCTGTGCCCGTCGTCGTGCCTCACGCCATGGCGTCTGTTCCAATCCTGCATGCCCCACAGCCTCAGCAACATTACAAGCAGCAGCAGCAGATGCTATCGCACACGGTGCCTCAGCAGTATGTGCAGCCACAACAGCACATCCAGGCACAGCAGTATGTCGACCCACAGCAATACGTCCAAGCCGTGCCGGCACCAGTCCTGCAGCAGGGAAGCGGAGCTGTGCCTGCTGCGATGCCGCAACAGATGATTCCGACTCAAGAGCAAAGGCAAGCGCCGGTAGCGTTGCCAGCTTCGCCCACAGCCGTCCCAGCTTATCCAGGCCAGACGTCTGCTCCTGTGACAGTGGTGCCAGCTCCTCGCTCGATTCCTCAGCCGCAACCCGCGCCCATGCAACCCTCTACGGCGGTGGCACCCGAGCCGGCAAGAGCTGCCCCCCAACCCACGGCCGCACCCGCTTCCGCCACCAGCTCAACCACTGTCCCCCAACCGACCACCGCCCAGTACCTTGCGAACCGCATCGAGGAGGAAGAGTCCGCAGACGAAGAGTCAGAGGTGTCGTCAGAAGAGTCGGAAGACTCTGACGAGACGTCCTCAGACGAAGGCCTGGTCGGTGGCGGTCAGACGACACTCGACGTGGTGGCAGAGGAGGATGAGGAGGCATCCAGCGTCGGTCACGCTTACCACCAGGAGATGCGCTCGCACAAGTCTGTCAAGGGCAAGGGGCCTAGCCGCAACTATGAAGAGATTGCAGCTCGCCTGCACCTCCGACAAGGTTCATCTCAAAGTCAAGCCGATGACTCCAGGGAGGAGGGGCTGCCAACCGCTCCTTCCGGCGTCTCTATCCAGGTCACGGAACCTACAGATGCTCAGACTGCGGTCGTCCAGCCAGCTCTCGCGCAAGCAGTGGCCGCACCGCTCCTTGTGCCCGGCGACAGGCCACCCCTCGTTGCCCGTCGATCAGAAGGTAGCGACTATGCGTCTGCTACCAGCGGGCGGAGCACGCCTACAGCCAAGGAGCAAGGCGACGCCGAGGATGCGGAAGACGAAGCTGCTGTCGTGGCCTCGATCGCGCATGCGCACATCGACACTCAAGCCGCGGAGGGCGATGCTTCGTACGATACGACTTCCACCGCTCAATCGCAACGCGTCAGCACCCGCACTGCTCCTTCGTCCAAGCCAGCGACAGCACCACGACGTCTCAGCGAGGTCAGCCTCGGCACTTCGTTCGCTGCCAGCGGCATTCTTGGCGGACAGGAATCATCTAAAGATTCGGACTTGGGAGTGGAACGCTCGGTTGACGACGCTGATCTCAGGTCCAAATCTCTGGCCGAGCAAGATCGACTTCGCAAGATGAACGTCGGTGAAGACTTCTTCGGCCCTTCGTTCTCCAACATGATCGACCAATTCGATCGCGTCAACTACTCGGACTCGACCCTCAACAGGATGAGGCGCGAGCAAGCGGAGACCTCGGCTACACCGCAAGCTGATATGCCTGCAACGGTGAGCAACGGCGTTGTCGCGGACCCAGCAGCCACGGAGAGCAACCGTGTCGAAGCAGACGCACAGCAGGCTATCAACGAGGTGCGTCAAAAGCGCGCCGATGGGGAGAACGAGATGCAGAACAGCACCGATACCACGGGTATTGCTCCCAGCTTTGCTGCCGCTTGGCTCAACAACCAGGCGCAGGGCTCGCAAGACTCGACACCTGCTCGCAGCGGACTTTCCGATCTTGCAGGCAACAAGACTAGTCCAGAACCTCAGCTAAGCGCGGACGCTACAAAGGTGGCCGCATCGACAGAGCCAAAGGTCTCCGTCCTGGATCGTCCACGACCGAAGACAAAGAAGGTAACCGAGATGGGCGGTGTCGAGATTGCCGAGGGCAAACTCGCAGCAGACAGGCCGCAAGAGTCCATTTCGCCTACTCAATCGACACCCGCCTCGCCTCGAAGCGTCCCGTCGACACCCACGAAGGGCACTGCGGTCTTTGGCAGCAAGGACAATGCCTCTCCCGTCAAGCCGGCTGCCAAGCAGAATCAGCCTCGATCGCTGGCAGATACCCTCTTCGGGGCGTTCCGCTCTCCAAGCAAGGACAAGAAGGAGAAGAAGGAGAAGAAGAGCAAGAAGGACAAGAAAGACAAGAAAGATGCGAGCAAGCACAGTCGCACCGTGTCAGTCGACTCGGTGGGTTCCGCATCCACGAGAAGCAACGGATCCTCAATGAAGTCCTCTCCGGCACCGCCGCTCGCCAACGTTAGCGGCAAGCAGGCGGACGGAACCAGCAACGGCGGTCCGACACCGATCGCGGCGGCACAGCAGCCCAACGGTGTGGTGCCCTCAGTACCACCGGCTAATAATGCCGCCCCACTCCAGAGCGTGGCCAGCCATCAGAGCGTCGCTGGCAACGCGGCCCCTGATGCGAAGGACGCTGTCATTCCTGTCTATCCCACGGACACGAGGTATTCGCCAACGTTGCCGAACGGCGATATCGAGAAGTCCCAGATGGCGGCGAGTCAGGTTCCCGCTGCTCCCGCCCCACTACTTGCTCCTGCTCCCGCAGCGAGCAGCGGTCAGAACGTAGCGAGCGCTGACCACAGTGCGCCGCCCACTTCGTCCGAGGCTAGTCTCGCCAGTACAGCGCTCACATCGCCCGAGGCAGAATCAATGCCTAGGGCTTTGGACGCAGACAGAGCCGCTCCTTCGGCTACGGAAACGCCCCAGAAGAAGCTTGTGATGCCTCCTCCGCCGGCCTTGGAGGAAGTCATGGCGCCTGCTCAGGAAGATCGAACTCCCAACGGCAAGCCCACTGCGGTGGCTGCGTTGGGCATCAACCTGATCCCCCCGACGCCCCCCGCGCTCGAGTCTCGCGATTCCTTCACTTCGTCACAGGTGCCCGGCACCTCAAGGATCGACGAATACGACGAAGACGCCGTTCCTCAACGTCCCAGTCTCATGTCGCGATCTTCAAGCCAGCGCACCGCGGTCCAATCGGACTCCAAGGTAAACGGCACCAGCGAAGGGGTCACACGATCCAAGTCGATGGCGCCGGTCAAGAAGGGAATCTGGCAAGAGTACAAGGGCAAGGGTCTCAGCCTACCACCTGGCCTTGTCGCGACCACCATCGACTCGTCCGTGCTACGTCGCATGTCTGCTCAAGACAAGAAGCTTCCTTCGCAGCCTGTGGCAACAGCAGCGGCCGGAACAAGTTCTGTCAACGGCAATGGCGCAGCGGCTTCTGCTCTGGCCGCGACCCCTGTCGTCGGTCAATTTGTTCCCACCGCTCCTGGTTCGGTGCTCGAGTCGCCACCGCGACCTCCTCGCTCGACGCCGTCGCCGAGTCCCAAGTCGAAACGCTCGAGTGGCTCGCTGAGTCCCCTACCTCCCACGTCTCCCGCGATGGCTAGGATCATGGCAGACGCTCCTCCTGTGCCGCAAATTCCGGTCGGCTACCAGGCCGGCAGCACTGTCTCGGGCTCGCCGTCTCGTCTTTACGCTCATAGCGCGGCGTCGTCCGAGCCTGACTGGGATAGTCGACCTGTCTCTCCTGCACCCAGCGCTGTGCCAAGTCAATCAGGTCGTTCGGTCGGCTCACACGTGTCGTCGAGCGTCCACTCGACTTCGTACCGCAACAGCCCGCGAGCCGAGTACTCGTACGTCAACCATCACGAGCTGTCGCCGTATGCCAAGAAGATGCGAGCGCTGTCGCCTAGTCCGGCCCTGCCGACTCTGTCTCAGACAGGCAACCGCCATTCGCTCATGTCGGCGATCAACGAGTGGGAAAGCCAGATGCCGGAGCGGGAGGAAGTGGTGACGGGTCTCTCGCCGTACCCTTCGCGTCCTGTCTCGCCTTCGCACTCGGCCTCGCCGTATCCTGCGCTTCCCGCGTCGACCGTGTCGCGAACCAGCTCGGTCATCAGCTCGATCAGCTCTCCTGCGGTGGTTCGCAATGCGCCTCTGGGAGCTTCGACCAACCAGTATCTCCATCCGCCGGTGGCTCGCTCTCTCATGTCCCACGATGGACTATCGGCGGTCAGCGAGTCGGCGCTTGAATCGCTCAACCCGCCGTCGGTAGTCGGAGGTCGATCTGGCGCTTCGTCCGCTGAGAGCTCTTCCCCCTCGGCCTCACAATCTGCGCTGAGCCTTTCGAGCACCATCCCCACCTCGATGCCCACCGTCCCAACCAGCTACCGACCCAACAAGGATCCCAAGCGATTCACCACCAACGCTGACGACCTCCTCAACAACCGCACCACAATGCAGACGGTGGCCGTCACAAGCGGTGCCTTTGCTAGCAGGAGCAAATCGATCAAGCGCAAGAAGAGCAGCGACACCACCTCGTCGGACATCCCCGCTCACCTGCAAGACGAATTGTCGTTGACGACGCTCTCGCTCACCGCACACACGCCGCCACCGCGCAAGATCGGCTCGCACCAGGTGCTGGTCCAGGTGATTGCCGTGGCGATCGACGAGACGGACAAGCTGCTGTTGCGCGAGAAGGTGCGTGCCGACAACGCGTTCGGTTACGTCCCCGGTCGAAGCTTCTGCGGTCGCATCGTGGAATGCGGGTATGAGGTCAAGAAGATGCGCAAAGGCGATATCGTCTTTGGTCTGCAGGACAGTCGCAAGTCGGGCGCGCTGGCCGAGTTCATGGTGATCGATCATAATCGGATCTGTCATGCACCAAGCGACTGTTTGACGACGGAACAGATTGCTGCGCTGCCAAGTGCGGGTGTGATGGCTCACCAGTTGATTCAGAACCATTGCTCTCAGTTGCAGAGGGGAGCGAGGGTTCTGATTCTTAATGCGCATGATGGGGTAGGGTTGTTGACGTTGCAAGAGTCGGTCGGGTTGGGACTGGTCATTGTTGCGCAGTGTCCTCCGAGTGTTTCGGACGGTGTGGCGGTGTGTCAGGCGAACGGAGCACACGAGGTCGTCATCGGTGAGCCACTGTGGGCCATCAACTCGCTGCACGAGTCGAGCTTCGATTTGATCGTCGACACGGTCGGGGGAAGGAAGATCTACGACGCCTCGCGCAGGATCCTCGCAAGCGAAGGCCAGTTCTGCACATGCTACGGCGACGAACATGGGACGAACAACCCAAATCTCAAGAGTCACTTCCGCAGCCTACGACGCGCGTTCTTCAAGAAGGACAAGAAGAATCTAGGCTACGAGTGGGTCGGCGTGGACACGGGCGAGGACTGCAAGGAGGCGCTGGAGGCGGTGAAGAGAGCGGCGGAGAGGGGTGATGTTTGTCCGAGATTGCGGAGCGTACTGCCGTTCGCGGATGCAGGAAGGGCGTTCGATGCGGGCGTGAGGGTGGACGAGGAGCCCGGTGCGATTGTTGTCAGAGTTTCGTAGGCGTGTAAAGGAACACACTCGTTTTGTCATAGAACAGTCGTTACGCATGGAAAGGATTTGCATTCATCTTCTTTCTGCGAGTGTGGAGACGTATACCCACGCTGCGCAACCTGATGCTGGTGTGTGTACCATCTTGAGTGAAAGTGAGCCCAATCGTGCTCAGACGGAAGCTTCCGACCTTCTCAGCTTCTTCTGCTGGCACACGCCACCATCCTGCACAGACATCGCACCTCACCTTGCATACGACGACCCCCCAACCCTCCTCAACCCCTTCCCCACGGCCCCGCCCATCTTCTGCCTATGCGCCTTCCTATCCTCCTTCGCGGTAATCGCCAACAACCGATCCTTCCGCCTCCCGATCTCGACCCTTTCCATCTCCGCGGCCTTTTTCAACCTCACTGGCCTACTACCCACGTATTTGCCATCCATCTCCTTCCACGCTCTCAAAAAGTCTTCTGGATCGGCAAACGCGACAAAGCCGTAGCCTTTGCCCTTTCCGTCTGGACGACGGACGACGCGGGCTTTGGAAAACGAGGGATAGCGCGCAAAGGTCGAGGTGAGCATTTCGTCGGTTACGTCGTTGCCGAGGTCGCCGACGAAGAGGCGTTTGTGGGTGGGGTCCCATTCGAGGAGCGTTTGATCTTCGTATAGCTTGCCGGCTGCGCGACGGAGGACGGTGGGGCGGGTTTCGCCGCGAGCGAGGGTGCCTGGGATGGGCCGGCCAGAGGCGTCAACTCGGGGTTTATCCGTGCTTGGTGCGGCGGCAGAGGAGATTGATGTGGGCGCGAATGGGTCCACTACCGGCGCGGACGGTTGCGCAGAGGAGGTGGATGCGTAGTATGGGTTGAGCGATGGGTCGGTGTAGTCAGAGGGGTAGCCGTAGGTCGAGTAGTAGGAAGTGTAGTCGAACGCCCAGTTGTTGGCGGAGGCGTCCCAGTAGTAGAACGGCGCGTAGGGGTCGGTGGATGTCGACGCTGCGGCAGCGGATGAGGAAGAGCCTGAAGCTGAATAGCCACTCATCTTGAATGATCGCGTGCGATAGATTGAGTGGATAAGGACGGAGCAAGGTGGGGGTGATGGAGGAGAGGAAGTGGTGGAACAGAAAGTTCTGGGCTCAGTGTGCACTTCGCTCGGATTTCGGAAGACCGTTGCTGCTCCACTTTTTGTGCGCAGGTGTTGGTGCATGTCAACGCTTTCTTCGACACCATATCCACCAAGAGTGGCCTAAAACCAAGAGCCAGCATGGACGTGAAGAAGCTGTTCAAGCTGCCAGAACTGCCCTCTGCGGCGGTCAACAAGCGAAAGTGGTCGGCACCCAAGCCAGACGACTCCGCCTCCTCATCCTCCACTGTTGTCGAAGCTGGGCCATCCAGCCCCGACCCGCGACCGGCCAAAGCAGCCCGCGTGGACGACGACGATCTTTCCGATGCCACCGTCGAAGATGACACGCACTTCTTTTCGGATGACGACCAGGAAGACGGCCGTTTCTTCGGCGGCGGTCTCACAGCCGAACAATCCACCATCCTCGACATCATGGACCGCGCCCCTTCCCCCACTTCTTCCCAAAACGACCTGCCCGGGCTGCGCAAGCAGCTGCTGCGTTTCGAGCGCGCCATCAATCGAAACGCCGAGATGCGCGTCAAGCACGCGACCGACCCAGCACGGTTCATCGACTCCGAGGCGGATCTGGATGCCGAGCTGAAGGGGTTGTTGGTGCTGACCACCCAGCCGGCGGTGTTCTATGGCGAGTTCGTGCGCTTGGGCGGGCCAGCGAGCCTGGTGGGACTGCTGAGCCACGAAAATGCCGACATTGCCGCAGCGGCGATCGAAGTGATCGAAGAGCTCACCGACGAGGATGTTCTGACCCAGGGCGAGGACGAGGATGCATCACAAGCGGGGGAGGCGATGACCGAGTTGGTGGAGGCGTTGTTGAAACAGAGCTTGCTGGATCTGCTCGTATCCAATCTCGGGCGCTTTCACGATGTGTTGGATGCGGAGGTCGCAGAGGAGGAGAGAGCAGCGAAAGCGATTGAGGCGGAAAACGATGCCCAGGCGATCTACCATACTTTGGGCGCGATAGAGAATCTCATCTCCTCAGGGGCGGTGGGCGAACGACTGGTGGCAGAAACATCGTTCCTCTCATGGACATTGTCGAGGCTGGCGGCGAAGCGTCCGATCGACCAAAACACGAGCTACACCGCCGAGATCCTCGCCATCCTCCTCCAAACCTCTCCGGCCAACCGATCCAAGCTCGGCAGCACCAAAGTCGACGACGAGACCGGCATCGACGTGCTTCTAAGCGTTCTCGCGCGGTATCGACGAACACCACCCACGGGAGCGGAAGAAGAGGAGTTTGTGGAAAACATTGTCGACTGCCTCTGCCTATCACTGTCGGAGTCGGACAACAAGAGGCGGTTCCTCGATGGAGAGGGTGTGGAGCTCATGGTGCTGCTGATGAAGGAGAAGCGGTCGTTTGCGCGGGTGCGCGCGGTCAAGGTGTTGGACCACGCGATGTCGGGTTCGACTGGTGCGGGTGTGGCGGGAAAGATTGTCGAGGCGAAAGGTCTCAACCCGCTGTTCGGCGTGTTCGGCGAGTGTGGCGAGGACAAGAGGCGAAAGGGTGCAACAGTGACGCTGCAGGACGCAGAGCATATTTTGGGGATCGTGGGGTCGTTGTTGACGCATCTACCGTCGGAGTCGATGGAGCGGTTGAGGGTGCTAGCGCAGTTTGTGAAGGACGATTATGCGGGGTTGGATCATCTGCTGGATCTCCGGGAGACACTGGTAGGGAGAGTTGGGGCGAGTGCGGGGGAAGAAGAAGAGGACGAGGAGGAGGAGTATCTGGCAAGGCTAGAGAGGGGTCTGTTCAGCCTGCAGCTGCTCGACACGGTGCTCGCGTGGGTGGTGATGGAGGATGACGCGTGCAAGGATCATGTGAAGGTGATGTTGAGAAGGCAAGGGCTAGGATTTGCGGACGTAACGGCGACACTGAGGGAGTACAGGGAGAACGTGGGTGATCAGCTGGCGGTGGAGGGCGAACAAGGAGAGGAAGGCTTGAGGACGAGCGACATCCTCACTGCGCTCATCGAGTATCTCGAAAGCCTGTAGACTACTCACGCACACATCGCAAAAGTCACATCATAATGTATTTTTTGGGGTATATCACTCGGCAGCAGCGCCGTTCTGAGCCTCCTTCTTCATCCACTCCAATTCCTCATCACCATCCCTCAAGCCTCTCTCCTCCTCCACCTGGTCCTTCCTCTCCTCGCTCTCCATCTGCGCCTTCCTCTGGTCACCATACCGCACCTCGTTGTCCAAACACACGGCTATCAACCCACTCGTCTTCAAGCCCAGGTCGAAATACCTCGGATTGTTCTTGGCGGAAAACATGCTGATGTGCGCATCCACCTCGTCGGTCGCCTTGGTGTTGTCCATGGCGGTGAAGCTGCCCGCGCAGCGCGCAGAGCGCGGGGGGAGGATGATGAAAGTGCGATCTCGTGGCGCTGGAATGGGACCGTTATGGGTCGGGTTGGCGGCGCGAGATGTCGAGGGTAGACGCGTGTAGTAGCAATGGAACAGGATCTGCGGCTGGTCGACGAGTCGGTCTAGACGCTGGCGGAGGGCGTTATCGTCCCACAGGTTGGAGACGAAGGCGAGATGGTCGGTGACCCAGCCATAGGCACCGTTGAGCTTGTCCTTGTTGAAGTAGGCGGCGGAGGCTGCGGCGCCCGAGGCGAGGGCGACCGCTCCGGTGGCCATGAGGGCCGTTCGCCAGTTGCCAGTTGCTCGGGCCGATGCGGCAGCGTCGTTGCTAGAGCGAGATCCGGTCGATGGTGATTGCGCTCTTTGTGATTGACGCTCCGAGTTCCAACGCGCTGCAAGACCGACCCCCATGGGCGCAAAAAAGGTGCCGATGCTCTGTGCGGTCTGCAGATAGCCGGCGTACTTGTTGATGCCGTGCTTGAATACGCCTGGATGTACGCCGTAGTACGGAGTATCGAAAGCAAGCACACCGACGAGTCTCGGCCAGAGCTTGAGGCTGGACTGCTTCTCTTTGGGCGTCCTTGCTTGCTGGTCCGCACTGCTCTGTGCGATGGCAAGTGCAGCGTCTACAGCCACGAGACCACCCATCGAATGGCCGGCGAGGACGATCTTGACACTTCCCATGCCACCTCCTTTGCCCGAATCTGGAACGATCTCGCCTGTAGCAGGATTGATCTCGGGCTTGGACTCGAGCATGACTGTCTGCTCTGTGAGCCATTCTACAAAGCTCTCGACAGCAGCTGCGAGACTGCCGCGCGTGTCATAGGTGGGATAGACCAGAGATTGGACGTGCAGGCCCGGGTATGTTTCTTGCAGATTGTATGTGAGCCGCGATGGGAAATCTTCAAACGTTGTGTCGGATGAGCCCTTGAAGCCGTGAATGAAGACAAGTAGGAGGAGCTGGTCTCGACCTTCCATTCCGGTGGAGTGAACGTCCGTAGAAGGCGATTTCGCGGTTGCGCTTCCTGTTTCGGTGAAGCCTTGCTGAGCTGGCGGGGCTGTGTAAGGCGGAGGAAGGTCCTCTGGCGGATCATCGACGATGATGGCATTCGCTGTGGATGAGCCTGGCTGTGCTTGAGAGGCTGTCGAGGTCGATGCTGGCTTCTTGTCGACGTGGTTTGCCCACGGATTGAGCTCGTCTGACGCTGCGAAGTTGGACATGGTCGTTCGTGAGGATCGGCAGCGGATGATGCTGCTTTCCGCGACCCTATGGCAGCATTCGAGCGCGTTATGTTTGTGATCTGCCACTACGGGTGCTGACGAGGTGGTGAGGATGAGGAAGGAAGGTGGCAAGCTCTATTCAAGATTGAAAGCTGAGTTGGATTCCACGTTGGCTCGTCAACGCAGGGTCCAAGCGAGCGAATTGGCTGCCAAGCCTCCACAGCGCCTTGTCGCACGAGCAGAAGGAAGGCCAAAATGAAATTGCGGGCGTGGACTGACTGGCTGCAGCAGCGATCCCTTGTTGGCGAGGCTCAGCTGCAGCTTCCAAAATGAAGAGCGCCTCACCCACCGACCGACGGCCTTCTTCCCAATTTCATCTATTGGCCGCCAATCAGGGTTCGGTCGTCACCACCACTTAACTCAACTAAGCTTCTTCTTCTCATCACTTGCTCCAGCTACCTTCCAAGAGACACCGTAGACTGTATTGGACGCACCATCAACAACATGCACTCATCTTGACGACCTCCGCCTCCAGCCGTGATCTCACCGAGGGCTTCCTCACACACTTCTAAGCTGCTCTCATGCTCTAGACTCGATTGACCACGGAACCCAGCCGTACAATGGACCAGCTCAACAATTACGCCTAATAGACATCCTCTGAACGGCAGCAAGTCTGCTCTGCTGCAGCCTAGAGTTGAACGTACACGCGATGTCCAAAACAAAGACCCCCATCATGGATCTCGAGACCGATGAGGACGGCTGGATTGGTGGCTCCAGCCAGAGCATCTACGCTCGCAAGCCGGAATCCTCCACCCCAGCTTCTCCACCTCCAGCAGCGGACCCGGCAAACAAGCCTTCACCAGTCACACCAGGCCGCGACAAGTCACGGTCCAGCGATGCCAAGACCGGCTCCTTGCTTGAGCGCATGGACATGGCCCACAACTTGCAACAGACACCGCCTAGGAAAGCGCGCAAAGGCAAATCGGACAGCGATAAGCTTGCAGGCGAAACCTCAACCCCTTCTCCTAAGCTGAACGCTGCAGCATCGGCATTTGAATCCACGCCTTCTCCAGGCATTCGTAGACCAGGAGCAAAGCTGCCTTCTCCCCTCCCACTCACAAGCCCAGCCCGAAACAACGACACAACTTCGCCTCTCAACACACGCACGCCTCTCAGCGCATCACATCCCATCCCGGAAACGCCACTCAAGCTTTCGCAACGTGGAGGTCCTCAAACGCCAGCAACTCCGCATTGGCCGTTGTACCCCAACACTGCGCGACCTCCAAACCAGGACGGAGACTCGTCACGAACCAGCGGTCTGGGCTTGGGGCTCACTCCGCTGAAACAACCAGTACCTCTAGCACCAAGCGCAGACACTGGTCGCAGCCCGCTCAACGAGGCATTGAATCTGCGTGGTCGCGCTGGGTCCATCGGATCTCCTCTCAGGTCAAATCGCAACGGCAGTCAAGGCGAGCCTTTGGCTCTAGAAACTTCCTCGAGTGGCAAGACCAGCAACGGCCAAATCGGTATCCGCTCCAGTCTTGGCACGGGTGCGAGCATGTGGGCACCCAAGCCAGCTGCGACTTCCGATAACGACAGCTCTACTTCCAACAACGATTCCGCCTCCGCCGCCTCGCACACAATCGGCTCCGGCTTCACGTCCAGCAATCTGCTCGGTGTTCAGACGGGTCTCGATCGAAAGCGTCCCGGGCATCGACAGAATGGCCTGCAGCTCAGTCTAGGCCAGGAGATCAGTGTCATGCAGAATGTGGAAGAGAACGCGGAGGAAGACGCTCCCTCCTCCGCAGCAACTGAGGAGACTTTCAAGCTCCATCCGCCAGACAATCAAGCCGAACACAAAGCAGCAAACGACTGGAACGGCAACGTCGTTCCTCCTACACCCGCGCTCGGCTGTGACTCTCCCTCCTCCGACGAGGGCAAGACGAGCTCCGCCAAGCCACCCTCACGCAGTCTTGACGCCTTTGGCTGGGGCGGTAAGCAGTCCGCCAAATCGTCTCTCTTCTCCAACCTCCCGTCCTCCTCCGCTCTTGAGGCCAACTGGAGTGGCGACGACGACGATGAGCGCAAGAACGACGTCGAGATGTTCGAAGACATGCAGAGCCGTGCCAAAGCATCCAACAAGGAAAGACGCAACAGCGGCTATGGTCCACTTCCTCCACCTCCGATCAACTTTGCCAAGTCTCGCACTCCGTCACCCACGCATCGCATGCTGGCGAAGTCACCGCAGCTCGACAAGCCCACGAGCAGTGACCTGCAGAAGTCGCCTTCGCTGACTGCTTCGAAGCTCGGTGCGGAAGCAGGGAATGCCAAGCCGCTCAGTCAGCGCCTGTCACCTGCCTCGGCGCGCTCGCAGCTTCATTCGGATGAGTCGGACGGCGACGCCGATGTGGAGAATGAGAGGCCCAAGATTGCGAAGGAGCGCAAAGCGAGCAAGAAGAACGACTCAAAGGGCGAGCAAGCCCAGAAGTCGGACAGTCTACAGGTGGACGGTAGTGAATTGGAAAAGAAACGATCGCTCAAGAGGGACAAGTCGGAGCGCATTCGTGGCCGAAGGGCAAGTCAGAGTAAGGAGAAGGATGTCAAAGTGCCAGCTGCAGGCGCTGCGGCCGGCGAGGCGGGCTCGATTGCGTCGGCGAAGGTCTTGCTTCCTACCTCGGCACGCTCAAGCAGCAATACGGACGATCTCGCGGCCAGCATCGCGAAAGTCGATCTGAGCGAGAGCACCGCCGACAAGCCCGCAGCATCAACCAAGGACACCGTCACCACTTCAACCAAGTCTGACGCGCAGCAAACGCCCGTAGCCAACCGCGTACAGAGCATCCCAACGGTCAAAGACGATCTATTCTCGTCTCCCGCCGAGCCCAAGGTCGGTCTACCCAACAACACGACTTCACCTGCTCAAGCCGAGGAAGAAGAGTGCAAGTCGTCGGTTCCAGCCACGCCCGAACCGACGCAAGCCAAAACGTTCGACTGGGCAGCCGACGACGATGAGCTGGATGACGAGCTACCCGATCTGGACGATTGGGGGGTCACCCTTTCCCCTGTCAACCCTGCTGCCACGCCCACCTTCGGCTCAGCTGACTCTAAGGGCGCTCAGAACAGCAAATCCGAAGCAGGAGAGGAGAAAGTCTGGCGTCGCGGAGCGAAGCTTCCCGGTCCCAGCGGCGGCGCGGGCAAAGCGACCAAGAAGGCGAACGGCGCCGATGACGGGCTAGGCATCCGCATTGCTGGCCGGGCCAAATCTGCCACTCCCGAACCCACCGCTCCGCCCGCCAGCACACCGTATGGTCGATGGAAGCAGCCCAAACCCACGGAGGAGCTCGCAATCAAGGGTGCTAGCGGGAAGACCAGGCCGAGGATCGCAGACCTGGGCAGTCTGGCAAAGCTCATGGAACCGGCTGAACCGAAGGGGGTGAAGGCGGAGACCGGGGCCAAGGACAGCATGCATGCCCCACCCACGGCGCCAGCAGCCATGCGCGAGGCGAAGGGGCGGTCGCCTTTGCTCGGCGCCGGCAGAGGTGGGGCTAAGAGAGGGAGAGGAGGCAAGAAGTAGCCCCCTCCGCAACGTCGCTTCGTATGTAATCTACACTATCACACACACATTGCGCCACGTTAAGAATGCGTTACGTGAGGGTTCGTCTATGATTGAGCCATTAAGCGACTCGCCTCGACAGAGGGATAGGATTGTAGGTCATCCCAACCGGGGAGCGGCGCGCTATGCACCAAGTCGCTCGTCCAGCTGCTTACTCGACAGATCGCCATCGCGCACATCGACCACTTTGGCCACGTCGGATTTGACGCTGAAGTTGCTCAGTGCCGAGGCGTAGAGCGTCGATTGGTCGAGGGAGGAGGTTTGGGGGGCCCAGTAGAGCAGGAATAGAGGCTGTCACAGATCGATCCCGAGGGAAGGGTCAGTGAAGGGGTCGAGATGGGGGGTGTTGGTGGGTGTGGTGGTGCTTACGTAGGAGACGCGTCCATCACGATGGTTGAGCTTGTAATTGACGATGAGGAAGCGTGGGGAGTTCTCCGGCAACTCTGTTGTGGCCAGCCCCAAAGTCGGTCAGCCTGACGTTACCCATATAAACCATAGCTCTGCAAGATCAGAAAGGCTTTGAGCGGGAACGCTTACCTTCGATAAGATCTTCAACACTCGTCAGCCCCGTCAACAGTTCTTCTTCAAGTTCGAGCGTCAACGTCTTCTTGTCGATCTTGTACACCTGCGCTGTGATCGGCGCCTTCGACGGTGTGAGACGGAACTTGCGCACTTTCGTAAGGAGCACATCCGGAATGTCAATCGTGCTGCTCGACGACGCCATCGTAACAGAGGTTGCGGTGGTTGAGATGGTGGATGATGTGGAGCTGCAGGAACCACGAACAGAAAACCACAGGGCGTGCATCAATTTTCGATGCCGTCAGGCCCGTGCACGCGATACCAACACCAACTTTTTCGGCTGCTGCAAATTCATTCTCACAGCTTACTCGTCGTGGTCAATCAATCCTTAGAAAGCCTCGTCAGACGATGGATGATGCTTCCTCTGAGCACACCCAAACACAATTTTCAATAAGTCATTGCATTTCTTTGCGTGTACGCCGTGCTTTGCAGTCCATTCTACTACGATTCCAGCATCGTCTCCAGCTTGTAGGTTTAGTTGGTAGGCTTCTTAGCCGACCTCTCGGAGGCCTCGCGGATGGCCCAGGTCAACGCGTAGGTCTTGACGGCATCCTCGTACGACGACAGGATGGGTGCAGATCCCTTACCCTTCTCGATGTTGTCGATGAGATTGTTGACCTCGGAGAAGAAGGGGTCGTCGTTCTGGTAGCGCACCACCTCCTCGTGGTCGTCACCGGGGCGACGGAAGAAGAGCGCCGGAGCGTTGTAGGGGTCCACAAGACGCAGGCTGTATCCGTCCGCAAGAACATCGAGCTCGGTCGAGTAGTTGAAGCCCTGCAGAGCGATGGCGTGGGTCAACGAGCCCACCGCTCCGGACTCGTACTTCCACGTAGCACACGTAACACGCGGGTTCCTGTCCTCGGGCGCAATCTGGTTCTCGTCGATCGGAATCTTGCTCAGGTGACCCGCAGGCTCAAAGTGCTCCAACGAATGCGCCGCCACCGTGCTCAGATCCACCTCACCACCAAAGTAGCGCGACAAATCACAAAAGTGCGTCGCCTGCTCCACAATGGGCCCGCACGACTTGGCCTTGTTCCACCAGTCGAGCTTCTCCGTGTGCTCGTACGCCATGATGTATCGTGCGTTGGTCGCCATGACCTTGAGGTTGTTCTCCTCGAGGATCTGCTTCATCTTCTGCACCACCTTGAGGTAGCGAAGCATGTAGCCGACCGAGACGATGTTGTCGGCCTTCTCGAGCATTTGGGCGATCTTGAGGGCGTCCGAGACGGGACCGGTGGAGACGGGCTTCTCGATGAAGATGCCAACGTCGGGGAAGGCTTCGATGAGCTTCTTCTCGAGATCGCGGCCGGGCTGTTCCTGACCACGGAAGGCAGGAGGGCTGCCGACCCAGATGGCGTGAGGGCGCTTGTCGGGTGTCACATTGGCGACGTAGTCGGCGAAGGTTGGGTAGACAATCGTGTCCTTGTAGGCAGAGAGCACGAACGAGTTGCGCTTGACGCTGAGCACCGATTCGGCACGAGCAGCCGAAGGGTCAATCAGAGCGGTCACCTTGAGACGAGGACCGAGCTTGTGCTCGAGTCGGAACGAGTGGTTCCAGGGCCCTTCGTCGGAACCGAAGTTGATGTTACCAGCGCCGATGATGACGACGTTAAAGTCTGCACCGGGCTTGGGCGGCTCCATCTTGTCCATGGCGGTGGGCGCGTGGGGATCGAAGTCGGTGATCGCGTCCGAGGCGAGACCCCTGACGCCCGTGGGGAGGCGTAAGGCGGCATCGCGCTTGAAGGTCGAGGAGAGCGAGCCAAGACGAGGAGCAGCAACAGCAGCGCGGGCGCTGGTCAGGCTCGACGAGCGAGCGGCCGAGATGGCGACTTGCCTGAGAGCAAAAGTCGATCGCATTTTGTGTAAGCAGACCAAGAGGGAGAGGGTGCTTGGTGAGGAAGGAGAGAAAGTGTCCAACGAGAACGGCGAAAGAAGGAAAGTAGACGTTTCCGGAGACAAGACGATTCCTGGACGATGCGATCCAGTGTGTGACGATGGTAGGAAGAAGTGAACGAAGAGAAGAGACCTGTGTCACTTTGGTGATATCATGAAGCACAAAGATAGCGTCCTTCTTCAGAAGCTCTCAGGGCAACGTGCAGCAGACAGAGCAACCAGAAGCCTGTCGGATAAGCCCACGGCAGCCGACCTGCAGCAGAGTGACGTGACGCAAACGCCATCATTCAGGGCGTCCGTGCGTTCCTGCGTGCTGTGCTGTGCCCTACTGTGCCGCGATGCGGTGTGTGACAGCTAGACAGAAAATTTCGAGAAATTCTCAGAGGTGGGCCAAGTCAGCAGCATCGGAGGCAGGAACCCGCGGAAAGACTTTCCGCCTGCTTGCTGCAGGAATACCGATTCCAACTCTCGGTGAGCTCGAGGCCGCTCGGCGAGTTGAAGCACCGGCGAATAACAATGGACGGAGCTTGTATAGCAAGCGGGGCATGCTTCACAGGCTATGAGACTAATCAAGAAGCTTCACTTTCTTGTGCTGCTGCGAGCATACCTCAGACACTCAAGCTGACTTGCAATTGGATTCAATGAAGGTCGACGTTGCTACATGCGGCGGAAAGGCACCATGCTGCCGTGCCATTTATTGACGTCGCAGCCAGCGAACTGCACGCTTGTCATCCTTGATGAGCGGCAGCAGCGTTTTGCGTACATCGGCATTGTGCTCCTTGAGCCAGCGCGCTTCCGAATATGAGAGCAGGCTGAAGTCGACCAAGTTGGTTGCAATGGGCACTTGGGTAATGCGCTCGAACCCGTACCAAGCGACGTCGCCAAAGCCACGGTGGGTCGCAACACGCTTGACCGCAAGAAGCGACTCGGTGCGGATACCAAAGTGACCCTCCTCGTAGAAGCCAGGCTCGTTAGTCAGAACCATGTTTTCCTCCAACGCGACTGGCTTCTTCGATCCGCCAGACATGGTGGAGAAGCCTTGGGGTCCCTCGTGTACATCCATAAAGGAGCCGATGCCATGACCTGTACCGTGACGGTAGTCGTAGCCGTCTTGCCAGAGTGCATGACGAGCGATGGGATCGAGCTGCACGCCCGTGGTACCAGCAGGGAACTTGACTTCGCTAAGACGGATGTGACCCTGCAGAACGCGCGTGTAGGCACGCTTCTGCTCGGCAGTCGCTCGACCGAAGTGCACGGTGCGCGTGCAGTCGATGGTGCCATCGTGATACTGCGCACCCGAGTCGTTGAGGTAAGGCGTCTCGCGATCGATCACGCGACTGTTCTTCTCGGGTGTCTCGTAGTGTGGCAGTGCTGCGTTGGGCCCTGTCGCAGAGATGGCGTCGTAGCTGTCTCCTGCGTACAGCGGTAACTCCTTGCGAATGTCCTGGAACTTGACCGCGGCCTCCCACTCATCCACCTTGGCTCGCTTGACCTTGACCTGTTCCTCGAGCCAGGCAGCCCACTTGACCCATGCGGCACCATCGCGAATGTGGCTCTTGCGGAAGCCCTCCAGCTCAACGTCATTCTTGATAGCTTTACGCAGCGCAACAGGAGAAGGGTCAAGCAAAGCGAGCTTCTCGTCGCCAACGGCGTTGGCGACTGCATACGACAGCTTCTCGCCAGAAACGAGCTTTCGACCGTCAGAGCCCTCGGAGGACCATCGGCGGAGGTAGTCCCAGACTGAGTCGTAGGGCTGGATGTCGAGCTTCAGCGTGCCGCGAACGTACTTGTCGGCGTCTTTACCCTCGGGAAGAAGCTCGTTGCGGATGAAGAGGACTGATTTGTCCTTGGTGATCAGGACATAGGCAGGGAAGACGGGATGGCAAGGGATGGATGCTCCGCGCAGGTTGAGGAGCCAAGCGACTTCGTCCAGGGCCGACAAGAAGTAGACGGACCCTTCAGGAGCAGACTTCAAGTCTTTCTTGACGTCCTCGATCTTGGCCGTGGCGGGCTTGCCGGCGTACTTGAGCTCGTGCTCGTAGACGGGGAAAGAAGTGGGGGCAGGACGGTCGCTACCCCATGCTGCGTCGACCAGATTGCGCGAAGGAAAGACAGCGGATGCTTGCTTGGCCGCCAAGCTGGTCACGAGCGACTTTCCCTGCGTGTAGCTGGTCAGCGCAGGGTCGAGACCGACCTTGATCCCTTCTTTCGCCTGTTCGACAATCCATGCGGGCCAGTCGAGCACGCCGCTGACCCCTACCTTGTGCAGTGTCCAGTTGTCGTCGAGCTGGTCGGCTGCTTGAATGTGGTATCTTCCGTCTACAAAGAGATGAGCCGAGTCCTTGCCGACGATGGCAGTGCCCGCAGATCCTGTGAAGCCCGAGATCCACACTCGCCTCTGATCTGAAGGGGAGGTGTATTCGGTGGCATGTGCATCGTCTGTGGGCACAAGGTAGAAGTCGACGGCTTCCTCATCCATCAGCTTTCGCAGTGCTGAAAGACGCGGCCCTGTCAAGTCGGGCTTGACTGGCGAAGCGGCATCAGCAGCCGCGAGTTTACGGCTTTTCTCCGCATCGAAAGTTGCTCCGACCAAGGTGCTGTCGGTCTGGATCGAAGCGGCATCGCTGCGCTTGTTGTTGGTGAGGAAAGCGAAGCAGCCCATAGTAAACTTTGAGAAGGAATGATGTTGTTGGTGGCTGAGGAGAACGAAGAGGGCAAAGTCAATGATGAGGTGTCAGTGGATCCGTGCGAAGTCCAGATGAATGCTGCGAGCAACCTCGGACCCTGAGCTTCCGATCGGCAATGGCTGATGATAAGGCGAGATCGCCGGCGGGACGCCGCGGTGGCTGAATTCGACTTCAGGTGTTCGCCCGGCTTGACTAACATCGTGAAACGAAATCTGCACATAGTTTGTTAGATCCAGACCTGAGCCTACTCCTTCTCTAGCCTTGCTACTTGTCGGCAAGATCTTCCGCTCCCGGAACGGCTAGGTCTTTGGTGACTTGGCGAGTATAAGCAATCTGGTCGACTGCAGATTTGACGGACCGGTTAGCTGTGAATCACCGACATGATCGAGAAGCGAGGCAAGAATCAGATCAAGCAGAACAATGGTCCTTTTTGTTTGTTGAACGCAGGATGTCGATCAATCTCAAGGCCAAGCACTTGCTCGTGGTCCTGTCAAGCGGCATCTGGACCTGACTCGTCCGGGCAACAGAAGCGCTTCACCGGGCATCCCAGCCGCTCCGGGTCAGGATAGGAAAAATTTGTTGCAGAGACCGACGCGACGCCCTGTTGTGCAATCTACGGGTCAGGATTGGGCCATGGCACGAGGCGAAAAGACGGGAAAACAAGGTTAAGGCTTCAGCGAGGCGGCGGTACTGCTGCTGCTGCTGCGTCCGCCTGCTGGCTGCTCTCTTGGCGCAGAGTGGGACCCCAATTTTCACGACGCTCGCCTGCGCGTCCTTTGTCTGGCTTTTGAAAGGAGGAAAAAAAAATTGAGAAGAAGAAGAAGAAAGCAGCGCGGATGCATTTGACTGGACTACCGCTAACGCTATCTCATATTTTGGCACAAGCCATCATCGCTCCACGCTTTACCTCCATCATCCTATCCACCCCCTCTTGACGTTTTGGATCTCCAACTTCAATCATCTCGGCTCTCTCTGTATCAACACTCCCGCATCGGCAAAGAGTGCGTACGATCATACGAGAGCTTCATCACGCCGCAGCATATACTGTCAATATACCTTCAACAACCCCTCCGACACCCTGGATCTCCTTCTAGACTTCATTCATCTCACGACCCACCGAGCAGCACGCAACACCGCGTCTCACACTCCACCATCCTGCACACTCTGTACAACAACCTCCCTTTGTACTCTTTCTTGCGCTAAGCTTCGGTTGTTTGTGTCCATCCAACATCGCCCTTCTCACCTGATTTCATTCGACCGCCAGCACAGACTCGTCCTTCTCGCAGTTGGACCATACCGCCATATTCCTGGAGATCTTTGCGCTTCTGGACTTGACTTCGGGTCAAGCCAACCATACTTCCCGTCAATTTGCACCCACCTCGGCAAGAACGCGCTGAATCCAGTGCCGGGCTTCGGCACACATCCTCACTTCCAAGACTGAACGGCCTCATCGTCCGCGTGCGCAGCTCTGACTGTCACGCTACTGTCGACTAAGACTTGCACGACATGTCTTCAGACGCTCCATCTCAGAACATGGCGTCTTTCAATCTCTCTCAGTTTCCGTCGGACGAGCTGGATCGCATGACCGGAGTACGAGGCTCTCCATTCACTCGTACATTGTCATCGGAGGATGGACATGCAACCGTCAATCTTCCCCAGGGTAGTGCCGCCTTGACAGGCCAGCACGGTTACGACTCTATGGGCGCCAATGGCTTCTATGGTAGCGGCAACAACGCTGGCAGCAATAACGCCATGAGCAACAGCATCTCGAGCTTACACAGCGTCTCGTCCAACACATCCGCTGGAGGCAATGGGCCCAATGGCAGGACTGGGTATGATCAGGCAAGCCGTCTGCGACAAACCTTTAATAATGCACGCAGTTCTTCGCCTCTGTCGCGGCCACCGCTCTTCAGCCCCAATCTGCTACACGAGATGGAACGCGCCTCTCAACAAGTGCGCTCGCCATCAGGCTCGCATCCAGCCTCATCTCCACCCCCGAGGAGCAACGTTACTTCGCCTCGTTACTTCACCGAGCCCCACTATACCTCGAATCCACCACCGCATCTTCAGCACTCTTTGCAACATTCGCAACAGCATTCTCATCAACAGCAGCAGCAACAATACCAGAACCAACCGCATTCCAGGCAGCAGTCGCATCAGCAATCTCAAATACACCCATCGCAACCGCATGGATCCAACTTCAGCAACCAGCACGCATCGCACCCTACGTCTCACCAGCATGGTAACATGCAGCACTCTTCGCAAAGTCGCAACGCAACTATGGGTCCGCTCGACTTTCTGCCTTCGACGCAACCGTCTGCGCTGAGTCCACACGACCGCCCACACTCGTCTTTGTCAGAGCGCCTCCACGATAACGCCTCTCGCAACAACGGGCCTGGTACGGCCCAGAGTCCTGTGGGCGGTTTCAACAAGGATTCGGAATTCAGCATCTTTGTGGGTGACTTGAGCCCCGATCTGCGCGAGGAGGATCTTGTGGCTCAGTTCTTGCAGCCGCCCGCGTGGCCGCACAACCATGCTTTCGCATCCGCAGTGATCAACGCCCAGCAGGCGCAAGGCATCTACCAGCCGGGCAAGCACATCGGTCCAGCGCCCTTCCATTCGACCAAGTCAGCCAAGATCATGACTGATCCTGTCACGGGCGCTTCCAAGGGGTACGGCTTTGTACGCTTCTCGCTCGAGGCTGATTGCAATCGTGCACTGGTCGAGATGCAGGGTGTTGTGGTCTCGCCTGCCAATGGTCTCTCACCTGGACGTCCCTTGCGCGTCAGCACAGCAACGCCCAAGAACCGTGGACCAGGTCCTGCGCCTTCAGGACCAAACGGACAGATGGATCCTCACCAGCAGCATCTGCGAATGCCTACACCTCACAACCCAGCGCACAGTGTAGGGCCTACTTTCTTGTACGGCGGCGCTCAAGGCGGCGGTTCGGGCGCTCGATCGGAAGTGGTGTCGCCTCAGCCACAGACTCGACAGCAGTCAAGTCCTCCGAACCCCACCTCAGTCATCTCACCGATCTCGCCCACGTCGCCTTACGACGGTCCCGGCAGTGGCAGTGTGTCTGGCTCATTCGGTCCACTCTATGGCGGCTTCCCCAGCAACGGAGCCGACAGCGCGCGGGATTCGTCACCTGCAGGCATGCCTCGCTCCCACACCCCCTCGTCGGCCCCTCCGATTCCACCACAGCAGCAGGGTGGCGGCGGCAGTGGCAATCCTGGCGACAGTGCGGCCGATCCGAACAACACGACTGTGTTCGTCGGGGGCCTATCGTCGCTCATCTCGGAAGCGACACTGCGAAGGTACTTTGAGCACTTTGGCGAAATCACCTACGTCAAGATTCCGCCCGGCAAGGGCTGCGGTTTCGTGCAGTACGTCCGCAAGCAGGATGCCGAGATTGCTATCCAGCGCATGAACGGCTTCCCGATCCTAAACTCCAAGATTCGACTCAGCTGGGGACGAAGCCAGGGCGACAAGGCGGCAGCTGCAGCAGCACAGACCATGGCGCAGTACGCTCAGCTCGGTCAGCTTGCCGGTCTTGCTGGATTGAGCACACTCAGCCCGTCCCAGCTCGCCCAGCTGGCTGGCCTTGGTAGCGCTCTCAGCGCGGCACAAGCCCAAGCTCAAGCTCAGTCACAGGGACCTGCGCAGAGAGGTCCGCCCGGGTTTGGTCTCGGAGGTGCCGGAGGGCTTGCAAACGATCCACTTTCCACACTAGCAAGACAGCTCGCCACAGCCAACATGGGGCCTCCTCCTGCGCTCGGCAACCAGGGTTTGCCAGGTATAGGGCAGCGAGCTCCCCTGCCATCGTTCTTGCAGAACCAACAGCAACAGCAGCCGCACCAAGGACAGCAGATGCCGCACCACCAACACCAGCAGCAGCAGCCTTCCTTCCGAGGCCAGACGGGCTTCCCTTCTCAGAATGCCGGCCCGCCCGGTATGGGACCGAATGGCGGTGCTGGATACGGTAGCAACGCCAACCAAGGTTTCGAGTTTGACCAGCGAGGCGGAAACGCACCGGATCACCATTTCGGGTCCCAGGACGGACCTTTCTCGCGGGCCCCTTTCCCGCCTCACCAGTCGCAACAGGATGGCTTCTCAACAGCGCCGCCGCTGTCCGAGTCGGAGCTCGCGGACGCCTTCGCCAGCCTCGACTTTGACGAGACGACGCGTGCCGCTCTGGCGCAACGTCTGCAGGGCATGCAGTCCGGTGGTGCACCTTCGAACCGAGCCAACACCGATCGGTACGGTCCGGCGCCAGGCTTGAATGCGAAGCGAACCGACTCGTTTTCAGGCGGATACAACCGTGATCCCAACGCGTTCATGTTCAGCCCCTTCAGCCCGTCGGATTCGCCCCTTGTCGGGGGCAAGTCGGATCTGCCGCAGTCGCAGTCTGCTTCGTCGTCGCTACACCTTTCGCATCGGGCTGAGGAGGACGGTGAAGCTGCGGGTGCTGGCAACGGCGCTGACCGCTGATCGCCCCTCACCCGACACTGTCAGACCTGGCATCACGTCAAGCCTCATCCTCTGCCTTCCTACCACCTTCACTGATCGCTTCACCCTACCCTCCCCCTCCTGTCTTTCCTACCCTCCGGTCACCCGCACGCTCCCTCTGTAGCCTGCAACTTGTATTCCCAGCTGCTCTTTCTAGACGCATCATCCTGTACTCTCGCACATTCCCCTCTCTCTCTCTCTCGCTTAGAGCATCTGTATTGCTTTGTTGTAAACCCTGTTGTACTGCGATACCGTTACCGCTCCTGTAGACACGCCCTCGCGTTTTAGAATGTAAGACTACCCTTTGTACCCGCTGCCATGCGCGCGACACTGCGTTCAAGGGCTTGCCCGCCTGCGCCTCTGCTTCACTTTGTCTCGCTTGCGCTGAGTCGTTGAGGCGCTTTCACGTCAGCACCACGCGCTTGTAAGGACGTCGTTGTGTTGCTTCTTCATTCCATGCATTGCTTGAAAAGTTGGGTTTATACGCTGGGTAGCGGGGAGGAGAGCTGTTCTTGAACGTCCGTGAGGATGTTTTTCGCTGCGATGAACTCGTCTGTTGTGGTGATGCTTGCGTCGTCCTCCAAACCGTCCTGTACCGTCCAAAGGGTTAGATATCAGCATCCCGTTTTCGTTGAGATGAGGGATGAAGTGAGGGACTCAACGTACCACGTAGCTACTCAGGTCGTCAGCAGCGATCTCCAAGCGCTTCCTGCAGTCGGGAATCATCTTGAGGGTGTCGCTTAGGACCGTGCGCTACAGCCCAACCACAACATCAAAGATGTCAGCACAAAGGGGTCAAATGGAGAAAGGTGGTGGAGAAGGATGCGCACCTGCTGCTTGACATCGTACTCATCCCGCCCGTCGTCGACGAACTTTTGGATGCGCGCTTCCTGTTGCTGCGCCTCGGTGAGGTAGGACGATTCTTCCTTGGCGAGTCTGCACCGAATCATGAAGTGCGTTAAAGAGAGAAAGAGAAATATTGAGTCAGAGCGAGCTGGCTTTGGGAGCGAGACGGGCGAGTGAGGGAGGGTAAAGAGAAGGAGCAAGTGGAGAGCTGAGAGGAGGAGGGCAACGCACCGTTTCACCACGCCCGTCTTGATCTGCAGCTGACGTTTGGTGGTTGCGCTGTCTGCCATTATGAGGTTGTCAAGGTCCAGATATGTGATAGGAGAAGAGAGAGAGAGAGATTGCACGGATGTGTGCGTGAGAAGATGGGAATGCGAGGGAAGAAGGAACAAAGAGTGTTGGACGTGCATCAAGTCCAACACCAACATGCTCCGATTTCCGGTTCTTCGCGCCGTCACCGCGAGCCAGGGTCCACACCACCGTGCCCAAAAGCTTATCTCACTCGCCTGAACACCTCTTCTGATCCGCAGCACACGCACACACACACACACACACACACACGCACATCTGCTCGAGGGAACTCCTGATAGTCTATAAGCCTTTGCAATTCTAAGACGCAGCATCAGCTTCGGGGCTTCATCCGCCCGGCCAGTCCTCCGAGCAATTTCTCCCGCTTGCTCTTCTTTTTCTCCTTGCCGTTGGTCAATCCAGTCAGAGCGCTGGCATAGGGCGATGTTGGGATGCCTCTCGATCCACTGGACTGAATTGCTTTCTTCTGCTTCCGTCTCTCTTTCTTAGACAGGCTAGCGGGCGAGCTGAAGGACGTGTCGGAGTCGGCTTCCACGTCGACGGCGCGAGCAGGGGTGGCGGGGGTGCCAATGAGAGATTCGTACTCCGTCCGCGGAAGTGGGGTGCCCAGATCCGTATCCGAGGAGGCGGAAGGGAGGGTGAAGGGGTTGCGTGGCGTAGGGGAGGCGTAGAAGCTCGTTGTCGACTTGGGTTTGGATGATAGCATCTGGTCGAGCGCCGATGGTGTGCCGTTGAGCTTAGACGGCGGTAGAGAAGAGTCGCTGTCGTCGTCGGTGCGTTTAGGCTTTTTAATCGGAGACGTGGCGGCAGATGCGGACTTTTGACGCTTGAGCGCTGCACGATACGCCGCTTCGTCGTCAAAGCTGTCTTCTGCCTCAGAGTCAGAGTCGGACTCTGGCATCGCTTTTCGCTTCTTACCCTCCACCAACTGCTTTGGCGACTTGCTCGGCACAACCGTCGCCGCAATCGCCTTTTCCAGCTCATCCTTCTCCTTGAGATAGAAGAGGATGTACGCGCTCTGATCGTTCGTCGGCCCGCTCCGCCCCATCTCCGAGACAAGGCTGTCGTCCATCCTGGTCCACTTGCCCGAAGGCGACCTGACACTGGCCACGTAATGTCCACTGTTTGGGCCCGACCCATAATGATGCACCACAGCATACAACCTGTACCTCGCCGGCCCCTTATTAACCGACAGGTACGGTGCGATGTTCAACCCCTCGTCGAACGCGATCTGCCTGCTGACCTTGCCACCAAACGCTGTGAACCTCTTCAGATGCACCGTCAGCGCCGGCGGTGCGCTTTCGATGGTAAATTGCTTGGTCGCGTCGACTTTGCGCTTGCACTTGTCGCACTTGTACTTTTCTGATCCTGTCAAATGGTCCTTGGCTACGAATGCCCGGAATGCGTCCGTGAGGGAGTTGATACCTTTGCGCACGTCGAGGGAGAGGTCCATGAAGGGGTCAAAGGTGTCCGAGTTGTGCCCGCAGTTGTGGCACGTTACTCGACTGCGCAGTTTGCCGCCGAACATCTTCTGAACGAACGTAGTGCGGCGAACGGGGTCGTCCGGTTTGAGCGCCTTGGGTGCCAGTGAGAGGGACGACTGTTGCAACGCCTCAAGGAGGAACCGGAGATACTCGTGTGCGTCTTCTTGCCGACCCTGACGAAGAGGCTTGGCAAAGAGTTTGAGGTTGCGGTTGAAGTCGCGAGGCGCATTGGTCGGTTTGCTGCCCATCAGAGAGGCGCGTGTGAAGGCCTGCATCGCCGAGACGGCATCGAAGGGCATCGAGGGCTTGCCTCCCCACTCGCCGTGGAGAGCGTCGAGGTCTTGGGTGAGGAGGGCGAACGCAAGCGGCGGCGTGTGGATGAGCGACTGCATGACGCTGTTCATGTAGCACGTGTTGCCGTAGTTGGCGAGACCCGTCGCGGTGGGATGCACCTTGCCCGGGAAGCGCAGCGAGATCTTGTACGGGTAGAGATCGCGAGATTTCGCCTTGCCGTTCTTGGTCGGTGACGACGGCAGCTCGTCCTCGATACCATTGGCGCCATTGACCTTGGGTGAGTCGGTGTGTAAGAGCAAGGAATGTTGCTTCTGCTCCTCTTTGCGTTTCTGTGCGGCGGCAAAGTTGGGGTCGTTGACAGGAACGAGACCGAGCGCGGTATAGTCCTGCCCTTGCTTCTGGTTCGACTTGATGAATTGGACGGGGTCGGAGAGAAGGGCGTGCAGCATGCCTCGCTGCTTGAGCGTATCTCTGAGCTGATCGCCGCCAGAAGCGAGGATTTCCTTGGCGAGCTTTTTCCTCTCCTGTTTGGAGGGTGAGGTGGGCAGAGAGCTGGAGGAGGACGACCTCTTGTGATGACCATTGGGCGAAGAAAGCTGCTTCTTGGTGGGACTGGAGAAGGAGTCGGAACGATGCAAGCCCTTCTTCTGAGGTGACTGGCTGAATGATCGCGAGCCTGACCCCGAGCCGGAGCTGCCGTCCGCCTGAGACGACGGCCGTCTGACCACCTCAGCCATCATGGAAAGCCTCGCTCTGGGTGGCACTCGTGAGAGGGGACGATAGACACCGCTTTGAAAGAGCGTGCACGTCCTCGAAAAGATGGCGTGAGAAAGTACGGCGGCAATGCTGACTGAGGTTCAGAGTCGAAGTCGAAGTTGCTGCGCTTGAGTCTGGCGGTCAGACAAGGACAGAGCGCGAGCCTAAGCGCTGGGCTTGATCGAACAGTTCGAGGTCCGGAAGAAGCCGTTTCAAATGAGCGTGTAGGTGTCGGGTGAGCCGTCCGCCGTCGCTGGTTGTGCCGATACTGTTTTCGAGCCTGGTGATCACTTGCAAAGATGAAGGATGCCTCATCAAGACCTCGAACGGTGTCGGACGATCCGTCTCGCGTCGAGAGAAAAAAAAAACTAAAAAAGGGATTTTTAGAGTGGGCACGCCTTTTTCATGCAGAGGGCTGCAGTTGCGTTTTTTTTACTCGGCTTGGAGCGTCGGCGAAATTTTTCGAGCTTCGAGCGTGCTTGCTTGCTTGCAAAACGAAGCCTCGAGCGGAGTCTGGCACGCGTGCTCTGCTGCTCGCCTTGGCAGCCTGTCGCGATTCTTCGTAGAGCCAGCCCTGAAGCGCCCAAGTGGAGGCACGGAGAAGAAACGCAGCAGCACAGCGCGACATGTTGGCACCACTACACGCGAGCGTAGAGGGTCTGTGCCTGGCTGAGAAGGACCCTGTTCAGCTTTTGCAAGCCCCTGGCTCAGAGCAGACCAACACGCAGCTCAGACCATTAAACGGGATATGTCACTACACCTTCTCTCCGAATCGTCACGCCCTTCCTGAAAGCGTCTGCGCCTCCTCGTCGTCAACGCTGTGTCGCCTTCGCACTCGCCACAGCAGAGGTAGCATCCCGCTACTAGCGCATCATGGACGCAACTCTGCAAAAGGCGCTCCTGGATCGCGTCTACGACAAGCGCAAGGCGGCCACCCTCGACCTCGAACGACAAGTGCGCGAATGTCTCGCCAAGGGGGACCGAGCCAGGGTCAATCTCATCGTTCAACAACTCTGCTCATTCCTCTCAGCCTCGCCGCAGAACGTCAATGCTCGCAATGGTGGCCTCATCGGTCTCGCCGGCATTGCCATCGCTCTCGGGGTCGAGATCGCTCCCTTCCTCGAGCAGATTGCCAAACCCGTCTTGGCTTGCTTCAACGACCCAGATAGCAAGATTCGCTACTTTGCTTGCGAGAGCTTCTACAACATTGCCAAGGTGTGCAAGGGCGAGATCTTGGTCTACTTCAACGAGACATTTGATGCGCTGTCCAAACTAGCAGCCGACTCGGAGCTCAGTGTCAAGAACGGTGCCGAGCTGCTGGACCGCCTGCTGAAAGACATTGTCTGCGAAGCGGCACCACACTACGTCTCACAGTTTCAGGACGTCTCACTGATTCGCGCGCATCAAGATGCCCAGGAGGGCTTCGCTGGCGGAGCTGCCGAGCTCGACGTTGCTCGCGAGAAAGCGCATCAGATCGACGAAGAAGGCGCCGCCAGCAACAAGGTCTTTTCGCTAGCACGCTTCATTCCACTGCTATCCGAGCGGATGTATGTGCTCAGTCCGTTCACTCGCAACTACCTCGTCAGCTGGATCACGGTGCTCGGCTCTGTGCCTGAGCTTGAGCTGGTCAGCTACCTCCCCTCTTTCCTCGACGGCTTGCTCAAGTACCTCAGTGATCCGAACACCGATGTCCGTGTCGCCACGGCTAATGTGCTTGCCGACTTCTTGCCCGAGATTCGACATGCCGCAGAACTTGCCTCGCGGAGACACGCGTTCGAGCAGCATCGTGCCGAACGACAGGAGCACAAGAGGCGAAAGGGAAAGCAGCGCGATTCTGGTACTGCGATTGACGGCCTGCCCGCCACAGTGGGAGCTGTAGAAGAACTGGAGGTGCAACCGAGGAGCGCGAGTCCGAGCAAGTCGATGCGATCATCATCTCAAGCAACGTCGACAAGACTGCGAATGGAAGGCGGAACATCGCCAGCACCACCGCAACGTTCCAGTCAAGAGGCAGAGCGGGAGTCAACCTCAAAGCAAGAGGATCAGTCTGCAGCTGATGACGACGCGCAAGACGAAGAAGACGAAGAGGAGGACATCTGGGTGGAAGGCACCGAAGTGCGCATCGACTACGCCGCCATTGTGGAGATCCTGATCAACCATATCGGCTACCCAGACGAGGAGATCCAGGCCACTACGCTTCAGTGGATCGCAGAGTTCCTGCTCGTGGTCAAGGATGTCGTTGTGCCCTTCACGCCTCGCTTGATCTCGGCTATTCTACCAAGCTTGGCTCACCACAGTCCTGCTATCGCCAGTGCAGCCCACGCAACCAACGTCAATCTGTACAGGGTCATCCAAGACATTCCTGTCGCTACGGCACCACCAAATGCAAAAGCTGCCGTGACATCGGCAGGTGTGTCACATGGCCAGAGGCAGACAACTGCAATTGCAACCCCATACAAGATCAACACGGGCAGCCCAACGCAGCACAGCAACGTGAGCAGGCATGCATCCGTCTCTCGACCCCCTGCCACGACCGCTTCAATGTCCATGTCAGCATCGACGTCAGGACCACTCACTCCACGATCACGGGCCGGTACAATGAGTGGCGAGCCTGTAGCCAGCTTCGCTGCTCTCGGTCTCTCCGACAATGCAGGCAACGATGATCAGATGACGCCGTCGAACAGCAATGGTGTTGAACCCACACCGGTCGAAGCTGACCCCTTTGACTACCAGACAACGGTCAACGCGCTGACTCTGCAGCTGCTCGACGAGCACGAAGAGACCCGAGTTACGGCCCTGGAATGGCTCCTCATGTTGCACCGCAAAAGTCCGCGCAAGATCCTATCGATGGACGACGGCACCTTCCCTGCGCTGCTCAAGACGCTGTCGGACCCGTCTGACGAGGTGATTCGCTGCGACCTCCGTCTACTCGCACAGATCAGCTCCGCGTCCGAGGACTCGTACTTCCACGCGTTCATGGCGAACCTGCTCAGCCTCTTCAGCACGGATCGTCGACTTCTGGAAACACGCGGGTCGCTGATCATTCGTCAGCTCTGCGCCTCCTTGCACACCGAACGCATCTTCCGCACGCTCGCAGAAATCCTCGAGAAGGACGAAGACCTCGAATTCGCCAGCATCATGGTCCAAAACCTCGCCATCATCCTCATCACCTCCCCCGAGCTATCCGACTTTCGCAAGAAGCTCCGGAACCTCGATTCCCGAGAAGGTCAGCAGCTGTTCGCATCCATCTACCGGTGCTGGTGCCACAACGCCGTGGCCGCCTTTTCGCTGTGTCTGCTGGCGCAGGCGTACGAACACGCAAGCAACTTGCTGACGATCTTTGCGGAGCTCGAGATCACTGTCTCGCTGCTGATTCAGATCGACAAGCTGGTGCAGCTGCTCGAGTCGCCCATCTTTACGGCGTTGCGGTTGCAGCTGTTGGAGCCGGAACGGTATCCGTGGTTGTTCAAGTGTTTGTATGGGGTGCTGATGCTCTTGCCCCAGAGTTCGGCGTTTGTGACGCTGAGGAACAGGTTAAATGCGGTGAATGGGCTAGGGTTCTTGCATTCGGTGCCGAGGTCGAGCTATGCGGTGAGGACGGGGGGCAAGACGGGTTCGAGTGCTGGGAGTGCATCGACGGGCGGGGTTGGAGGGACTGCAGCTGGAACGGGGGGCACAGCGTCGATGGCAGAGATCAAATGGGGCGATCTGCTGCATCACTTCCGCGTGGTTCAGAACAAGCACGAGCGCGCACGTCGACAAGCCGCCACGGGGTCGACGAATGCAGTCGAGGGAGCTCAGGCAGACTACGCCGCACCACGCATCACCGCTGGTCCGGCATCCTCTGCCTCGTCAGCGACGGGGGTGGGTGGACGAAGACGCATCAGTCAAGCAGCGACACCTGTCGGGGCGGGGTCAATGACTCCGTCGGGCTCAGCAGGGAGGTTCGGACTCGGCCTCTCAGCAGCCGCCACCAACGGGAGGGGCAACGGCAGCGTCTCAGCGCCTAACACGGCCTCGAGCAGCTTCTTTGGCATTCACCTGCCCTCTGCTGCGGGGGCTACGGCGTCGGCTGCCACCGCTGGCCGTTCTGCCAGTCCGAATGCGGCGAGAAGGCACGCTTCGGGTCAGCAGCCGGGATCGAACACCGGGTCGAGGAACCCGAGTAAAGGCTCTGCCTTGCGTTGAGCAATGCCACATCCGACACCAACCCCTGGATCCCAAAAGTTGCCTGTTTGTGCGTGTAAACCTGATACTAATTGAAGAGAAAGGATGCTATACAATCTTGTCTGCGAGTTCTGGCAGCTGATCACCGGGAACAAAGTGCCTCTCCACGCCATCCTCTGTGATATCCACCAAACGGATGGTACCACCACTCGAGCCGTCTCTCCTCATCGCCAGCGCCAGGGCGTTCTTAACAAACTCCAACGTCTTTTCCTTCCCCCACCCAGCTTTCCACGTAGCATCGCAGTAGCCGTAGATATACGAACTGCCACTGCCTCCAATTGCCCATGGTTGCTCGAACACACCACCGCCGAGTGGGATGTTGAACACCCGTCCACCATCCTTCTTGTCCCAACCGGCCACGATGAGACCCGCGCTCAATCGATCCTTGTTCTGATACACGATCTCTTGGAAGAGGCTCGCAGCCACCTTTGTCTGTGGTGCAGAGCCAGACTCGACAGCGTACATGTCGAGGTAGTACGTGACAATGTCGGCGATCGCCTGCGTGTCGGCGGCGGATCCGGAACGACAGCAGTAGATGCGATCCGAGAGGTGCGTCAGCTTGTCCGTGACACGGTTGGCAATGTAACTGCCCGTGGTGGTGCGCGAATCGGCACCCATGATGACGCCTTTATCGTATGCAACGGCCATGATGGACGTTCCCAGGTTCACCTCGCCTTTCTTGAGGTGGGTGGTGATGTCCATGCCGTTGACTGACATTGTGAATGAGGAGCGCTGCGAGGAGCGAGTGTGATAGGGGTCGAGTGTGTGAGGTTGCAGCTGTCTGCTGTGGTGCGCGGTACGGTGATGAGCGGCGCGTGTGCGAAGAGAGTGCCTATGCAGACGAGGTGATGGAAGGAGCTCGCGATGATGGTGTGGTTGACGAGCAGCAAAAGTGTTGCTTTGAAGGTGAGCTTCTGAAACGGTGGTCAGAGCGGCCAAAAGTGGAGCTGGCGCAGCGCAACAGGTCTGGCCGCGTACTCGCGATCACCAGCGCTTTCGCAGCGCTCTCTCTCTCTCTTTGGCCAGAAAAAAGAGGCTTCTCGAAGCATTTCATCGGCCTAACAGGGCGGATTTTTTCTCGCGGGTCAAGCTCACACACGCGAGCCAAGCACACACGCGCGCACCGACCTTCGCCCAGAAGATCAGCTTCGGGGCTGAAACCTTTCGAGGTGTTGGATTCGACACCCTTTCGTCTCGCTCACCTCTTCCAGCAATACTGTCCAAAAGCGCTCTCTCTCTGGCACCTACATTGGCTCGTTCTACTCTCGATCACCGTCTCGATCACAGACGTCCCCTCCGCATCGTTCTCGTTTCCGTCCTTTCATCAACTCGAGAGCTGGTCTTTCGTCTCGCTTTCTCGTGCAAGTTCTCGACTCGCTTTCCTGCATCGCTCGTCTCTGCCGTCCAACCCCTTGAGAGACGTCTCCTCATCTCTGCTTCAAGACTCCGTCGCACTCCTATCTCCCGGCCTTCACCCCCGCACGAACCGTCACAATGGGCCAAGCAGGCTCCCAACTCCTCTCGGACATCGAGGCAACCTCGAACTTCAACTCCAAAGAGATCCAGCGGTTGAAAAAACGCTTTATGAAACTCGACCGGGACGGATCCGGTTCCATCGACAAGGACGAATTCTTGCAAATCCCGCAGATCGCTAACAACCCATTGGCGCTGCGACTGATCGCCATCTTTGACGAGGACGGAAGTGGAACTGTGGACTTTCAGGAGTTTGTCGCCGGTCTCTCGGCTTTCTCCAACCAAGGGAGTCGCGAGGAGAAGCTCAAATTCGCCTTCAAGGTGTACGATATGGATCGGGATGGATTGATCAGTAACGGAGAGCTGTTTTTGGTGCTCAAGATGATGGTGGGTAACAATTTGAAGGATCAACAATTGCAACAGATCGTGGATAAGACCATCATGGAGGCGGATACCAATGGAGATGGGAAATTGGACTTTGAAGAGTTTCAAGCGATGGTGGCGAATACGGACGTGGCCAAGCAGTTGACGTTGGAGGATCTGTTCTGAGCGTAAGGCCACGCCTCACTTCCCACCTCACGACCTCGAAACGGCACGCTGTCACACCTCGCATCTCTCCCGCCTCACTGTATCGTATCTCGCTCTTCTCACTTCTCATCGTTCGAAAAGACTCAGCGCTTGTCTCTTCTCGTGTGTTGTTGACCACATTCGCTCAGCCTCAATCCTCGGCTTGCAATGGGCCACATCATGTAGCTTCCATCCACGCCAATCCGGACGCTGTCCATCGGACCACACCTGCACACAATCGCGAGGCTTCATGACTCTTTGATTCCCGCTCTACTCCTCGGCGAACCTGATCCGCGCCAACGGCCTCAACAGCTCCATCAAGCTCGTCTCCCCCTCTCTTCTCTGCACCTCTGTATGCAGCCCTCTCCTCTCCAACCGATTCAACTTCTTAGCAGTGTTCGCATTGGTACTGGTCCTCTGGCCCCTGACAGGCAAGTGACTGGCATGTCTTCTTCCCCTGTAGCTGCCCACGTTTCGATGATGATTGATGTTGGCGTGGAGAACGCGTTTGAGGTCGGCCTCGATTTTGATCTGACGCAGCGGGTCGGCGGTGGAATTGGCCGCCATCGATGGTCGAGCCTCGTCGGAGGAGGAGGAGGGGAGGATGGTCGGATGCGCTTTGCGAGCAGGAATCGAGCCGGGCGAGGAGAGGTATGCGGAAAGCTGGGTGATTTGCGACTCAGTCAGCGAAGAGACGGTAGCGCGATCGTGTAAGGAGAGTCGCGCGCAGAGCCGGTTCGCCGTGTCGTAGGAGATGCCGTAGAAGTTTGTCAGCGCAATCTGCATGATCCGGAAGGAAGAACGAGAGCGATGGTGTCAGCAGAGTGGGTCAGAGAAAGGGCAAGATTGTCCGAGATGTGCGCAAAAGCTTACCCTGACAAGCTTGTGATCCGCCAAATGCACACCGAGGAGATACATAGTGAAGCTGATGTGAGGTTGTGGTGCTAGGAGGAAGCGTCGAGTTTGTCGGTGGAAGCGAAAGCGCTGTGCTGAGCCGTAACGTGACTTTGTTTCGAGTAGGCGGGCGGCTGTCCGGTGGCTATGGCTGTTGATCGTCCGTGATGCTGACCTCGTAGCAAGTTAGTGTCCGCGATAGGGGTGTTGGTAGCGTCGACAAGCAAGATCAAGTCCTCCGAGCGAATATGGCATTTCTTCCGGCTCGCACCAAAAAAGTGAGCAGGCTGACACGTGATTTCTCAGCCATTGTACTCAGCAGCGCCAGAAATATCGGCCTAACATTTTAAGATTATTTGCGCCTCGACCATGTGATGTTCACGCCAAACGAACGAAGCACCGCGATGAAGGAGAAGATTGAGTATTCAAAACCGGTGACTGCAGAGAGGCTGAGCAAGAGGAACATGCTGAAAGAACAGAAAGTACATCGCGCACAAGTGAAGGATGACGATGACAAGCAATGTGAAGATAAGAACTGGAACCAGAGTACACGGTGTGGGCAAACGAAGAAGAGAACGATCGAGCGGGTGCACATGACGGCCATGCTCCAGGCCACGGCGTGCTTTTGGGTGCTGTTGCTGCGAGAGCAAGACCGGGTATGATGTTGTACAAGGAGATCGAGCTGAGTCGAAGGCAGAAAGTGAGAGAGCAGGCGGTAGACGGTTTCACGATCCATCCTGCCCGCCGGTCCCGGAGCCAAACAGGTTGCCAAAGTTGCTGTCCCATCCGTCGCCACCAAGACCGCCGCCACCTGCGCCGTCGGTGGAGAGCTCAAAGTCGAAAATGTCGTTCATCGAGCCGCCGAACCCGAACAAGCTAAAGTCTTCCGCTCCGCCCGTGCCACTGGCGCCGGCGCCGGCGCTGCCGTCCATGCCATTCAGGCCGGCGTTCGCCGTGCTTCCGTTGTCGGTACCGTTGCTCATGCCAAACGAGTTGACCTCGGCGGCAGATGGGCCTGTAGGTGGTGGCATAGCTGCATCGGCAGGCTGGGACGCACCTGCATTGGCACCGTCTGGCTTACCGACACCATCTCGCCCTGGCGTGGCAACATTGGCGCTCGCGGGCGTCGCGGCGTTCGCCGCAGCGGGCGTGGTCGGTCCAGCAGCGCCGTTGCTGCCAGCAGCCCCTCCTGCAGGCCCAGAGGCGTTGGCGTTGGCGCCAGGCACCGATGCAGCGGTCATGACGGGCGTCTTGGCTGCTGCTTTCGAGTTCTTGCGCTGACGAGCGTTGCCCTTCTTGCCCTTTTCTGCCGAGCCCAGCTTCGGGGTGTTGGGCACGTTCGAAGCGGCGGGCGATTCTGCTTGGCCCTGAGCCGCATTGGCGTTGCCATTGCCAGCTTGCTGCTGCAGATTGGACGCACCGATGCGCGGTGACGGGGATGAGATGGAAGCAGTGCCAGGAGGGCCCATGCCGCCGGAGTTGTTGCCCAACTGCGAGGCGGCTCGCTGCATTCCTGGACGCTGCATGTTGGCAGGCGAGCCCATCTGCACCGAGGAAAAGTGGCTTGTGTGCGGATCTTCGGCTCCACCTTGAGCAGATGGAGGTCGCGTAGGACCCTGCTGCTGTGGCTGTTGCGGCTGCTGGAATCCGTTGGGCGGACCCGGTTGACCAGGTTGCTGCGGCTGCTGCGGCTGTTGTCCCTGGCCACCTTGAGGATGTTGCGGATTGGGACGCGCCACGTTGCCGTTGGGACCCATCATGCTGGCCATCAGACCTGGATCGTGGGTCGCCATCAGCGGTGTGATGCGTCCCGCGGCTGCCTGTGCATTGGCGATCTGAGCTGCGCGCTGCTGCGGCGTCATATTAGCCATGCTAGCAGGGCTGACCGCTGCGCCAGGGCCTGGCATGCCGGGCCCACCCACACCAGGAGGTCGCGCCTGCGGTGATGGCCCTGGTGGAGCTGGATTGCCCGGCTGCACGCCGTTGCCTGGGGTCGCACCTCCAGCACCGCCTTGGTAGTTGGCTTGGGCCCGCAGAAGGTTCTGAAGGCCCTGTGCCTTGGCCTGGTAAGCTTGAACGTTGGCGTAGAAGTCGGCGGCGGTAGTCTGGTTGGGCGCGTTCTGAGCCTTCATCCATTCTTCGCGCATGGCGGCTTGGACACTCTGAAACTGGTTCATGACCATTTGTTGCTGTTGCGGGTTGAGCTGCGGATGCTGCTGCTGAGGCCCTTGCCCGGGCTGCGGCGGGCCTCCGGGCTGTTGCATCTGTGGACCCGGCTGCGATCCACCCGGAGTCGGAGGTTGTTGTGGCTGACCCTGCAATTGAGGGTTGCCGGTGGCCAAGACGCCGGGTGGCCCACCCATGTGATCTGGGCGGTTTCCCTCGGCGCCCGGTCCCACGGAGCGGCGTCCATCCATGCCGGCTCCGCCGGGAGTGGGAGGGGCGGGCGACCCGGCGGCACCGGCCATCTGCTGAGGACCCATCGGAGGTCGCACTTGCATGGCGTTGCCTAGTGGTGGCGCGCCTGGCACACCTTGCCTCTGCTGTTGCATCATGCGGTGAAGCGCCTGTTGCTGCTGCAGACGAGCCTGGAGCTGTTGCTCCATGAGCTGGTTGGTCATTCCGGGACGTACCGCTTGAGCGTTGGCCGGGTTGTTTGGGTTCATCGTGTTGATGAGCGTCATTCGCGAGGCGGGAGTGAGGTTCTTGATCTCGTGCAATGGGATGTTCTGGCGTTGAGCGGCAGTGATGAGCAGCTGCTGCTGCTGTGCCGGCGGAAGAGCCGCCGGATTCCAAGCGACGGGAGCTGCGGCTCGACCATTGGGACCGACCGCACCTGCTACGGTCCCTGCAGCGCTAGGATCGACGTTCATTCCAGAAACAACGATGTTGGGGAACCGCGAACCATTCTCTGGTTGCTGGTACTGTGCCTCGAGAGCTTCGGTCTTGCGGGTGGCTTCCGCGAGCCGCTGCATGTTGCGAGACTCTTGGTATTCGTAGTAGGCGGCGGCTTCGGTTCCTCCGCGACCGGAACGGGCGGCAAAGACATCCCAGAAGATGGCCCAATACTCGAAGAGCAGGCCTTGAGGTGTTCGCAGTGGTACCTCTGGCGGCTCTGTCATGCCGGCTTCGCTCATGAGAGACTTGGCAGCGGAGTTGAAGCCTCTGCGGGTGAGATAATCCCAGACGTACACGTCGAGCTTGGTGGCCTCTTCACCCCAGACGCGACCATCGGAGCCAGACTGGCCAGTATTGACCTCAGAAGCTTTGTTGTCCCCCGAGACGCCATCTTCGGGTCGCGAGCGTTTGTCCTTGCTCTCGAAGTCGGGGCTCTTGCTAGCGGTGCGCTTCTTGCTCATCATGACTGATTGAGTGTTATTGGGGGTATTTGGCTTGCCTCCGCTGCTGGGTGAGGAAGTGTGGTTGGCAGCTGTGAAAGCGGCTGGATTGCCGTAGGGCTGGGGAGGATAGACGGTAGCTTTGACGTTATTGGCTTGCGGAGCTTGCTGCTGTCCTTGCTGCTGCTGCTGCTGCTGCTGCTGTTGCTGTTGCTGCTGCTGTTGCTGCAAGTGAGGATGCTGCTGAGCCTGTGCGCCAAAGTGCTGCTGCAGGTGCTGAGGCTGTTGCTGATGCTGCTGCTGGAGGTGCGGGTGCTGCGGGTGTTGCGAGTGCTGGAGCTGCAGTTGTGGTTGCTGGAATTGCGGGTGCTGGTGCTGATGATTGATCTGCTGCGTCTGTGGGGTGAACATGGTGGCCGAGGAGAGAGCGGGAGAAGCGAGCGAAGATGGACGACTTGGACCAGCTGCGCTCGATGCGGGAGAAGGTTGGTTGAAGCCGGAGGGCCAGCCCCACGCGTTGACGGGTGCACGTGGCGCGCTCGAGTTGTTTGCTGCAAGGTGATCGACGGGATGCGCGGAAGGGATGGGCGACACGCCCTGAGAAGGCGGATGAGGAGCGACGAAGTTGTGACCTGCGGTGGCAGTCACGGGACCGTTCATGCTAGGTGGCAAGAGATCGCTGGAGGAGTGCCGACGACGATGGACGACGGATCACGACCTAGTACAAGCCGGACTCGACCAGAGACAAGGTGCTAGCGGGAGTAGTGGCAGAAAAAGAAGATTGAGCGGGCAGGCGCGAACGGCGTTGCAAGCGACTCTACGAGATGACGCTAAGTGGTCGCGAGGGGTCTATCCTTCCGCAGCGTGGGTGCTGCTATATGGAATGGACGCGATCTCGCTTAGTGGAGCATCAGCGGGAAGAGCTGAAGGATGGTAGGCACGAGCCGTCGAAGGTGGGTATGAGCGCCATGCAAAGAAGTGGGAGCGGCAAGGAGTTGGCGTGAGTACGAGCGCGATGGTGATTGCAAGTGCCAGAATGCGGACCTCCGCTCGAGAACGTGATGCAAGTGCGCAGGTGTTGCGGGCACGAAATGGGTGGTATAATTCGATTATCGATCGACGCGAAGGTCGTGTTGCCTGGCGGCGTGCAGAAGGTGGTGACCACGACGGCGATGTTGCTGCTGCTGAACAAGAAGCGAGACGAGAGGAACGCGAAGCGCTGGGATCGGAACTGGTCGGCAGACGATGTCTACGCCGGGAAGAAGCCACGCTAGGAGAAGCAGAGCGACAGCCGAGACGGAAGCGGCGCGTATCGAGAATGTGCGAGGGCGACAGAGGACAACGTACGTCTCCAGTCGTGAAGGAACGGATGGTTCTGAGAGAAAAGAGGGAGCGTGTGAGAGAGCGCGATGGCGGAGGCGCAGATGGCGGAAGAGGACAGAGGGAGGGAGGAAAGGAAAGGGAGAAAGATAGAGCTGACCAGCGGCGGCGGCGGCAAGAGAAGGCTGCAATCGGGTCTGAGTGAGTGAGTGAGAGCGAGATGAAGTAGTTGCAGCAGCTGCTTGCTTCTGCTTGAGTGCTTCGTGCTCTCCGCTGTCGTTTTTGGCGGCAAAGCTCACTCTGACTGGGGGGAGGAGAAAGAGAGGGCTTGAGTTTTGAGTTTTGAGGAGAGCCAGAAGCGAATCGTGCACAATGCGGTCCTTCAGAGGCAGAGAGGAAGCGGAGCGCGAATTGGCTCTCTCGCTGTGTGCGCCTGGCTTTGGCTCATGATGTCAAAATTGGAAAGCGATGGTGGGTTGTTTCGCCCTGCTTCATTTCTCATTCGACGGGACAGCCGGGCAGCAGCTCACGGCTCCAGACAAATTCAAATGAACCAACAGCGACGCCCAGACCATCTCACTTTCACCGCTTCCAAGCGCCTAGAGGCACGATTCGCTCTTCTCCGCTTCTCTCAGCCTTCTGCCCTGTTGATATTGGTTGATGTGCGATATGCGACCCATGGACTGAATTCGCCTTCCAGATCTGTCAAGACGTCGCACGTGGGTCTAATCTGTGAATTGTCTTGCTCGTCGTACAGCGAGCCGTTCAGCTCTTCTGTCCACTTCTTCTCCCGTTCGACAGGGCACTTCAACAGGGCACTTGAAGGCGAATTGTTTTTGAAAGCGCAAGTTGCACGAATTGAATTCATCTGTGCCAGCCGAATTTCAAGAGACTCGCTCTTCGAAATGCCTGCGGTTACAGTAATTAGGCCTGATCCATCCGGCTAACTAATTGATACTCTATCAGACGTCCCTATGCTTGCCCTGACACGAGCCAAGCTAGAACGAGCCAGAGAGATTGGCGTAGAACCGTGTTGGCAGCAAGATACATCGCGGCATCTCAGACTTGATCCTTCGACGGGGGGATCTAGAGAAAGGTGCATCCGAGCGATTAAGCTAAAGGGCGTTGCGAGCAGCTGCAACGGTCTTCACGATTTGGTTGGCGACCTGTCGCGCTCTTTCGACGCGTTTGCTCAAGATGTCAGATCTATTGAGGAAGCACATATTTGAAGTCCTTGGCTTTGTTAGATCCAACTACAGCGAGAAGGAACCTCGAGGAAGAATCAGACGCAGAGCAACACAGACACACGCGCAGCTCAGCTCAGAAGAGCCAGTCAACCGCACGGCGCGCAGCTCTTTTGCAATTTCTTCTGAGTAACACTTCTTGGTGTCCTCTGCGAAGCTCGTCAAAGCATCCTTCTTTCTCTCGTCTCGACCATCACCAGCAACACTTCCTTGCGGCACCTTCACAGCGTGGACAAGCTCGCAGAAGGCGCAAAACTCTGTCACGGACCAAACCTGCAACCTTTGACTCGACAACCAAGCACAGGGATCCCGTCCGCATTCAAAGCCACTCATCTGCGCGCACCTTTGTCGCAGACCACATAGCAGCCATGGCACAGCTCTTCCAGAAAGACCCTCGCAATGCGGGTCTCTTTATTGGCGGTGAGCGTCTCTCGGGAGCTGAGATCCGCAACCAGAACGTCCTCGCGGCTCAGTCGATCGCCAACATTGTCAAGTCCTCGCTAGGCCCCGTCGGTCTCGACAAGATGCTTGTGGACGACATCGGAGACGTCACCATCTCGAACGACGGCGCCACCATCCTCTCGCTCCTTGAGGTGGATCAGCCAGCAGGTCGCATTCTCGTAGAATTGGCACAGCAGCAGGACAAGGAGGTCGGCGACGGAACCACATCGGTCGTCATCATTGCCGCTGAGCTTCTGCGTAGAGCCAACGAGCTGGTCAAGAACAAAATTCACCCCACCACCATCATCACCGGTTACCGTCTCGCGTGTCGCGAGGCCTGCAAGTACCTTCAGGACCAGCTCTCCACCAAAGTCGACACTCTTGGCAAGGAATCGCTCATCAATGTCGCCAAGACCAGTATGTCGAGCAAGATCATCGGTGCCGACGACGACTTCTTCGCACAGATCGCCGTCGATGCTATGCTCGCGGTCAAGACGGTCAACCCGCGCGGTGAGACCAAGTACCCTGTCAAGGCGGTCAACGTTCTCAAGGCACACGGCAAGTCGGCACGCGAGTCGCTCTTCATCAACGGTTACGCGCTCAACTGCACCGTCGCCTCGCAAGCCATGAAAACCCGTGTCAAGAACGCCAAGATTGCCCTTCTCGATATCAACCTCGTCAAGCAGCGCATGCACCTCGGCGTTCACATTACCATTGACGACCCGGAACAGCTCGAGAAGATCCGAGCGCGAGAGAGCGAGATCGTGCTGGAGCGTGTCCGCAAGATTCTGGCTACAGGTGCCAACGTCATCCTCACCACCAAGGGCATCGACGATCTTTGCCTCAAGGAGTTTGTCGAAGCGGGTGCGATGGCAGTGCGACGATGCCGCAAGGAGGATCTGCGCAGGATTGCCAAGGCCACTGGTGGTCAGCTCGTCAGCAGTTTGAGCAACTTGGACGGCGAAGAGACCTACGAGGCGAGCAGTCTCGGAACCGCCGACGAGGTGGCCCAGGAGCGCATCAGCGACGATGAGCTCATTCTGATTCGAGGCACCAAGACCGTCAGCTCCAGCTCGATCGTGCTCCGCGGAGCCAACGACTACTTGCTGGATGAGATGGAGCGAGCGCTGCACGACAGTCTCTGCGTCATCAAGCGTACTCTCGAGAGCGGTTCCGTCGTCCCTGGTGGTGGAGCTGTCGAGTCGGCGCTCAGCATCTACCTCGAGAACTTTGCCACCACGCTCGGTAGCCGAGAGCAGCTCGCCATCGCTGAGTTCGCCCAGGCGCTTTTGGTCATCCCCAAGACCCTCGCTGTCAACGCAGCCAAGGACAGCACCGACCTTGTGGCCAAGCTACGTGCCTACCACAACGCGGCGCAGAACGCGAATGCGGGCGACCCCAAGAAGGCGCTCCGCTTCTACGGCTTGGATTTGCTCAACGGTCAGGTGAGGGATAACCTCAAGGCAGGCGTGCTCGAGCCCACGGTCAGCAAGGTGAGGAGTCTCAAGTCGGCGCTCGAGGCAGCCACGAGTCTGTTGCGTATCGACGATGCCATCACCATTGCTCCAGAACAGCCGGCGGAGGATCCCCATGCTCACATGTAAAGCAAGGGACGGGAAGGCGATATGTAACAAAAACCGGAGCTTGCTCGAATTCAAGCATTTTGACTCAAGCTTCTGCGTGCATGAGTGATACTTGTTCGGGTTCGCCGTTTGCTGAGTCTGTCGTTGAATGAGCGGCTTGCTCTCGGGATTCAAACCTCACGGAACAGCCAGATCAGTCGAGCAAAGTGAAACAGAGTGCTTACGGATACTAATACAGATGGCGAGCAAGAGCGATGTAAGCCTTTGAGGCCGATTCTTTTTGACTTTTGATCTTGAAGCCTATGCCGACTCATCCGGCAGCTCTCTCAAGTAGAGCACGTTGTTACACCTGATAAAGACCTCGCCGAGCATGCCGTTGGACTTGCCGTCTTGGAACTCTTCCGTGTTGGCCAGCTGAAGGTTCATGTAGCTGTCGGTGCTGACGAGGAAGCCCTTGTATTCCATGCCCCACTTGAGTCGAACTAGGACAGGCTTGCCCGTTTGCAGCTGAAGAAAGGGTTTTGGGTTGACGGGCTGGAACTGTGAGTGAAAGGCAGAGAGGAATGGGTCGTCAGCATCGTCCTGCTCCAAGGATGTAACAGCCGACGTGCGGCTACTGAGAAGCGCGCCGAGCCAGATGTACTACTTACACTCGACATTGTGGTGCTTTGATCCGTATGGATGGCCGGGTCTAGATTGCCGCTGTGCAGCCGTTACGACGTCCGTGGCTTGGAATGTGAGCTCGGGCTCTCTCTTGAAGGGACAAGGTGGATGTCAAGAGGGTTGTCGTCGGTAGCTTGAAGCGAATCCCGTCACTGTTGGAGATGGCGGCAGACGAGGTGCAGCCTTAGAATGGTCGATGCTACCTTCGTGCTGTTGTCTGTATGGGTCAAGACCGTGGTGCTGGCCTGTGTAGCTACGATGCGTGGGTGGGTGTTGCTTTAATGATGGATCGAGATGCTGAAGAAGAAAGCTCGAATCTGTCAAAGGACAATCGCGAGCCGGAACACGGAATCCAGCTAGCAGCGAGCTCTAACATCCTCGACTTTGCGCCAAAATTGCTGCGCAGCGCTGTCAAGCCTGTCTCGGGTGTTGGTCTTTGTGCGGGGACGGCAAGGGTTCAGCCTCGCGCCCAGCTTGGGCCGCCACGAGACAGCGCCATGCGGGTCTGTGAGCTTTAAAGCTCGCTTCCTACCGTCATCCTCGCATCATTCCACCACACCACCTTCAGGTCGTCAGCAGGACACCCCGCCCCATCCGTTCGGAGCTCCACGCTCGGCTCAAGAGTGTACCATGAATCAGGTTTGGTCGGCGGTGATTTGATTCACCTTCAGCCGCTACCCCGCACTTCCACCTCGGTCGTCTACATTTGGGCACGATTGCCGTTGCACATATCTCAACATGGTCGGAACATCAGCATCTGCGCCAGCTGCGATGGGCGCAGGGCACTGTCTCGTCGGCGAGCCTCGCATCCATGCTCCTCCACCGCTTCAGCTACCACTGCTATCGCTCGGCACACTCGGTGCTCAGACGGTATGGTCGATGGACATGGCCTTCGCGCCGCCGTACCTGCTCGATTTGGGTCTGTCCAAGTCATCGATGGCTGCAGTCTTCGTGGCTGGTCCCCTCTCCGGCCTTATCGTTCAGCCTCTGATCGGAAGTCTGGCCGACAACAGCACATCTAAGTACGGACGGCGTCGACCCTTTTTGGCAGCCGCCACCCTCATCTGCGCGCTCAGCATTCTCCTTCTTGGCTTTGCACGCGAGGTCGCGGCATGGTTTACGACTGCGGACAGCAAGGGACATCAAAATTTGGCTATCTTGATCGGTGTCGTATCGGTCTACCTGGTCGACTTCTCCGTCAATGCCGTCACAGCGCTGGATCGCGCGCTCATGGTCGACGTGGCGACAACCGAGGACCAGGCAGAAGCCAATGCATGGGCTGCTCGTCTGACAGGCGTCGGCTCGGTGCTGAGCTTTCTCATTGGCAATCTCGATCTGCCGAAAGTGGCACCCAGGATTCTTGGAACGACGCAGATTCAGATCGTCTCGACGCTCGTCTGCATTATCCTCATCACGACGCACGTACTAGTCGTGTTGCGTGTAGAAGAGCAGGTACTGGCCGAGGCACGCCCACAAACCTCGGCAAAGTCAAAACGACTCGGACTCGTAGCCATCCTTTCCGACTTATATACCCAAGCACGAGCGCTGCCGGCCCCCATCATCGAGATCTTCAAGGTGCAGTTCTTTGCGCAGATCGGTTGGTTCCCGATTCTCTTCTACAGCACTGTCTGGGTCGGCGAGATCTACAAGGCGGATGTGCGGCTCAATGGCGGCAAGCAGAGTGATCACGAGCTGTTCGAGCAAGCGACACGCGCTGGCAGCCACGCTTTCTTCTGGCATGCAATCCTCTCGTTGGTCACCTCGATCGTCCTCCCACTCGTGGTACCGAATCCGGTTCTCGAATCTCACACTCATCCGGTTTGGTTCCCAAACTCAAGTCTACTGCGCAAGCTTCGGAGCTTGCGGGAACGCTGCCCAGAGCTGCCGTTCTGGTGGCCGTTTGCCAGCTTCGTGTTTTTCATCTCGATGATGGGCACCTACTTCGCTGGACTCACCAAGAGCGTCTTCCTGGCGACGTGGGTAGTGGCTTCGGTCGGTTTTTGCTTCGCGATAGCCAACTGGATTCCGATCGCTTTGCTTGGCATTCTCATTCATACTCAGCACGTCCCCGACGTCGCTCATCGAATTGGCACTACAGGTCGATACGCATCTTCTAGTCTCACAGCCGGTGCTCACCGCGAAGCAGACGACGTGACGATGGCGCTGCTTGGTGACAGTCTTCACGAAGCGGACGGGCAAGGAAGGTCCATGACTCGCACGCCCTCGTACGACTCTTCCTCCGACAAACGCCCACGCCCGAGGTCACGCATCCGGAGCGACGACGACTCAGACGAAGAAGAGCTGCAGGATGCACTCTCGTTCGGAGCGCAAAGTTTGCACGAGGAGGCCAATAGTGACCGAGATGCCAGCGATGTAGAGAGGGGAGACGACCCGATCAAAGCCGTCGAGAGCACGACACTGCACGCGGGTAGCGTGCTCGGACTACACAATGTGGCGATTGTCGTTCCACAATTCCTCGTCACGGCGATCTCCTCGCTCATCTTTGCGATAATGGAACCGGACAACGGCAGCGGAAGCGACGGAGGCGGTACAGGCGAAGGAGCGGCCAAAAGCAGCGATACTTTGGGTCTCATCTTTCGACTTGGTGGCTTTTGCGCTCTTATCGCGGGCATCTTGGCGGTTCGCCTTGTGCGACGGCACGGTCCCGAGCTACGAGGTCATTAAGCCCGAATCTCATCACGGTCCATCATCATCATCATCAGCATCACCATCAGGATTACACTCTCGGTACGTCTCGTCGCATGTGCTAGCCAGAGTGAAGTCGTCCATCGACTCCGATATGAGCTTGTCCCTCGCTGAGTGATGCCATCTCGCTGCATCCGAGCCAAGCTTGAGTCAAATGTGTGATCAAGGTACAAGTAGAGGCGAGAGTTTGTGAGTCGTGGTCGGCATAGAAATTTAAGGTTGAGCTGCTCTGTCTCAAGCTTGGTGGATGTCTTGGTGCATTTTTCGAAATGATTTTTTAAGTTTTAAAATTGAATTTTGGTTGAGTCAGGTCGAAAGCAGACAGACACGCACGCACGCGCCTCCCCAAGCTAAGACTTGGCTAGCTCTCGAGCCTTCTTGCTAAGTTAGCTGCGGTCCACGTCGACTCAGAACAACACTTTCGACATCCTCTTGACGCTTGCAGAGCGGCTCCCTTCTCGCCCCCACTTCCGTTCGCCGGTCCCTGCTATTCGGTTGCACCTCCAGCGGACAAGACAAGGTCCTTCCACCCATACACCTCCGCGTCACCCCACCAGCTAGCTCCCGCAATCTGCGACGGCAGCATTCGCTCCCTGCTCGTCATTCCTCTACCCTCGATCGCATCATTCAGCCATATCCGAGCTTCTCGGAGTCACACCACCTTCATCGCATCCTCAATACACTGCCATGCGGTTCTGAACTCGCATCGACATCTGACGACGTAGCCGGACCTCGGAACGCTTCGATCTCGTATCTGCATGCAGGAGACCTTCGACGAACCACGGTGTCGAGAGCTGTCGAACCAAAGCAGTTGACGGATCGCGATCAACACTTCGGTGATCTCAACCATGAACTCGTACACGACGATTTCAGCCAGTGCCGGCGAAGGCGTTGGCGACGGCAGCCGCAGCGGTTCCGTGAGCACTCATGCAAGCATGGAAGCATCGGGCTCCGCAGCCTCTCACAACGGGCCCACCTCGTCTGCAGTCAGCGGTGGGGCAGATCCCATGCAGATCTCAGAAGCTCGACGTCGTGGTCTTGGTCTGTTCAACGGCGAGCCACATTCATCGCCTGCATCGCAATCCTCTTCTCCCCTATACCACCAATCGCAAAGCAGCCGTCAGCTACAATACTCGCACCAAGCTCAGCACTACCAGCAGCAGCAGTCGTCATCCCATCAACCTCAGCATCCATTATACCATCGCTCTTTTCACCAACATCAACATGGCAGCAACTCCATAAGCAGCTCTGCCGGTTTCCGACCCGAGTCCACAGATAGCGCCCTCACGCCTGCCTTTTCGAGCAACAACATCCCACACAGCAGTCCAAATCTCTTCAACGACGACGTGGAACTTCCATCTGTGTCTGGTCATGCTTCAACAGGCGTCTCTGCCGACATCTCCAGCCAGATCTTGATCGCCAGCATCGTCCAAAGGCTGGTCAACAAGTTACCATGCAACTCGGGCTTGCGGCTTGGTGTCGTCGAGGGGGACGACTTGGTCCGCTCGTGCGTCATGCATCTCATCAACCTCAGCCGCTTCCAGCTCGGCGTTGTCGTCAAGGAATTGCTCGGAGCTATCGAGGTCCTCGTCAAGCAATCGTCTCAGCAGCGTCTCGAACAGCAGGCTAGCATCGGAATGCTCCACTCGCAGCTCTTCATTCTCAAGATCTTGGTCTCTTGTCTCAACCATCAGTGGCGCATCGCTTCGGGCACCATAAACAGTCCTCGACCCGGACTCGATCCGCTTCCGGAAACAGCCAGCACTCGCGGCACAAACGATCAGAATCATCCAAAGCAAGCAGCTTCCACGTCAGCCCTCGGATGGACCGATCCACCTGCCATGGACGATACGCAGGCCAAACATGTCCTCAGCGTCATGACCTTGCTCATCAAGCAGACCGTCGTCAGAGAGGATGCTAGCTTTTCGTCCATCCACGAAGTTGTCGAATCGCGCTCCTCCGCCAAAACCGACCCTGCTGCATCCAACGCGACGACTGGCCGTGCTGTCCCGTCCGAACGATCGTTTCGCGACCTCAGCCTTCGCGAGACCGCAGCGAGCTTGTCCGGCAACAAGAGCTTCGGTGGTCACTCGAGCTCGAAGTTGGCGCGCGACGACACCGAGGCTCGCGACGACGCTGGCGCTTCCGGTCTCGGCGACAAGTTTCCCGAAGTCTTCATGCCCAGCTCTCTGTGCCTCGCTGCGTCGACGAGTCTCTATATTCTCTATCCTTGCTTTCCCCCGACCCGCTCGCCATTCGACACGCCGCCAAGCATCGATCACGTCGATCTGGCCAGCGCCGCTGCTGCTGCCGCCGCCGTCACCAAGGCTCAGTCTTCATCGCCCACCGACAAACACGAGATGGTCGACGTCGGCCCCACCGCCAGGTTCAACGCCTCCTCTTGGTCTACCACTTCCTTCAGCGCTGACGCCAGCGGTTTCGACGTGCCCAATCATCTTCAGACCCGCATCTACCGTTACGCGAGTCAGATCGTCTTCTACCTCAGCTCGAGCAACTGGGTCGTCGTCAACGCCCGTCTCCGCAATCGGCTCTACTACCTTAGCTCCACCATCGAGGAGGCCCCGAGCACGGCAGAGCTGCGTTTGCTCGAATGCACCAACTTCAACCGCGCTCGCCTCGCCAGCGTGTTGCAGGAGGTCAGCGTCTCGTTCCCACAGCTCAAACGCAGCGCACAGTATGCTGTCGCCTTGACGCTTCGCCGTGCGATTTGGTCGTGGATCCAGTATCACCCCGAGGAATACGCCAGCCTGGCCTCGGCCAACCGTCGTTTCGAAGGAAGCCCGGACGTGGTCTTTGATCAGGTCTATAACCTCGCAGACACCACCAAGCGCAAGATCGCCTTTTGGCCCTTGCTGACGTCTCTGCTCGTCTTGTGTCCAGACCTTGTCGGCAAGGCCGCTGTCGGCGAGAACCGCAAAGCGAGCGGCAGTCTCGCAAAGAAGCTTTCGTTCATCGACGGCCTGCGCAAGCCTCCTCGCAACAATGCGCTCATCGACGTTGCCACGCTCTGCTGCGTCGACATCTTCAAGGCCGCAGCGTCCGTACCGTCTTCCGACAACGGTCTTCGCCTCATTTACCACGATCTCGTCGCCGAGGTCAAGGGGCGGCTCTTCGATCCCAAGAAACCCCTCGCCAGCGGTAACAAGCCGATCGAGCTCATGCTCACCACCGATCTGTTTGCTGCGTCCTTTCGCCTCGATCCACAACGCACGATTCGCGAACTTGTGCCGGTCTGCATGGCCGAATCGAGCCCCACCCACTTCAAGATCGCGGTTGTGAAAGCATGTGTGCTGCTCACCAGCGAACAGCATCGCATGCCATGGGCTCCCGAGGTCAGCCTGTTGTATCCGCATATCTCACGTCCCCTTCGAGCCCTGTTCAGGGAGATGACCTTCCGATTGCCGCGCTTCGACAACCGTGAGCTGGCTCGAAAGCGCGCAGCGGCACGCGTGACTTCGTCGGCCCACTTCCGCCATGTCTCGCTGTCCGGATCCGCGGCAGCCGCAGCCTCGAGCGTCGAGGAGCTTGGTCGCCTTGATCTGCTCCAATCCATCTTGCAGCTATGGACGCTAGATATTGCTTCGCTGGCCTACAACATCGACTATGAGCAATCAGAGGCTTTCTCGTCTCTGTCGGGCGGCAGTACAACGTTTGACCGGGAAACCATGCTGCGCAACGCCATGTCCGTCGATAGCATGCTCGGCTTCACAGCTTCGGTCTGTTCGCTCTTCTTTACACCGCCAGAATTCACGACATTCCGCAAAAGCTGTGCTGCTCTGCTCGGTCGGGTCTACCATTCCGGTCTGCTCGATTCCAGATACGCCGCATTCTGCGAGCACCAGCGTCACGTGGCGCTTTCCTGCTTGCCCTTCTTCTTTACCATCCTCACCGAGCAGCTCATGTCGACCGACGACCTCGACATGCAGCGGCACTTCCTGGACCTTCTCCGCCGCTCGCAGCAGAGGCGTGGCTTCTTCATCAGCCAGGACGATGACTGGAGCATCACCGTTCAATCGTCGTTTTATCCGCCGGAGCACGAGCGCAAGCTCGAGTATCTCTGGGTGCAGCTCGTCACATTGCTCATGATCTGTTCGAGCGACACCGAGGTCTGCTCCCTCGCCATGCAGTGTGCACGAGACCACGCACAACTCACCGTCGTCATCAGCGACTACTACGATCCACTTTCTGCCGAATGGATCCGGCTGTACACCGACCTGGCCGATCCTAGCTTCCTTCACACGGGCCGCGTTGCTCAGCAAAAGCGGATTCGAGCGCTGTTGCGCGACATTGAAGCTCCTTCCGCTGCCAGCTGGCTCGCTTGGAAGGAGGCATACTCGCGCTGGTCTGGCTTGACCCAGCTGGTCGCCCGTCCGATGGCGGAACACACGCTGGCCGCACAGGATAAAGCGGCACAATGGCAAAACTATGCAGGCTTTCTGTGTGCATTTGGAGGCGCCTGCTTCTCAGCTTCCGCCACCATCAGCTCCGAGATCGAACCTAGCATCGCCAAAATTCTGCCACGCTTCTCCAACCTCGACGAACAGCCTGCGGTGCTGGTCGAGCGATTCGTTCAAGAGATGGTGGATCTGCTCGTCTCAGACTCGCTGTGGATCCGAGAGAAGGCAAAGGAAACGCTGGGTGTCGATCTCGGTCCTCGCCTGATCAGCATCCTGTTCCGCCAGATCCATGCCGTGCTCAGCGACTTTTTCGACAAGCAGACAGGCTATCCGAAGATCAGCGACATGTACACCGTCTTCGTCGAGCAGAGCATCGGTGTTGCCACCATGGTGCTCAATCGCCTCGACGAGGCCAAAGCGGCTTCGTCCACGTCCAAGGTCGACATTGGCTCCTTGATGGTCCTCTTTGTCGAGTACGCCAACTCGCTTGGACGGGATGAGCAGGCTCTACGCATCAAGGCGGCCATGTGTCAGATGTGCGAAGCGCTGATGCGCAAGAAGGCCGCCTTCAGCTTCTCGAACGAGCTCCGTGTCCGCAATCGTCTGTTCCAGGCCCTGACTACGTGGACCTCCGATGGTGCGGAAGGTGGATCCTTTTCGAATGCGTCCGATGCCCTCGATCGCCTTCATCGCGATCTCGACGTCGCGTGCCTCAAGTGCATCTCAATCCTGCTCGATAAGCTGCCGTTGCTGCTCGCTGACGATGCGCTCCTTCTCGACGACAAGGTGGAAGGCGCCAAGACACGACATTTTGCCATGTACTTTGGGTACTTCATCAAGATTCTCAACCGCACGCGAAATCTGGAGACGGCGGCGGCCGTACGTGCACGAGCTCTGACGGATGCAAAGGCGATGGCGGGCACGAGGAACAACAAAAGCGACTCGGCGCGCGACTACACTCCCCTCCGAGAATCGGCCATCTTGGCGCTTTCGAACCTTCTGGCGTCCAACATCGACAGTGGACTGCACAATTCGCTACCTCTCGCCTATCACGAGGATGCACGTCTCCGCACTGCCTTCATGCAGATCATGACCAACGTCCTCAACCAGGGCACCGCCTTTGACGAGCTCGAACGCATGAGTGGGGCACGTAGGTCGGCCCGTCTCGTGGACTTGGTCTGTCAGGAGAACCTTCAGCTTGCGCTCGCCATCTGTCATGTATGCCCCGGCCGCGACGTGGAACCGATGAGCGTGCTCTTGCTGAGCATGTTTGACGCAAAAGGCGGCCTCATCCGCTTCCTTAAGGCGGCGGTCGAGGAAGAAATCCAGCGCACTGCGACGGAGGAGATGGTGTTCCGCAGCAACTCGTTCTGCACCACACTGCTCTCCACCTTTGCAAAGACGCACGGCTACGACTACCTTCGCTCCATCATGGCACCACTCATCACCGAGTTCGCCCGCAAGCCACTCGGCTTCTCGGTGGAAATGGATCCGACGCGCATTGAGCCAGGCGGAAGTGTCTTTGACAACCAGGCGGCTCTCGAGGAGATCGCTCAGGCCTTCATCGACGCCATCTGCTCTTCGGCGCATCGTGTGCCTGCAGTCCTGCGCGAGCTTTGCCGTCACATTCGTGACGTCCTTGATGCACGTTTCCCTGCTTCGCGCTACCAAGGCGTGGGAGGTCTCATGTTCTTGCGTTTCATCAGCCCCGCCGTCGTATCGCCGCACATGATCGACATCAACCTCACTGGGCCGAGCAAGGACCTGCGACGCGGCTTGGTTCTGATCAGTAAGATCCTCATCACGCTCGCCAGCAACAATCTATTTTCAGGCCACAAGGAGCCCTTCATGACCGGCCTCAACGACTTCCTCAAGAGCAACGTCTGGAAGGTGACTGCCTTCCTCGATCAGGTCTCGGATGCGCGCACAGATCCGGATCGTGTCTACGCTGCCGACCAACCACTTGGCTACGGTATTCATCCTGGCGTCTATGGAGTCAGCGAGCGGGACCAGAAGACGTTGCACAAGTTCCTCTTCGAGAACGTCGACAAGCTCGGCAGAAATTTGGCAGATCGCGCCTCCAATCCGACGACAGCAGAGGACCCGAGCACCTCTGTCTACTCCAGCGAGCTGCTTTATCGACGCAGCGACGAAGCCAAGCTCGTCTACGATGAGCTGTGTGATGCATTGGCCACCGCTGGCGAGCCCAAGGGTGATGACCTGCCTGAGCCCTCTTTCGGCGCCCGCAACTTCCAGGACTTTGTACGCAGGCATGCGGGAAGGAGCATCGACGAGGAGAGCTATCACTCTATCTTCTACGAGGGACCTTTCTCTCGCGCTGGTCGACCCGTCCTCTACTACACCCTGCACAAGCAGAAAGCGGACACCATCGACTTTGAGGGCCTCATCTTCTACGTCCTGCAGACGCTCGAGCCGTTCGCTTATCGCCAATTCGACATCGTCATCGACACCACGGCCTGCCAGCCTTCCAACGTGACACCCAGTCAATGGCTGCTCTACTTCAGCTCCTTGGTGCCAGCTTCGATTCTCGCCAACGCAGTCAACGTCTTTTTCGTCAATCCCAACACCATCGCACGCGCGGAGCTGCAGTTCTGGAGCACAGCCACGTACAACGACTCCACGCTCAAACATGAGGTCGCAGATCGCATGACCTCGCTGCAGAATGTCGTGCACTGCTCCGCCTTGTCGGAAATCGAGTTGTGGGTCGAAAGGCGCAATCTCGCCTTGGACCAGATGACCATGACGATCCTCGGCTCGCCTGCGGAGGTCAGCTTCGATCAGATCACCTTGGTCTGGTACTACCGTACCCTGACGCCGGTCACGTTCAACATCGGCGGCGAGTATCTGCAGATCACCGGCTTGAAACAGCAAGACTGGCTGCCAAACACTTCCGTTCAGCTCAACGACGTCTTCCATCTGTCCGACATCGACGATGTGCGCTCCATCTCGATCCGCGGTGACGACAATACGTTCTTCCTGTCGTGCCGCAACGGCTCGATGAACTTTGTCTTCACCAGTCGCGAGCGTTCCGAGGTGGTGCAGGCGTTGCGACAGGCAAAAGCACGTGCGTCCAAATTCCGAGCCGACAACCCGGTCGATCGTGTCCTGCGCCCGAACGACGTACCAGGCACGCTGCTCAACATGGCGATGCACAACATCACCAGCAACGACTCCGCCTTGAGGCTCAGCGCTTACAACCTGCTCTGCGCGCTGTCAACTTCGTTCAACTTCGGCGCCAGCAGCGCCAAGAAGCGGCTGCTCAGCTCCCGCGGCCTGGCTCTTCCGGCCAACACGATGGCGTTCGTCACGGACCTCAGCAAGGACTTTGCGGTGGCAGCACCGGGTGTCACTCTCGAGTTCTTGCTGTCCTTCTTCGATGGCTTCGAGCGCGCATCGCCCAGCCAAAAGACGGTCTGCCTGCACTATCTGTCTCCCTGGCTGTCGAACCTCGTCATGTTCGTGCACACCTCGCGTGAGGAGCAGGGCGAGCACCACCGGCGCATCAAGGAGATCCTTGGACATCTCATCAGCATCACCACCAAGCAGCCAGATATGTACGCGATCATGCAGCGGTGCGTGTGGTCGCAGCTGAGCCGGCTGGACGACCTCATCCCGACCTTCTTGGACGTGTTCGCCGAAGCCGCCATGGACTCGGGCTTGCACACCGAGCGCTTCGAGGCCGTGCTCGACACGATGGTCTCGTTCTCCTCGATCAACATGCGGGGCAAGCTGCTCTCCCGTTTGCGCAAGGTCGTGGCCAAGACGGCGCAGAATCCGGTCGTTTCGCAGCTGCATCTCAACGCCTCGTGGAAGGAGATTGCGACGCTGGTGCGGATGAATATGGTGCTGTCGTTCACCAACCGAGTCGAGGCGCTCCTATACCTGCCCGAGCTGCTGCACGTCATCTTGCTGCTCGCCGGCAATGGTGTTGACGCGACACGCTATTCCATCTACGGCAGCGCCATCAATCTCGTACATTCGCTCTGCACCGAGGATCCGCGCGAGGCTCGGAAGCCGGAGGAGGCGACACCACGCAGTGCCGAGGCGGTGGCCAAGCTGCGCGTGTTGCTCGACCAGCTTTCCAAGCCCGAATCGCTCAAGCTGTTCGGTCTTCCTGTAGCGTCGCAGAGCAGCGCTGTCAACGCAGCCTTTGGAGCATCGCAAGAGATCGTGCGTGATGCGCCAGACAACGCATCGATCGAACGCCTGGCGACGCTGATGTACGAGGTGGCCGATGCTGCCGCGCCCAATACGGACGCTGCCAACAGCTGGCGAGCCCGCCTGGCAAGCTTGGTCACAAGCACCGCTTTCCAGTACAATCCGATCATCCAGTCGCGCGCCTTCGTGCTGCTCGGATGTCTGGCGCAGGGCGAGATCGACGACGATCTGCTGTACCAGATCCTGGTGTCGTTGCGCGGCTCGTTCTCCGAGTGGGCGAGCAGCAACGCCGACATGACCTTGATCAGCATCGTGACGTGTCTAGGCAAGGTGGTGAAGATCCTGCCCTCGCGATCGCGCTACCTGCCGCAGATGTTCTGGCTCGGCATTGCGATGGTGCAGTGCGGCCACATTCCTTTGTTCAAGGCGGGCGTGGAGCTGATGCATTCGACGGTGGAGAGCATCTGGGAGCGCGGCATCCCGCTCGGCGAAGGAGACGACCTCATCAACCACCTTCTGGATGCCCGCTTCGAATTCCGCGATCTGGCCTGCAAGCTGGACGACGAGACGGGCGTCGACTTTGACATCAACTTTTCGTTTGGCATGGCAGCGCTGCTGGTGAAAGGGCTGCGACATCCGTCCACCAAGGAGGCGACGACCAAGCTGATGCAGTCCATGCTGCATCACTGCGGTGTGGATGGACACGGCGAGCTGCGATCCAGGAGCGGTCGCATCTCGGAGCGACAGCTTGGCTTCTTTGTGGGTCTGCTCCCCACCGCAACGCGTCCCGAAGAGTTTGGTCAGCTGCTGGCGCTGGCCGGTGTCGACGCGAGCATCTGCGAGGCAGCGGTCGAATCGCGTCGCTCCGGCTACAAGGGATTGCAAGAGTACCTGGACGTGCTGAACAACCGCATCGCCTTGCTCCTGGTCACACTCGTCACCTCACTGCTGCAGCACGCCGAGTCGGACGGGGAGCGGCTGATGCTGTACGGCTTCCTGAACGAGGCGGCGCGCGAGGTGCCTGCGATCGTCAGCATCCTGTACGACAGCCTGGCGCCAAGCATGAAGGACATCTTTGTCAACTGCTCCAACGGCGCCATCCTCGATGCGGTGCACGGCATCGCCCAGACGGCGGTCAGCCAGCCCTTCTTCGCCGCCCAGGCAAGGGAGACTGCCAAACGCGGAGGCCCCACCGCCTACCTCGTCGAATCTGGTTACGCCAGCTTGCTAGGCTGCGGCACCTTTGTGCCTCTGATGGAAGGAAGGAGGCATGTACTCTGCAAACTCAGCATTCAGTTGGTGCTCGGTCTGACAGATGTCGGCACCACGTAGAGACTTTTTTCCCCCAGTCGTCACCTTCATTTATACTGGTTCCTGCGGTTATTGCTAATATTAATGTCTTGTTATGGTTCAACACTGTTCAGTTGATCGCAAGTGTGGGCTCTCGCATCGTGTCAGAGAGACGCGCGTATCGTCGCCGCTGCGTCGTGAGGGGAACGGTCTGAATGGGGCTGAATAGCGCCGGCCTGACAGCAACACGTGCGGGCCTTGCCTTGCAGCAGACCTTCGACACGTCGCAGGCGAGCTGCGCGAACAAAAAGAGGGTCCAACGGGCAGAAGAAGCTTTGAAGCGGGGGAGGCGATCTGTAATCGAGCATTTGAATTTAGGCACTTTCAAAGACTTTCTATTTCCCGCATTCAAAAGTTTCTGAGCGTTTGGCCAGCTTGGACCGTTCTTCCAAAATTTCACCTTTTTTTCTCTCCTTCAGCATGCGGCTGCAGTGGCTAAGGCCAACTTCTCAGTGAGAAGAACCGTGAGCGCTTGTCGCGATTCCGAGCTCAGCCAACGTTGCTTCCTCTTCTCCATCACCCTACATCGGTATCATCCCCTACAAAACAATTCGCAAACATGAAGGTAAGCTGTCAACCGCATATGGAGCGTACATCACTGGCCGGGAATAGCAACCGTCCACCCGGAGCCTCTACGGACAAGTCTCTACGAGGACTACGCCTCGTCGTCAAAGCCATGTACTCGCCGTGAGGAATCTCGCGGCACGGCGTGCATCGGTCATTAGCGGAGTCAAGACGATCTGCGTTACCATGATGGATCGCTCAAGGCAACCTGCGAGGAATGGGCCATCTTTTTTCAACGGTCTCGCGCTGACTGCTGCACCAACAGCAGCCTCCGAGCGACGCTTGGGCAGCACATTCTTGTTGCGGCGCGGAGGCGCGGAGGCGACAACGCAGGCGACACCGATCCGTACAGCTGCTTTGGGCCTTTTGCTGCCGCTGCAATCCTCGGAGAAGAGCTGATTCGAGCACTGCTGGGCTCGCCACTCGTCGCTTGCCCGGATTTGTAGCATCCCGAAAGTGGTCATAGTTCATTTCGCGACATTAAGTTTCACACCGCAGGCTATCGACAAGCAGCTTCCGGTCCACTTCCGCGTCGAGCCCGACCTGTTGCACGACCGACACTCGATGGAGTCGTCGCTCCGTCGCCATTCCCCAGCTAGCGCTGGGCGCTCCAGCTCAATTTTGCATAGCTCTTCTTGTACTGACGCAACGGACCCTTTTGTCCCCTTTCTACCCCGCACAGCTCTTCACTGACGTTGTCTCTAACGACGAGATGTGCTCGGACGGCTACGAGATGAAGCTGGTCGACGACATTGTCTGGGAGGTGGACGCTGCCAACATTGTCGTTTCGGACGGTGATGTCGACATTGGAGGCAACCCTTCGGCCGAAGAGCAGGCCGAGGCGCTCGAGAACGGTGCTCAGCAGGTGATCAACATTGTGCACTCGTTCCGTCTCCAGTCGACCTCGTTCGACAAGAAGTCGTACCTCGGCTACCTCAAGGGTTACATGAAGACGGTCAAGGCCAAGCTGCAGGAGTCGAACCCGGACCGCGTGCCCGCTTTCGAGAAGGGCGCCGCCGCCTTTGCCAAGAAGGTCGTCGGCTCCTTCGGCGACTGGGAGTTCTACACCGGCGAATCGATGGACCCCGAGGGAATGGTCGCCCTGTTGAACTACCGCGAGGACGGTACCACTCCTTACCTCGTCTTCTGGAAGGACGGCCTGCGCGAGACCAAGATCTAAGTTCGCCACATCGGCGATGCCAGCGTGCACACCCAAAACCACACCCCATCCTTTCTTTTGTCTCGTATGCGAAAACTTGATCGGATCTGTGCTACATGTCGACAGTGCGAGAGACCGAGCGGGTCGATTGGCGTGTTCGAAGATGTCTGAAGCGGACGCCATCTTGGATGAGGAGACTTTATCAAGTGTGTCGGGCTGTTGGAATGAAGTGTCGAACAAACATCTGGAGTCGTCGGTGTCGGGAAGGGCAAGTGAGGTCTGCCATGCATGCTATGGTTCACTCACCCGTGATTCTGGCCCTCCTCCAAGCTCGTTAGCACCAACCACGAGGCCGAACCTGGTCAGGTCTATCCGACATTGTCTGCGCGGCAGAGAAGGGTCTGTCGGCCTCTGAGCGGCTCAGATGTGCAAGACCGAGGCTCACATGTTTCGGGTAGAATTTTCTGAGAGAGGCAAAAAAAGGGGCTTCAGAATGCACCTCCAAAAAGAAAAGACGACCCCTGGCGGGCTCGAACCGCCGACCTCAGCATTAACAGTGCTACGCTCTAACCAACTGAGCTAAGGAGCCAGGATGTATAGCAGCGGAGCGCCGGAAAGCGTTCATAAACTTCTCAATGGTTTGGCAGAGCAGTTTGCAGCACAGACCAGGTCGGCCAAGAGTCAGCTGCGTGTCCGTGTTCGACCTCGGCGGGGTGTTGGACGTGGAAGGTTCGAAATCGCTTGTTCACATCCTTCCCTTCACTCAATCACATCCTGTCATCGCGTCACATACTCCTAAACAGGCAAGACCCAACATACAATGGCAGGATTCCTTAGAGGCGGCGGATCCGGCGGTGCCGGCTATGGCAGGGTCAGCGGTGGCGCTGGAGGCAATAATCCTTACGGCGACGGTGCCAGCAATCCGTACACATCTGCCCCCGCGTCATCCGGTCGACAAGCCGCTGCTGGCTACAGTGGTGGTGGCGCAGGCTTCAGAGGCGCAGGCTTCGGTGGTGGCGCCGGTGCAGGAGGAGCGGGCTTTGGTGGTGGTGCTCCTGCCACTCCACCTCGGCCCAGCGGCGGCTCGGGCTATCGAGGCGGCGGTGCTGGCTTCTCTGGGGGTGCAGGCGGTGCTGGCGGCGCTGGGTACAGCTCAGAGAAGGCGCCGTCGCAGCGTGCAGCCGGCGGTGGCTATCTCATCGTCAAATGCCCAGACCAGCTGACCCACTCCAATTGCCTCGTCATCAACCCTCAGGAGTGGGGGTCCACCCAGTATGTGTTGGTCGATGGCATGTACGTCTTCACTGCTCGTTCCGACTCAACAGGGACGATCCAGCCAGGAACACTCGGCACTGCGATGCTGCAGCGAAGATGGGCTGGCCTGTCCATCCAGGGTCAGACGGTGCAAGCGGAGAGCTACGACCCCTTCGCTTTCGGCAACAGCGTCTACCTCGGCAGCATCGACATCGAGGTGGCTTACCTTAGTAAAGGCGAAGTCGCACCGCAAGCCTACGACACCGGTGACATGGCCAAGAAGTTCACAAAGGCGTTCGAGAACCATATCTTCACGGTCGGACAAGTGTATGTCTTCGAAGTACAGGGCATGAACCTGGTAGCAACGATCAAGGGCGTAGAGGTCGTCGAGCTGCACGAGATCCAGCAGCGAGGGCAGGCTGGTGCCCATGGAGCATCCCAGCCAAGCCGATCTGATCGTGGTCTCCTGATCGCTCAGACAGAGATCAACTTCTCCGCCGCACAGAATGGCGGTGTCAAGCTCAAGGCATCCGGCAACCGTCCTCCTCCCAACGCGATCCTGCAGCCCAACTTCAAGTTCGAAGATATGGGCGTTGGTGGTCTCGACAAGGAATTCGCCAACATCTTTCGACGAGCTTTCGCATCCCGTATCTTCCCACCAGCGCTCGTCGAGAAGCTCGGCATTCAGCACGTCAAGGGTATGGTGCTCTACGGTCCTCCCGGTACAGGTAAGACGCTGCTGGCACGACAGATCGGAAAGATGCTCAACGCTCGCGAGCCCAAGATCGTCAACGGTCCCGAGGTGTTCAACAAGTACGTCGGTGGAAGTGAGGAGAACGTGCGCAAGCTGTTTGCCGACGCTGAAGCAGAGCAAAAAGCCAAGGGAGACGAGTCGCAGCTGCACATCATCATTCTGGATGAGCTCGACGCCATGGTGAGGCAGCGTGGCTCCGGTGGTGCCGGCGCGACATCGGCTGGTGACAACGTCGTCAATACGCTCTTGGCCAAGCTCGACGGTGTTGAACAGCTCAACAACATCCTCGTCATTGGTATGACCAACCGACTCGACATGATTGACGAAGCGCTCCTGCGTCCTGGCCGTCTCGAGGTGCACGTCGAAGTGAGTTTGCCGGACGAATTCGGTCGTCGCCAAATCCTCAACATCCACACGAGCAAGATGCGCACCAACGGCGTCATGGACACCGATGTCAACATCGACGAGCTGGCGGGGCTCACCAAGAACTTCTCCGGTGCCGAGATTGCGGGTCTGATCAAATCGGCGACGTCGTTCGCCTTCAACCGCCACGTCAAAGTGGGCACCATGGCGGGCATCTCCAACGACGTAGAGAACATGAAGGTGCAGCACCAGGACTTCCTCAACGCTCTCGAAGAAGTCAAGCCAGCCTTTGGTGTTGCCGAAGAAGAGCTCTCGCAAGTCGTCCAGAACGGCATCATGCACTTTGCGCCGCACATCGATGTCATCCTACGCGATGGACATCTTCGCGTCGAGCAGGTGCGGACGTCGCAACGTACACCTCTCGTCACCGTCTTGCTGCATGGCCCGCCTGGTTCGGGCAAGACGGCGCTCGCTGCCACCATCGCCATCGCATCCGACTATCCGTTCATCAAGCTCATCTCGCCCGAAAGCATGATCGGCATGGGCGACGCTCAAAAGATCAACTACCTCAACAAGGTTTTCAACGACGCGTACAAGTCGCCCCTCTCGATCATTGTCATTGACAACATTGAAAAGATTGTCGAGTGGGTACGCATTGGGCCTCGGTTTTCGAATTCGGTGCTCCAAGCGTTGGCCGTGCTGCTGGGCAAGCGACCGCCAAAGGACAAAAGGCTGTTGGTGTTGGCAACCACAAGCAACCGCCGCATGCTGCACGAGATGGAGATGCTCAATGCCTTCATCGCCGAGATTCGGGTGCCCAACATCACGAGTTTGCGCAGCGTCGACCACGTCGTCAGGCAGATGCAGCTGTTTGATGATGAAGGGGACAAGCAAAGGTGTCTGCAGCTGTTGGCCCAGGCGGGATTGGGTGAAGAGGGAAAGTTGAATATTGGCGTCAAGAAGCTGCTCAGCGAGATCGAGATGGCTAGGTTGGATAACGATCCCGCAGATAGATTGGCCAGTAGTCTGTCGAGCGTGCAGAGCGGCGCGATTGATGTGGATATTGATGTGGATCTCAACTAGGTTTGCTGGGCTCAGACATCCGGGGTTGCACCTGGAACCCCTCAAGGTAACTGTCGACTCTTCTGCGACAATCTCGACACTCGCTGCCACAGTACCACTCTTTTACAATGCTTCACATGCACCCAACTTGACGACATTGAACAGTCTTACTTTTCAGAACAAGGACGATGAGGCAAGGCTAGCGAGGATGTGGGTCTGTGAGGATCTGTCTCGGCCTCGACAAGAGCCAGGCGTGTACTCTTGAGGACGAGCGAGGTGTCGGATCCCGCACGCTGGCGTTTGAGAGGTCTCGGAGGGGCGGGCATGGATGATTGAGGCTGGTCGACGGGGGGCCGGGGGTGTGTGTGCTGTGATTCTACGACTGGTGCTTGCGGATCATGATGATTGTGCAGGCGGTTGGGTTGTTCGGCTGTGGGAGGAGGACGCTTCTGCTGATCGGGAGGGTGTGGACCCTCCTGAGGTGCGTTTCTGCGATCCGCGACCCGCAGTCGGTGTCGAGCATCAACGCTGAGCCGAGGCGCCTCGATCGGCTGTGGACCCTGACCAACAGTGCGTGGCGTGGCGTCGCCACTGCCTCTGACCTGATATCCGACGGACGAATCGGCCCTATACGTGCTCTTCGAAGGTGTCTGCTGCTCGAAAGGGCGATGTACAGGTCCACGAGCACTGGTTAGCGGTGGCAACGGTGGATAGTCCGAGCGTCTATTGCGGTCTGCCCAGGAGTAGGTGTTGGGTTCTGCAACGATTCTGATTTGGTCGTCTTGTCTACCTTTACCTCGATCATGTGATCGCATATCACGAAGCATTGGCGAAGGCGTCGGAGTCTGGTTGTGGCTAGACTGGATCCGTTCTTGAGGGTACGATGCCCTAACACTGTGCTCTTGAGGCCGCGGAGTCTGAGGCGTCTTGACCGACTCCGTCGATCGAAGAGCGCGAAGACGCTCCTCCTCCATCTGTCTTTGCTGCATCTCGAAGTGGTACGCCAGCTCATGTCGTCCGTTGGTGCGGCTGTGTGCCGAGGGTGGCGCGACGGTGTCGGATCGGTGAGACTGGGGAGGATGCAGAGGAGGACGGTGCTGTCTCTCTGAGCTTCTGAGTATTCCCAAGTCGCGGTCTCTGTCGACCTTGACTTTGTTGATCGTCGCTGATGCGTGTCTGCCGTTCGGAGCCGAAGGGTATCGAGGATGGTCGCCGTAGCCGGGAGACATAGCTCGATCAGTATGATGATATCGAAGCACTGGTGCGTCGTCGACCGCAGCGATCCGTTGCGGCGGTCGCTCGCTCAGGCGAGGAGCTCCGTTGCCATTAAAAATGTGTGGTCTGGACGCCTGTGAGGAGTCGCGAGCACCTGCTTGAGCCGACTGGTTTCGATAGCTGTCCTCGGGACGTGAGCGGTGAGGCGATATCAGAGTCGCTCTGGCGGAGTGACTCGGATGTAAGCCGATGCCTGCTCTGCCTGGACGATGCTGTGGCTCTTTTGGCCTGTCACCAGCTTGTGGCGGAGGCATGGCTCTTTGCTCTGAACGAGGACTTGCAAGGGGTCGTGCAGTGTTGCTGAACGATGATGGACGGTGCGTCTCCATGGGTAGTCGAGCGCCTGAGTATTCGAACGGTCTTTCACCATTTGGATGTTGGCTCGGCTGACGTAGTGCTGCTGCCTTATCATGTGGAGCAACGAATGTTGATGCTTGGCTAGCGTGGGCATGCTGTGCAGACTTGACCTCGGGCCTCCTCTCCTGCGAATAGATGTAGGCGTCGTGATGGACTTTCGAAGAGCCACGGACGTCGTAGTGTCTACCAGGCGGCGGTCGTGCCTGAGCTGGAGGCTGTGCACTCTGGCGTAGACGCAGATCCCCACGATCATCCTGACGGCTTTGACTCGTGTCGTACCGGGCATCACGCGAATGATCCGTCGCTCGAAATGAATGACGTCCTGAAGCAGAGTGACTTGGTAAGTACGGCTCGGGCTCGTAGGATCGCTGCACGTGTCGAGGCGGTCTCGACGCTTCCATTGCGCTCATTGGTGGCCCAATCGAGTGTGCACCCTCAAGAACGTGATACTCTCTTGATGACTGGACCATCTGACGTGAAGCGGGGATTGCCTCACGCGGCGGATCCTCTCGTTTCGAGGCGGAGGCGGAATTCGTCTCCGGCTTATACGCTCGATGAGCCGGATGGGCCTGACCATTGCCGTGATTTCCGCCTTCTGCGTGTAAGAGGTGTTGTTGTTGATGATCATCTCCGGGCTGCAAGAAGCGTGAAGAGGAACGGTCGTTGTTGCCCTGACCTGTGCTGCGTCGGTCTTGATCAGGACGGAGGCTCTCTCCACGTCTTTGCGCCCACTCATGGTGACCATGCTCGTAGTCTTTGCGCAAATGAGGGTCAGCTACCTCTCGATAGGAAGCCTGAGAGGCGGCTCGCTTGATGCTAACAATCTCGAAGGTTTCTTCTGGATGTCGTTGAGATGGTGTCTCGGCGATACGATCTTCTCGTCGATCCCTCGAACTCGTCGAACGCTCCATAGGTCGTGTGGGAGCATGGTCCGGTTGAAAGGACACCAAGTCTCTGAAGGAGGGTAGATGAGTGCCGTTGCTGGTCAGCTCCCTGTCCCTCCCATTTGAGCCACGACGAGTCGACATGGCGGCGGAGAGAATCTGTCTTGACGGTGAAGCTTCTTGCTGATCGCAATGGCTTCAAACGTGTGTGATGGGCACAAATCTTGCGAGGGGGTAGACAAGGTGAGAGAATGAGTCCTGCCGACAGGGATCGCGTTGCCTCGGCAGCCAGCTCGCCTCCTTACTCAGCCTTTTCGGAGTCGACCTTGGAGCAGCCACTGGAGAAGCCTGTACGGGGGCGTCCGATCTCCGCAGCCTCAAGTGTGCAATTAAGCAAGCTTGAGAGGACGGGATCCGAAGGATGGGTTGCAAAGGTAATCTTGTCGTCGGACAAGCTCTGTGGGTTTATCTTTCTGGTTGTGTGCGAGGAGAAGCGAGTCTCGACGCGGTCGCTCCGGCGGTCGCAATGTTGCCATGGTATTGTTTCACCCGCTGCCGAATGAGCCGTATGAAGAGCCGCTTCATGTTGGTGGGAGTGATAGAGGTGGAACTAAGGCAGCGTGGGCGGATGAGGTCCCAAGGAGAGGTGGGTAGCCCGAGGAACATGACATTTGGCGCTCACTTATCCATTGCCTTAGCCCGCTCAGAGATGAGGCGGGTGGGAAACAATGACTCAGATCGACACGGTGTTGTTCGGATCTGCCGGGCATGACCGAGCATCACGACGCCAAAGTGTGATCAAAGCAAGAAACTTGGGCGTATTGAGGCTCGAATGGCCTAGTCGGGGTGGGGTACCGATGTCATTTGGCGTGACCAGGCTTGGCAAGGGTGCTCAAGCTCAGTCACACGACAACGGTAAATTAGAGAAAGAAATTGTCGTCAATCGTCGTCAATCGGCACAAACTTTACTGTGCTTGCGCCTGATTGTGTTGTCAGTTTCACTTTCCGTGATGAAGCTCCGGCCCTCGATGAAAGCGGCTTCGCTCGGTATGAGCTCCGTCGCCACCCACATCGGCCATCTAGCTTGACAACGATCCCACGCTCACATCCAAGACAAGGTTAAATCGATATCCGTGTGCGGTAGCGTTGTGACGAGATGGTCGTGCTCTCAGTCGTTAGGCAACGAGCGGCTTGGCGGATTGCACCAACGCTGAAGAGTGTCGAAGTTGCTCTGATACAATTACGCTCAAGAATGAGAATACCGTCGGTGGTAAGCGACCGGAACAAGGTGCCTCCCTCCTTCATGACCGCGCTTCATGTGGGGATGAACGACAAGACAACAAAGGCAGGAACGAAGAGCACGTGGCTGTAGCCGACATCGACAAGTGAAATGGCCCACATGGGTGCTGGCCTGAACCGACGGTCGCGTCACACTTCATTGCGAGCGGCTGCAATCCATGATTGGACGCCACCCACCTTGAGCGCGAAGTCCCGCCGGCCTCGCTCACGAGCGTGCTGGTCCCCCACCATCAACAATGCAGGCACCGAGATGGAAGTCAAGCGTATAATTTCGGACTTGCCTACTGAATTTGTGCTCAAAGCCGATGGCGTGAAATAGACTCTGCTCGAGGATCAACGGCCACGCTTGTCGAGGTTCGGCTTCTGTTCCTGCATCGTGTGTACTGTATTGCCACCACAGCTCGGCAACATTACATCATGAGCGGCTGTGTCAAAGTTGAGACTTGATAGGAGAACTTTGCGGGTCTTCGACGCTCGATATAGTTGTCGGTTTTGGCTGGGTCGGAGTTGTTGCCGGCGAGTTGAAGAGGATAACGTTGACAGTGATGTCATCCCTGTATCTTCGACTCTCGGGGGCCGGGATGGCAAGCAAGCCTGCGACTCGCTGCTGATTGGCACCGCCGAGTGCATTGCGAATGAGATGTGTCGAGAGGTTGTCGTCCTGGAATTGGAACGTCCGCAACGTCTCTGGTCCTTTCGAGAGTGGGTGTTGCTTGGACACGGCAAGCTCACGTTGTTCGTCCGAAGTCGCGGTCTTGACGGACGTCGACACCGTCTGAGCTTCTGAGCTGGCGGCTGGCAATGAGTGCAGCTTGTCGACAGGCTGGAAGGTGTTCCTATGCAACTCTGACGAGCGAATGGTACCCTTGATGCCAGCGAGGTGCCCAGCAACGAGGCTGACGGCCTCTTCGTTGCTCATCATGTCCCACAGCCCATCGGTGGCCATGATGATGAAGCGAAGCTCCTTGTTGGGGTGCGAGCTCGTCTCGCCCACTCGACGCCATTCAACCGCCGGCGTCGCAGTGACATAGGGAGGAGTCTCGAGACCACGCGGTGGACCACGCGTCGAAGCCCGGCCGCCCGGTAGGAAGGCATCGTAGAGGCGTCCCTGCAATTCGCGGTCCCACTTATATCTGGCGTCTCCAAATGCGCGGGTGGGTTCGAGACCTCCGAGCACGCGACCTCGCTGAATGACATTCTCGGATTCGGATGGAGGATGCTCTGCACGCATGCGTTTCACCTCGTCTAGGTTGCGACCGGTCTGGTCTACGGAAAGCGCCTCGAGTTCCCACTTACCGGAAGCCTCGTCCCAGTAGCCGGCAACGGCACGCGAATCACCAGTGCACGCGACGTACACGTCCTGTCGTGCAGAGTCGATGTAGGTCAGCAGAGCGCAGCTGCCGGACATGGCGGGAAGGATGCTCTCGTACGCGCTCTTTTGTGTTGTGGTGAAGGTGGCGTTGGTCGAGCTGGGGAAGATGGTGTGCGCGAGGGAGCTCAGGCTTCGAGCATTGCCTGCCCCACCTTCGGGTGAGACGGAGTTGGAAGAGGTGGAAGCGAGACTCAGCTCGTACTCCTTGAGCAGCTCTACTGGGGTGTTGACAATCTCCTTGTCGAGGCCGCGGAAGGCTTTTGCGATGGCTCGCTTGACCACTTCGGGATCGCCGTCTAGACCGCTTGTGGATCCAGCGGGACCACCGCCGACAATAGCACGCCAGAGCTTGTTAGGCATAGCCGACTTGGCTTTTGCAATCTCGGCATAATCGCCAGCTTCTCGGAAGACCTTGTCGAGCTCCAATGCAACAAAAGCGATCAGCTTCTGACTGAGCAAGGTACTGGTGTGGAAGCCAGCGTGACCGTCCATGACGGCAAAGAAGCATAGATCGCCGTTTGCACTGCCGGCAGCGGTGTTCGGGGTCGGTGATGCAGGCGGAGGGGAAGGCGAGGCGGCGACAGCGTGGTCGCGCTCGACGATCACCTCGGCTCGCTTGTCCTCGATTGGGTCGTTACTTGCGACCGAGTTGGTGTCATAGCGGGCGACGAGGCAAGCACCTTGAGGTCGATCGACGCGGGTGCTGCGCTGGTTCTCGGTGAGGCGCCGATCGACCTCGGCGTTGGTGAGTGTGTTGATCACCTTGTTGGTCGGACCGCCGGCCTGAGCCTGACGAATGGGAATGGAGAACGAGGTTCTGCTTTCGGCAGTCAAAGAGAAGGGTGCCGAGTTGGCAGCGAGAGCAGCTGCGGCGGCCTTGTTGGCTTGGTGTCGTGGTCGGATGTTGGACCAATAGTACCACGATCCTACTGCTGCGGCCGAGCCTGCGACTCCGACTAGAAGCCACTCTTTGCGAGACTGCTTGCGTGAAGCTGCGGCAGAACCCGACGGCGGAGGAGGTGGGGGTTTCCACTGTGAAGAGCCGGGGCCAGAGCTACTCGCAGACGGCGCAGATGCGGGAGAGCCAGAGGGTGGCGGCCGAGACGAAGTAGGTGAGCGCAGAGGCGTCGAAGCTGTCGATAAGCAGTGCTGTGATGCAGCAGCCGATGGTGTATGACTCTGACGATGAGTGAGCGCAGAGGATGCCGAGGCGGAAGTGCCGACAGCGGACGAGTGCTGCCAGCGAGAGACGCCCGAGGCGCTTCTCTGTAGCCAACGATGAGCGCCAACCATAGGCTAAGCTATCGACGAGCACCGAAGTAGCAAGGACGCAACAGCCTCCGTAAGCGTGAGAATGTGTTCGGAAGAGATCCGGTGGCTTGAAGAGGAAGGAGAGATGAAGTCACAGAGGTCTGGGCGTCCCTTTCTTGACAGTCTTCCCACCAAGCCTTCTCGAGCGAAATTTCCACAGATTCCTCAGCGAGCCAAATTTGGCAGCGCAAGTGGCCCGTCCGCGCCATGTTATAGCTCTAACACCTTGACAATTTCTGGGGGGTGGAGGTTGCAGAGTCTCAAACGCAGGGTCCAGAAGCGCCTTCCACTTCCTCCCTCTCAACGAGCATTATGGCCCCCATCGTCAACGTCCACGCAGAGACTCTGCCCAGCGTCTCCCTTCGCCTCAGTCCAGGGACTGCACTCGGTGATCTCAAGCTTCGCTTGGTGCGCAAGCTCGAACTCAACATTCCCTTCGCCCAGCTCAGAATCCGGTATCGTTGGACCGACACCGACTACGCACTCAAAGACGGGGAGGACTGGAGCATCTTCCAGGAGCGAGCAAAGGGACTGCAGGAGGTGAATCTATACGTCGAGCTTCCTGCTAGATCCGAGCAAGGTGGTGGAGTCACGAGCAGCAGTACCAGCAATATCAGCGGCGTTGGTGTGGCTCGCGCTGCATCTCCCACCACAGCCTTGTCCGCTCGTCCCTTGAAATCGACCAAGACCTCAGCTGGCATCGAGCCTACAAGCAGGATGTCTGCAATCAGGCCAAGAGAAGTGGCCGTAGCCATTCCTGTCGATGTTTTGCCCTGGCCAGATTCGCGTCGCACACCACCACCGCGCTACGGGGTCGACGCGAGCCTCCTGCGTGTCTATCTGGTCAGCTCTCGCAAGCATGATGGCAAGTGGGTGCTACCCAAGGGCGGAATCGAAGACGGAGAGAATGCACGTCAAGCAGCGCTACGCGAGATGTGGGAGGAAGCAGGCATCATCGGCGAGCCTGACGTTCTGGCAACTCCATCGCTTTCGGACAGAGGTTGCAGGTTGCTCCACATCAAGGTGGACGATCACAAGCCTCACAAGGACAGTCCGGGTAAGCATGCGGACGAGGAAGGGTTCGTTCCCAGAGCACGTTACATCGCCATGGAGCTCCTCATCTCGCATACGACTGACGTCAAGGATGACTGGCCAGAGAAGCACGAGCGTCAAAGAAAAGTGTTCACCCTCGAGGAGGCCGAAAAGCAGCTAGCGTGGAGACAAGATCTACACACCATCTTCAAGATCTGGAAGGACAACCTTCCGGAGGCGACAAACGGGTCATGAATGGATCCAGGTGCAATGGAAGATGTCTTCTGAGACTCCCCCGTCTGCGTCGCCTTAGAATGAGTTCTGAGCATGCATCTCCCTATTTGCCCGGATGTACCTCTCCATAGGACCATCACCCGACATCTCCCGCTGCCTCTTCTGCCACACGCCCAAGCAGCCCTCTTCCACATTGCCGTTATCGAATTGCCTGAGATAGTTTTCCAGCTGGACCCGCTGTTGGAGCATCATGATGCCAAACATGGACGCGTATTCGTGACGGCCGAGGCTGCCGTAGTCGCCGTTGTGATTGTCTCGGGTCGAGTTGTAGCTGCGCAGGCTGTCGAAGTTAAACCCTTCCGGGGAGGGGTCGTCGACAGGGGTGGGAAGATCAGTGCTGTCGTCGTCGAGCGGGACAGAAAGTTCGCTGCTGTCGTCGTAGTGGTACCATTCGTCGTCGGTCATGATCGACTCGGCGGATGGGGTGGGGGCCTGGTCGAGCGGCGTGAAGTGCACCCACGTATCCTGTCTCGTTGCAGCTGGCTGGCTGAATTCGGTCGGAGCTCGAAGAATGGGCGTGGGCGTGCGCATCGCCTCCGGAATGGGATGACGCTTGAGCGACCGCTGGCGACGACACTTGGCAAACGTCTGATTGAGGTTGAACTTTCCCAGCTTGGCCTTGTCACCCTTACCAAGCTCGGCCTTGAGCTGCTTCTTGGCGGGGTCGTTGCGAGGGCTCGAGGCCTTGTACGACTGCCCAGGCGTCAGGAATCTCTTGAGTACCCCGAAGTACGCAGAAGCATACATATCGGACATGTAGCGGACCTTGCGCCACCTGTCGGACATCGACGGTTTATGAACCCACCAGGGCGGAATCGTGTGTGGGTAGAGTTCCTCATCGGAACCGGAGGAGGCCTGTGGGCGAACGTGTTCTTCCGACATCTTATTGAAAGTTACGGTTGCAGGCGAGAGTGAGGGAAGGAGGAGAAGCGTGGTGGTCCGCATACAGCCGCCTTAAGTAGACGAGGAGCTCTCACGGACGCGACCGTGTTTGGAAGATTTGGAAGGTACTCTCCCGCGACTGCTAAGCCGAGCTGCCCTAGCGTTATCGCCGACAACCCTCGGGCGAGCGGACTTGACACGCCACCCCTCCGCAGTCACGGTGAGCGTGCCAGGTGGATGTCAAACTCTGCAACCCCTGCATCCGACCCGCGTTCCGACCGATCGACCCGCAGGCTTGGGCCCGAAGAACGTGCATCCCAGATTTCCTATCCTTGTCATTTCGAGCAAGATAAAAAGGAGCGCCAAACTTTGGGCTCGAGTGACAGGTGTCAAAGTACGAATCATCGGTCTCTGGTCGCTGCTGCATGCCTGAGTCTTGGGGGCAATCTCTCTCGCAGCGGGACGTGACGCCAGATCGGCCGTCGTGTGGCGTCGCAGCCATTTGCACAGTCAAAAATCCGCCACTGACCACACGGGATGAAAGGCCCGAGGTGTTGGTACGCGCCTCTACATGTCCCGACGAGACGTTCAGCAGAACGAAGCACGAAGGAAGGAATCGGGAGTTGGGCTCGGCATATCACGGAGCAGCCAGATGCAGGGGTCGCTGCGCGTCGCAGGAGAAATGTGGCTTGCATGACGCGATTTTCGGGAGGAGGAGCGGCATATCGCGACAGCCGGGAGCAGAAGAGGAGGCATGCTTGGTGCATAGCTGCTCGCAGCTTCTTGAACTCAAAAAGCTCACCACGACTGTGATTGAGAATGCGCTGGTCGAAAGCAAGACAAGAAGAGAATTTTAAAATAGCGAGAGGAGCTTCGCCTGATCCTTGGCGATGATGTTGACGAATGGCACGTTTCGGTAGCACTCCTGTCCCGCGTAGATGAAACGTGATCGACCGTCAATTCGACATTCAGCCGTCCTGGTGTGAGAGTTCTGGCCCTACTCACGCTTTCTACGTGCTCAGGCTGAGCGTCACCATCGCTTCTCTCGAGCGTTGATGCTGCCGACGTCTTGTATGGTGTTATTGTGCTCGCAGCTCTTGGAGCGACAACTACGTCCGCAGAGCGATCCGTCATCTGTTCAGAAGTAGCAAGAGGCCGATCAGTATTGTCGGGTGGTCGGGTGGAAACGGAAAGCTCTGCACTCTCGCCAGATCGAGATGCTTTGAACTCACGCTTTGGACCTTGCCAACGAGCTTGACCGAGTGTTCACCCTTGACTGCCCAGAACACCACCTCTGCCCCGGGCGAAAAGGGTCTCTTGGTGCGCTGCTTGTCGGGGCTTGCCTGAGGATATGGACGAGTAATCGGCAGCGCAAGTGAGCCGATCGTTGTGCTCTCGACTGGGATCGAAAAGGGAAACATGTCGCCGTTGTTCGTGGCGAATGAGCTTTGATGACGCCTCCAGTCGCGCGAGCTCACAGGTATAAGGCTCGGTGTGTCGGCGTCGCGAGACCAATTCGGATGCTTCATCATTAGTCGCATAGCTGTTGGTGGGTCGGTGGAGGCAACTTTACCGGCATCCGAAGTGTCACGGCTTACTGGGCTCGTTTGAAGGGCGCCAGAGGTCTTCGAGGGCGGCGATGGCTTCTTGAACTGTGTGTTGTCGTCCTTTCGTTCGCTGCACTCAAAAGAGGCTCTCGACAGCGCTGCATCTGACGACTCTTTCTGCTGTCGTTTCTGCAGATCCATCTGCATCCTCATCTGCATCTGAGCATTCAGCTGCAAAAGCAGACGCCGGTACTGCTCTTGCTTTCGAGCTTTCTGTTCATCCTCCTCAGTACTGCTGCGCTTGGGGGGCCGAGGTTGCCCGCCGACAGCGCTTGCCATCGTCGACATATCCTTTCCAGGCGTGTGCGGCTCGTAGCCAGACACCGATGTCGACGCTTGTCCGGGGAGCCCGCTCGCAAAGTCATCTGACAGTCTCGCGCGCTTTCGATGCTGTTGCCAGGAGTAGAGCCGCGCCGACATGCTGCCAGATGGATCCGCGGCGAGTCTTGAAGCGATCGCCGTCGTAGAAGCTGTCTCCGTTTGGTTACCAGGGGTTGGGTCGGTGTTTGGACCTATCGGCGTCTTGGACGAGGAGGTATCGCTCTTCATGCCTAAGTTAGTGCGTCGGATCAAATCCAGAAGTGCTTTTCGGGTAAAGTCGTAGGATACGCTGCGAGTGCTGGTGGCAGCATCCGATGCGGTAGGCATGCCAGTAGCCGTCTCGGATGTTGACGATTTAGCATTCTGCCCTATTGAAGAGGGACGCATGCCATTGTAGGCTCCTGAAACGGCGAACGGCTGCGACTGCGCAAGGCGCTCTGCCTGTGTGGGCTCGGCGGATGTTGCTAACCAGGTGGGTGTACTTGAGCTGCCTACGGAAGGCATTGACACGCTAGAGCATCTCCTTGCACGGACAACATTCGAGAGGGGCACCGTTCCGAGAGAGCTGCTGGTCCGACTGGTGTTAGAGTGAGGTGCACTCCAACGTCTCTGCAAGTCCAGGCCAAAGGATGTCGCGTGCGACCCAAGCAGCGTGCTGTTCTGATGCGTGCCTTTGTAAGGCTCGACTGTCGTGCCGGCGCTCGATGAAGCGGGTGTGCTTGTAATCCTGAAGCTCTTGCTGTGAGAAGGGCTCGTTTCTGATTCGCGGTCGGTGTCGCCATCTGTCTCGTATTGTCGGTCCGTCTCAAGGATCGTGATCGGATAACGATGTTCTGGCTGTAAAGGGGGCGCCTGCGGTAGATACGAGTTCCCGAATGCCGACAGATCCATCGTCAGGTTCCCTTGGGCGGAATCCTGCCGCGTCGGCACAGAGCTCGACTGCCCAGAGGCCTCAGAATTGACAAGAGGGGCATGCGAGCTGATACCAAGTCCGGGCGTTGTCGAACCTTTTTGCGGCTTTGAGGTGGCCAGCAATCCGTCAGAAGCAATTTGAGCGACGGAAGACGAAGGCTGTGTTGCGTTTGTTTTGCGAGCAAATGTAGAGAGAGACGCATTGTCAAGGAGTGTGCAGCTGGCCCGAGAAAGTTCTGCTTGTAACGATGATGACGTCGAGCTTGAGAGGTGCTTCTCGCTCGCTGCCGAGTGCGTGGCTACTGAGAATACGCTGACATCTTGCGAGCTCGTCATGATCGATCCTCCCGTCAGGCTCTCGAGGAAGGATGCCAAGAAGGCATCATCATTTGTGGCTGCTGCTGACGACGCAGCGTGGAGGTCTTGCTTGTCCATGACTTTCTGGACTGACTCGTCAGTCTGTTGACTGTTCATGCCTCCCTCTTTGGAGACCAGCTCTTGAGAGGCTGATGAGCTGTCTAGCGGCTCGCGTGTGTTCTCGCTGGACGCAGTACCGCGTTCTGGCATGATGAGGCTGACGGGTGTGATGATATCGAGCAATGCGCTTGCCGTTGTCGGCGGATGTATGCCAAGCTCGTCGAGAGTCAAAGGAGAGAAGGCTTGCTGGTCATCCGCGCTTGTCGTCTCGCTATCAGTCGGAAAAAGTGAGGAAGCGGACGGACGAGGGTCTTTGGACTGGATTGATCGAGGCGAAGTTGTCTTTGACATGGTGGCCATTCTAGCAGGGCAGCGTTTGCTGATTGCTTCCGAAGAGTCTCCGATGAGAGTCAAGTCGCAGGTGTGTCAAGTGATTGCCGCAACAGCTTGCGACAGTGGGAATGCGTCAAGCAGGATGCTGAAATGGGGCTCCAATGATCGTGGGCGGTGATTGGCGTAGCGAGGGAGGACCAGTGCTGACAGAGGTAGTCCTTTTCGATCGTCACATGCTCTTTTTTGGTGAATGAAAGTTTGACGAAGAAGAACTGCCGCCGCAGCCACCAGCGCACAGGCTGTCTCGGCACATCCGACCCAAGACTCGACTCTGGAGCAAGAGTGTGGCGCCACAGCAGTTGATGGCGTGGGACCGGTTGGCATAGCGTGGGAGAAAGCAAGTCGACCGCCAGAGAGCCAAAGTGTGGCAAGACCGATGCGCCGATTGCGCAACCGCAACACTATCCGGTGACTTAAACTTTGCGTGGGAAAGTATAAGGATGGCTGACTCCGTGAGACAATCACGGAACAACCGTCTTTGTACCTGCACCCACCTTGATGCTCTTTTGTGCCAAGCTCGCTCGGTTGCATTGTGTCGCCACCACCTGCTTGTGCGTCGAGTACACCCGTTGCTTGCTTGTGTTCGCGAGGGACTGAGAGGATTGAGTGGTGCATGCGTGTACCTGCCTGCATCACATCGCATTGCCGGTCTTGAGTCGACCTTTCGGCTTCGAGCTCGCTTTAGCAAGAGTCGACGCGCATCCAAAGGCGAAGCAATCGCAGCAAGGTTATGAACTCTGAAGTGAAATCATGAGCAAAAGTGATTTGTTGGTGGGACTGATGCACGCGCACGGAGCGATCGCTCTCGAATGGAGCAAAGTGTCCTTTCATTCACGACCGGCTGCAGCCTCCCGTGTCTCGCGGTGATTTCGACTCGGACCCTCGCCGACCTGGGTGCCGATGATTGACGCAGCATATGGCTCTTCCGAGGGTGTGAAGAGCCGACGAATGAATGTGCGCGACGGGCAACGACGCAGTCGCAACAATGTTGCGAAGGAAATGAGCAGGGACGCGGGAATGGCTTGAAGTGAAATGTTGTACAAATACAAAGGTCGAGCTGAAGTGCGATGGTAGACGAGCAGAAAGGCCGTGTCCAGGAAGCGGATCGAGTTTCGGTGTCGCCTTAATCGTCTGCGATGGGCGCCTCTTCGTCCAGGTGCTTGATCAATCGTACTCGAATTTCGGTGGCATCATCTCCTCGAAGTGCATCCGACACAAAGTAGCACTCGGTCTGCATCTGCACCATCTCGAGCGCTCCTCGCAACACCCCGGCCAAGACGTTGCTGAACCATAGCCCTCCCGCCCTTGCATCCTTCGGAAGCTCGACAAACTCGGCCAATGGGTTCTCCTCCAAGATCAAGCTGAACTCTCTTGTCCCCGCCGACGCTTGTGCCGATGCCGCTGCTGACGGCTGTCCCGTGATGGCTGCTGATGCGCCTGTCTCGTCGTGATGGACCACCGTCGGTGTGATGTTGAGAAACATCTTGAAGCCGACCTTGCTGACTACTTCCGCTACCTCGCGAAAGTCAGAGCACCTCGAGAGATTCGTCCGCGCAAGAAAGTCTTCTATCAACCTGGTGCCGATGTTATAGCCCCTGTTGGCCCGGCAATCGAAAAGGACGGAAGAGAGCACGAGTCAGCTCCGTTTCCATATTCAAGGCAAGTCGGCAGTCCTGTCGCTCACTTACATCTTGTCGAGTTGCTTGTTGACTTCTGCATAATCTTCGTAGTCCTTGATCAGCTGGATGACCAGGGCGCCGTAGGTGAGTGTGAAGAGCTCCGCATTGATCTTCTCGGTTCTGTTCTTCCACACGTCCTCGCCTGCTTGTTTGTACTGTTTGGTCGACATATCGGCAAGATAGCTCTTCGCAACAACGCGGCTTGGCGATGCGACTGTTGTGAAGCGTGACCGTCGTGTAGGTGGTGAAGCGATTCAGGTCAAGAAGTAAGGTTGGTCCGTGACCATTTCAAGCGTCGCCTCGAACCCTGGAAGCACAACGTCCAGCTCCGTGACCCGGAATTTCGGGTAACCTGTGAATTGAGAACATCTAACAGCCTTGAAGAACTCGCGCACCGCAAATTTGGCAAACGCGAGTTCATGCAAGGATCTGCTTTGCATTCTTCGACAGCTGCAAGGGGTGGCCTAGCCAAGCAAACGCATGCGTGCCAGTGGTCATCCTCTTCTCCTTAGCTTAGGGTCGACCAGAAGTTCTTCATGACCCGCCCTCACATTGTGGCCATCATGCTGGTCGACTGCTTCGTGGATCGCTTGTCGCGTCCGCGGAACTTGTCTCAAGACAGAATGATGATCGTGCCGAGGATATCTGCTGGCAAAGTCGAGAGTGTCTGTCATCGCTCAGATTAGCCGATGCCAGTGCTCCTAAGACGGACTCATCTACAATGGCCACTCTCACCTATACGGCTTCTTTGGCCAATGCACCATGCCTTCCCTAGACTTCGCGTCTACCTCGGTGCTACCCTTCTCGATTTCCCTCCCTCACCGTCCCACCTTCTTTTGTTTCCTTCCCGACACTGACATACCCACAGTCTCTACGAGTTCATCCTAGCGTGCAATCCTATCGTCATCATCACGACACAGCAGACGACGTAAGATACTCGAAACATTTCTCTTCATCACGACACAGCAAGATCGCTCCCGCCGAGCAACTGGTCGCAGCGCGAGACCACCATGATGCGTCCTTATTACAGAAAATCGACTGCTCTAGTCTGGCTGATCTCGGTGCTCCTGCTCTCAGCTTCAGCTCGAGCGGTGATCCGTGTCAGTCGTCCACCCAGCACTCAGCTTCCACTCATCGCTCGCTTCGCCCAGCCATATAATGTCACTTTTGCGCCTGACACCTTTGTCGACGTCAACGCGACCGCGCCTTTCACCTACACCGCTGACAACCTTCCTGCATGGGCTACGTTCGAAGCTGCCACGCTCAGTATCTCCGGCATCCCGGCCCGATCTTCACGATCCCGAACGAACGACAGCATCACGCTGACCGCGACGAATCCAAAGACGCAGAGCGCAGCATCGACCTTGTTTCATCTCATCACACTCCCTGGTCGTGGTCCTCTCGTCAACAAGCCCCTCGCTGCACAGCTGCCGAATGTGAGTTCGCTCGGGTCGGAATACATCTTGCCGTCCGGCGCGCAGTTGCTACCACTGGGCTGGTCCTTCGCCCTCGCATTTGCGGGGGACACGTTCCTTTCCGACAGCAACGACATTTATATTTCGGCCCAGCTGAAAGATGGATCGCCGCTGCCAGGGTGGATGCACTTTGATCAGATGACGCTGTTCGGTGTCGCGCCGACAGACGTACACTCTGCAGGCGAGTTCTACATCGTCGTAGTTACAGCTAGTGATCTGCGCGGATACAGAGGCGTGCAGAGCGAGGTAAGGCTTGTCGTGAGTGGGGCGAGTATCGTGCTGGGTGCGCCACTACAGGCGTTGAATGCGACTGCAGGTCAGCCGTTTACCGGCGTACTGGCGCTGGAAGATGTGGTGGACACAAGAGGAAGGGCGATAGATGGATCGCATTTGCGGGTGACGGCGAATACGAGCGCTGTAGGAGAGTGGCTCGCGTTTGACGAGGCTACTAGGACGTTTTCCGGTATGCCGCCGTTCAATATCACCGAGGCCGAGCCCTTGTCGCTCATCGTGCCACTCACGTTGGTCAATACCGCCAGTCAACGCGGAACCCCGGTTCCAGTGACAGTCAACATCACCATTCATCCCTCGCCATTCGCCGTGTGGAGCTTGCCTGATGTGCGCCTCGCTCCTGGACGACTCTTCCAGCTCGATCTTGGAAGCTACCTTCGATCGACACGGACGCCTCCTCAGGTCACCGTCGAGCCAGCTTCGGCGAGCAAGTGGATCCACTTCGACCCATTGACCAGGATTCTCTTTGGCACGCCTCCGAGCGGCGGATTCGAGCCGGTGCAGGTACAGCTCTCGATTGAGTCCAGAGCTTCGGATGGATTCCGCGATGTGTCGTCGGAGACATTCACGATGACTCAATTGGATTCGCCGCCTGTGGGATCGCCCGACGGCCTCTCTTCGGCTGATGCAGGTGCAAGTGGGCTCAGCAGCAAGGCAAGGATTGCCATCGCAGCTTCATTGGGCTGCGCTGGAGGCCTGGTCGTGCTGGCACTGCTTGTGGTCTACTGTCATCGTCACTGCACTGCTAGTGGCCACGTGCAAAAAGATGGAAGAGATTCGGACTGCGAGAAGTCGCCCGACAGGCGCGATGACGATGATCGAACGCTGGCCGACGAGCGGTCCCCTCGGTTTGGATGGGCTTCGCTCAAGGACGACAAGCTCAAGGACATTTCCAATCCCTACGTCGATCCCTCCGCCGCCTTCTCGCCGACCCGCTCGCCCATCTCAGACGCCCCAACCCTCGCAGCTTCTGATGAGGGCCGCTCACCTCGCTCATCCGACGTCACCTCAGTCACTGCACCGCCCGTGATCGTCACCACTGCACCTCCGTCGACGGAAAAGCCACAACGATCCCCGCTCCTTGCCCAGCTCGCCCGTTCACCCAGCTCCATTCAACGCATCACAGCCGACGCGCAAGCCGATCTAGCCCGCCCCAACGGGCTTGGGCTGGAAGGCATACCGCAGCGAGACCTCTCGCAGATGACGGTGCGGGACAGCTGGGAGTCTGATCTGTTCTATGATGACGCCGAGGTACAGGTACCGGTGCGTCGCGAGGTGAGGCAAAGGATTGGGCACCTCGGTGCTTCGCCCAGGTTTGAGTTGGACACTGGTTTCGAGGTGGGGTATGCGCGGAAGGTCAGCCTCGATACCACGCCGCCGCCCAAGCATGTCAGCGTGCTGCAAGGACAGCGAATTCTTTCACAGCACTCGGTCGTGCTTCGCGCCTCGCGTGGGTCGAGCGAGTTGCGCACCCGCACACTGTCGCAAGCGACCCAGGATGAGGACATCTTTGAGGACGCGGAGGACGATCCGTCTGCGGCCGTGCGAGCGAGCGACTCGACAGCTCTCCACGTGCCAGAGCAGGATGTTGACAGTCGACGTAGCTCCGCGACGCTTGTTCGAACCTCGGGGCGGACGAGGGACAGCGAGGACGAGGAGCGAGGATTGACCGTGCGGGCGATCAGATCGTCCATTGAGCCTGTCGAGGCGCCTCTCATCCCTGGCGCTGGCACTCGAGCTACTTCGGTAGCCAGGACTGCGAGGTCTCAGACGGCCGGGATGAGTTCAGAAGGCTGATAGTGGCGACTTCGATCCTGGCGGCACGAGGGACAGACTTGGCGCTCTTGGACGTCGGTTGGCGGGCGAAATATCCATAGTGTTACATCGTGCATTTGTGAAGTCTTTGAAAATTCGCACGCGTGAGGTGCTCGGAATGCGGAGCTGGAGGGGACGCGCGTAGCTGAGCGAGCGCTTTGAGTTTGGCTGTTGCTGGCCAGAGTGATCATTCTCCACTTGTCGTTGCGCAACTTGCAACCAACACTCCGCCTTTCTCTCTCGATACGTTCATCTAGCATCACCCATCCAACTTGACGCGCACAGCACTCGCTACCATACGAGCCTGCATCCCCTTTCGGTCCCATCTGCCAGCCTCAGCCACGATCCAGCTCTCGACAGCGCTCTGCTAGCTACGCAACGATGGACCTTCACAGCCTGCACAAGTCGCTGGTGACAGCCTTCTCGTCATCTAAGTCCAAACAGGACGAGGTGCGATCCCTTCTCACGAAACTCAAAATCGCGCTTACAGAACATAACCTCCTCGTGCCCTCCGCGTCGTCCTCCAGTTCATCCTCCGACCTGCCTTTGGCGCGAGAAGTCCTCGAGATCGGTGCCTTCTACTCGGTGCGCATTGGCGACATTGCCGCGTTTGATCGATACATTTCCCTCCTCACACCCTTCTACGATGCCTCACTCTCCCCTTCGTCCAACTACGAGCCGCTTCTCGGGCTGCGACTGCTCCGCCTTCTCAGCTCGAACCAGATCTCGGCGTTCCACACGCTCATCGAGACCCTGCCCACAGACCTGGTCAACTCGTCCAAGTACCTCCAGCACCCGGTCAGCCTCGAACGCTGGCTCATGGAAGGGTCCTATTCCAAAGTATGGCGTCTCTCCCGCGAAACCCCGCCCCAGGACGAATACCGTTTCTTCGTAGACCTCCTCATGGACATGATCCGAAACGAGATCGCATCGTGCGAAGAAAAGGCATACGACTCCCTCGCACTCCATGATGCCGCCACACTGCTGTTCTTCGAAAACCTCGATCAGGTGTTGGGCTTCGCAAAGACCCGAGGTTGGCAGGTCAACCCAAAGACCCAGGTCGTGAGCTTTGCATCACTCAACACGGCAGCTGCCGAGACAAAGATTCCGAAAAAGGCAACCATCGCGAGCAATTTGACCTTTGCAAAGGAGCTCGAGAGCATTGTTTAGCACCTCCCACATCGTCACATGTTCCAATTCATACCATCCTCGTACAGAGAGAGTCAACGGTCCGGTGAGAAAAAGAATCGCATTGAGCCCAAAGAGTGAAGTATTGTCCGTGACTTAGCGTGGAGTAGCGTTACGAAGGCGAGGGCTGAGATTGCCTGTGGGTGTTGCCGAGTCGTCCCGCGCAGTAGGGTCGAAGCCGTTTACGAAGCTGCGTGGTGCGTCGCCGTTCTCGTTTCCCACGCCCGCTGTTCGACCTGGCGGATGGTCTGGTGAGACGTACCCGTTCGGTTGTGTGGTGTACCCATGTTGTTGGGATGGCGGTGAGATCGGTTGGCCCCACTGCGGTTGTCTCTCGAGTTCCGCTTGGAGTTGTCTTGCGAGCGCGCTGGTTTCCACGGGTGTCTGCTGCGGTGTGTTTGCTGGTGCAGGTGCGAATCGCCATCCTCCTTGGGCTGGTACTCCGCTAGAGCTACCCGACGATTGACTCCCCCATGACCCTGCGCCGCCACCAAAGAATTGGCCACCATACCCGGATTGTTGTTGCGACGACGAGGAGGAGAGCATCGCAACGTCGGCGTCCAACGAGCTATTGCCGGGCTGAGGCGCAAAGGTCCGCCGTGGCGCTGGCTGCGCTGGCTGTGATGGCCCAGCGCCATGCTGCGCGGGCAGAGAGGCTTTGAGAGACTCGCGGATCTCGTGCAGCTCGTGACCTCGATCGCCAGCATGCATCGAGTGCTGCATCGACCCGATTAGGTCGTCCATATTGAGCGCCATGGTGTGCTGGTGTGTGTGTTGGGGTCCGGGTCGAAGGTGTGGTTGTGGAGCGTGGGAGACTCGTGTGATGGCTCTGGTGCGCCAGCTTCTGGGCACGCTGTTGTGTTCGGAGTTCTGAATGTGTGTTCTCGCTGCGAGAGTGTCTATCGAATGCCGTCGGTTGCGTGCGGATCAGACGGATGCTCGTAGCCGGTGAAGCGGTCCGAGTTGCTAGCAGCTGCACGATGTTGCGCCGGATGACAATGGATACCGCAATGGACCGCGATGCAAGTCCTGCTTTGTGAAACGTATCTGCGACGCCTGTGAACGAGCGGGAATCGATGAGCCGGACGAAGGTAGGGATGTGTGGATGGTGATGAGCAAGACAGCAGATGTGCGCGTGATATTCCCCTGTCGACGGGAGGAGTGGGCTGATGCGCTCATTCTTTCCGGCGAGTGGACCGATCCGAGAGCGGAAAAACAGAGGGCAACTTTGTGGCCAGAGAAAGCTCTGGCTCCGGGGTCCGGTTAGACTCTGAAAAAGTGACGCTGGATGGGGGACCGGGCTCGTCGAATCTAACAGTCTAAATGCGAAAGCGAGACTCACCTCAAAGCTTTGCCGGTGCACGGAGATCAACAGCGAGTACAGCAGCCATTGACACACACTGAGGCGCACCGTTGACTGGGATGGGACAATGATGCGATTGAACATGGGTATATATGCGGGTAGGTGTGAGAGTTTCAGCTCTGCAACTCGTGAAAGCGGTGGTGGGCGACGAGCATGAACGGCTTCAGCTGTTCGCCGCACAGCTCGCAGGGAATGAGGTCTATATCACCTTCGTCTTGCTCGTTTGTAATTTCTTCGTCGAAGCTATCAGGAGTACTGGAACGTAGAGCGTCGACCGGAACACCCGAGAAGGGATACGATTCGTGATCGTGCTGCATCCAGACCTGCATCTCTTCGCCGCACGTGGGGCAAATCGGGCCTGGCTCGAGCGCGGCTTTGCCTTTGCCTTTGATCGAGGGCTTCTCCGCAGCATCGAAGCTGGCGACATCGGAGGCTTTCTGGTCTTTGACGGTGTCGATGCGAAGGGATGTCGTGGCAACATCGATCCCGTACTCCCTTGCAATCTCCTCCCTGAGCTCGGGAGCCAAGCTAGCCAGGAAGCCCTCGTCGATCTTTGCTGCTTGGGTCGGCTCTCCCTGTCGTGTCTTGACTTCCACCGCTGTGCTCGGTGCGAAGAAGCTTCCGAGCGCTCGTTGCGGTCTCTTGTCGCTCAAGTCCAGCGCAGCAATGTTGATGAGGTTCATTCCGTCGCCCACCACATCGTCGCCCCCGATCAACGCCCGCAGCAGACCTCTGCATGCCTTCTCGATGGCTCCCGCTCGAATGTCCCTCGGATGTTCCAACTCGAAGATCTCGACGGGCATCTTGGTCTGCTTCGACACCCGGTTGCTCCAGCCTTGACGGACGCTGAGGCGCACCTTCATCGGATATCGTAGCCACGTCGCTCTTCCCATCGCCGACGGTGGCGGCTGCTCGTCCTGGTAGTCTCGGATGGTCACCGCCTCGTTCTTGATCACAGTCTCCTGACTGAGCGGCTGTGGCTGCTTTGCCGGTTCTGCAGCCTGCGTCGTGAGTTCGAGCTCCAGCCTCCGAAGCAGGGACAGAGATAGGCGGCGGATCTCGGCATGGATCGCTGCCCCACGCAGGCTCGGATACGGATACGTGTCTTCGATGGACAGCTGGAGAGGAAAGTCCGGTGCTGGAATGACCGGTTCCACATCGCGACCGCTGACTAGCGCCCATAGTCTGGGTCCGATCACCTCACCAAATAGCTCCCCCAGCTGCTCAAGGGAAAGCATCTTCCTCGCAGTGCCAGCCGTCACTTTAACTTTGACCTTCTCCTCCTCGTCATCCGATACACTCGTAGGATCCATGAAATTGATGCGCGCTCGTCCGTTGCCCTGCTTTGAAGGAGCGTTAGGGTGCGGAGTGAGATGATCTCGAATCTTGTCGACGACTACGCGGCCGAACCCAGGCAGCTTGCGAAGATCCAGAGGATCCTGAAAGGCATGAATGTGTTGGAGCAGATTTGCTTCCACAGACCTTGCACCATTGTACGGGCTAGACGCGAGGCTCGCGACCGGGGGACAGAATGCCGTTTGTTGATTGGGCTTGTTGAGCGCACCCACCAGCTTGGCGAGCGACTTGCTTGGAGCAATGCCTGCTGAGCAAGTCAGGCCCACCTCGTCGGAGATTCTCTGTCGTATGTAGTATGCTAGTCTCGCAGCTATCAGCATTCGTTCCTGCCACCCATCTGGTCGATTGTGCGCCAAGTGCTCTGCAGCGTCGCTGGGATGTGTGTGTCCAGCAGGTTCGGCAGGCGACGTCGGAAAGTCAAATCCGTACCCTTCGACCTTCTCGTTCTGATCAGGTGCGTTGAGATCGAACCATCTTGTACCGTCCTTGGCTTTTGAGACCGTCGAAAGATGGTGATCGACCATCTCGGTGACATCGCAAAAGAGCTCGTCCATGCCCAGCTTTTCGACTCGTTTCTGCCAGACGATGGACCTCACCAGTCTCCACACCTGACTCGAGACCTGCCGAAAGTAGGTGAGGTCCTCGCCATTGACCAGCACCATATCAGGACACTTTTTGAGCGCATCCTTGATGCTGTCGAGCTTGCCAACGCCTGCTGCGCGCGCTTCATAGCTGATGGTAGCAACCAGGGCCTTTTGTTGGATTCCGATGGGGATGCCAATGAGGGATGGGTCTCGCTTTCGACAAGCAGAGACGTAGAAAGCGTCCAAATCGAGGGCAATGATGACTCTCGAGGCTATCTCGGAAGGAGTTATGTCGTCCAAAGAAGCCGTGCGTTGGCGTTTGACCCCCCGTGAGGGAGAGGCATCGTTGCTACCGCGAACAAAGAAGTTGATCTTGTCGCTGTTCGAATGCTTCTTCGAGGGCGAAGTCGAGGGGCTGCGCCCTGTCATGATCCCTTGATTCTTCGATTCTGCATGGTCGAACCGAGGAACGCAGGCGCAATCTCGGCAACGAGTGAAGTTAGGTGTTGGTGGGAAGGGAAAGGACAGCAACTCAGCTTCCAGCGGCAATTTGGGAATAGTTGAAGGCGCGTGCCCTTTTAAGCTGGAATCCTCCACTTCCACCGTGAAATGGCCGGCAGCCGTCTTTCTCACAGATCACGGCATCGAGACGGCAAACGAGATGCTCGCAGCTTTGCGGTGGAAGCCTGAGTGCTGCTCAGCGCGCGTGCAGATCATTGTCCATCAACTGAGACCAAGGGAATTCGTGAGTGCACTTGTACGTTAGCAATTTGGATTCACGTAGACCGGAGAGGGCGGGAGAGTACAAAGATATTGCAGGGGGTCTAGGAGAGTTGCTTGTAGGCCAGGTAGGAGACGAGGATGACCAGAGGGATGAACATGAACAGGGGGCTGTTGGACATGGCAGGAAAGCAGCAAAGCATGAGGTCAGTTCATAGCCGTTCGGGTCTTGACTGTGCGCATCTTTTCGAGAGACTCGCTGCTCTGAGGTGGACACGTACTGGCTGTTGAAGTTTGTGTTGTTCTCGTTGGTCACAGCACCGCTGGTGGTCTTGATCTTCTGTTTCTGTTTGGGTTTGAAAGCAGCAAGTGCTTGAACGTCAGCTCAGCTGCCAGATCGAAGTACGAAGTGAAGAGCCCTCTGGCAAGGCCGGCGGATGAGTCCCGCAGCAATTGCTGCGCAAAATTGACACCATGCTTGGCCGTCGCCGCTACGGAAGAGCCGCAAGGTGTGAGGATGATACTTACGGCGCCTTCGATCTCGCCAACAAGCATAGGGCCAAGGAGCGCACGGGCGTCCTCCGAGTGTCCGACATCTTCGAAAGCCTCACTGGCATCCTTGCCAGCCTCGCTCATCAAGACCTCGTCACCACCGGGGTGCTGTTCGAGCAGAATAACATCGTGAGATTGTGCATCGTGCGGGATCCGAGTTGGTGCAGTGTTTCAGAGGGATGTCCGTGCGAGAGTAGGGGAGGGAGGTGCAAGTGTGTCAGTCATTAGCGTCCATGATCTCACGATGGGATGATGTCGTCTGACGTACCTCATCCATGAACTTGCTGACGTTGTAGACTGTGAATGGCCAAGACGAGGAAGAAAGTGTCAGTCACGTCGGTCCTAGAGAGCAACGACAGCTCCGCGTTGCATACGGCATCAAAGCATGCCGTAGCAAGGGGGGTCGTGGTGACTTTTGCCTGAGTGACCGTGCGGCCAGCAGAAGGGAGATTGACGCACCCTTGCCATCGATGAGAAGCCAGAGATCGTCGTTGGAGTCGTGCTGCTTGAGCTCGTCCATGGTGATCTTCTTGCTGTCATCGCCCTTGGACTCGTTCTGCTTGTTGTCGTTGTTGTCAGACATTGTTGCGGATGTACGGGATGGCAATCGATCAAGAGGGATCTGAGAGGAGTTGATGGTGTGAGGTGGAGAGACAGCAGCAGCGTGATTGTGGAACTTTTGCATGTGATGCAGGCGGAGACGTCGGCTCATCCACCAGCCAAGACTTACGCACACGTCCGCCCATCTCTCAAGAACCAACGACGATCCGTCACAAACACGAAACGACGCACACGCACTTTCGCTAATTTTACCTCTTCTGAGCTTCTCAACCTGGAGGATCGGCTTAGGCGATTTGGAGCGTGCGTAAGAGTTAGGTAGATTTTCAAAGACGAGAGAAAGCTCGAACCAAACTCAAGAGCGTGCGTGAAAGTTGGACTCAGTCGTCTGCCGCCTTTTTGAAGCTTCACCCTCCGAGCAGGCACCGATTACCAATACGTCGTTGGCTCATAGACGGCTCTGTTCCAACCCCGCCTTTGGGTTGCGATTGACCCGTCTTATCCTCTTGCAACGGCGACTTTTAGCTTTCTTCTCCGCATTGGCCGTGTTGATCGAGACCGCATAACCATCTTGACACTCTTCGGCCTGGGACTTCCATAATTGGACAAGCTCCTCACACATGTTGAACCTGGTCAGCGACCGTGGATGTCGAATTCAAGCATTGATAGCCGACCCACGTCACCCGCTCGATTTTCACGAGTGAGATGATGGTTTTGCCTCGCCTGGCCCCGCAGCCGAGTACGATTCGCACTCAGGTACACGCCTTGATACAGGATGCTCGTGGCAGCAATCTTCTTTCCCCACATCGAAGAGCATTCTGCGTCATAGGAGTCCACTTTCACGTCTGTCACAGCCGCCTGACATGAACACATCGCTCTCTGTGCTGCTCTTCACGCGATCCATCTCTATCAGGATCGATGGTGAGCTGCTCCTTCTCATCGACAGCTCCCATCCTCATCAAGGAGCCGCAATAAAAAGCAGGTTGAAAAACATGACCTCAAAATCAAGGCCAAAAAAGGATCACGACCCCTGGCGGGCTCGAACCGCCGACCTCAGCATTAACAGTGCTACGCTCTAACCAACTGAGCTAAGGAGCCAGAATCGCAGGACGAATGGAGTGGTTCGTCATCAGCAGCGTATATATACCATATTATCCTATCAAGCCATCTCGAAGAACAAACCGACGTGACTGTGGAGAGACCAACACTCCAGCAGAACCGCACAACAACACTTTTTGTACAAATGCGCACTTTCCTTCTAGCACATCACTCGTCCCTTTCCACACCTCCTCGCGCCACAGTCATGATCACGGCTCGCAACAGCCCGAGACCACCGATGCCCTGATTTGAAGCATCTGCCGGCGCGCGCGAGCAAGAACGCACCATCTTGTTCTATGGTTGCCGTCCTGACAGCTGTCGTCCGGCATGGGTCTCATCAACTTTGTCCTCAAGGCGGCCATCCTCCTTCTCGATCTTCGTGACACCTACGATGCCTTTGACGCGGTCAAGCTCGAGGAGATCGGATGCAGCGAGCGCAAAGTGCTCGTCCGAAACGCCGAGGATGGCACCAAACAGATGACCTCTCGAAAGCGCGTAGGGACCGCCAAACGCAAAGCAGCCGTCAAATCTGCGCTCACCACGGTACTACTGTGGAACCTCTTCAACAAGGTGGAGCCGCTCTGCGATCGGACTATCGCCTGGTTTGTGCCCTTCTACGACTCGTTCAAGACGCTTTTCCTCATATGGATGCTCTTCACCAGAAGCTACGGGGCTTCCATCCTCATCTATCGCGTCTTGACTCCCATCGTCAAGCCATACGAGCCCATCATTGATGCTGCCTTCGAGCTATCAGTGGCACTGTTCGGCTATATGGCTGCACTCCTCGCCCCTTTCGCCGCTCAGTGCGCCGCATTTGCCCACACGGCCAAGAGCATCACAGGTCTGACTGCTGTGTCAGCAGGGAACGACCCAGTGCCGGTAGTTGCAAAAGTGCGATCTGTCGGAGAGAACGGGCTCAAACGCGAGGCATCGTCGACATCGATAGCAGCGCAGAGCGACAGGAAGCCGCCGCCACCGTCTGCCCCTCCGTCGAGCTCGATTAAAGCATCGCCAGCTTCTGCCACAACCGCTCCGAGAGATACTGTTCCGAGGCCACAGTCACGCGTCGGAACAACAAAAGTACGTCAAGGACTTGCTGCGAAGTCGTCACAGAGCAACCTCGCCGCAACACGTCGTGTCCTGCAGGAGCTTCCAGTGCCTCGGCATGCATTCGACTCGACCCCGCCCAAAGTGTCCGCGCCGGCGGCAAATACGCCATCCTTTACCGAAGATGCACCTCGCTTCAGTGCCGTCACGACTGCCCCTTCTCACGATAGCATTGTGAGCGACGTCAAGCCAGAGCCGACAGAGCCGACCTTTGTACCTCCAGCTGCGACACTCGGGCCACCTCCAACACCGCCGTCCGGGCTTCAGAACTATGCATTTATTCCCGGACTGACACCCCAGCGAGCTGGCCCAGCTTCACTGATCTCACCGACACCGCGCTTCCCTGGCGGCTTCGCCTTCTCAGCCGCAAAGGGTCAGGCGTCTGCCTCCACCAATCTCAACCCCTTCCAAGCGCAAGCCAGAGTGCCACTCACGGCTCAGATGGCACCGCTATCCCTCGCGCCGCAAACAGCACTGCAGCCGACATTGCCGAACGGTTTGACAAACAGCATCGCGACGCACGAAAGCGTTGCTTCAGCCAATGATGATCGAATCGTGCCTCCACCCAGTGCAGTTGCCAGCGTTCGCAAAGTGTCGTCTTCGCGGTCACTCAAGAGCAAAGCGTCGGCTCAGGCAGCAGACAGAGTCACGAAGACTCTGAATGGCAAGAAGCGCGCTCATCCTGACGAGAACGCCGATGGCAAAGGCGATGAAGCAGCCAAGTCGGATCCTCGGACAAAGCGAATTAAGTCTGCGAACGGAAAGGCCACGGGCGGCAAGACGGGGGAAATGGGAGCGCCGAAGGTGAATCTGCTCACCGCAAATGGTCGAAGCTCTGCAACAACAAGCGATGGCGCTCGACGCAGAAAGCCCGCAACAAAAAGCAGCAAGAGTAAGACCGCTTCCGTCGCTTCTGGGTCCATTGGGACGTCAGCACTTGCCGAGCCGGAGTCCACGGCAAGCGTCACGGCCTCGCCTCTGAAGAGAGCGAAGACCACCACAAGCAGAGCGAAGGCGACGTCAACAAAGACGACTGCGTCACGAACAGAAGCGCAAAAAGGTTCGAGCAGAAGCCAGTCTCGCAGTCAGTCCGCAGAGGCTTCCGAAACATCTCAGCCCGCGCAGCGACTCACGCGGAGCCGCACCAAACAAAATGTTGCCGATTGACTTCGACGTTCCTTCTCACTTGTACCGCATAGCATGTAATCTCTCAACAAGCACCATGCATCAGCTTGGTCCTGAAGGGCTACCTGGTTCGTGATCTTCTGATTGCATTGAGCTTCACGAGCATCGAGTGTAGCTCGAGAGGTGCTGTGGCCGTTTCCCGGCCGGCAATCCGCGAGGAAAGGGTCCAACCTCCACGCTCCTCTGACGGGAAGGAAAAAGTCGAGAAAAGTCAAAAAATTCCTCAGAACAAAAAAAGTTGTTCGAGGACGTGCGAACTCCTTTTCTAACTGCCTCAACCAAACACTCTTCCTTCCTCAGTTCCATCATCTCGACATCATCACACTCAGCTCGTTCAATAGCGATTGCTTAGAGCTGGTCTCTGATGTGTCTTTTTCCAAGATGAATCGCTCTATCACTGGCGCTTGGGCCAATCAGCGCAACAGGATATCCTTGAATAGCCCCCTACCTCCTCAGTCTCCATCTTCCTCGTCGGCCGCATCCAATATACCCGTCCCACCACCTCCTGGATCCGCTGCCGCAGCCGCTCTCGCTCGACAGCAGCAGGCACAAGCACAGCAAAATGGAGAAGCATTGGCATCAAGCAACGACGCAGGGTCCGACGCCATCGCAGCGGCTGCTTCTCCGATAGCCAACGGATCGGCTCCAAGGACACGGCAGAGCTCGCCTGCACCCGTCGCATCCACATCGTCGCCGGTGAAGCGCAAGTCACGCTCATCTCGCATTGATGGCAGTGGCGCTGCCGCTTCCTCTGCCGGGTCGTCTTCCTCCAAGCGACCCAAAGGACTGATCGCCAAACTCACGAGCACTGCCGAGAAGTATACCCCACCTGCCACTCGTCTCGCAGATCTCGGCGGCATCTCGCAAGCCATCGAAAAGATTCTAGAGCTTATAGCTATGCCTCTCTGCCATCCAGAGATCTATGCTCATACTGGTGTCAAGCCACCTCGAGGTGTACTGTTGCACGGTCCGCCGGGTTGCGGTAAGACCATGCTGGCCGGCGCTGTCGCCGGAGAGCTCGGCGTGCCATTCCTTTCCATCTCGGCTCCTTCAGTCGTCTCTGGAACATCAGGAGAGTCAGAAAAGACGATCCGCGATACCTTCGACGAGGCTGCCTCCATTGCGCCATGCATCCTCTTCATCGACGAGATCGATGCCATCACACCAAAGCGAGAGACAGCGCAGCGAGAGATGGAGAGGCGTATCGTAGCGCAGCTTCTCACATCTCTGGACGACCTCAGTTGGGAGAAGACCGATGGAAAGCCAGTCATGATCATCGGAGCCACCAACCGACCAGACAGTCTCGATCCAGCACTAAGACGAGCAGGACGATTCGACCACGAGATTGCCATGGGTGTCCCTGACGAAGACGGACGCGAACAGTAAGTTTAAACAAATATCGAGGCAGGCTGCTCGCTACGGACGAAGGTCGTGATAGCATGATGCAGAACATACACAACACGCTAGCGGCAATGGGTCGTTCTGTGCATTTTGGCCTTCGGGCCTCCCATTCAAGTCCCTGATTTCACGACCTCGTTTGAAGCAGCAGCCAGCCAGATCTCATCTGACTTGTTGACATCAAGACATGATAGCTGACCTCTTGTTGACTTCCTGTTTGCTTCATTGTCCATAGAATCCTACGAGTGCTTGCCCAGAAGCTTCGTCTGGCCGGCGACTTTGACTTCCGCGCTCTGGCCAAGTCAACTCCAGGTTACGTTGGAGCTGATCTGACAGCGCTCACTTCGGCAGCAGGTATCATCGCAGTCAAGCGTATCTTTCAGCAGCTCAGCGAGTCCGACTCGCTCCCGTCGAGCCTGTCTGCGGAACGAATCTCACAAGCGATTGGCCTACACACCGAGGAGGTTCGACCAGACGCTGCGGCGACAGGCGATGTCGAGATGAGCGACAGCGACGTGGCGGCTACATCCGGTGCTGGAGAAGGAGCTGAGGCAAACGATGCGTTAGTCACCGCCAGCATCGACGCTTCAGGCCCACCAACCGATGCGGCAACGCCTGCAGCCGATGGCACGCAGACTCCAGTAATCGCGCCAGCTGCCCAATCGAACGTCCGTCCATCGGCCACCTTCTTCGATGCGCTTCCGGAGCACATCCGCGACTCGTCCATCGCATCTTTCCTCAAGAACCATCCCTCGCCTCTTACCGACGCGCAGCTCGAGCCTCTTGCCATCACCAATGCGGACTTCCTCGTTGCTTTGCCTTCTCTGCAGCCCTCGTCCAAGCGAGAAGGCTTCGCCACAGTACCCGACGTATCGTGGGCCGATGTCGGCGCCCTTCACTCGACACGCGACGAGCTGGCCATGGCCATCGTAGAGCCCATCAAGCGACCCGAGCTGTTCCGCTCCGTCGGCGTCTCTGCTTCCTCCGGCGTCCTTCTCTGGGGTCCTCCCGGATGTGGTAAGACGCTCCTCGCCAAAGCGGTCGCCAACGAGTCCCGCGCCAACTTCATCTCTGTCAAAGGTCCCGAGCTGCTCAACAAGTATGTCGGAGAATCCGAGAAGGCAGTGCGTCAGGTGTTTGCGCGCGCACGAACATCCTCGCCGTGCGTCATCTTCTTCGACGAGCTCGACGCGCTGGTGCCTCGCCGTGACGATTCGCTGTCGGAAAGCTCAAGCAGAGTGGTCAACACGCTACTCACCGAGCTGGACGGGTTGGAGTCGCGCGTCCAGACGTACGTCATCGCTGCCACCAACCGACCGGACATGATCGATCCGGCCATGTGTCGACCCGGTCGGCTGGACAAGCTGCTGTACGTTGATCTACCGAAGCCTGACGAGCGACTGGAGATCTTGAGGACGATTACGAGCAAGACGCCGTTGAGCGGCGAGGTCGACCTGCAGACCATCGCGTACGATGCAAGGCTCGAAGGCTTTTCGGGTGCGGATCTGGCGGCGCTGGTGCGCGAAGCTGCCGTGCTGGCGCTCAGAGAGACGATTCTGTTCCACAACTCTCAGCCTGCCACGACGATGGCGCAGGTGAAGAAGGGGAGGAAGGAGGTGGAGGGCGTCAAGGTGATCGTCGAGCAGTCGCATTTTGTGGCGGCGCTGTCGAAAATCCAGCCCTCCGTGTCGGCACAGCAGCGACGCAAGTATCTGTCGCTGCGACAGAAGTTGCAGGGCTCGGTGCCGATCGACGGTGGATCCACGGGCGAGAAGAGGCAGCGAGGTGGAGGCAGATTCGAGGGCGATGCGGACGATGCAAGTACGCCTACGCCTGCGACGTGACGCTCGCAGCTTGTATCTGACAATCAATCATATATCATTCGAATCATCGGCGGAACAAGGCGTGCGAGCGTGCGACATCATGAAGAAGATTCCTGCTCGCCCACACACGAGAGAGTGCCTATGGAGTCTACAGCTCAATGGGCTCGTCGTGACCAGGGCACCAGATCTCGTCCCTCTCCAGCACCCAGCGCGGCTGCAGGTAGATCCTGACCCTCGAACAGCCGCCCCACTTCCATTTGGTATCCTTGACCTCATCCACGTGCATCTCGTACCTTTCGTCCAGCGTAACGATCTGCCCAGCGAACAGAACGAACTTGGTGTCCGTCTTATCAACGAAGCCGTGCAACGTTTGAGGGTTGGGTGCCGAGAGATACTTCTCGAGGGGCAGCTGCGTATCGAAGCACGCACGCGGACGGTGGTCGTGGCTGAACATGATGTGATGGAAGTCGCAGAGGTGGTCGTACTTGCGAGGGTTGCGGATGAGACCGAAGAGACCGGTGGGGTTGTGGCACCCAGCGGGTCCGCAGCCGGGCTGAGTACCGGGCGCGGGAGGGGGCGTGTCGTTGGAGTGCGAAGGGGTGACAGCGAGGACGCTGGTGAGGGTGAGGAGCAGGATGGCGAGGATGGCTTTCATCTTGGACAATGTATGAGAGGGAGGGTTGTTGAGATGTGAGGTGTTGGGGAGAGAGCGAAAGATGGTGCGGAGCGAGGCGGGCGCCTTATATGCCTACTAGCTTCGCGCGCCTCGACAGAGCCTCCGTATGGTGAGAGGGGCTATTGCCCTAGCCCATCAAGAGCCTCAGCCATGCCCGAAGAGTCGAGTCCAGCCGCACTCAAGCTCATACACAGCTTTACGTCGCGGCATCTTGCCATGATGAAGAGCGTCTCCGACCCCACCGAGGCGTCACGAGACGAGATGAAGGCTGAACAAGCCGCCTCACATGATCATCACGCTTATAGGTGCGAGGGTCGCTTGACGCCCCACCAACCACCTTCGGACGTCATATGCACGATCGTTTGCCGTCCCTCACACTTCATCTCACCACGGCCCGAGCGAGGCGCCCACAATTTTCGTTCGACGCCGCCAGTGGCCGACCTCGCACCGCCCCTCGGCCCTCTGCCGCCGCAGGCCTACAAAAGAAGGTCCCCACCGTATGACCGCCCGTCTTTGTTTGCTCAAAGGCCTCAGCACCATGTTGGCTCTGAACCTTTTCTTGATCGTGCTCAGACTTTTTGGTGCGCAAGCCGTGCCGGCGAAGCAGCCGAGCAAGAGTCTGTTCGACAACTCGCTGCACGGCCAGACCGAATACGACCGCTACTGCACCTCCGCACCTCAGCCGGATCTCGCGCCGCACGCCTGCTTCACGATTCACGACGACATCACGACGGCCGCTCACTCTGCCTCACATGCTAAATTAGGGTACGCCTCGTCGTCTGGACAAGGTCAGTCTCGCTTCACCCCCTTTTTTCGGCTTGCAACAGCACACTGACCCTGGAACTTTGATGTCGCACAGACTTCGTCGTGGTAGCGCCGACCACGGGCGACAGCAAGGTCGAATTCTTCGCTAGTGGCTTCTGGATTCAGGTTCGCTTCTCGCATAGCATCGGGTGCGCACGGGTCGCGGTCTGGGCGCCCACGCGCAGCGATGGAAGGAGGAAGGGAGACGAGCAGGACGCAGCGCTCGAGCCCTTTTTGAACGGCGTCCATTGCACAAACGCCGATAGATCGATGTTCAACTTGTAGGCTTGCGCCATTCAATGAACGCACCTGTTCCCTCTCTTGGGCAATGGAGTGAGCGTCAGTGGTGAATTCGATAAGCGGCCGACAAGGGAGGCTAGCCGAGCCGTTCCACGTATGCTCGCTATACCTGACTGGTGACATTGAAACTCCGTCCCATTGTGCTCTCGCTGTCGTGCGTCTCTGCTGCCGATGCCCGCACACAAACGACTCGCACCGTACTGATGGCATATGCGCCGCAGGCTTGAGTCATTTCACGAAGCACTCGGTCCTTTCTCAACACACCGAGACATAGCTGCTGGTGCAACGATGTATTGGCTAGAACGAACATGAAGCACGGCACCGCCTGTACGAGCTGCGGGCAGATGCAGGAGCCGCACACAGCGTGGTTTGTGAACGAATCTAGCCTAGGCCGAAGGACGCGTCTATGGCGGCTGGAGAGTACGACTCAGGCGATTGGACAAGACGTCTAAGTCGTCAAGACCCCGCTAGGCGTGGGGAGCGAAACCATCGCGTGACTAGGGCACCAGATTCCGTTTTCGACCGGCTGACCATCGATCGATTGAGCGTCGTAAGCGACGCAGTGCTCCATGCCCTTTCCAGTGACAGTCCAATTGATGTTGATCATGTGCTGCTTGCTTTGATAGTAGGCTGTGTCCTTACCGTCGCCTTTGTAGATCACAAAGTCTGCTCGTCGGGAAAGAGATCGTCAGCAAACGAGAAGGGCGGTCGAGTAGCCAGAAGGGAAGGGGGACTCACTCGTCTTGCTACCCGGCTGGACGAAGCCATGGAAGCTCGTGCCGGCCGAAATTTGTGAGACGTCAGCAGGGCCAGCGAAGCAGATGTGCTTGGTCGAGGGCGCGACGAAGCTGAGTCCACAGAGGGCATTGTAGCTGAGGGTAGATGTGGGCTTGTCCCAGCCAGCCTGGGCAAGACCAGCGAGGGCGAACGAGGCGACGAGGAAAGAGGCAGAAGTCTTCATGGTGGAGGAACAGAGCGATGTGGAAGTTTGTAAAGGATGATGGGACCAAGGGCGATGATAGGTTCTCCAAGGCCTGCTTTATATCTTCACGAGCAACGCAAATGTACTCTATCGCTGCGGATGACTCGTCTGAAAGCGTATGCGGTTGAACAAAGGCGGTCTTTGAAGTCGCTGGCATTCTTAGCACGTCTCATGAGTCGCTGGCACAGCCTCGAGCTAGGGAGAGGGCCGGAATCGGTCGCCATATGAAACGACCAAGTGGGCGCAGCGCCCTATACAGGGGACCATCTCATTGAAGGACATCATCTCGCATTGTTCCCCAGGGGGAACGAAACTCAAGTCGCGAGAAGCAGCGGGTGTACCGTTGCTGCGACCGGACCAATTTTGTGGAACCGAGCTTGTGTGTATCGCCATCGGACCGACAATACCCCGTGGCGCCACAAAGAACGTGCTCATGAAACGCATCGCGCTCACAAGATGAACCTTATACTGTAGCAGCGTTCCAGACCAAAGGTGACGTTTACAGACTTTACCATTGGTTGCACAACACGAAGACCACGCATGCCGAAGCACAGAGAAGACCTAAAACAGCAGTGAATTGCGAAGTGACGAGACTAGCACAAAACGAGAAGAGATGCCTGACCACACGACGACATGCTGTTGCCGTGTCTTCGCCTAGCCGATGTTGACAGCACCCTGACCAGGGCAGTAGATGCCGTTCTGCGACTTGCTCGGGTCAGCGACGCCGACGACATCGTAAGCGGCGCAGTGCTGCTTGCCCGGAACATCGGCGTCAAAGTTGACTGTGATCTGGAAGCGCTCGGTCGAGTAGAAGGCCGTGTTAGCGCCGGATTCGTAGATGACAAAGTCTGCAAAAGACGGGCAAAGGGTTTCAGTAAGCACAAGATTGTATGAGTCCGGAAGGCAGGAGGCTGGCTATCAGGACTTACTGTTGTCGGCCAGGTAGAAGCCATGGAATCTCGTGTTGATCGTGATACCGCTGACGTCCTGAGAAGAGACAAAGCAGACGTGGGAAACATTGGGGTCGCCCCGACCGCACAGCGTGTCCCAGCTGAGGCTGCCAGTGGGCGTCTCCCAGCCGGCCTTGGCGAGTCCGGCGAGGGTGGCCATAGCCAGAAGAAAAGAGGCTTGAGTCTTCATGATGCTGAGAGTAGCTTTGCTGAGAGCTGTGAGCTTGGATGAGATTCGGGGAGTCAGGACGCTGAGAAGCAGCGTCTTTATATCTTCGCACTCTTGGGAGTGCGCTGCAGTGACGCGCACGGCTTGCGCGGTCGGCCAACGGGATGAAGCATGAATCAGAGACATTCACTGCGCCACGCTCTCGTTGCTGCAGCTTCGCCAGTGCCTTTCGTCCATACTGTGTTGCTCCTCTCGAGCTTTGGCACAGCCTCGGCCCAGGGTGGGAGTGGGACGCGATCGAGATGAAGCCGGTATCCGATGAGCTAGCAACTCAGGGGAAGGGGCTCGATCCAACGGCATCTAGTCCCACTGTGTGTCACGCGATCAAGATGCTTGTGTGGGCTCGAGACAGCCGCACCACAGATGAAGGAAGGAACCGCTACGCTTTTCAGAGCAGTCAATGAGAGATGAAATGAATCAACGCAACGGGCTGCGCCACCCGGACTCACAATCCGCACCGCCTCGTGTCCCACCGAGATTTGTCATGCGTGCGGACACCGGCTTGAGTGGTAACGGAAGCAAATGTCCGATGCTCAGTGAATAGTGAATGCTATCAGGATCAAACTGACCTGCGCGAGTTGAAGGCATCGTCTCGGACAAGCAGGGAAGAAGAGATAAAAAGGCTCGTTCTTGCGCCAGGCATCACTGTTTGAGCTTCATCCAACTCACCATCTCGACCTGCCGTCAAATCTTGTCTGCAAGATGAACACACTGACGCGAACCCTTGTCGCTGCCGCTATCATGGCTCTGTCTGGCGTTTCCGCTGGATGGCACACCGAACAGCCTCCTGAATACACTCTCGACCGCTGGTGCAACACGGAGGACGAACAAGGATCCCGAGCTTGCTTTACGACGGATGTCGACGTTTCGCACCCGAACCCCGCCTCCGACTTTGAGGGCTTCCTGTCGGCTGATGGCAAGAGTAAGTCGGTCCGTCCCAACGCTCGATTATTTGCAAATTGATGAACTGACTTTCAAGCGGATCGTTCTTTGGACTGAACTCTGACGTCTCAGAGTCTGTGATTTGGCGCGCCAAGCAATCTGCTTTGCTGCAGACCGATGACTACATCATCAATGTCAGCTTCAACGACCAAGGCGTGAGCCACTGTGCCGCTGCGGACATTCAGACTCTGACCGGTAACACTGTTGATAACGGCAACTTCTGCAATGCCTCCAGTCGTTGGCTGCATCTGCCAGCCAAACAGTAGGAGTCTGATCAATGGAGCTTTTCCATACTGTAGACGACGACTAGCGAAGTGGTCACACGATACTACTTCTGCCTTGCATTGCCGTCAATTGTCGCTCTTCTGCAGCTCTTACTGCATCTACTTTATGCAGTGGTATCAAACGTCAACAAGTCCTGATCGCTCGTGACGAATGTTTTGATCTGAGCTGTCAAAATGAGTTGACTCTCCAGCCCTGCCTCGGCTGCAACGTTCGCGTCGTCCTGCTTGATCTGGAGCTGAGCGAAAGATTGGGAGCTTGATTCCGAAATTGCCGCTTGAGCCGACTGAGCCGGCAATGACGAGGCCGTTTCATTTCGCTCACATTCGCACTGGGCGTAAACGATGCAATGCCACGGCTGTGGCTGCAGTCTGCAACACAGCCCCCCTTCAAAATGTGGTGACGAGTCCCCGCAGCGGTCCCTGATGGCTTGTCGAGCCCACATTCGCTGCGCCGCTGCTGATGAGGATGGGCGCTGGGTTTTTACCTCCTCAAACGAGACATTTGGGTGCGGGCAATCAACATAAATAGACCCCCTCGTCAGCAGGTCTACTCATTTGTTCGCCATCACTTCCGCTTGCCTCAATATGCAGTTCAAGACGCTCTTCCTTGCCGCTGTCGCCCTCGCCTCGACCTCCATGGTTGCTGGCAAGTGGCTGCCGACCTCGGCCAACGAAAACTACTGGCAGTACTGCCGCTCCGATGGTGCCCACTTCGACACGCTGCACGCGTGCTTCCAGGCACCGTCTGGCTCGTTTGTTCGACAGGTAGCTGGCCAGTCCGGCTTCACCGGCTACCTTGGCTCCGACCTCAACCGTGAGTATTTGCCGCGCCTCATTCGCATGTTTCCCAGAGGAGACGACTGACGCATCTGCTTTGCGCGAACCAGATTTCGTGGTGACGTACGAAGAGGACACCACGCTGGTGGGCACCAAATACATTGTCAACATCGAGTTTTTCGTTGTTCCGCAGCCGGGCGTCAACGATCCCAAGTGCGCAGGTGTCACGGTGCTGGAGAAGACCGGGAGGAAGAATGAGGGAATCGTGATTGCCCAGCAGACCGTCTGCAAGGGCGACATCATGAAGCTGCCCCAGCAGATGGCTTAGTCCTGCTCAGTCCTCGTCCAGAAACATCTGTCCAAGTGGCGATCTCTGTATGTTGCTTCACGACGCCGCCACAGGCCCGCAATCAAGTTCGCAATTGACATGAATTGAAGCCGCTGTTGCGTCTTTCCTTACGTGCCCACCTTCATCGCGCTGGCCAGCGCACCGTCACCATGGCCATCATTTGAGGAGAAGCCTCGCCTCAGAATATATTTATACCCGTGCATCTCTAGATCTGTCGAGAGCACAGGTCGTCTAATTCCCTTACCCATCTCTGTCAACGACTCTTGCCCAATTCGACGCCTCCTCGACCATGAAGCTCACCGTGAACGTGAACCTGCTCGCCGTCGCTGGCCTCTTCAGCGCCGCTGGCCAAGTGTGTGGCAAATGGCTGCAGACAGATGCGGACCTCAACTACTGGCAGTTCTGCCGCTCGGACGGGTCGCACTACGACACGTCGCACTACGACACGTCGCACGTGTGTTTCTCCGCGCCCTCGGACTCGTTCGCCCGACAACTGGCTGGTCAGGACGGCTGGATCGGCTACCTCGGCCATGATCTCAACCGTAAGCACCTTCTCACCCCTGCCTTGCCTTTTCGAACACAGTGTCGCTGACAGCAGAGTGGGTTGCTATCCGCGAGAACAGATTTCGTCGTACCATATCAGAGCGGCCAGGACGAAGTGAAGCTTGTAGGCAACAAGTTTGTCGTCCACATCTCCTATTGGATCACTTCGCCGGGCTACGCTTCGTACGAGTGCGCCATCGTCTCAGTTCGCAGGCGCGGAGGCACACACGAGGGCGCTACGATTGCTGACCAGCTGGTCTGCAAGGGTCAGATGATGAACCTTCCCCAGGAGATGGCCTGACCGGCATTGCGCTCTGCACAAGCGTACGTCACACACTCCATTACGTGTATGGAGTCGCACGGTTCCCGTTGTGGTCCGGATCGCGAAATGCCGATATGAGCTTCGAGCCCCTATTGCGATGCTGCGTTGCCATCAAGAGCCATTGTGTGTGAGCCCACCTTGAGCTATCGCACTGCCACCGTGGGTGAAGACGTATCTTGCGCTGTCGCACAACCAGCCGGTCCGATCCTTCCGCAATGCGTCTCAAGAGGCATATAAACCTGCCGAAAACGTCTCGATTCCAGCTCTCCTACCATTCATCCTCCTCCTTCACAAACATCTTTACCCCCTCGTCCAATTTCCTCATCATGAAGTTCAACCTCGCTGTCCTCACCGGTGCCGTTCTGGCTTGCACCATCAGCGTCTCGGCTCGATGGCTTCAAACCTCGGCGACGCAGAACTACTGGGAGTACTGTCGCTCGGACGGCGGTCGATACAACACTCTGCATGTGTGCTTCCAGGCCCCCTCGGACTCGTTCGCCCGACAGCTCGCCGGTCAGGGCGGCTGGTCCGGCTACCTTGGCTCCGACCCCAACCGTAAGCCTCCCTCCCCACCCCCTTCTCTTCCGTGAACAAAGCGGACCAGGCGACTCACCAATTTGACCTTGCAAACCATAGACTTCGTTGTGTTCTACGACAACGCTAACGGCGTGACCCTCACGGGCAACGAGTATATTGTTGATATTACGTTCCTCGTTGTTGAGCCGCCTACAGCGCGCGATGACAAGTGTGCGCTCGTCACCGTCACCCACAGCAAGACCCACGCCGTCATCAGCTCCCAGAACGTCTGCAAGGGTCAGATGATGACGCTTCCCGCTTGATGCGCAGTCCGGCTGGCCACATTCTTCGTCAAGAGTATGAGCTTGGCCCATCGTGGCTTCGTTTGTCTTTTCCTACGTTGCTTTCTCAATGAAGCTCGTTCCTCACCTTCAGTGTGTATGCTGCTGAGTTGAAAGCATAATCGTATTACGGCTCCATCTGTACACCCTTTGTAGCGCCCTGAATAACACTTTGACCGGGAGAAGCCTTCCAATCCATGAGCAGCAGCTCGAGTCTCACCGTGCCCGCCTTGACGTACGGCTTGTCCTCGGCGTGCTTCAGCCACCCTGCCTTCTTCCCCTGCACGCCTTGCTCGAGCAGCAGCGCGAAGAGCTTCTTCATCTGCTTGCCGTAGAGGCCCAACGCTTGTGTCCCCGCGATCTCGATGAACACCGACCAAATGGACGGACACATGGGGTGGTCCAGGAAGGCCATGGCGGACGGCGTCAGGGCACGCACGCTCCACCGCCACAAGGTTGTCGACCGTAGGTGCAGGGGGATCTTGTCAACATCGAGCGAAGATGCGCCCGGTGGGGCCGAGGGTGTGGTTTGAAGGATGGCAAAGTAGAACGCTGTGATACCGCTCATCCTGTTCGAGTAGTTTTCTGTTGTCTCGTCCGCCTTGTAGCCCATGACTTTGCGGTAGGTCGGTTCGTCCAGGTCCCTGCGAGGAGGCCAGACGGGGATCACCCACGGACACTTCTTGCACAACCTCGCCATCAAGACGTCTGCCAACTCGACGTGCCCTCCCAGCACCAGCCAGACCACTACCCGAGCCAAAGGGTAGGCGGTATCCTGCTTCGCCGCTACCTCCTGCTCCGCCTGCCGGATGAGACACTTTGACAGGTGGTTGAGGATCCACGTGTACACGTCGCCTCCGCCACCGCTCGCCGCCTGCTTGGCAGCATCCAGCACAGAGGCGATGGCGGTAGCGATCCGCGTGATCTCGGTCCTTGAGTTGGTCAGCTGTCCGATCTTGGGGGTGATCTGGCGTTTCGCGGCGAAGCACTGCTTGCGCAGATCCGGATTGGACGAAATCGCAGGCAGAACATTCGACTTGATGTGTCGGATCTTGGTCATCCACCCGTCGTGCTCTGCTAGCGCCGCTTTGCGGATGTCCTCCCCTGACCCGCCCATTGCTTGCGCCTTGGCCTGCTCTGCTTCTGTCTCCTTCTGCGCCGCCGCTTCCGCTTCCGCCTCTTTCTTGAGTCGATCGGTTTCCGCCGCCGCTGCTTTCTTTTCGGCTTCGATCCGCTCCAGCTCGGCCTGTCGCGCTGACGCCGCTTTTCGCTCTGCTTCCTCCTGCATCTTTCGCGCTGCTTCCAAACGCGCCGCTTCCGCAGCGGCCACCTTGCGCGCCTCGTTCTCGGCAGCGAGGATGGAAGCATCGATGCCCGACCACAGATCCTTGTTGCGCGCTTCAAAGGCTGCCTTCACCTCGGCGTCCTCTTGCGTGCGCCGCATGTTGAGCGAGGAGAGCAGCGCTTGCACCTCGTCGATGTCGGTGTCGGGCGCAGTGGATTGTCGAGCGCCGGGTGTTGAGCGGGCGCCAGGGGTATCGCGTCGGGAGATGCGTGCGCGGTGCCATGCGAGTCGAGCAGAGTTGCGGTTCCATTCGTCCCAGTCGTCGCCGACAATGGAGGCGAGCTTTATCGCCGATGCGATGGATGCGGTGGGACGACGACGCGACGACGAAGAAGGTCGTTTGCCGACCGGCCGTTCTTCGGCTGAGTCGTCATGCTCGTGCGGCGATGTTTGCGGTGAAGATGAAGCATCCGAGTCGTCTTCATCCAGGTCGGAATCCAGATCGTCGAGCTGTCGACTCTCGTCCTCGTCTGAGGAAGAGAGAGCTGCATTGTTGTCCTCATCTGACGAGTCGACCTCGTAGTCGGGAGTGTGACTGCGGTGAGGCTGACGCGATGTCTTCATCCATGGCGGCAGAGCTCCAGCTTGCTTTGCTGGTGACTTGACTGGCCGTTGCAAGGAAGACGGTCCCGCAACGGCAGACGATTGTGCGGGCAGACCAACCAGCTCGAATGCGGGCGTAGCGCTGCGTCTGCGACTGCGATGCTGAAAAGATGTGTTCTGATCGTGAGCGTGTGATGTCAAGTCTCTTTCGTCTATCGGCGCGATCCCTAGATCTTGCTTATCGTCATCGTCCTGGAATCGTTGCCGTCGTTGCGCGCTGGATGTGGTCGAGTTGTACGAGGATGTATGCCGCAAGATACCCTTCCGTGTGGGCGTCTGTGATGATGAGGAAGAAGCAAAGTTGTGCTGCTCCGCCAGTGCTTTGGCACGGTTGAGTTGCTGATGCGACTTGCGGACGACGGTAGGCAATGCCTGCTCGTCACCGGAGGCGTCAGAAGCCGAGTCGAGCGTGAAGCGCATGATGCGCTCTGCTGCGAGCTCTTGCGTGAACCGCAGAGGGCGAGGTAGATAGGACGAAATGCAAGCGTGGAGATGATCGAAGTGTGTGGGAAGAAGGGTGCACGACCTCGAATGAAGTCGCGGTGGAGCTCAAGCTCGGATCTGTCAAGAAATAGGGACCGTCGGTGAATTACAAGGTCTAACAACCAGCGATTTTTCGCCGTCCGTATCCCGAGCCAGAAAAAATGCATTAGTTCGCCACACCTAAAACGCCGTGCGGCGGCTATCCAAGTCGTGTTGAACCCCGCACGAAGTCCCTTGCACTTCTTCCTGTTGCCCTCGACTTGACAGAGCTCCGCTGTGAACCCTCCTATCCGCACACGAACACGCATGCAAGGCTTGACTCTTCGTCTTTGCTCCTTACGTATCTCTCAACCTAACCACCGAACCCTCCTAACTTCTTTGTTCCACCACTACGGCAAGTAGACTCGCACGGCCGCGCTCCTCATTCACACCCGTACCCACATCGACGAGGCTGCACGGAACGATGACAGCCCCCCACAAGCTCGACAAGCTCGGCAAAGACGACACCGAACACGAAGACGTCTTTGGCCCGCGTCCGCCACCAGGCTACACCGCCTTGCGAGCCGCCACCTCGCAGATCCTGCTTCCGCTGACCGTCTCCAACAAGTGCGGCCAAGCCTTCCGATGGCGGGGCAACAAAGTCTGGCTCCCTCTCTCATCCGGACAATACGAGGAGCAAATCGAATGGTCCCTCTGTCTCTCCGACCGCGTCGTTCTTCTACGCCAAGACGAGCACCGGGGTTTCCTCTACCACAGGACCCTACTTCCCTCATCTCACGATAACGATCCAGCGGTGAGCCGCGAGACGAGCCGCTTCCTCTCCGACTACCTCAGCCTCGACGTGCCGCTCGAGGCGCTCTACGCCGAGTGGGCCGAGAAGGATCCCGTCTTTGCTCGGTTCGCGACCCGCTTCTCGGGTCTGCGCATGTTGCGGCAGGATCCGTGGGAGTGTCTATGCGCCTTCGTGTGCAGTTCGAACAACAACATCGCGAGGATCGGCCAGATGGTGCAGAACCTGTGCACGCATTTTTCGCCGGTGTTGCTGGAGCATTTGTACCCAGCGCCACCAGTGGTCGATGGCGACAGCGAGGTGGAGAGAAAGCCAGGGAAGGTGGAACAGGGAGAGGTGAGGATAGCGTATCACCCGTTTCCGCCACCGGAGGCGCTGGCCAAGGAAGGGGTCGAGGAGAAGCTGAGGGAGCTCGGGTTTGGGTACCGCGCCAAATATCTTGCTCGGACTGCGCAGATGTTGTGCGAGAAGCATGCACAGTCGAAGAGCGGATCTTCCGCAGGTCAGATGGCAGACCATCTGAGCGAGTCGCACTGGTTGTTCGGTATCAAGGGCGAGGACAGCACTAGCTTCTCGTTCGACGAGCAGCCGAGTCCACCCATCTCGACCGAGGACGCGGCTGACGTCGAGCCAGCGGCCAAGCGTAGTCGACGAACCGCATCCCACCAAAGTCGCACCACCTCAATTTCGCCACCAGCCCCCAACACCGACCTCGAAACCAAGTCCTTCCCCTCAGTTCGCGCCTACCTCCAACACCTGCGCAGGCTCCCCTACGCCTCGGCTCGCCAAGAATTGCTTCAATTACCCGGCGTAGGACCCAAAGTGGCCGACTGCATCCTGCTCATGTCGCTCGACCAAGCCTCATCCATCCCTGTCGACCGGCACGTCTTCCAGTTTGCCGAAAAGTGGTATCGGCTGCGCACGAAGAAGTACGAGGAGATCGCAGAGTACTTTCGCCAGCTGTGGGGCGGGTATGCGGGCTGGGCGCACAGTGTGCTGTTTACGGCGGATCTGAGGAGCTTTGCTGATTACAAGGTTGCGAAGAAGGAAGAGGCAAAGGTAGAGGGTGAGTTCTGGGGTGGGGCAGGGAAAGCGGAAGTGGGTTTGCTGACTCCGCCACCAAGTCAGGGGGTGAAGGAGGAGCAGCAGTTGCAGGCGGTACACTCGCCGCCCAGGATGGCCATTCCCGAGCTGGTGCCGCAGTCGATGAAGGTGGAAGGCGGGACGCTTGCCGAGAGGATAAAGAGCCGACCCAAACGGAAGAGCCGAACGAGCTGATCTTTTATGCCCTGTACTCAATCGCATCCATACCATCTCTGCAAAAACCGTGTGTCAATGAGTTCCAGCATGTTTTGCAATTGCTGTGATACAGAAGCATCTACTTGCGAGTGCGCCTGTTTGCATTCGGATTCTTCCTCCCGTGTCCGATGACCGGCAAACTGCTCTTGTCCCTCGCAGCAAATTGACTTCCCAAAAAGATGTCTCCCGTATCCCAAGCCTCCTCGTATCTCACCGACAACGAATCCTTGCCTGCGCGCATGGCCTTCTCCAGTGCCCTTTCCTCCTTCCTCTTCCTGCTCGCCTCCTTTGCCAGTGCGCGCTGCCATTCCAGCTGGTCTTCCCTCAGGATCAACCCGGACCCGCCGGTCTTTCCACCTGATGCGGACCCCGCCTTGGGCGCCGGAATCGAGTACTTGGTGCCCCTCAGATTGAATCGGTAGTTCTTTTTGAGGTGCAGCTGGAAGCCTCCCTTGGCGGTGTCGTCCACAGTGACGGCGACCTTTGTGAGCGTAGCATTGCCGCAGACGGGGCAGAACTTCTTCTCCATGTCCTTGCACACCTTCATACAGGCGTGGCAGCGAAGGACGAACGATTTGACGGCTCGGACGCGCGATCCGTGCACGCCAACGAGCGACAGACCCATCTGCAGGAGCACGTTCTGCACGGCAAAGTCACCCGTGATGCACGCAACTGTCATGTGGCCGGCGGCGGAAGAGTCGCCGTTGGCGTTCCAGGACAGCGAAGGGCGCGATTGGATCGAAGGGTCGTTGTAGTCGCGCGACGGATGCGTCTTGGTCGGCTTGGGCTTGGACTTGCTGGAAGACTCGACGCGCGACCAGCCTTCTTCGAGCGGCTCTTCGGGTTCCAGCAGTTCAGCCGGCTCCGGGACGTCGTCCTTGACCTGCTCGGAGTACTTGAAACCAGGCATGCGGTTGTCCGACACAAAACCCATGCTCAGGTTCTTCGCCCTCTGAACGTTGTCTGGGGTGATCCATGCACCGTCCCCTTCCTCGTCCGAGTCTTCGTCGGTGAAGTCTCCTTCTTCGATCCAGCCCTGACTCGGTCCTGACTCGTGCTGCGTTGCAGGCTGTTGATCCTCGTCGTCGTCTTGTTGGACGGGTGCTGAAGTTGCTTCGGCATCCTGCTCTGCTGCTGGTGCTGCTGCTGTTGACGCATCTTTGGCCTGTTTCTTCGCCGCCTTCTTCTCTCGATTCTCCTTGATGCGCTGAGCTACGAGCTGATCGGCCGTCATTCCGAGCGCAGCAGCTTCCTCCTCGAGCTTCTTCTGCTTTGCATCTGCCTTCTGTTGACGCTTCTTGTCGATGGCCGCTTGACGGGCTGCTTTCGCGTCATTCGTCGAAGAGGAAGCTTCCTTGCTCTCCTCACCGGTAGCAACTGCTGTCAAAGCCTCGCCTCTCTTGCCATCCGGGCTGGTCCTGATGCGCTTCATGCCATGCCTCGCGACCTCTCTCTCATATGTCAGAGCAATGACCTCCAAATCCTGCGTCGAGAGCACGCCGATGTCACCCGTCTTCTTTGCGAACTCGGTCGCAGCGACCATGCTCGCAGGCCCCGGCTGAGCAATGTGCAGCTTGAAATCGGGGCGCAGGCGCAGCGATTCGAGGTACTCGCGGGCAGAGGCGTGCTTGATCTCCTCAATCACTCGCGGTGGGATGTAGTATTCCGAGGCGAGGCCGTCGAGGGGCGCGCGCATGATGAGGGCACCTGCGTCGAGGATGAGCGTGTCGATGCGCGGCTTCTTTGTTCGTACGCCGGAGGTGGACGCAGTCTCGTCATCAAGCTGAGAGGAGGATGAGGAAGCGACGTTGGTTGAGGAAGATGCCTCTTCTTGCTTAGGAGCGGGTGCTGAAGCTTTGGCACCCGCCGCCGCCATTGCTGCCCATGTCGACATGGTTGCCGCTACGATCTTTGCGCGACGTTTTTTCGAAGATTGATGATATTGAAGCTAGGAACAGCGGATTCCTGCTGGCGTTGCGGTGGTTATGAGGATGATGATGAAGTGAAGATCCGCCTTTCCAAAAATTTGGAAGCTCGAGGCTGAGCGAAAGGAAAATTTCAAGGTTTACAGGCAAAAAGAAAGGTGAGCCAGGGTCCAACGGGAAAAAGCTCAGCCGGCCGACAGCGGCTGGTGTGGAGGTGAAATCGCCGAAGCTGCATGGACCCTTCGCACCATCTTGATGCTAAGACAGCATACAACAGCTACCTGACTTTTCACGACATCATAGAGAAACCCGTTCCTTGACGCAACCTTGTCTGCACATCTACTCGGTCCAAATCAATCTTCGACAGCTTAGCCGGATCATCCTACTTGGACCTTGATGGCCAGCCTTAGTCGCCGACAGGGCAGGTAGCTCTCAGCTCGGTTTAACCTCTTCCCCCCTTTCCCGAGCCGCCCTCAACAGCTCAACATGACAATCACACTACCGGAGGAGGTCATCTACCAGATCTTCTCCTATCTCGACCCTCGCTCTTTAGCAGCCACTCTACAATGCAACGCCACCTTCTACCGTATCGCCACCACTCCGGCATTCTGGGAGCTGTCCTACCTCTTACGATGGACAACAGGCGATCTTAAACGCGAGGCCAACAGAGGCGTCATCGAATGGAGAAGACAAAGAAGGCTGCAGAGGATGACCGAGCACGCACGCCGAGCAGCCGCAGAGAAGGGGCTCGCATCAGCGTCTCCGTCGGAATCGCCCTTCAGAGACTTGCAGCTGGAGGAGGGGCAGCCTGGCCCGAGCACAGCATTCGAGCTTGACTTCTATCGACTGTTCTTGGAACGCATTGCCATCGACGAAGAGGTGCTGGAGACGCTCTATGAGCAGGTCGAGGCGACACACGGTCGCATCCCCGCGATCACCTCGCTAGCTAGGCGCTTTGGGAACGATGCAAAAGATGTGCTGACTGCGGTGGTCGAGGCTCAGTCGAGCTGTCCTTCTTGGACACGCGATGGACTTCCCCGCAGACATGACATATCTGATACAAATCAACGAAGATCAGTGAAGGGCAAGGGCAAGGACCCCTTGGCCTACGACTTGGACAGTTATCGCATCAATGCCTACCAAGCGCATCTTCCCACCACACTGCGATCCGACACGCACCACCTGGTCATCCTCCACCACGCACGAGAGATGCTCGAGCACCTCCAGCGACGCGAAGCGATGTCAAAGCTGAGCATTCTCTCCAGATCGGAAGACGATACCCTATCTTCTGGCCCATCGATACCTCCCGCACCCTCCCTCCCGCGTCAGACCGAAATCGCCGTCTCGCTCCTCACCATGTTTCGCGGGGGCGAGTCCACCTACGTCTCATCTCAACTCGACCTCCTCGCCGCAGCATGTGATCTGTACCTCCAAACTCGCTTCCCCCCATCAGATGGTCCCGTATCACTGGAGCGGGCCAAAGAGAAAGCCATGGCGATCTGCGACTTTCTTTCAGACCACGGCTTCCGCGGGGCCGCGGACGACCTTTTCTCGGACCTGGACAACCACTTCCTCCACCATTGCTTCACTACCAATCGCGAAACCCTTCCTCTCTCCCTCACACTCATCTTTTGCGGTCTCGCAAATCGGCTAGGCCTAGTTGCTTCGCTGTGCAACTTCCCCATGCGCATCCTGGCCTTTGTCTCTGCCGACTCTCGTCTCCCTTCTTCCACCGAAACCTTGGAAAATGTGACGCAGACGTTCTGGCTCGACGTGACGGCGTACACGCTTGCGGCGAGCGATGCGCACTCCCCCACCCCCAGCGATCCTTTCGCGAGACGCGACTCGTGGGTTCGCGAACGACCTCCCGTGCTGGAGCGCGAAGATCTGGTCGAATGGGTGGGGAGGATGGGTGTGCCTCCGAACGACGACTTTTGGCGACCCGCCAAGCCGGGGGATATGGTGCAGAGGGCGGCGCGCAATGTGCTGGGGAGCGTGCAGCGGGCGCAGATCGCGCCGAGGCAGGCGCAGATGGGACAATTGGGGCAGGCGAGGAGTGCAATTCGGCAGATGGAGGTGAGTCGGCGGGCAGCGAGGGTGGAGGTGCAATGGAGGGAGCTGGTTCGGGTGGATTATGCGTTTCTCAGCGCTCTTCACGGTCGAACGACTCCCATCGAACACGAGACCATCAAACAACGTGTCGCAAGAGCGTTAGAAGGGCATACGGAGGTAGTTGAAGACGAGACGGTGTGGGGTATCGTGAAGACGTGGCGTCGAGAGTCGATGCGCGCGCTCACGGATGCACCTGAAAGCTGGACCCGCCCAGCGTCGTCTCCAGCCACCCACTTCCGAGAGTGGATGGCACAGCGCGGCGAGGACAACGACTGGACGCTCACCCGTGCCAACCTGCATCGCCGAGCAGATCACTGGTCCGAACACGAACAGCAGGCTGCCAAGTACGCCGCGGTCAACGCGTTCCTCCGGCTGAGCACGCATGTCAACGCGAGGGAGGTGGATTGGATCGCCGGGTTTCTGCAGAGTTACTTCATGCTGGACGTCGAGTTTGTTGAGCGGGACTTTCTCGGCATCGATCCCGAAGACAGCGACGAGGAGGCAGAAGGGAGCGATTCGAGCGGCGAAGCGAGCTTCTCAGCGAACGAGGTGCGGAATGGTAGGGAGGCTAGGCGAGGTGTGGCCGGCATGGTGACGAATTCCAGTGCGAGGGTGGTGCTAAGCCGGATGCTGCGCGCGGTACGGATGAAGGATGCCGAGGAGCCCCGGGTGAATCGTCGGCCGTCCTCGACTCGAAAGAAGGGTGCACGCGCGGAAAATACAGTGGGGTATCGAGTAGGCACAGTTTTCAGACACCGCACGTATCGGTATGTCGGCAGCGTGCTGGGATGGGACCCCTACTGCGCCGCACCGGAGGACTGGATCGTCAACATGGGCGTCGATCGGTTGCCCGCCCCCGCCTCGGCGCGCAGGGGAGGAAGACATCAGCCGTTCTACCACTCGCAGGTGGCAGATGGGACGCGGAGGTACGTCGCCGAGGTCAATGTCGAGTCGATTTCGGGGCCCATCTGGATCTACGGCACGCCACCAGAGGAAAGGGGAGAGATGGAGGATGAAGTGGTGGAAGAGGGAAGGGTGCTTGGTGGAGCGGTGCACAGGATGCTGGAGCTAAGAGGGCTGGGAGAGTACTTCAGATGTTTCGATCAGAAAAGGGGAAGGTTGCGGAGGTGCAGGGATGCACGGATGATGTTTCCGGATGATGTGTCTGATGATGAAGAGGAGGAGGAGGAGGAGCAGGAGGAGGAGCAGGAGGCCCGGATGCAGACAGATGAAGAAGAGTATGCAGTCGAGAGGCTGTCGGAGGATGGAAGCTGGTGATTCAACACACACCCACGCTGGACTCGCGAACACAAAATATCTTTCACAGATTGGTCATTCAGTGTCTACATCAACCAAGACCAGCACCTCTGTACCAGCGCAACTTGCCGTCTTCGCTTGCAGTCACGAATCGTGTCATTGAGCTCGTCATCCCCTGCCCTGCCTCCACCGCCGCACCTCCCGTCTGAGAGCCTGTCGCTGTCGGAGGCTGAAACGCGAACGCCCTGACCATCTGCGCCTCGCCGCCGTTCCAGACAGGCGTATTCTTAGTCGCCGACGTCAAATCCCAGAATTTGGTGCTCTTATCCGCTGCTACACTGGCAAATACGTCCGTCGACAAGGCGGGAGCGGCAATGTCGAACACCCACCCCTTGTGTCCCGTCAGCGATGCAACTGTCGCGCCTATCCTTCCCTCCGCGTTCGGCTGAAGGTATGAGGACTGCTCGGGTGAGAGGATGGTTTTGACGTCGTGAATGGTGATGGTGCGGTCATCGGAGCCGACGAGGAGCAGCGAGGGCAAGAAGGAGAGCGCTCGGACGGGCGATGCGTGGTCTGAGTAGGTCGATACATGTATCAGATGCGGCGCGGAGTCGAGAGAGGACAAGGCGTAGAGAAGGACCCGACCGGTGTTGGTGCCGACAGCGAGGAGGCTGCCGGAGGGGTGGAAGGCAAGCGAAAGACCGAAGAGATCGGATTGCTTTTCGAGGCTTGGTGGGAGGGTTGCAATGTCGAGTGTCTCGCCGAACGAAGAGGAAGAAGTCGAGTGCAGCGAGACAATTGCTCCTGCTCCAACAGAAGCAAATAGTGGAGCACTGGGGTGCAGAGCGGTCTTCCAAGCTTCTGACAGCTTTTCTTTAGGTGTCGAGTGGGCTGTGAGCGAGTCGATTGTGCCGAGCAACAGGTTGCTTGCGTCTTCGACGGGTAGAGGCAGCAGCGTTGGCTCCGTAGATACCGCCTCGACTTCGACAGCTTCAGCTTCGTCCTTGTTTGCTGTCTCGTCCTTGACGAAAGGTGTCAAATCCCACAATGCAATGGTGCCGTCGATGGCATTCGACAAGGCTGCACTGCCGGTAGCGTTGGTGGTGATGCAGTGTACTGCATTCGAGTGCGCATTTGGTAGATCTCGATAGGATAACGCTGACTGAGCGTCGAATGCCTTGACTTTGCCCTTGCAGTCACCAGACAAGATGACGCCCTGCGAAGACGAAGACGACGAAATCCAGGAAACGGATACGATGGGTGCGGTGTGCGACTGTGATGGAAGGCTCTCCTTGTCGCTTAGGAATTGGAGCGACTGCGAGTCATGCAAGAACCAAAGCTGGAGTCAGTAAGGCCTGAAGTTGAGCTACTCTGATCCTGAGACGAGATGAAGCTGACCATGATGAGCTGGAGGTTGTCGATGTGTCGTCGGTTGAAGGCATGCAACCGTCAAGAAGATCTTGCCAAAGGAAAGTGGAGTTGCGAATCACATTCGGGAATCGGAAAATCCGCCGGGGTCGCAGGGAACCATGAGCCACGAACAGAGCAGCCAACGTTCGCCTTTGCCATTCCCATTCACCCTTTCGCGTTACATTCGACCATTACGGCACTTTCGAGCGACAGTTCGAACGCAGCTGCATCGCAGAGTCGGGCGTTCTTCAAGGCTCGGAGCTGTCACGATAAGCACGATGGTGGTCTGCAAGTTCTTCCTGCAGAACCGATGCGCGTTCGGCAACAACTGCAAGTTTGAGCATCCGCAAGGCGGGGCTGGTGGTGGACCAGGACGCAGCGGCTTCGGCCAGAGCGCATTCGGCTCATCATCAGCATTTGGTGGATCAACCAATCCGACAGGCGGAAGCGCATTCGGTTCCGCGTCAGCGTTTGGGGGCAATGCGACGGGTGGGAGCGCGTTCGGGAGACCCGCTGGCGGCAGTGCTTTCGGCGCGGCTGCTCCGAGCGCCTTTGGCGGCGGAGGAAGCGCTTTTGGTAGTCAGAACTCCAACTCAGCATTCGGAGGTGGAGCGACGGGTGGGTCAGCATTCGGAGCACAGCAAGGAGGAAGCGCCTTTGGATCGACTTCGACACCAACATCAGCATTTGGAGGGGTGAACAAGCCTGTTTCTGCCTTTGGTTCTGCTGCACCTCCGTCTGCGTTCGGTGGCACTTCGGCACCCACATCTGCGTTCGGATCGACATCAACACCGTCTTCAGCGTTCGGTTCGACCAATTCTGCTCCTTCTGCATTCGGCAGCACTAGCACACAGCCGACCTCAGCGTTCGGATCCACAAATACAACATCATCCTTCGGCTCAAACTCAGCACAGTTCGGCAGCAGCGCCGCTCCCTCTTCAGCCTTTGGCTCCACATCTACGCCATCATCATTCGGCAGTTCCTCGGCGTTCACCTCCCAAGCTCGCCCTTCCGCGTTTGGTGCACCCCCCACTGGACCCTCACAACCTACCCCTTCAACGTCCTCCTCAATTCCTTCCGGCCTGGCATCCCTCAACCCCTCCTTCCCATTCACGTCGAGCACCAGCTTGTTCGGCGACAGCAACCTCCCCGAAGTATCTCTCACCGCCGCTGGCATCGCCGAAGACCTGGGCCCGCACGGACGCCCACTCTGGAAGCTCACCGCCTACGGTCCTGCCCGGGGCGAGCCCAATCTCATCGTGGGCAAGGATGTCAGCCCGGACGAGCTGCGCGTGATGGCGTACCAGGCGCGCGCCGGCGGTCAGGAGAGTCAGTACGCGCAACATGAACAGAAGCTCTTTGGGGAGGCGGATGCGAGTTATCGGCAGCTGGGCGGGAATACCGGTGGAGCGCTGCAGCAGGCCGAGCGGAATCGGGTGGAGAAGAGGAAGACGCAGACGCAGACAGCATCGGGGACTCCAGCGGGTGGAGCGAGCGCGTCCGGACAGCCTTCTGCGTTTGGGGCAAGTACGACGGGGGCGTTTGGTGCCAAGCCAGCGGGTGCGTTCGGTGGAGCGTCGGCGTTTGGAGGGTCGACTGGAGGGACAGGGTCTGCGTTCGGACAGCCAGCAAGCGGGACGTCAGCGTTCGGACAAGCCTCTGCGTTCGGCTCTGCTGCGACACCCGCACCGACAAGTGCATTCGGTAGCACGTCGGCGTTCGGCTCTTCCAACAACCCTGCTGCTGCCCCTGCCCCCGCGGCACCGAGTGCGTTTGGCACCACCACACCAGCTTTCGGCACCGCCGTCCAACCTCAATCTTCAGCATTCAATAACAGCACCACCGCTGCGCCCGCCAGCGCATTCGGCACTTCCACCTTTGGCAGCACATCAAGTGCCTTTGGCACCTCGGCATTCACCGCGCCTACCAGCGGAGGCTCGGCGTTCGGCTCCACCGCTTTCGCTGGAGCACCAACAAAGGTCGAGGATCCGTACGCGTCGTCCGTGCCGAAGAAGCAAGACCTCACCGCCGACGTACTCTCGTTGTTTGAACGGGATCATTTCGAATGGGGCGGTGCGCCGTTTATCGAGCCGCCCATAGATGTGCGCTAGCCCTCAATACCACATTGCACAAAGACCGATGATTGTGATTGCTAAGTGAGCGTGATTAGCGCGGTGTGAGCAGCGCAATGTCGACCCTAGCGCCGTTGCCCAGCCAGCCCTCGTACCCCTCCTCCTCGATCTGGCCGACGATGCTCGCCGATCCCGCCAAACCTGGTGCTTGGGCCGGGGACAAATCGACCCTCTCGCCCGGTCGAGTGCCGGCAAACCCTGCCAGCCCTCCCCGTCCAACCCTACTAGGAGTGGTGGGGGAGAGGTACTTTGCTCCCGCACTCGCATCCCGCTCGCCCAACCGCGGCAGCTGCGTTCCCGAAGCAACACCCGCATGGTACGCTGACGCCTGGGCGTGCGAGATCTTGGTCAGCGTCGCACTGACCCAGTTGACGTCGGTCAGCGGAGAGAGGTCGTGTGGCTTGTAGGGGGGAAGGTGAGAGCGGACGAGGGTGTAGGATGCTGAGCTGCCGGAGCATTCGCGGATCAGCCGTGGCACAAAGCCGTCCGGTTCCTCTTTGTCTTCCGTTGAGATCATCGTGACGTCCGAGTGATTCGTCTGTGTGGGTGCTCTTCGAGGTGTGCCGAGTGACAGTTGACCCAGTCCACCCAGCGCACCGACCCCTGCAGGTCGGCTCGTGCCAGGCATTGAGCGAGGCATCGTCGGCTCGAACGCACAATACAACCTCGTATCGAACACCCGGAACACCACGTCGTCCACCCGGAGGTAGAACCGTTGCAACACCAAGAATCCGCTTGGCATGACCCGCACCTTGACGCTGACGATTGAGCTGCCATTGTCTGCCAGCTCGTCCTCGTACAGCACCACGTCGTCGTAGAACAAAATCGGTTCGCCGCTTGATGGTCCTAGGCGTTCGACAGGAATGCGATCCGCTGCTGGATCTGTGCCTGGGGTCCACCGATTGTTCCTGTTCTCTGGTTGCTCGAGCGCGCGGAGGTTGGGCGCGACCGTCGGGGTGCTTTGCGTTGGAAGCAGGGGCTGGGGCGCGATATCCCCCACCGAGCCCGCCCAGGTGGTGCTATACGTCCAATCGTAATCCTTCGCGGCAGTAATGTCCGCTTGAGCAGTGCCAAAATGGGAGCCTCCTTCCGAGGGTGTGTCGGAGGCGGTGAACTCCGTCCGGCTTTTTCCCCACTCTTTTGCATAAGCCACCTTAATGCCTGCCGCGGTGCCCTTGCCTTTGGGCTTGGCACCGAGCCCACCACTTCCACTGGACCCGCCACCCTCCCGACAGTCAACACCATGCAGCCTGTTTTGAGCTAGGACGCCCTCGATGGAGCGCAAGGTACGGACAGCGTCGAAACAAAGGCTGAACCCCGACGCGGCGTGTTGCAGGACCAGCGAGTTGTGCGGAAACGCCATCTCGGGTGGTGGGATGCCAAGGAGGTCAGCGAGCGCGTCCATCTCGGCGGACGAGCCGATCGGGCCAGAGGTCACGCGCACCGACCACCCGCCGAGGTCGATGCCGCGGGTGGTGGGTTGGAGAGAGGGGGCGGTGGATGATGGTGCGGAGGAGGAAGGGGCTGAAGGTCGGATGGCCGAGTGCGACCATGTTGTGGGTGTCGACATCGCTGCGAAACAAACAGGCACCGCGCTGAGGGTCGGACGACGCTACGGATCAAGCACGACGTGAGAGAAGCCGGGTCTTGCAGCTCGCGGTGCTGGTATAGGAGTGTGATGGAAAGAAAGTGATGACGAGAAGATCAAAGGATTCGAGCTGCTTCGTGCGCGCTCAATTTTGCCGACGGCGGTTCACAGCGAGGCGACTCAGATTTCTTGGACCCTGAGCGCTCTCACCTCGACCTCACCTTCTCGACGGACAAGATCACAAATCACTCAAGAGGCACGATCACCTCAGAACGATTCGCCACAGACAACTCAATCAATCAATAACCATACTTGCAAGACGACTGTTTGCGAATGCGAATGTGTAGAGTACAACAAGACCACATCTGACCGTGACGCGGCTCACTTCTTCCCCGCCCGACGCTTGATATTGGCCTTTGCCCGCTCCATCTGCTTCTGCTCGCTCCGCTCCACCTGCAGCGTCGACATGATCTTGTCCATCTTCTTCTTGTAACTCTGGTCCTCCTGCTCCTGGTCCTGTCTGCGGACGCCGGCGATGAACTGGTTGTCGCGGCGCAGCTCGCGGATCGCGCCCTTGCGCTCCTTCTTGATGAGCGCCTTCATCTTTTGGATCTGCACACGCTCGACGTCGGGGTCGAGCGCCGACTTGCGATCCGGGTTGTAGCCCTGCTGGTCGAACTTGGGGATGTGCGAGGCGATGGCGATGGCACGGTGCGCCTGCAGGCGCAGGTAGCGGCGTGATGACGAGGCGAGCTTGAGACTGCGCGTGAGGGAGGTGGTCACCGATGAGGTGGACGTGGAGGGTGAAAGGGCGAGGAGCGAGGACAACGGCGCGAAGAGCTCGACATAGGACGTGCTGCCGTTGTACAGCTCGCTGAAGTTGGATAGGAGCGTCAACGATAGCGAGAGAAGTGACGCGCGTTGCTGAGGTTCAACTTCTGTCGCTTTGGCGGTGATCAGGCTCGGCAGATCCACGGCTTGTTCCGCAGGGTCGACGGCCTTGTCTCCAGACAGACGAAGGTGTTTTGTGTGCGGCGCATCGACATCAGGTGTCGGGATGCCATACTCCTCCGCCACGCTTCGAATCTGCGCCAAGCCCTGACGCTGCTTCTTCTCTGCACCCAACGAGGCCAAAATGGCAATCGCCGAGAACAAAAAGTTGAGCGCTTCCGGGAACAGCCTCTTGCTCTCCTTCTCGTTCGACACCACCAGTGAGCACAGGAAGAGACCGGAGGCAATGTCGCTGACGGATCGGATCCTGGCATGGGCGAGGTACTGCGCGATCAGCAGCGCCAGCGGTGTCGTCACGTTGTGCTGCTTGTCCGAAGTGGGCCAAACAGTGCCGACCAGTCGGAGGAGCGTCAGCTCAGGCAATCCTGGCCAGGTACGCGCATCAGCTTCGGTCGGGCCCTTTGCCAGGCCTCGAGACAGGTTGCGCTGCATGAGCGCCAGCTTGCTGACAAAGTGCTCCGCCGATGCGACTGGGTAGCTTTGGGACAGGCTGAAGATGTGCGGGATGAGCGAGTTGACGATCGCAAAGGCGAGTTTGTGCTTCTGGCCTGTTGTCGACTGGTGCAGCTGGGCTTGACCGGCCCAGTGGAGAGCGTGGTCGATGAGAACGCCGATGAGTGCTTGCAGGCGGTATTTGTTGTCCTCGGCAAGACTTGGGTGGTGCAGTGTGCGGATGCGCTTGATGACGGTGGGGATGTGCTTAGGGTCGATCTGGTGATCCTCGAGGAGCGAGAGCAGCTCGTCATGGGTGGCAGGGCAAGGGAAGGTGAAGGGTAGCTTACTTTCCGTGACAGGAGTGGCCTTTGCCTTGATGGCTGAGCCAGCTTTGCGCGCCTTGACGGATGTTGCCGACTTTGACTTGCCGGTGAGCGCTTCGTGTTCCCCCTCCTGCTCCGATTCTTCGTCCTCGCCGATCTGAATGGCATCATCCGCATCAGCGAGATCGGCAAAATCGTCCTCGTCATCGTCGTCATCCTCCGCTTCGCTGTCGCCTTCGATCTCGACGCCTTCCGCAGCGTCATCCTCCTCCTCTTCGTCCTCCTCATCATCATCGTCGTCTTCCTCGTCGTCACTCTCATCGACGGCACCGCTTTCCGCTAGACCAGCGCCGAGTCCGTACACCTCACCAGCTGTCATCCCCTCCAGCTCGAAATCGTCGTCGAGATCGTCAGCCTGCGCGACACGCTTTGGCCCTGAGCTGGAGCTAGAGCCCTTCTTGCGCTTCCTACGGCTTCCATCGTCCGACTCCTCGTCGGCCTCATCGTCACTATCGCCTCGCATTCGCTTGAGTCGTGCTTTCTCAGCCTTCATCAGCCTTTGTGCCTCTTCGGCAGCGAGCTCCTCTTCGCTCTTGAGACGATCTTGCGGCTTGGCTCTGCGCTCGAAGGCGAGCTCGCGAACGAATGTGTCGTAGTTGCTGGTTGGCTTCTCTTCGCCGTCTGCAGCAGTGGTGCTCGCACCCGCCACGGCAATCGCATTGGTGCCGGTGGCTGGGCCGGGAAAGACAGAGATCTTTGCTTTCGCCTTGGGATCCGCTGCTGGTGCCGGTGTCGGTACAGCTTGTTGCTCAAAGAGGAGGCCTCGAATGTCGGCGAGCTCGTCGTCTAGTTGCTCTCGGAGCTCGTCATCGGCGTCTTTCATCTTCTGACGTTCGAGCTTGTGGTATTTGGACTTCGCAATGAGTTCGCGCATGACGTCGGCCTTGGACTTGTCGCCATCCTCGTTTTCGCCGAATCCGCCAAAGTGGCCCTGCGCGGTGAGTCGTCCTGGGTCTGAACGCGGAAGCAAACATCGCAAAGACGTAGATAGTGTCAGTTCCTGTCTTGCCTAGTTGAATCAGCTGATGTCGAGCGTGGGTCGTTAACAGCACGAGGCAAAGGCTTGCGAGGATCCATCAGAAATCTCCAGTAGAATCTTTTGACCGTCACGGGTTGGCGCTTTTCAGCGTACTTTTGTGTTGAATCCGGATCGTTTGTGTCGCCAGTAGCAGATCATCATCTGGATCCTTCGAACCCCTTGGCGGTTCTGTGCTGTTCGCCTTTGCTGCAGTCACTTCTGTCACTTACCTTCATCATCGTCGTCGTCCTGTGGAAGTCGAATGTCCGCTAGGTCGTCCAGCCCGCTGAGAGACTGGCCGTAATGTGTGAGCAGCTCGTCGTCGTCATTGAGGTTGAATGCTGCGCCCTTCGCCGATCTCCTCTGCTTTTCTGTGGCGAAACGTTCGAGCATCTTCTCCTCTGGCGTCATGTTGGCATCATTTTCACCGAATCGACGGTCGACAAAGGTGCCTGTGCGATTTCGTGCCTGCCATTCTGGCAGCAGCGTCTCCCTTCTTTGCGCCAAGCCGCTTGCTTTGGCTGCACCAGGTCGTCCTACAGCGCCTTTGATCTTGCGACCGAGCACTTCATGCTTTGGCTTGGTCACTTTTTCGTCGAAAGGGTTGAGGCCAGAGACAATGGCGTTGATCTTGTTGAGTCGAGCTGCAGCAGCATCCTTTTCGCCCTGACCACCTTTGCGGGAGCGAGACTTCTTCGAGAGCTGACGACGGTCAGTGACACCAGAGCTGTGAAGTTTCGACTTGAGCTGAGACAGCTGCGAGCCGCCACCTTTGGCCATGATGGCAACTACGAGAGGGGTTCGAGTGGAAGTGCTGTTCTCTTGTGTCGCAACGTGATATCCTTCGTGTGGTCGTGCCGAAAGAAGAGTTGGTCCTGGAGAGAGCCTTTGTGACCGAGTCCAAGTCAGAGGTGTTGCGTGAGCCCGCTCGAGTCGTAAGATGGGTATAGGTTGGGGTTTGTTGATGGATATGGTGGCAGTAGAAGGTCATCAGAAGAACTCAAAACTTGCAATTCAGGGTTCGTCAAAATTTCTTGAGCGCTGGAGAGGCAAACCAAAAAAAAAAAAAAAAAAAAAAAAAAAAAAAA